GGGATGATCTGGTCACCTTCTGCAGCCCCCGGAACTCATGCCCGGAGACGGATATTAAATTTATTAGAGTCAGTGGTGGCCAGACTTTGTAGTAATTAAATTATCCCAGGCAGCTTCCGTGTATTTGTATTAACTTACACAGCTCAACTGCTCGCATGTCGGCACTGAGGGGTGCAGAGGGGTGAATAGAGGGCTAGAGATAGAGTTTGCTACATGGTGAGTAAATTAAACATGTGTTAGAAGCACGGAGAAAGCTTCCGTTTCCTCACATTTAGATAATAAATGGCCGCTTTTCGTTACTCTATTTTCATGATACTTACACAAACACTTCTTGGCGCTTCTCCGCCAGCATCAGACTTACCATTTCAGGGTGACTTCTTGTGCAACTCAATTCCAATGACACTCCCGGAGTGGAAAGTCTTGTAAGACAGCCAGTAATTTGTCTCCTGCGATTCTAAATTCACGAATGACGAGCAAATAAAATTAGACTGCACACAACACAGCACACGATATTTTATTATCACCCTGCAAAACACGACGGCAATGCAATAAAAACTTTTCTAAGCTCACTTCCTAAGAGTTCCGACGACAACAGTTGATGACACGGCCAGAAGTCTTATTTATTAATTACGTTGTCAGGTGATTTGAAGACATAAACGAACTTCTGTGGATTAACTTACGATCTGAGAGTCGTTTAGTGGACGAATTTTATTGAAAAACTCCAAAAATCCATAGTTTTTCATTTCCACTGACAATGTAATTTTATTCACAGTTAAATAAATACAAGATATAAATATATAGTTAACTATTTATAACATCAAATATATATCGAAAGCACTTATAATATATTAAACAGCTATAATATTACACGAAATACTCTTTTTTCAACTGATTAAGTGATTAAATAAAAGCAATACGATGAAAATGCTAATTTGACGATCTAAATAAACGTTTTCAAGTTAACTTCCAACATTTCAACAGCCCTCAAAGGAACGTTTTCTGATCGAGAAGAGAGAAAGAGAGTCGCCTAAAGTCTCTCAATTTTCTTTTTGATGATTTTGCCAAACAAACTGAAAGCCAAAATTTGAAAAATAACCGTTGGACTTAGGAAATACAATACAATTTCATCGTCTTCTTCCTGTGAGAATGCTAGAAGGCATATTAATAGCAATGTGGTGATAAGGAACTGAGTAAATACTATAATTCTAATAGTCTTGCCAAACCAACATATGTTCTTACTTGCCACATCGTAGCGAAGTTGAATATGTTTCAAAATATTGGGATTTCTCTTCATCTTATTGAGACATTTAGTGTAATCTTTGAATATATTCAGTGCTGCTATTACTTGAAGGCCAATGAAAATTAATCCTGAGTCAATTGTTACCATCAGAATTGCTCCTAACATGGCAAATATTATTTGGATGTTTTCAAGCTCAAGAAATGGTATTTCTATAAACAAATTAGTCTTGCTTTTTGGTCTTATTTCAAGTGAAACTTTTATAGCAATAAAGATGAAGAATGCCATTCCCCAGCTGAAATTATGTTGAAGAATAAAATATATTGCACCAGAGGTTTACTTCTAAATTCCTTACTTGTTTAAGAGTTTCCAAATCTTGAGTGATTTCACCAAATGCTTCTGCAGAATCTTCTCAAAGGCTGGATGTATTTCTTCTTCAGTGTAAAGAGACTCGATCCAATTCAGCAATTCACCAAAACGCTTGCAATTAATGGCGCCAAAAACGAATTTCATAATACATTGCGTATAACCAATTATGCACACCATCATCATTATGATATTTATGTCCAAATTCATTGACAGAGAGTTAAAGAGACGAACGCACATTGATAGTTGTGCAATAATGAGAGAAAACGTAAACAATACAATCCAAACACGATGCTTTAGTGGTCCGGAAAAGACATTAAGCGTTAATGCGGATATTTGAAATTTAAACACTGATTTTAAGCGATTAAACATCTTCAACTGCTTGGACAACTTCATCTTTGAGTGTGTGAAAAATGCACTTCCGATCACTTTACAGGTTATTTCTAGACTGAAGAAGTATTTTGTTGCAATATGTTGGCCAACAATAGTCCTTAATAATTTATCTCAAGCCCTAAAGAAATGTGTTTCTGTTCTCATGTACTCAAATACGAACGCCCTGCAAATTATTCTTTGCGCGACTAAATTATGTATTTCTTTTCTACGTAGGAAAATCGCGCAATTTTACCGGTGACTAACGTCAGAAAATGAAGAGAAAGGCGATCGATAGAGTTGGAGAGAGCTGTAATTTTGACTTCTGGTGGGAAAATACTACAAAGCAATTCATCAGCAAAAGGTGTTGATATTCATGATCCTTGAATGCATGCTTTGATTCAACTCCCACACTATATTTAGTAGACTTTAATAATAAATATCACACATATCCATTGTTGCTCAGTAAATGTTCCAGGTGGCAAACACAGAATAACTAGAACATAATAACTCTAATTTTTCACAGGAAAAACATTCCAAGCTCATCATAATCACTAATTTGGGATAAACAGTGATGAATTGACACTTAATTCAACTCTTTATTACAGATTTTCGGTAAATTCTACACAGAAATATCTTTAATAGTGTTTCATTTCCTTGTTGGCATGAAATTTTGAGGCAATTGCAAGGAATTCAAGTTCTTTATGGCTTCTGACTTTGACTGCATCTCGGACATTAGCAACCCCTTGGCAAACACAGAACGAGCGCTTTTCTTCTGTGGAACAAAAAGCGCATTTCCAAGCTCCTGGAGGGCATAGAAAGTTTCCTTGCGGGAACACCACCGAAAAACCAACAAGACAGTTGCAAAATTGAGGAATATAATGTGATTGTCTCGAAGTTCAGGCCTCACAACATCCAAGAGCACATGAATGGCGCACTTTATGCAGATCTCAATTAATACGTGACAGTGTTTCTCTTGGCAGCCTTGGCATAATTAAGCTCTCAAAGTTTGTGAAAAGGTAGTTTTACTGAATATTAAACTCACATTCTTGCCACTCAGCATGGCAATTTCTCAAAGTGCATTTAATTCATTCACTCAAAACTTCCATTCTTGCTCGCTCGCGCGGTGACAGAACGCGCAAAACGGCACCGAGGGAGTAATTGCAGTGATAACTTGACGGGGTGCGGGTGTTTTCTTGCATTTTTCATGACAAGGCGAACCCCATTGAGACACACGAGCTGCGAAATGCATTTTGCATTGAGGTGGCGTGACAAGTGTCGTCAATTTCTGCAAAACTTTGCCACCGAGCATCGCTAAGCTCGCTGAGGTGTTGATTATAGGCTATTTGACATGATAAGTATTGTTTATATGTATTGACGACAGGTTTTCCCAGCATTATATATTAATGCGGTTTTCCCACATTCATTCTTACATCGAGCAAAGAACACTTTGCTGTGATTATGGCAAAGAGTATTTCTTAAACTTCAAGCCAGTTTTTCTAGCTGTTAAAAATTCAACGTGTTTTTCAAATACTTGTAATAATGAGTTAAAAAAGTTGCAGTGTAAATTTTCCTCAAATGTGCTCATTTCCCCACGATATCATTACATATTTGATGCATTTCAATTGAGAACAGTTAATAAATATTCAGTTGAAAATAAATTGGGTGGGAAAAAAATCTCTTAATTTTCCGTCATTTTCAATCATTATTTAATAAAATTCAATCAGAATTTCTACATACTTTTCATGTTTGATCAGCTGATTATGAATTCGAGCTTTTTCTGCGCGAAAAGCTTTATTTTCATGCTAGAAATTTCCTTCTTTCCCAACCAGAATCGCGCCAGGAAGACATAAAATGTGAAAATGCGTGAAAAGAAAGAAGAAAATTAAGTGAAAAATGTTCTATGAATATAGCGTCCCTCACGCTAACTTTGCTGCCCTCTGGCGACCATTTGTAGAGGAAAAAAATCGAATATTGAATAAAATTGTTTGATTTATTGCATAATTTTTGCCAAAAATAGGGATTTTTATTTATCAATTTGCAATTTTACTTGGAAAATAATTATTTTTTGATTATTGTTTATTCAATTTTGATTTTTTCCATACAATACAAAATAAAAAATCATTATATTTAATGAGCAAAGGATTTTTGCCATAAAACCAGTAAAAAATACTGTAAAATCATAGCAAAGAAGTGATATAATTTCATGAATTTATACTATTTCAATGTCAGAGGCAAAATCGAAGGCAAAACACCCAAAATAGTTCTCTTTCCAATACAGAATGACTATATTAAATGCCACTGCATTAGCTGCGTGTTTCAGGAAACTGCTTCCTTCTTGCCTGGCTGGCAAACTTTCCGCCAAAAAGGGTGACTTAAAAAGTACAAATTCACCCTTTCATGCCCTCCGGAAGTGGATGAAAGCCATTGTTGATGCAACGGAACTGGAAACGCCGCGACAAAGACGAACCCATGATGGACTGTCTGCCACTCTCCGCAGCAAATTGATCCATTTCCTCTGTGCGCAACTTTACTCGAACTTTTGGCATTTGTTGCAGTTTTCACATTGCAACATACTTGTTAAATCTCAGTCGCCATTAAAGTTGAAATCATATATTGTTTCAGGAGTGCTAAATAAAAAACAGCGCCGAAAACACGCCATTGAAGTAAGAATAATTTGCTGGTTTAATTCTCCTTTATCGCCCCTCAACTAAGTTCATTGTCGCGCTGTTTTTATCACAATGTTTCTTTCTTGGTGACAAAATTCACATGGAGTCCCTAAATACTTCGCATAGTGCCAGCAGAGCGGGTCGAATGAGAGTTTCTCAATTGAAGTCAATTGCAGCCAATTGGCCGTCAGATGGTCAGCAGTTGGGCGTCATAAACTGCGGGGGGTTTTCAATGAGCCAGGAAAATGATGTAGAGAATGATTGATAACACTCTTCTTCATCTGCCAGATAAGATATGCCAACAAATTCCGGACATTTTACGCGAATTACGCGAGATGCTGACTGTGAAGATAAGATTTTTGTGGACTCAGAGCAGATCGTGTGGGTCAATATCAAGGGGTTTTTTTGCCAAAGTGAGACTGTGATAAGCCCCTGGCAGACTCTATCGAATGTCGACGATATTGTGTGACTCTTCGGCTGAGCATCAGACCACATTTCAGTGCTTCCAGTTGATCATCAAATCGCGACGCGAATTGCGTGAGTGTCTCAAAAAAAATAGTACAAAATAACCTGCTTTGGAAGCGATGTAAATGGCGTAAAAGGTTAATTATCAGCTAATTCCGGCATTAATTCCATTCAATTCCCTCCGCACAATCATCAAAAGACTCTCTCTCTCTCTCTCCCCATAATCTGACTTTCCATCTGCGCGCAAGGGTGTGAGAAAGTGCCGAAAGTTGCCTCATTAATTGTGTGAGTTTCGAATATTTCACCCTGTCCGCTCAACAATAAATAATGACGCACCTTCAGCCCCTCTCTCCACCCACCCACCCCAAATTAGAGTCATCACAGCGGAGATGAAGCCGTTTAATTGGGGTTGTAATTATTAATTCATCAATTACATCTCTTCGCAGAAATTTATTATTAATCATTTGCCTGCGTAATTTTTCATTCAAACCTCCCAAAGAATTTCAGTGGGTAAAAGGTAGAGAGAATTAGCGATTATTTCTTAACTTTGCCATTGAGATACAAAACACTTCAAGGGGTTGATCAATTGACAGAGAAGTGCAAAATGCATAGAATTATGAAGGATTTTCCAATACTGAATTGCGAGTAAACTATTTGTCAAGGGGGAGATAATACAATCCGAAGCGGTGTACAACTCAGTGGAAGTGATCAAAACTCACAATATTCCTTTCCTTAACGCTTCTTTCATTGTCAAATTATCCCGATTCTTTGAATTTCCTCTGATTTTTCCGTAGAAACAATTTCTTTTCTAGGTTATGTAACGAATAAAGGACAGATTTAGTGAATAATTCGCATTCTAGCACATCAATTCTTATTGTTAAGTCGACAAGATTGCTAAGAAATGCTTCAAAATATGATAAAATCAAACATAACCTCAAAAATATTTCTTTAAAACACTTCCTGGACAATTTTTTACTGTGATTCAGTGATTCAAAATTCATTGGTAAATCATAAGAGATGAATTTGTGATCTAGAATCCTTTCAAACAGAGTTTATAAAGATCTTTTCGTGATATTTTTGAGGTTATGGTCGGAAAAGACACCCGAAAATTAAGAGATTTATCAGGAATTTGACGATTGAATGTGAAAAAATTCATTAATTAGAAATGCTTGGTGTGTTAAGACATATTATCTTCCCTTAGTGATTTGGCTAATTGCTGCATTTCCCCAACTCGTCCGCTGATGAACCCCTTGACACAGATCTTGCTAGACATTTTCATTGATTTCTTCACGCTTCTTTCCGCCCGTGGCGGCTGAATGTGCCTCCAGTGCGAGCGAAACTCCTGAATTGGTCAAACGTGGGGAATTTGAGGCTCTCCTGAAGCACTTTCTGACGTTGTGCCAATTCACAATGCGGATATTCATTGCGGATTCTTGTGTGCATTTCAGTAGAACAGCGCGATGGCCTTCTTGAGGACGTTCTTCCGGCAGAAGCCGTTTGTGGCCAACTCACTCATCTACGGCTCACTGTACGTCGGCGCTGAGTTCTCTCAGCAATGGATCACGCGGAAGGTGTTCGTGAGTATCCTGGAAATCCGTCATTAGACTCTGTCTTCCTCCATCGCGCGCTGTTCTCCGTTGCAGACGAAGCCTCCGGAGCCTCTGGACATGGCGGCGCTGGGCAGATACACCGTCATGGGCACCGCCATCTACTCCCCAATCCTGTATGCGTGGTACAAGTGGCTGGACAGGAAGTACGTCGGCACCACACTGAAGATTCTCGTGCCGAAGCTCGCGCTGGACCAATTTCTGCTCACGCCGTGCCTGCTGGTCATCTTCTTCACCGCCATGTCGACGATGGAGGGCGCCGAGGACAAGCTGCAGGAGTGCCGCGAGAAGATTCTGCCCACCTTCGTGCGCTCCTGCCTCTTCTGGCTGCCCGTGCAGTCGCTCAACTTCGTCTTCATCCCACCGGCCTTCCGGGTCACCTTCATGGGCGTCGCCGCCTTCGCCTGGGTCAACATCCTGTGCTGGATAAAGCGTCAGCAACCAAAGACACAAGCCTAAGTGCCTTCTTCCCAACTCTATGCCGTCAAGCGTCCTGAATTGAGGACTTCAGGAGACACAGAAGAGCTTTGAAAATGCCAAAAATGCACCGTTGTTAACAATTTTGAGCACTTTTACAAATTGCTTAGGAATTTAAAATTATATTTGTGAGCCAATAAAGACACATTCAATGATGTTACTTTAATGAAATCAATATTTTAACACTAGACTAGAGAAAATGAGTCAATTTGTGCCTAAAAAACTCTAAGAGTTTCACTCAAAATCCATTAATCACCTTAAGAAATCTTATTTTTATGTATATTTTCCCCTAAAGGAAGAAACAAATTTATGAATTGACGAAGAAGTCTAGTGTTAAGACATTTATATAACGAATATTATTACGTCTAAGAGGGCAGAATGTATGGAAAAATCACACAAAAGAAGTTATAAGTCTTCTCTTTGGTGAGTATAAAAGTCAATTTCAATGCTTTTGCCATTCTCAGTCTGGCGGAATTTTAAGCACAGCATTTCAGCTGAGAAATGAGTTGGTTTGAAAAGGTGGAAAGTACATTTGAGAACAGGAGCAATTGGATTAAATTTGCCAATGAGAGTCTCAATCAGGGCCTCAGCAAATTCAAGGACTTCAAGGCATCCAACGCGACAATCTTCTCACCATCGCAAGTTGGCATTTTGACTGGAATTGTCATTGCAATCTTCGTGAATTGGAAGGCAAACAAGCAGAATTTCAAGCGATTCGATGCATCTTCCTTAGCCAGAAGACTTACTTGTGCAGCTATTCTTCCGATCTTCCTTGCCATCCTGGCAATCTTGGCTCTCTATCGGCAATTTGTGTGCATTTTGCTGCGTGTGAAGTTTGGCAGACAATTCATAAGCATTCTTGATGCAAGTGACGCTGTTTGGAGTGTTGAACATCACAATTGGCGAAGCATCATTAATATTGTGGCATTATTAGAAGCACCGGAGCTTGATGAGTCAAGTCCAGAAGCCAAAACCGATACGATTTTGACACTACTTAGAAATAAGTTTGGAAAATTGGAGTTCACACATCAGAAGCTCTTCTACAGCTTGAACAGACAATTTGGCTACAGTTTCTGGCTAAAGAATCCTATTGAGATTAAGGACTATATTAAGATTGTCGACATTCCTTCATCTTCAGACTGTCTAACATCCGAAGAACTGCAATCTTGGGTCGGAAATGTTTCCAATAACGCCTTGCCTGACAATCATTGCAAGCTTTGGGAAATTTTAGTCAGTCAAAAGTCTGTTGTAGACAATGAAACTACGAAATTTCCGGTAAGAATTTACAGGTTTTAGCAAGGGGGAGATAATACCGTCAGAAGTGGTGTACAGATCAGCAAAAGTAACTGACAAATCATCCAGATTCTTTAGATTGTCTTCGATTTTCACGTAAAATCAAACTTTTTAAGCATTTTTGTCTCTAAATCAGCAGTTTTGAGTTCAATTTGTGATCTCGAATGCTTCAAATGGAGTTTTTGAAGATTTCTGAAGATTTATTTTGAGGTTATGGTCGGAAAAGATGCCCAAAATGCGTTTTTCAGTTGACTTAAGAAATTCAATAAAATGTAAGCTCTTGAAGTGTCAGGCAAATTCGGAAGTGTACAGATTTAGGGAATATTATCTCCCCCTTGGGTTTTAGCTTTGAGAAACTCAACTGTTGTTTTTTTTGCCAGATTCTTTGCCGAGTTCATCATTCTCTGGGCGATGGAGTCGCTTTGCTGCGGTTCTTCTTAGAAACCATTACAGATCAAGAGTCTAGCAAAGCTCTAAACAACGCTCCGGAGGAGAATAATCTTAAGTCTGGGAAGAAGATAATTTCTGATCTTGTAAAGTGGGTGAAACTGATCAGTTTCCTGCCATTCTACATATCTGATCAGCTGTCTTCAAGGCCAGACAGCAACTGTCTTCATGGCTCAACTTTGACTGGTCAAAAGACGATTTCCTGGCTTCACGAACCCACAAATTCCAACCTCTTAAGAAACCTACGAAGAGTGAAGAGGACAATTCCTAATTCTAGATTTTCCGACTTGATTCTAACGAGTATTTCTTCAAGTCTTCATCAATACTTTGAGCAATCTGGAAAACCTATTCCGAAGTCAATTCAAATCATCGTTCCAGCTAGAATTGAAGCAATAGAAAAGAATCTCAAATTGCAGAATAAATTCTCCGTGGCTCTGCAGAAACTTCCGATTTTGCCACCACTTGACCGAGATTCAGACATCAGTGAGCTGGCATTGAAGGTATCAAGAGTTCGGAAACAAACTAATCTAGTTCGATTGAAGTCAGATTATTTGCTCAATTATGCAATTATGACGGTTTTTGGTCACTTCTTTCCACACTGGATCTTAACTGGCATTCTGGACAGCAAATTGGCCACAATTGTCTTCAGCAATCTTCCCGGACCGACAGAAGAAGCCTTCTTGGGGAACTTCAGGATAACAAGCATGAGTTTTGCCGTTCCGCATCGTGATTTGACGGGAATTGGCGTGACTCTGCTCACGTATGCTGGCAAATTGCAGATTTCTCTGTCAGCTGACGCTGCTCTTCTGCCAACACTCAATCAAGCTCGTGAAATTCTGCAAAATATCTCCAATGCAATCAAACACTGTGCCGAAGTGTCTTGAGTGTCAAAAGCAAAACAGCTTCAGGATCAAGAGCTTTACGACTATAATTTTATTATCAAAGTTTTTTCTTCATCATCTTCAATTTTTTTTCCATGATACTTGCGTTCATTTTCACTACTATTTTCTACAATAATTTCTAATGACTTCTTACGTCCATTCCACTCTTCTTCTCCAACTAAGATAATTCTTAATGCATTGACCTCAGCTATACAAATTGTTTCGCGTGGTGGAGAACAAATATTGCATTGACTTCTGTTTTTTTTTTTCTTCTAATGATATCAAACAGCATTGCAGGGACATTCGCTGATAAATTGCTATCATTGTTCTAACCTTAAAATATATCTTTTGCAAGTCTTTCTTTTCTTGTCTTGACAAAAAGTGGGGAAATAAAGAGATATTCAGCATAATTATTTTGGCATAAAAGCATCATTCAACCGTTCAATATTCTCTCATGCAGATCTCTATTTCTTATCTTTTTTTGGTACATTTTTTGGACAACAATGACAAAAAACACAATCAGTTCATCTCTATTTTTTTTCACACTCATTCGCATATTTCGCGGCCTGCATGAGAATCATCTTAATTACTGACAGGATTTTCTTGTTCTTTTCTTTTAGAGGACAAAAAACAGCGGAAGAATGTATAATTTTCCTTTTTCTCATCTCCTCTACACCGAAATAATAAATCTGTCTTGTCTCAAAATATCACTAAACTTAAGACTTGAAGTAGATTTCACGCTTCCTCGTGCTGCGCCAGCCACTCACTCACGCACGCACACACTTCACAGACTCTTGGTGATGTTGTAGTACAATCTGCGGCCCCACCACGATTCCAGATCGAACGGCTTGAAGTCCCTTAAAACAGGGCTCGGCGCATCTGTGTAGTATATCGACGGCGATGCCGTCGCCGGCGTCGAGGAGGCCGAAGAGGACGACGGCGATGAGGCTGCAAGAGAGACACAAGCGGCCAATTAGTGAGGTCGTTAGAGGGATTTTCCTGAGACGCTCTCAAGAATATCTTCTCTATAAATAGGAAAACAATCAATACGAAAAAATACACTCGCCGAAGGAGCTCTAATATTTATTTCACAAATATCTCCCCACTTGTAGTGACATTAGGATAGGGGAAAGCGGGGCATTTCATCTGATTTCAACTGCTATGTAGGAAATTTTAGAGGATATTTAGATTGGTTTTATTCTCATTGAGCGAATTTTTACTTAATTTTCAAGCTAAAAAGGATTCAAATCAATAAATCAATCTTAAATCGACTTTATTTTATAACGATAAACACTAAATTTGAGTGTTATTTAGCAGAAAATCACTTCGTTGCAAATTGTAAATGTTTTTCGTACAAAGAAATACTTCAAACTATGTCAAAAACAGTATTTAATCAGGAACAAATCTAAAGTATCAATTCATGATGATTTTTACACAATTTTATCACATTCAATGTATTAAATTTTACAATATTCAGCAAACACTGCAATTATATTGAGATTTGAGAAGAGTTTGATAAGATCAGTAAACAAATTAAGAAATTCTTTCGTCTCAACATTTCAAGAAATCTGATCCTTTTTCTCGTAATTTTATCAACACAAAAGAAACACAGCGCAAAGAATGCTTCAAAATCAAGTGTGAAATCAATACTTTGTATCAAAATGTAATCAATTTATGGTGATATTTTGTCTTGAGCTTCAATAAAAGATCATTTAGGCTTAAAATTCCAATAAAACATTCACATTTTTCTAATTTGTCAAATACAAACTTTTCTTCTTCACTAAATACTCATTGAATTTCCAGATTTTCTGTCTAATAACTTGCAGAAAATAACAAAAATGCTCTTGAACAATGAATTGGCTTCACATAAATATGTTAATCTATTCAAAATAATACCTAAACTGACGATAAGAATGTCACGCAATGCAGTAAAACTTCATATTCTAACACTTAAAGATCGAAACGTGCCATAAAATTGACCACAAGAATGGGAAAATCAACACTTACTCGTGCTTTCCGGTGACGATGGCGGATCATATGGATTCTGTGCAATCACCATATTCCACGCTAGCGAAGACGAGTGAAAGAAAACAGCGAATTAGTATAAAAATAACACCCAAAAATACGTTAAATGAATGAAGTGTGATCAATAAAATGCCTGCCAATTTCGTGCAGAAACCCAAAAATAAACCACAAAAGTGATCTTTTGTGATGAATATTTGAAGAAGACAATAAAATCACAGAATCAAAAGTGTTTTTCATCGTCAATCTTCTAAAATAACTCCTTCTCTCTCCGTCTCAACTCGGAATCTCGTGACAAATTTCAGCTGATTTTTCTGTGCTTTCGCAATCACACGTGCTGAAAATGCCTTCAACACTATATTTTAATTGAATTGCCAGAAAAAACCATGAACTTCACCGTGAAAAAATAACAGCTAAACTCACTCTCATGAATGTATTTGACGATTTCCTCGTGCTGCGGACTCAGCGTCTCCTCAATTTGGTGGCCATTCTTCGTGTGATTGGAGAACTTCTTTGTCGCCTGAAAGACTGGCTTCGGCAAGCTGAAGAAGACATTGAGAGGATCATCGTTATCACAAGTGCTTCGCCAGGTCAAAAGTCAACCATCAATCTTAGCAAATCAAAGGAAATCACAACTTTTGCCAATCCATCTTTTCAATCAATCTTTTTTCTTCTCAGCATCGCAATATAAACAAATGCATTTTGAATGAAATTCCATGAATAAAGTGTAAACATGTTTCGCAATAATCTAATCTATATTTATGTTATGCCAAACATTTTGCATAAACGAGAGAAAAAACATCTTTCTAACACAATTTGTAAGTCAAAAAAAAAACCACGCTATGCATCGAATCTGACGCTCAAGAGCTCTTAATATTCAGTTTCACTTCAAGTCCAAGAATTGCTCAACTGAGAATTACATTTTAGGCTTAAAAAAAAAGAGTTCTCAACACTTCAAAAGCGTGAAATTTTACGTTAAAATTGTGAAAATTGCTGATTCGAACAAGAATTTAATGATTTTTACAACCCAAGAAATCATTCGCATGAGATCCGCCATTTTGCCTTTCTTGAATCATGCAATGTTTCGGCGCATTTTCGCACGAGCGCGCTGCCGTCGGTACCGCCTAAAATATCGGCTGAATCTTCGATATATCGAGGGATTATTCGCGTCTTTTGGATCATCAGCAAGTCTGTAATTGCTTTTAGAAAGAGTTGTAGACGAAGATTGAGGGAAAAATGCCGATTTAAAGCGATAAAGCAAAGGGAAATACTCGAAAAAGGAAATAAAAGTGGATAAAATGTGAAAAAAAACGCAACTGAAGGAGAATCGAACCCGTGACATTAGTTTTAATTCGTAATGGAGGGAATATTCTGTAATTTTTTGAAGAATATTCAGGAATGGATGGAATGGAAATCACTTTTCTCCAACTTGAGCAACCCTCGAATTTCACCTTCATTTTTCAGCACTTTCTCAAAAGATTCTTCACTCCTAAGAAAACAACACAAATTTCAACAAAAGTGTTGGCAAAAATACACACTTTACGCCCAAGTAAATTTAGCAGAAATCGCAAGAAGAGGTGAACGAAAGTCTCTCTGGGCAGATTTCATTGACTTGAGAGTGAAATTGTCGTGATTAATCTGTTTATTCCTCAATTGCGACCGCCAATTGACAATCATTTCTGCGTCTCTTGCGCCTGGACAAGCCTCCGTGAGCGCAACGGCGCGAGTGTGTGTTTATTTTTATCATTCGTCACGAGATAAAGACGCGACAATGACTAAAGACATGGTGTGCGTGTTATTTTTGTGCCCAGGAGAGTCGCGCTTTGCGCGCTCTTCGCGCTCTTCTGCGCCGTGGTCGCGATATGACGATCAAAACGGCGATAATTGATTGATTATCAGTCCGGTCAAAGGCCTGATGACCACGAAAAAGAGCGCCTCACAGCTTGCCCTTCGCGAAACACCCTGTTTTTCCGTGTTTCTCCAGCTGGCTCCATCTTCGTGATCACACAAAAGTTTCAAATACACGCAAAAATATGGGTATAATTTTAAATAAATTGTCAACTTGTGTTGAGGAAAAAATTCCCATAAAAGATATTTTAATAGCTGAACACACAAAAAAAGCTTCTTATCTCGCAATTATACTTGTTTGTGAATGAAACCACCACGAAAATCTAGGGATTATTCAGCATAAAATTAGATTTTCTCTGGCAAAACCGTTACTTTTCATCCCTTCATTCAAGTGGATGGTTTACCAGGTCCTGCCGCACGGCGGCAGCACAGAGCGCAATCAGCCCAAAAATTGAGAGAATTCCAATAGGGAAACTCCCACACAGGAAAAAGGCACTTTTGAGGCACACATTGCGACTCAATTGAATGGAAAGTGCCGAAATGTGATTTTGTAAGACATCACAGACATCAACTTAACCAGTTACTGCGGCGAGAGCGGAAAAATTCCACGGTATTATGAAATAGAGAGACAATCCTAACCTCACTCTGCAGTGCATTCTTGGAAGCAGACAAAGTCTCAAAAAGCTTCCGGGAAGGAAAGTTTCCACTCACCTGATGATCTCTGCACTATCGTGATCAGCATGTTTCCTGTAAATGTCCCGGTGTGTCTCAAACTTCTCATAATTCTGCGGAATACCTGCATTTTCGGGGGTGAAAGAGGAGGAGAAATCAGTCTTCTTTGACGACTGAGAGTCAATGGAAAACACTCTCCCGGCACTGTGGGCACACAGTGAATTCCCCGCAGGCCCAGCAAATTGCCTCAATTGGCACACAATTATGTAATGGTCAGGAGATGGAAGTCGTGCAGTGCTTCCTGAGACAGGAAACTCACCTCTTCGCGTCTTCGCCACGAGCTTGCTGGGCCCCTTCGACACTGTATACATGGCCTGACGCGCTTCTCGAGCCTGCCAGAGATGCTGAGGAGTCCCGTGAACGCACTCTTCACAGCAGAACAAACACAAAATCGCTGCACAAGAGAAAACAATGTGAATAGGGAACTTTTCTCACTCTCCTTCTCACTCTCTCTCACTCTCACGTGCCATAAAGAGCGCGCGATGTTGAAGCTAGAAAAGTATTGCCAGAGATGAGAAGTGACGTGAGCGCCTTCTTGCGGGATTACTTTACACCTTGCTTTGAATGATTTTAAGCGGCAGTTGAAGAAATTTCTGCTTTTCTTTCCCGAAATAAATTAATTAACGTCAAAATGTTAATAAAATCATGCTCAATTACTTACCAAAGCGCACAAAAACGTCTAATTATGTTTAATGAATATTGAATAAGTGTAAAAAGAGCTCAAATTTGTTTCAAATCATAGTTTTATTAACAGATTCTTCAGATGTCTTATAAATTATTATATAAGTATCATAATCTTCATTTCACAGAAAATTTTACAGAAATTCAATGATTATAATGCGCACAACAATTTATCAAATAAATTTGCTGAATATCGCAACAAATTAGAAAAATGCATCCTAATAAGGATGCATAATTAAAGAAAAATCAAGTTAAACTCAGTTTAGATCGCCAGATCTGTTAGGGGTTTCCAAGAAAACCCGCACAGTGTTTGAAAAATGGTGAGTCATAATCGACTTCCGCAAATTAAACAAAAAATTCTTGCATTCAAATTAAGTCCCAAAATAACCACCATTAACGCAAAATCGCGTGTTAAAATAAAGGTAAATTTTGACTGAAACAGTCATTAGTTAGCTGTTGTATTAAATTACCAGAAAGTGACTGATTCCTATCTTCAAAAATTGAGAATAGAAATTGATTATCGGAAACTAAATAGAACCACATCCGATATAATATCATTACATGATATTAACCGAAACGGTCCATTAAAGATTACCACACTGGAGAATTCTCATCGAGGAATCAGCCATTCACGAAATTTAAACACAATCAGCAAAATAAGTAAAATATGTGAAAGGTCACCAACCATTGAAAAAATATAGAAATAAGAGATTATGAGTTTTCAGAACTCACAACATGAACAGGAAAGACTTGTTCTTCTGCAAATAGCAGCATATGATTCTAATCAGGTAACAGACTAACTTTTCCCATTTTCTTGTTCTACTCCCGAATCGAAAATTAAAATACTGATTCGATTACCAAACGCACAACAAGAGAACAACAGCAGAGAAACGCAATCATGGCAGATAAATTTCCTGGCTAGAATATCATCAATCAGACTTTCAGATGATTTTTCTTGGTTACCCAGCCATTAAGAAAGCACTGATAAATGCTAAAAGAACATTAAAGTGCTACATTGATTCATGTTATCAATAAAATAACGTCTCAAATTAAAGGAATACTTCAAACCCCAAACATAAAACACCGTCACAGCAGCTCGAAAAGAAAGCTTGAAGGTAAAAGTCACCGACTATTAAAGAAAACACTTTCAGATTCAGAAAAATCCGAAGAAAACTAAAAGAAGCTGAAGTATAAAAACAACAAAAAATCTTTTCAATCCAAAATCTCACAGCATGCCTTATGAAATTACTAAAGGCTTTCTTACTTACTTAAATATCAAAAGACAAGAATCCGTCTTGGATTACCGAAAATTAAACAAAGAGATTAATAAAGAATATCTCTAATAAAAAGTATCTGTAAGGATATTGACTATTTCAGGCATCAGTTACTGATAAATTATCGCCCCACGAATCGTGGAAAAAGTGAGAAAAGATTGTTCACTGAGTATGTAATTAAGAAAATCTCATTATCATGTCAGATAATTATGAAAAGAGTGACTAAAATTTATGATAGATAAGATGCAAATTCAAAACCGAAACTTCTTACCAATGCAGAGGAAACTCAACCCATAAAACCCTTAAAACAGTTCACACGTAATGATAACAGATGCAACAAATCCCACCAGTAAGACGGATTAAAGAAAGGCATGATCCTTCTCATAAAATTGCACATTGACGCAACGTAAGTTTCTGAATCAGAAATTAATGTTAAGAATTTCGCGTGAAAAAGACACTCAACATGGAGAGAAAGAGTTTCAAGAAACTCAAAACTTTATCTAAATTCATCAAAAAAAGAATAAATAGAGCTGAAGACATCTGACAGGAAATCAACGAGCAATTATCATAGTAAAAAAAGAGGGAAGAGAAAAAGAAATTGATTTGCTCAGTTGGAGAAAATCATTCAAAGATAAGGAGTATTTTTTAATATATGTAAAAATGGATATGAACTATCGATAATTCACATCCACTGATACCATTTTTGGCTTTAAAAAAAAGTTAAAAGACTCTGAAGCAGAGATTAAAGGATTTCTAATAGAAATAAATCACAAAAAATTAGCATAAATACGAAGTCTGAACACCGAAATGCGACACAAAACATACAAAACCGCATTAAGTCAGACTTAAAACAGAAAATAAACTTGCCTTACGTGCAAGAAATAATTCAATCATCAGGAAACTCACCAAAAAGCAAAATATCGCTTCAATAACCCAACAAAAAAATACCTTTGATGTAAATAATGTGAATGTTCAAACATATTTTTTATCCTATTTCATAAATCCCAAGAAAGGATTTCACAAGATTTCGAAATCCGTGTAAATGCTCTGAAGAATGCGCGTTTTGCAAATTCAATTCAAGAATTACAGAAAGAATTGAACCAGCAAAAATTACCGAATTGCTGAAATTAAGATCATCCGATCTATTATAGATTGCTAAAGAATTTATGGAGAATTTTGATTGAGCAATCAAAGAATAAAAAATTCAGAGGCAAAATTGCCATCAAATGAAATCAGAAAACTGATGAATTCGCCACAAAAGACAGAATTTAGTACAATTAAAATAAATAAAAATTGCAAATAATTTGTCACTATATAAATCGTTGTGCGCAAAACTAGACGACAATACAATGAAGACAACAATTCATGTAAAGATTACATATTCAATAATATAATAATATCACTAACTTCTCAAGATGCGAAGTGAAGTCTTATGATTGTGAGCAAAACGAAGACGAAGAGCAGCACAAATCCCATGAAAATCCTTGTAAAAGTCTGTAAATACAAAATTCATTGCAATCGTTGAAGGGAAAAGTGATGGAAAACTTACAAGAAATGCCGCCAAGAAGAACATTCAAATGTCTCAGTCGCTGAATCAGCACGAGAGTTCGCAGAATCTGCAACAAAATTGCATTTGAAAGTGAAACTGCTTCGACAAAATTGATATAGATTTGTAAACAAAGATCGTATTTCAAGAAATACGATCAATTTTATCAGCATGAAAGAAAATTTTCCAGAATCAAGTATAAGAAATCAATAATTTATTTGTTTGTTTGTGAGTGGGAATTTTATCGAGAATTTCACTTCAAGTGTAAATAATTTATGAAATATTTAGAGAAAATTTAAATTTGCTTTTTTGCTTTGAAAATTAGTTTTTTGACGGTCAATTTTAAGTATTTTTCATCTAAAATTGTGTTTAAAAAAGGAAATTTCAAGCAATTTATATTGATAATTTCAACACGGCAAAAATCAATGCACTTTTTAGCTTTATAAGAACATCACTTAAGCTTGGAATTTAAGTATTTTTATGATTGGAAATAAAATCACTATAATTTTTTATTTAATTTAAAACACTTCTTAGAATTCAATCAAAATTTCATCTTACCTTCTTTGATCATTTATGATGATTTGCAGATGAATGAGTAAAATTTGTGAAAATCATCAAGATTATCACAGAGAGTTTCATCGTTCTGATAATTAATCTATAAAAAGAGCAGAGAAAAGCATTGAATTTATTGTTAATTTCGACATTTTCGCACTAATTTCTCAAGAATGATTGTGAAAAATGTGTATTTATTGCTCTTTTTGATTGAAATTGAAACTCACTTAAAAATTTCACATATTCAAACACTTAAGAAATTACAAGTGAATTCTAAACTTTCATTCACTGTTGAAGATGGAGAAAAATACATCTTGACACTTTCACAGATTCTGCACTTCTGATGCTGATCGCAATCTTGAGAGCGCGCGAAGTTCCTCAAGTCCAAGCTACGATTTCACAATAACTGCTGACGAAGAGTTGCTTGTGAGTTTAAGCGGCGGCACTGAGAGAATCTCTTTTTTTTTCAAGTTTCCGAGAAGCGAATAAACAAGGGGAAAAAATGAGAAATTATCTCTTCTTTTAAGTAATAAAGCTACGCTTTTGTGCAATGTTGAGCACAACATGTTTGGCGATAGGAAATTTCACTCATTTTTCATCACATTTCGTATACAAAATTATCATTATCAACTCTTTTTCCCCGCCAAAAAGAAGTCATCTGACTGAAATAACTTAAAAAAGATATTCATCTAGGTAAAAATGACATTTTTGAGGTTATGTTTCACCTTAAAGTTGTTTGTTACTTCCAAGATTCAACCAATGCTCAATTTTGCTAAGAAAAAGAGAAATATTCAGGGTTTAAATACAAATTTGATTATTTTGAGGGTTATTTAACCACCAGAATCATTTTTAACATTCTTAATCAATCACATAACCTAAAAAATAGCCATAAAATTGATTTTCCCAACCAAACTAATTTAGAAAATGTCTCAATTTATTGAAAAAGAAGCTTTTGCAGTACAAATATTCAAAATATTTTATCACTTTGAATTCCCAACACTTCCGTGAAGATTCTCAGGCAAGAAGAAATCTTTCTTATCCACTTGACGTTGCTATTTAATGCACAACAGCAAATATTTGGCGAGAATGCTGAAGAGGACAGTGATTAGAGAAGAAAATTTTCTATCACGCCACCAAGAAATGTCTCTATTTATCCGCTCTTCCGAATTTCTCTGCGCCCAATTCCGCTCAACATGGGCTTGTGGGGCTTGGAAGTGCTGATTGAGCTAGTTTGCAAGTCTATTTTTAGCCCCTGGACGCCGTCCATGGCGCGGCCGGGAGCGGAGATTTGGCCAGAATGTGGAGGAGAGCCAATTGCCATTGTCTGGACTGACGGAATTCAACTAACCTTGTGCCAATGGCGAAGCGCAAAAAAGCCACCCGAAAGCCTCTATCGTCCCACCCGGCTTCGCTTCACATCCCAACCGATAACCCGGGGTGAAATCTTGATAGGCGAGCCTATAAAGCTGGCCTCAATCTCGGCTCACGCTTCCAATTGCTGCCCAGTTCTCTCGATGATCGCGCTCTCGGACAAAAAGTGAAAAGACTGTGACTCTACCTGACTTACCGTGTGATCGTGCTGTGATCTAAGACACCCCCTCTCACCACCCCCTGTGCCGCCTTGAATGTGTTTCGCTGCCCGCTCCAGTGACAATCCCGCGATTCGCGCCACAAAGTCTGCCCAGGAGTCGCTCGCCGTTTTCCTCTTCGACATTTGCCAAGGCGAGTCTCTCGGGGGAAATTTCCACTCCGCGCCGATAAGGAAGACTCTCTGTGCCGAAAAGGCGCGCCTTTGCTGCTCTCAATTCGACTGATTTGGGAAGGAGATAAGCGCCAGAGGCATTTCAGTGAACAGCCAAAGAGATTAATTAATTCTTCTAGAAATTCTTCCAAAATTGTTTCTCAATAAGTGTGAAATTTTGCACAAATCTCTCACTTAAGAAAAAGTGTCAAATTGGTCAAATTGCATTGAGAAGATTTCCGGAAATCCATGTAAAATTGAGTGTTTTTCTTCAGCTTCGGAATTGGATAAAAAAAAACAGAGCAAAACTCTTTAACAGATATCTTTGAGTGGAAAAATCACAAAATAAACATTCAATTTCTGGGAAAAAGATAAGAATTTATTTATATTTTGAATGGAAATTTTCTCCCAATGGGAAAATTTAATTTTTCTCCTCCATCTTATCAGCAAATTGCATCTTGACCCACTTTTTTTTGCCATGCAACAAAGCGCCAGAGATTGTGAAATACCCTTTAAAAGGGGAATCGCGAGTGGAAAATCACTTCTTATTGACTCTCTCTTCTCCACAGATTGTTTAACGATGCCTTCGCTGCCTCAAGGGGCTTTCGCCGCCTGCAAGGTTGGCCAGAAGATGAACAGCGAGAAGGAATCTGCGGTGATGAGGCGTTCTGCGCTGTTCGGCCAGGACAAGCAGCACTACAGCAACAACAAGAAGCTGATGGAATACACGCCAGCCAAGTACAATGGCAAGATGATGATGAGTATTTGGGGATTGTACAATAAGTACTCGCCGCACAACATCAAGAATGTCTCCGACGCTGATGAGGCGTGGAAAGTGGCTCCTGAGCAGGGAAAGTGAGTTGTTTTTCCTCCTAAGATCCTTCCTTGATCTCTAATTGTCTCTCTCTCTTCCGGGCACAGATACTTCACTGCTCAGAATGTGAATGACACCCGGAGCTCCTTCTGGGACGCCACTGCCACTTTTCCACGCCATTGAGGAGGAAAATCCGGCATAGTTGTTCTCCTGATGTAGAATTTTCAGTGAGAAATAAATATATCATGCCAGAACCGTTGCCGTTTTACTGCCAAATGACGCAATTAACTGCCGCCTGTATCACTTGTCTTGGCTTGTTTACGCCCCAACATCCTCTTATCACCACCAAGGCGAGCATTGATTCTGGATTTTTGTAGAAAAATCTCACTTTTCAATTAATTCACTACATTGACGGTTACTTTTCTTCACTGGCCATTCAAAAATTCAAGCACGATTGGAATTCCCGCATGGCGGCGCTGGGTGCCATTGTTGCCAGATTGAAGAAGTGCAGAAAAAGCTCAATTCAGTGAAAGTTTATTCAGTGGTTTTCTCGTGATAAAATGCCCTTTTGCCGGAAAGGAGCAATTAGCGGAGTGCAGTGAGGTCGTCCGCAGGATGCCTTCCTAGTGGGGCGACGAAGGGAGTCAAGGTGAGTGCGTGCCAAGGCTGCAAAAGTGCCTTTTCATTCGCTTGTTTGCCTTTTGAGCGGAAGTGAGGTTATGTCAGTGTGTCAAAACAGGGGCTCGCAAGTGTCTCGAATTTGTGTGATTTTCCAAGGTATAATTGAATTAGGAAAAGCGTGAAAATCACAGTGGGATTGTTATGCAAATCAGTGAACAAGTTGAGAGGACAGTCAGCGTGGAAAATCCCACGTAAATTGCTGTGAGCTTCGATTCCGTGCATCACTTTTTTTTTCTCTTTGTGGCGAATGTCGTCCGGAAGCAGACAAGTGCTGTCCTACCACGAGAGCCTCCTGCGGGAGTCGGACGTGAATCTGCTGCGGGGCCCACACTGGCTCAACGACCAGATAATCTCCTTCTACTTCGAGTATCTGGAGAAGGAAGTGTTCAAGGAAGCCACGGAGTTTCTCTTTGTGTCTCCGGAAGTCACGCAGTGTCTGAAAATTGTGTCCAGCGACGAGGTCAGTGTCTTTCTGAGTCCTCTGAATGCCACAGAGAAGGATGTAATCTTCTTTGCGCTGAATAACAATGACAACACAACGGCTGGCGGATCGCATTGGAGTCTCTTAGTGCTGTCACGACAGGAAAATACCTTTTTCCACTTCGACTCCTCGTCCGGCAGCAATCTGGCCAGCAGCAGGCGCTTCTTCAATCACCTCAAGCGTCCCCTGAACTGTCCCACAGCGGAATTGATCGAACAAAACTGCCTGCAACAGTCGAATTGCTACGATTGCGGCATTCATCTCATCTGTGTGGCCGAAAGAGTCGCTCAGCACTTCCTCACCGCCGGCAGTGTCTGCCAAACGCCCGACACGGCCAAGGAGCAGGTGTCGCGAAAGCGCCGAGACATCCTGGACATCATTCGGCAGTTGGGAGGTGAAATTTAACTGCGCTCAGTTCACAAAATATCAACAGATTTACTCAAAAATCTCATGTAAAATACACCCAAGTTAAGCCTGAATTTCGGGGGCCACCCAGCCGCCGAACACGCGCTCCAGTTCGCACGCCACAGCCAAGGACAGGCGGTCCTGATTCACAGCCGACACCACTTGCAGCCCAATCGGCAGACCCTCGGAGCCCAAGCCCAGCGGACACGCGGTCGCCGGAAGGCCCAGGACGTTGATGACGCCCGTGTAGGAGAAGTTGAGCGCCCGCACGAGCGGCTCATAGTGATAGGGCGCCTGGAAGAGTGAGAAATCCGGTTAGAAACTGAGATATTTTCCTTGTTGCAAGAGAAGAAAATAAATCACGGGGTGAGGCGTGTAAAGTGGTGCATATGAAATACTTTAGTTTACCTTTAAACTGTACTTTGTGAGCAAAGACAATATATTCCACAAGATGCAAAAGAATGGCAAAATTCTCATTAATTCTAGTCTTGACGTTCATTCTTGGATTGATTGTTCGAAGATCTGCTCGTAAAAATGCTGAAAATGTCTGCATTTTACCACAGATTAACTGAGCAAAAGGATCTGAGCACAGATTCTGACAGTTGCTCAAAAATTGTCTGGTCAAAAATTTTTAAGCCTCTTATCGGTCTAAAAGGGATTCTTATTGAATGTACTGAGAAAAGTACTTTTATCTGCTCAAAACTGAGCAGAAAGCGGTGAAAAAGTGTTCAAAATCTGCTCAATGCTTCAATTCACGGACTCTCACTCACCGGCGTGGGATGCGCTGGGTAGATGAAGACGCCATCGTCGCCCAGGAGGTCCTGCATCTCCGCGAAGAGCTTCTCCTTCTGCTGCACGAGATGTTTCTGCTTCGGGTCGCCGTACTTCACGCCGAAGTTCTCAAACAGGGCCGTCATGATGCCGATGAGGGTGTGATTTGAGCGTCCCAGCATCCAGCGCACCAGCTCCACTGGCGGACTGATCTTCCCTGTGTAGCCGGTGATTTCCTGGTCGAAGCCCGGCGCGTCCTTGGCCTTCATGTTGGCAAACCAGATGGGCGCGGACTTTCGCAGCTTGTCGAAGCGCACCTTCTGCACTTTCGCCTTGAGCGTGGATTGGAAGTGCGTGGCGACCTTCTGGATGGCGGCTTTGATGTCTGGGTCGACGGGTGTGACGAGGTGTCCGCCACCGTCGTCGGTCTGGTAGAAGATCTTCACGCGCGTGAGATCCACAGGCTCGTCCAGGCGCATCTTGGACGCATTCTCGCCGGCGAGAATCTTGAGCATGGGCAGCAAGTCTGTGGCGTAGCGTGACATGGGTCCGACGCCGAGGAAGGACTTGAGATTGTGGTCTTTGGGGATGGGATAGTGACCCTTCAGCGACACGATGAACTTCGATGGCTTGTGGCCGAAGATGCCGTTGAAGAAGGACGGCATTCGGATGGAGCCGCCGATGTCTGAACCGATTCCGAATGGAGAACCGCCTGAAGACTGCAAAGATGAAATGCATTAAGCGCATCGTCAAAGATTTTCTCTTGATGCTCATCTCACCAGAAGACATCCTTCGCCACCACTGCTTCCGCCCACAGTGCGATTGGTGTCGTATGGATTGCAGCTCTTGCCGTGATTATTGTTGTAACTTTCCCACCTGGAACGAATCAGTGACATATTGTAAGTCGAAATCCCTATACCAATTGTGGTGGGAATGCCATTGTCATGGCGGCCTTCTCCTTCTGACTAGAATCTCGCTGTTAGCATTATGTGACGTGGAGAAGTGCGCGAGTATTTGTATATGTATGGGTTTTATTTAACGTAGAAATTGTTGCAAGTAAGAAAATGTTCCACAATTGTGTATTTTCTGGATTTTCCTCTCTGAAAATGTGACCATTTTCTATTTTTGGGATTTAATGTCAAGCGCAAGAGAGCGTAAAATGCTGTTTATGAAAGGAATAAAAGAAGAGAGATTCTGTGCCTTTGTGTGGTCCATTTGACGCCGCAGTCACAGACGAATGTTTTTCATTTCTTTCTCTCTTTCAACATTTGGGTGGGAGGCAAAACTAGAAAAGACACCAATTATCCAAATGCCAACGACAAATTTGTAACATTTCATCGCGCATAGGAATTTTCCCTGAATTGTGTGATGTTTGTTTGCTTGATGGCAAGAGCGCAACGAGTCTTGAGCGAGAAATTGACTAAAGCACGCAAATGGAACACAAAAAACACACCATAATTCAGCCAAAAGTGGGAGAGTGAAAAGTTTTCCGGATAATTTCCCATGAGAAAATGCACAGATAATTGTATTTTCATCAATTACGCGCGCACACACGATATTCACATTCTCGCCTCTGGGCGGTCTAATCTCTTCCAGTCCCTAATCCGCGAGCGAGGAAGCAGAATTTGGAGGAGTTTAATTGCCTTGATTTACACATCATGTCGATGGCATTTGGCAAGTTAATAAACATAAACGCTAATTGTGGTTAACATAAATTCAGAATATTTATATTTCACACGGTTATTTTACTTTCATTCTCAATCTCTGGCAAATTTTTGTACATGTGTTCAGTGGAATATATAATTATTTATTATTAACAATGGGGTGAAATAATTATTGTGCACATTGAAATTATTATATAAAAAGTATGTTTTTGCACAGAGAAAATCTCTATCTTTGTAAGTTTTCCACTTATTCAGTTGATTTATACAGAGAATTTTCGTTGCTCAGTGTTAAGAGAAACACTTCTGGTTGTAAACTTTAATGAACTATTAAGGTTTTTACATTAAAACTTTGTCACGCAGTCGTTATCAAATTGCCTTTAAATAACAGTTTCATTCTGCAATGTGAACTGAGTCTTAACAAATGGATCTTAAGGGAAGAAGTGCTCTGGTTACTGGATGTTCAGGAGCCATTGGGAAAGCAATCTGTGAAGAGTTGCTCAAGAATGGCATTAAGAATCTTGGATTAATCGGTCGTAATTCACCAGAACTAACAATTAGTGATTGGAAATCACGTTTTCCCAACGTTTTCATCACTTTCTATCGCGCTGACGTGACTTTGCAGGAAGATCTTGAGCTGTGCTTCAAGAAATTCACCGCGGAAATCCAGAATTTGGACATTGTCGTGAATTGCGCGGGAATTTTGAATGAGAGTGAATACAAGAAAGTCATTGAAGTGAATCTAATTGCTGTTATCAGATCAACTCTCTTGGCCATTGACTGCATGAGAGTTAACTCGAAGAGTGGCAAAGGAGGAGTTGTTCTTAATATTGGCTCAGTGGCTGGATTAAATATCTTACGCGCAACTCCATCTTATGGAGCTTCAAAGCACGGACTTCTGGCTTACACTCGAAGTGTAGCTCTGGAAGGCGAAGATTTGGGCATGAGATTCATCTCTCTCTGTCCAGCACAAACGAAATCCAAGCTTCATGATAATGTTTTCAGCCCTGGACATCACTGGATGCCCATCGAATGGAATATAGAGGGAGAAAAAGCTTCGAATGTCGCTCAAGAGCCGGCGGAAGTGGGAAAGGCGGCGGCGGAAGTGATCCGAGGCGGCGGGAACGGAAGTGTTTGGGTTGTGAAGCAGGGAAAGCTGACTGAAGTCGCGATTCCTGCGGTTGAATTCTGATTAAACTCACCACATGCAGCATTCGCTGGTGTTTGTGATGGCGAGCGGAATGGCGCCGGCGTCTCGCATCCTCTGGATGGCTTCTGAGTCCTCTTCGGCTCTCGTGTTGCGTCTCGCCACGATTCCGGCTGTGTTGAGCATTCCCTTGACACTGATGCAGTCCTTGGTGGTGATTGGGACGCCCAGGAAGGGCTTGATTCGCTCCAATTCACTTTGCGAATACTCTCCGGACGCTATCAACTTGTCCGCCGCTGCAGCGTCTCTCAGTGCGTCCTCAAAGCGTCGATCGACGACACAATTGAGGACGGGATTGATTTCGTTGATTCGATCAATGAAGGACTGCACGACGTCGACACTCTTCACTTTGCCCGTGCGGATTTTGCGCGCCAAGGACGTTGCCGATTCCAGCAAATTCAAGTCCTTAATCGGCGGCATGGCGCCACCTTTCGTTCCGAACAGGAATCTCATCACGGTGCGCACGAGGATCACCACGAAGCGATGCATGAGATTCCCGGAGACTTTCAGGATCGAGGTCGCCTTGTGTGGCGCATCCTCGCCGATTGTCGTCATATTGGCGAATGTGGGAAGGAAGAAGGAGGGAAAATGAGGAGATGAACTGAAAAATTTAGAAAGCTTCCTGAGTCTGTTCTTCAGCTTGGCTCTCAATTTCATCAATGCTTTCAGTGGATTTATCATTCACACCAGCAAATGTTGGCCTTCTTATTTTGGTGTTTAGTCGTCGATAAACCGATGACTTTTGCTCCCTCTATAGTGGTTATTTGGCACTCAGAGTTGGGAAACTGTTGGAAAAGCAGAGAAATCTTTTAAGTCATTTTGATGGCATGAATTAAGCTCAAAATGCAAAATTTGTGCATTTTACTAGCAAAAATATACTTGTTTTTTTAATGCTTTTTATTCTCAATGATGGACAAAATCTCATTAATTAATGTCTGTATGTTTTTTTCGATTGTAAAATGACTGAAGAAACCTTTCTGTCTTGATAAAATTTGCGTCCGAATTGCATGGTAAACACGAAATTTGACCTTTCTTATCTGCTAATTAAAATATATTTCAAGAAATTCGTTTCTTATCGTTAAGATAAGCTCTTGTATTACGGCATGCTTGACGATTGCGTTTTTTTCTTCTCTTATTGTTGCTTAAGAAATGCGGATGTGTTAAAGACCCTTGAGCACACTGTTTGTGCTTTATCAGTGAACTTCATTGGGAATTTGTCTGGCGCGAGGGAGAAAAAGGAGTGAATTGATAAGAGAGTGTGTGTTTTTTCGTGCTGCAGCAACAGATGTATTATTTGTATTTTTAGTCACTGTCACCAGAAATATTCTACTGAGTCACTCTCTCTCTCTCTCTCGGTTTGCAATGTATGATTTCACATGGTTTTCAATATCATTCGCATATCGCATGTTTGTTGAATTTTAATTGTTCGTCTCGCGCGTACACTTGAGTCTCTCTTCGGTTCTTAATGATTAATTGACGGTCTGTTCATTCTGGGTTGACTGAGAGGGTGTTTTGGACCGTAAGATGTGCGCGCGAGTGTATTTTACTTGTTGGCTGAATTATTCACTGCAATCGTTTGAAATTGTGAAGAAATGTCGAGCACCGTTCCGACGCTGTTCATTCAACCAAATAATAAATATTCCACGAGACAACATTTCCTCTCGTCACATTCACCTGAGGCGTGTACAAAATCATGATTGAATACTGGGCTCTTATGGGTGCAAATTAATAATTTACACTCCTTATCTCACGAACAGCGCGCGGTGAATTAATTCTCATTACTATGTATGCTATGTATGTATATAGCACACTCTGTCACACACTTCGATTTGACGATGATGATCACATAGTTCTGTGCGATGTTACGCAAGTTCTCTTGAGAGGGTGTCTCTCTCTCTCTCTGAGTGTTCTTTATCCGAACAGAGGATTTCATATCCAATTAATTCATCATGTTTCAGCGGATGTGTGAATGTGTGTCTTTCTATCATTTTCTAACCTCCTGCGAAGAGTGTCTCTCACTGTTTGATGTTGACGCTTGAATTGGCGTCGCACACAAGCGCACAAATCACACCGTCGTTAGTGAATGGTTGAGGTGAGAGTCTCTGTGTGTTTTTAAACAGTCTTTTTTTTTGGTTTGGGGTGAAGAGAGTGACAAAGAAAATCTCTTCGACACAAAGGTGTTTTCTGAGATTGGTTTCTCTGGGATAAACACACTTTATCGCACTCAAAACTTTAACCACTGAAATTCCACACACACAACACAATGCATAAATGGAAAAGTTTCCTCAATCTCAACGAAAATTTGTTGTCTGGCCAACTAGTTTGAGGGAACTTGAAATACCAATTTATGCTGGGCTGATGCAATACAAACCGGTTGATGGATGGTGAGACATGGAGACGATGCTACCAAGAGGTGGAATCAATGTAGAAAATCCATAAAATGGTTACACTACAGCGGAGCACAGTGAGAAATGATGGGCGTCGAACGAGGGGAACCACATCACTGTGTTGGGAATTGTGTTCGTCGGCTGAATTCGGCGGTGGAAAGTCAAAGCAGCTGATATTGAGTCGCATTCAGTCATGCTACTCACGAGCATGCTTGCTTTTGATGCTGTCTCGCGCAACATTGCGAGTTTTATCGACCTTTTGTCGATGCTTTTGAGCCTAGAGGGGAAAATGGGACGGTTATAGTGGACTGAGAGAAGCAACTACACTGCTAGAAATGGGCAGCAAAGAGAAGAAGCTCTACACAGTGTGGATTTGGAGGGAAAAACTTCCTCAATTCCGAAGGCTATTCTTATGAGCTTAACTATAAGAAATTTAGCAGAAATCTGTATTTTATCATTCAGTTTTCTTATGATGTCAACACAAAATCCTTGGACAAAAGCTGTTTACTAGAAGAGTGAGAAATTAGAAGAAAAAAAAACCTTTGACGCAAAGAATCGGGAAAATTACTTTACTCTTGGTTAAAGTTTTGCTGTACTGTGTTAAGAGAAACACTTCTGGTTGTAAACTTTAATGAACTATTAAGTTTTTACATTTTGAAGCTGTGCTTCATTAGTGTTTTCAACAAAATTTTCCTTTTAAATACTGCCTCATTCTCAAGTCAACTAATCAGTAAACTATACAATGGATCTTAAGGGCAAAAGTGCTCTGGTTACTGGAGGTTCAGGTGCCATTGGGAAAGCAATTTGTGAAGAATTGCTCAAGAATGGCATTAAGAATCTCGGCTTAATTGATCTTCAACCAGGAGAATCAACAGTGAATGACTGGAAATCACGTTTTCCCTCCGTTTTCATCACTTTCTATCGCGCTGACGTGACTTTGCAGGAAGATCTTGAGCTGTGCTTCAAGAAATTCACCGAGGAAATCCAGAATTTGGATATTGTCGTGAATTGCGCGGGAATTTTGAATGAGAGTGAATTCAAGAAAGTCATTGAAGTGAATCTAATTGCTGTTATCAGATCAACTCTCTTGGCCATTGACTGCATGAGAGTTGACTCGAAGTGTGGCAAAGGAGGAGTTGTTCTTAACATCGTTTCTGATGCAGGATTCAAGATCTTTCGAGCCACTCCATCTTATGGAGCTTCAAAGCACGGACTTCTGGCTTACACTCGAAGTGTAGCTCTGGAAGGCAAAGATTTGGGCATGAGATTCATCTCTCTCTGTCCAGCGCAAACGAAATCCGAACTCTACGATGGGATCTTCAGCCCTGGACGACACTTTATGCCCAGCAAATGGAATATCGAAGAGGAGAAAGCTTCGAATGTCGCTCAAGAGCCGGCGGAAGTGGGAAAGGCGGCGGCGGAAGTGATCCGTAGCGGCGAGAACGGAAGTGTTTGGGTTGTAAAGCAGGGAAAGCTGAGTGAAGTCACGATTCCTGCGGTTGAATTCTGAATAAACTCACCACATGCAGCATTCACTGGTGTTTGTGATGGCGAGCAAAACGGCTGATTCCTCTGGTCGACTGTGTTGAGCATTCCCTTGACGGTCTTTCTTCTTTCTCTCCTTTTCAGTGTCCACCAAGTCGTCCTTGCAGAGATTCCTAGAGAAATTTTATAAGCAATTCTAACTTGAAAGCATATCTTAACTAAAGCCACATACAACAAAATCACTATGTAAGTTTCGTGGGAAATATATGATGAAGTAAGCCAAAGTGGATGAAACTAATTCGTCTCTTTGTGTATTCAACAGTGAAAGTCTTCTAACAACTGTGAATATGAGTGAAAGTCCTAAAATCAATTTAACACTTCCGGAGAGGAAGGGCGGTCGATCGCCATCGCCATCGCCAACACAGAAGCGCAAAAACATCTTCTCCAACCTCCTGCCGCAGAATCTGGCCACGAGTAGTGGTTCGGCAACAGGTAAGTTTCCAACCTTTTAGTCAAATATGCCCAAAAGTCGAAGGGGTTTGAATTTGCTCTGTGGCAATAAATATTGGATGTTATTTGTCTCTCTTCCTCTCTCTCTGTGTATACCAAAAATTGGTCAATTTGCGTGCTTAAGAAGATTACTTTTGAGTTTTTTTTTTGTGGGTTAAATTTCCTCATTAAATTGCTTAATTGTCAGTTGAGTGGCTTTAAGTACTTTGTATTTATACATAAAATCTGACTGAGAGAGAATATTGTTTGAAGTGTGTTTCCCAACCATTTTCGCATTTTCCTTCAAGTGCCAACTTTATTAACAAACCCCCACCGAAAGGGGTGCGTGGCGGCCTTTAAGGAATCTCAACTCATTGTAGCGTGAAAATGTATTTATTTAAATTAAATCGTTAACTCTATCTGAAGAGCGACAAATGTTTCTCATGGCATCAACTTCACAATGTGTTTATCATGCCATGGGAGAAAGGAATCGACAGAGTTTGGGGGTGGATTTCTTGTGTTTTGTGGGGGATGAAAAGTGTGTGTGTGTGTGTGTGAGGAGATCATCTTGAATTACATTTTCGGGAGGCCTCTATCACACAAGTCACAGTCAATCTGGGGGTGGTGGGAAAATCCTGATGGTGGAATTTCATAAAATCGCTCTACTTTGGCGATGGTTGAGAGATGAAGAAAACCAACAAATAGAATTTATGTGTCTTTTATTGCTCCCCATATTTACCACTGCGCTTCAGTGCGAAAGTGAGAGAATCAAATGAATATCACAGGCAATGTGTAATGTCTGTAATACTTATGTTGGGAGGGTATTTCTGAGATATGTTTTCGATGTTTATATGAGCTTTTTCGATTGGGGTTGAAAAAGCAGAAGGAGTGGAATTTCCTTCAAAGACTCTTGTAAGAAAATGGTGGTTAAATTTTCCAAACGGAGCACAAAAGGTCTCTCTCTCTCTCTTTTTCTCCCCACAATATTTGCCATCAAATATAGATGATTGCTTTTTATCGATTTTGAAAAAGCATTTCCCTTATAAATATATATATATATATACAAGTTTAGAAGAGGGAGAAGCAAAAAAAAGAAGGGTTGAAGTGAGAAAATTGGGTGTTATTTGTACAAATTGCTAGCAATACAACGTCAAGTCCGTGGGAAATGATAAAAAGAATCCCTCCGCGTATTAGCATTATGTCACTCTCTCTCTCTCTCTCTGTCTTGGTCCTCTTCTTGAAGGATAGCAAGAGGGAATCGGAGAAATTTATGCTATGCTCTTGGAATTTTCAATGACGGGCTCAACTTGGAATCTTGTGTATTCGATTTGAAGGGATGCAAAAGAGAAGAAAAAAAAGTGAGATATTGAACTTTCACCTCAAAAGGATATTCTTTGCATATTTCCCAGATAAGATTGGTTACAATTTAGATCAATGCGGGTGAGTGAAAGGTTTGTTTATTTAGGATTTTGGATGACTGTAAATGGAATATTAATAAGACTTTTATTGTATGAAAATGTTGCCATTTGTGTAAAATGAGAAAATATACAATTTGGAAGTGATAAAATAAATTATTTGAAGATAAACCCAAAACTACCCCTAATGACAAACCCCTTGTGATTTCTCCACTTTATTATCTCTCTTCCAACTATAACATTTGACTCTAATTCTGTTCTGAATGGCGAAATTTGCTACTTTATGATCCATTCTGCAAATAAAATTCTCTCTATATTTTCCATCTCTATAATTTCAGTCAAAACTTTCTCGTTGCACTTCGAATAAAGCTGAATTTATTTATTTGCGCAAAGAGTGTTTACGCAAAACTTGGCAAATTGCACACAAAAAAACACAAGTCGAGGTGACAATTTAACCCGGAAAATACATGATATATATTATAGACAAGGATGAAAATATCGTGAACTAACGCCAAGCGGGCGCCTTCACAGGCGGCGGCAAGGGGTTTTTCCATTAAGAAAAATAAACATTTTATCGCATGGCTTCACTTTCTCGGCATTCTCCTTTTTTTCATATTGCGCGCCACCCTGACAATGTTTTCCATTTATAGATTTCACTCAACTCTTGTTTAAACATCCCGGAAGTTCTCATTTCGCGCGCGCGACATGCAGAAAAAGCTCTGGCAGGATTGCAATGATGAAATTTTCATGGGGTTTTGAACGTGATATGCAATTTTCTTGCCTGCATCAGCTTAAAATTGAATTATGTAGTCATATTTTAAAAGGGAGAAAATTCAATTTATGTCTCGCAACCAACAATCTTCATCTTGATTACAAGATGTAGTGAAGAAAGAGAGAGAGAGAGAGAGAGAAATTTCCCCCAATATTCATCTTGAGAGAATTTTCCGTATAAAGTTTTCATGAAACTCTTTAAATTTGATAACTGGGAGATAAACAGATGCCAAAGTTTCTCTCTAAAAGTTCATCATGGGAAACAAACCTCATCAAGTGAGTTCGTTTTTTTTTTCATAACCACAAGAGTTTGATGAATTTATATTTGAATTAGAGACGAAAGAAAACAAAGCGCATCGTGTTGAAGAATGAACAGCAAATTAAACTATTTGGTTGTACAAGTAAATTGGATTTTATGTAATAAAACATTTTGTAATTAAGAGAAATATGTTTTCAAAGCTAAACTTTCGGAAACTCCAACTTTAACTAGAGATTTCTAGAGAGAGAGAGAGGATTCAAAAATATGATAAAAGGCACAATTTACGACTGTGAAAATGCATATTCTCGAGATGAAAATTACGTGAATGGCATTTAGTGTCTGACGAGGAATGTTGCCTCCCATGAAAATTCTCGTGCAACTCACTTAATAATTTCCCACAGAAGAGGCAATAATTTATTCAAATGAGAAGGATGCAGAAGCGGAAAATTAATATATCCTCAGCAATTTATTATAATGGAAATTGCTGCTTTGGTAATAAGGATTGAAATGCTTCAGGCTCTTCTTTAATCATACATACTTAATTGCTTTTAATTTACTTTCACATGAAAAAAATAATAAAATATATCTTGTAAGGCTCTATTTCGACGGGTGCTTCGAAAACTAGCAAAAGTCAAAATTGCCATTCTTCAGTAGAGAAATTTGACATTGCTTTGAAATTAGACTAATTTTTATCTTAAACTCCCTCTTATCGTGCATTAAATTGATAATATTGGTAAATTCGAATTATTTTTTCATCATATAAAAAATTATGCCCAACAAAGATTCATCAATATAAATGATTTAAAGTGAATTTCAGGATCCAAAGCCACTAAAAAAAGCATAAGAAAAATATCAATTTGTATAAATTTCTCAACTAATTGCAATTAAACTAAATTAAATATCCAATAAATCTAATATTTCTCCTGCAAGTGTTTTCTAAAATTATCTTTTATTTTAAGACATCAAGATCTATCTAAAAAAGAAAGAAAGAAAGATAAGACGTCAACTATCAAAAGTCGATTTTTGATAGTTTTCGAGGCACCCGTTGATTTGAAGCATGTTTTTGTAGTAATTTCTTTTAATGCTTCCACCCAGTCATTAAGGGATGGCATTTTGTGTGTCGTGCGTGAAGAAGAGAATGGAAAAGTGTTCTCGAGTGATGGAACAATTTTCTAAAAAATTCTTATCTCCAAACTACCAACGGATAAAACATCGCACCTTAAATCCAATTGTTGGAGAGAACGTGAGAAAAAAAACTTGGTGCGTTTCTCCATCCATCTTTTCAGGGTGTTTTTTCATTAATTATATCCTTATTGAATCTGGGGTAAATTGCGTTGTGGAGGAAACAAGAAGCAACGAGAAAAAAAAGACCAACAGATGGTGTGAGAAGTTCTTGAAAAATGTAATTTATTAGGGACATTTTGTGACATGAGAAAATCTAATAGTTACAAAAGTCTCGAAGATGAGAGAAGAGAGAGAGAGCCTCGAGACGAATGTATTTCCTGGGCAATCTTACACTCGAGTGACGGTTGAACATTAATAAAGGCAAATTTAATGCTAAATTGTGTGTTCCTGCCTCACTTTTCTCGCGGTACAGCGCATTCATCTCCTTAAGCTTTGATGAATGACAATGGCAGAGTGAGTGTCTTAATGTGAGAATGAAGATGTTGTACGGATGATGAGTAGAAAGCGTGACATGAAAATTGAAGATACAAAGATACTGAAGGGGAGAACATACGAAGAAAACCACACAAGACATTGGGGAAAAGAATGTTTCTCTGAGAGACTCAAGATTAAATTCATATAAGGGTGAAAAGAGAAGGGAGGAGAAAAAAAAACTCTTAACGAACACGTAAAAGATGGGCCAAAGTCAATTTAGTTCAAACTAACTTTTTTCTACATCAAGCACACATTAATTCCAATTGCATTACTGGAGTTATTTTATCCCCGAGATAATCCTCATCAGCTTGTTGTGAAAATACATTAATCTCCGTTGAATCCCAACATATAATCCCACTTTTTTTTCGTGTCAAAGTCAATTTGAGCTCTAAATTGTGTATTAAATTGCGGTGCTTTAAGTGGGATTTTTGTAAATTATGATGAATCAATATAAAGCTTTTGAGCTGAATATAGGAATAAAGGCAGCTTTCAGTGATTTATCTAGATGTGGAATGAAAATAAACCTCTTGATCATGAATTTTTTATCCTGTAAATCATCCCTTCTTCATTGGAATGTCCTTCATAACAGTAATAATTTAATAACCATATATTAATTTAATAGTAATAGAGATTGTGGATAAGCGCACACTTTGCGTTTGCGTGAATGTGGAATTTACTGTAGTTTTTTTCTTCTGTGTCCAACATCAAAAGTAATAAAAATCCCAGATTTTGATATGAAAAAATTTAAACCGTCATAACTCAGATTCTTTGGCATTGGCAATAAAATATAACCCTATTTTGGAAAGAACTAAGGAAGAAGCTAGGAACTAAGGAACTTTTCGAAGAAGCTATGTCGAATGTAAACGCTGTGATTTTAGCAAATGTAATGTAAATAGTTTAAAAATATTATTATTGACAATATAGCAAACTTCAAAAAAGGGGCAAAAAGCCATTATTTGCACAATTTTGCCTTATTCATCATTCTGTGTATCTCTATTCAATGTCTGATTATCCCTTCTGAATGGAAAATGATTTCTGAGACATTTTCCATTCCATTCAAGATGAAAACTTCCACCAGTTCTGGGTTGTGAAATTAGTTAGTAAAAACTTTCGCTAGAATGTCGGGCATTTATAGTTTCCAATAGATATATGCGATATGATAAATGTGAGAGAAGATTGGATACACATACACACAATTTAGGTTGTTCTGCTGGAGATAAATGGAAGAGGGAGTTTGAATTTTGTGGGTTGATTCACGAAAAGCGACATGAGGGCCACACATAGCTATGTAGTTTTCCTCAAGATTTTTCCCATTGGCTTGCCACTGAGGCGCGCACATGTTGGGAAAAGTGCTGAATGTATGGCCATAATGAGTGAGAGAAAGAGAGTTTTCTCTCCTTGCCTGGTTCTGGTGAGAGTTTATATGCGGGGGAAATGTATAAAAGCTCGCGCTTTCTCACTCAGCTTTCAGTTGACGAAGAGCTTTTGCCCGTGCCGGTTTTACCTTCACTGTCTTTCTATTCTTTCATATGATTTTATTTTTGCCGTTCGTCTTAAGATCGCTTTAATCGTTTGTCACGGTAATTTGTTACAAAAGAAAACAGGTTTGCTTTCTGCGCTAAAAATATAAATATTTGTGGGTGATTGCTTTGCTGTAATAATTAAAAAAAAAAGAAAATGGGGAAAATTGTTTGATGGAAAATAATCCCCGGAAATTATGCAGAAATGAACATGAATATTATGTGTGTTGATTAGCTTAGGGTGAACCTTTGTTTTTCATTTCAAAATTTGTTCTATGCAAATATTATGACAGGGTTGTTAATTGAAAAATAAATTAAATGTCAATTTTATCTGTGATGTGACGTGAAAAAATAAGGTGAAGAATTTTTTCTTTGGGCCATTCGTGAGTGGCACTAATTAAGAGGAGAAAAATTCAATTATAGGAGCTTTTTATACTTGCACATTTTAATGAATATCAAATGAATTTTTTTTTCTCTTTCGTGAAATATTTTGAGATTAAAATTAATATCATAAATCTTGTGCACATTTTCTCAGTGTGAAAATCCAAAAGTTTTCACTCATTAATCTCTCTCGCTGCACAATACAAATGTAATTTGCAGCTGTTACGGTTATGATAACACACTCTCTGAATAATAGTCTTTGTACCTCAAGGGAGAATTTATTTTCCAACAACTTCCTTTATTCACAATATTGATGCAGAGTCATAAAAGGAGTTCTTTCTGCACTCCTGGTCTATATAGTGTGATCTAAAGTCAATATCGTGTGTCTGCAGCATGAGAAAAGAAGGGAATTGTAGTGAAATTGACCCGTTTGGGTGCCATTCAGTCCATCCTGAGGGATTTGGAAGGTTGAATTGACAGGAAAATAATAATTCTGGTCGTATTTTCAGTTCAAAGCTCGCAATATTTTAGCTATATTGAAAGACTTTCAGCTTTTGTCAAGTGGAAAGCTTATTCAAGTGTTATTGTTTCACTCAAGTGAGCAAAAACTATGTATATGTATATATATAAATTCATAATTGAGGGTTTGTGGAAAAGTTCTTGGGTGAATTGATGATTCTGTTGAACTAGTTTCCGGTTGATATCATATGATATCGTCTATTGCAGATACGACAATTGTCTCGAGAGCTTTTCTCTTCAGTGCTCAAATTAGTGTCAATGTAAATCAAGCGTAATATAATATCTTATCATAAAATATAGATTAAAACATGAGCATTAATGTGCAAACATGCATTCAAATTTCTCTATATTTTTTTTATACTTTTGGACTAAACAATAGTGCAATGAATTTATTGGAAAAATATTCACATATTCAAAAATCACGTTGTTTTGCTTATGGAAATGGACGAATTGTTGTTATTTCCTGTTGAAAACATAGAACAAAACAGGTGTATTTTTATTAAATTAATACCAATTTCTCTCAGTCACTTGAATGGGGAGGAAAAATTAATGGAAAATCGCCTGACAATTGATTGCCAGTGAATTGTATTGAATTTATTATATCAACTCCCTTTCGACGGTTATTGCTTTGCTTCGCGTGGTTGATTTTTGAATAAATAAAAAAAGAAACCTTTTGGCGCTTTCATTATTTGTATTTCATTATCTCATGAACAGAAATTTGCTATTATCTCAAGCCTCTTCATTCATGTTGATCAAAAGCTCATGATTTTTTTTATTTATCTCAAATCCTTGAATTTAACACATGAAAAGTTACTGAGTGAGAGATGATAAAAAAAAAACTGGGATTTTGATGATGAAAAGTAAAGTGTGGAAGAGAGGAAAAATATTATTTTTATCATGTTTCTCTTGATGTAACAGACAGAAAAAAATATTGTATATATCTTGGCTCTTGAGCTTTTTTGAAAGCTTCTGTCACACACTCAATAGAATGAGGAATTGTTAAATGGGGAAGAAGAGAAAAATGTGATTTCTCTGCTATCTTGTATGGAAACGAGACCAATATTGAGAGGGAAATGATGAAAAAAAAAACTGTGGATATATTGAAAACCGAAAGGAAGCTTGAATGTAAATAAATGATTTTCCAAATGGGAAATCAAATAAGACACAAAAGTGACGTATTTATAGAGATAATATGCTAATTTGTGTGTTTAATTTTAGACAATTTAATTTTAGGCTGTCAAAAGAGAGAGAGACAGTGTGTGTTGGATTCTGTCCCCAATTTTCATGGCGCGATTGGAAAGTTGGAGGAAAAGTTCCCGCACTTTATCTTTGACAGTGACGAAGGTAGTCAAGAACACAGTAGATTCAAATCAATAGGACAAATGACTGATGTCAATCTGTTTGAAGCCACATTTCACATATATATTCAGATCGTTCTGTCTAGATGCGAAATTGATTGTCTTTTATTGCTCCAAAAACCTAGTTTTGAAGGTCCTTTTGAGTCACACGTAGAATTTCTTTCCTTTGATCACCCCTTACCGCTCGTTGCAACTTTACGTTCATAGAATTTTTAATAAGCCGGACGGCCGTCAATATAAGCTATGAAAAGTCTAAAGTTGCAACACCATATTGATATTTTATACGGAATAAAATACGAAACCATTAAAGTTGCAACGTGTGTTTGATATTGAAAAGGATCAGGATGAATTTTAAAGTGTTCTCTGACATTGAAACCATTTCAATGATATTTTATTTTCAATCTAAAAAAAACCCTTGTAAAAAATTCATAGGCAATTCGCATGTTTAATTAAAAGGTCTGTGATTGAAAACATTTCATTCACACATATTCATGTGCGTCCGCCTATCGATTTGGCATTGAAAAAGGGAATTGGAGAAGTGGCAAATTTATAGGTTTGACTTGCAATTTAACCTTGCAAATCTTCAAACCACCTGGCAAAACCATTAAATTCCATCGATTTCCTGTTCCTGGAAAGGAAATTGCATCGTTTGCACATCCATGAGCTCTTCATCCAATGTAAATGCTAAGCTTTTGCCACTTATACACACGATTAATATCATAAATTGGCATGATTACTCTGGTGTCACGTTGATAAAGTCGGAAAAGGAACACAGAGTGTAATATGAGATCCAATTTCTCAATTCATGAGCTTAAGTGTAAAGCGATCCGAGAACTTTCCTGCTGTGCGATTGTGTTAATTAATCTCTCTCTCTCTCTGTCTCGGTAATTGGTGGGAATTAATTGCAATTTGGTCCCGCATGTGGTATTTATTGCTAAAATTTCTGTATGTGATTTCGAAGCTATTATCATTTATGGATGTTGCTAAATGATATGATGGGAAATGCTCATGTGTGTGCGTGCGTGATGTTGAAAGCAAACAGCCCACAAATATTTTAGATACAGAATGAAAATATGTGTATAGTTATGCATTGTCGGAAAGGGTGAAATGTGCTGTCAGTGGGTTTTGAAAATTAGTCCATAAAAGAGGACGGGAAAGAGTGAATTAGTTGGAGGAGTGTTGAGATTTTTATTGCGACCATCGTTATCTATTGTGCCCGTGCCAAAGAACATGACATTGTGTGGCTGGTGCTTTGTGTCGAAGCACAAAAGACACAGGAACAATAGCATTGTGTCATCGCAGAATCAGGATGCTGTTGTCACGACGGAGGTTGAGGTGATAAACAACATAAGGAAGGAGTCAGGTGGATCAGCCACGGGCCTCAAAGTCGTGTCGTGTGAGACAACGAAGGCAATTAGCAAAGATGATGACACTGATCAGGATGGTATGTTTGACACTATTCCAGGGAAATTTTCTTTCAGTGACGAAAGGGAGGGACAGAAGATGTTGTCACAAATATATTTTCATTATCTCACAGCACACACGTTGTGTCAAATATGTTTCGTCCTGAACTGAAGATTTATGGGTGTTTGATGGAGAAGAAGTGAAATGAATTTTGGATATTGTGAAGATGCTGCAGAAAATCAATCCAATTAATTTCTACTGGCAGATTTCCCATCATTTATCACTTATCGCTCAATTCACGGGGGCGAAGACAATAGAGGGAAAATTGTGTGAAGAATGGGAAAATCATATTCATTCCCCTCATCACAGAAACTGTGTATCACGTTGAGGAATTTATTGAAATTCCTCGAGTTCTCCTTACAAAATGTCCTCCGTGATGCTGTGCTTCAAGAACTGTCAGTGAAACTTTATAGTTTTGATTAATCCTTTCAAAGAAAGGTGAAATCTTGAACCTTTCTACTGACATAACTTTCATTTCCGTACAATTTCAAACTTATCAAGCCAAACATGAAATTGAATTGTGTCAAAACATGAAAAGCTTATACACAAGACACAAACGATAAAGAAGATCAAAACAAGATATTCCTTATATAATCTTGTGTATACATGAAATTGAATTGGGAAATTATCAATGGCGTATAGAGCACATCGTCACTGGAATTTTCCTCTTAAGCTTTAAAATCCCAGTGACAAAGCACACATTCAAACTTCAACGAGTGAGAAATCCCTTGTTGGGTTCTCAAGCAATTTACACCATAATCTATTGTCCCTTGTCTCGCCTGCAATCTATCACCCACGCTGTCTTGTATCGGTGAATTGGAAAATTCATTAAAGAGGACGGCCTTTGGGATGCCTTTCATTATTTTCAATTCATTAGGAAAGTTCCTGACAAGTGTGTGTGTGTGTGGAACTGAGAATTTGCGCGCCTCATGATAACTCTGAATATCCTTAGAGTGATTACAGACATGCGGATTACCCTCGAATCGACAGAAATTGGGATTATTCCTCTGTGTATGATCTTGGAGTGTGTAAAGACAGGATCAGCAATAAGTCGTGGTTACACTCAAAATATGGATTAGCCATAATTGATGGCAGATCTGGCGCTAAACACAATCAGGAGTTATTCCTCTTTGTCGACACTAGCGACAATTTTGCTTCGCGTGCTCATCTGTCAATTGGTTTGTTTATTTTATCAGAAAGCGTGAAATTTTACAATAAAATTGTGAAAATGGAAGATTTGCAGAAGAATTCATAGATTTTGAGATTCCGCGAGATCCGCCATTTTGCCTGTTTTGAGTTGTGAAATGTTTCGGTGCATTTTCAGCCGAAGGCGCTGCCATCGGGAACGCCATAAATATCGGCTGACCTTTCGATATATCGATGGATCAGTCGCGTTTTATGGCTCAACCAGCTGTCAGTCTTACCCACTCGCGTTCTCGCTTAACCTTCTGTGGATCACCCGCAAGCTTGTAATCGCTCTTATATCGTTGGATGTCTTTTTTCTCACCTACAAATTGCCATCATTCCTTAAGTCATTTTCTTTATCGCAATTTCTCTTCTCGATGTCAGTTTTGCGCTTTACGTGTGTATCAGAGGGAATGAAAAAATGGCACATGAAGGGAGGAATTATCATAAATCATCCCTCCAAGAAAAAAAAACTGAAGCATAAACTGTGAAAGGATTAATGATAATAATAGAGAATACTAAATGAGTCATCATATTTTCCATGTGTTATCTGGGTGGGAAATTTTGGAGAAGTCTCTGTGTGTGTGTGTGTTGTGTTGGAAGAGTTGGAAAATTATTAAGCGTGTAAGGAAAATAAATTGCTTTGCAGTGAAAGAGAGAGAGAAAAAAGGCGAATGTACTCGACAAAAAGTCATTAAAATCCACTCACACGCAGTGATTATGACACTCCCAGTGCAAAGTCATAATTAAATTTCAATTCAACCCCTTTTGATGGGGCTGCAAATGGGATTCGGGAAAATTAAAATATTTAATTGTGTACAAATAATTGTGCTAATCGACCAACACGACGAGCTTTCACCTACAGTGTGAGATTTGGCACATTGAAATGTATACATTATATGTAGTATATGGATTAATTTTAATTCCCTTTGCCATGTAAATTGGCAGTAATTGTGTGCTCAATATGTGTCTGTGCGTACACCTTGGGTTGGAATTTATACACAAAATAATGGAATTTGCAAAAGCATCAAGTTCGTCATTAGCGTAGACGCGAATAATTACATAAATCGGCTAATGTCTGAGGCTTCGTCAGACATTAAGCTAATTAAGAAATGAGGAGTGAAGTGATATCGAGTGTGAGAATATAAAATAGGATTTGTGTACTGTGAAGAGACAACACTAAAGTGTTTACGCGTATGAATATTTTATTTGAGTTGTTCAGCGGTGTGAATGCTCGTCATTAGATGGCGCTGATACTATTGTGAGCACGCTCAGGTCAGTCAATATTGCGCTGAATATCTCTGATGAAAGCATCAAAAGCATATGAAACCTTTTAAAATATTGAAATACGGAAATGTAAAACTTTTCTTGTGCTCCATTTTGAATTGTAAATTTTGCCACCCTCCATGAAATTTTATGTGCTCTACATATGTTTGCAGTATTCCAATGGGATTTGGTACTTGTCAATGGCAAAAGTGAGGGTGTAAGGCTTGCTATTTTGTCATATAAGCTACTGATGGAGACGAGAAGTGACATTCCAACTATTGTAGAAGGAGTTTTATCTGAAAAGTGTACAGCGAAACCGCCAACAGTCGATGAAAATGCTATTTTGTTGATGTGCAACCAAGAATTTCAAGATAGTTTTGCAGGAAAATGTCTCCCAATGGGGTGGGAAATCAATAAGGTGCGGTCTTCAATCACTTTGGATGTGGTGCTAGAGTTTCTCTCTAACCACTTTGCATATCTCCAGGGGTGTGTGGTGGCGCCACTGGCGCGTCAGGATCAATGGGATGGCACTGTGCTGATAAATGGGAGATTCGCAGTCTCCTTGTGACCACAACACATTTGTCCACCCCGTCGTCTATAAATCATTCCTTTCACAGCCCAAAATACCATTTATTTTGCACACAAAGTCTTCTTCTGCGCTGTCCAAAGATTGATTAGTTTTGGTCAATTAAAGTGCTTAGCACAGACGCACACCGCACAAATTGATTCCGTCGAAGCATTATAATAGCCATTAATTCATTCGGAGAAATGCGATATTGCCGGAGGGAGAGTGAATTTTGCCCATTCACAGGTTATTGTTTAGTGATTATCTGGAAGGATGGGCGGCATTTCCGCCCACATGAATAAATTGACCTCATTCACGAAGGGAGAGAAGGAAGAGACGCAGATGAATTCCCGAAGCATCGCACGTAATTCTCGTCAAACTTAAACCACAATTTTATGAGGAAGTCTCTCTCTCTCTCCACTTTTGTGTTCAACCACAAAAGTCTCTTACATGTTCCTTTTTGCAACAATAATAGACTTTTCTTGAGTGTGTGAGACACAAAATGACATCAATTTTCTCGTCTGAGAGAAAAATTTCTTTCCTTCCACAGCGGAAGTATATAAAAATATCTTCAGAACTTGAGAAATTGTTGTACATATTCTCACTGAGCTTGAAGAGAAAAAAAATGTATCCTCTTCTTGATAATTTTAATGGCGCAAGCAAGAAATGCTGTAATAAAGAAAGCTTGTGTGTGTTTACAAAGAAATTGAAGAAGAAATCTTATTGTATGAATTTATATACAAATTTGCTCTATGAAATTAATTATTGATTTTTTTTCCTGCCCAAGAAATATTGCAAAGAAGTTTAACAAATATTATCACAGTGTTGAGGGGATTTATGCCTTCCGTGGCACTCAAATTAATGGGATAAACACCAAAGTTGGGTTAAATTCTATGTATTCTTTCTCGCGCGGCGTTGTTTACATTTTTTTTTCTTTTGCGCAAAAAGGCACGTGAAAAAAATTAGCAAGGTGAAATGCGATGAAAAACCAACATTTCAATGAAGCACTGCAAATATTAAAAAACAGGAGAAAATGAGAAAAAAGGACAGGTTTTATCATGAATTTCAGGCTGTTTCAGTTGAAAAACGAAGGAAAAGAAAATTAATATTTGCTAAGGAATTAAATGAGATCAAAAGTTGTTACTCAGCACAGAAATTCTACGATTGATTGAATTGTATATGGAAGATAGAAAACAGTGTGATTACCAAACTTTTTCACATTTTCTTGTCGTTCATTTCATGATGTTATGCACTAAATAACTAAATAAACGTAAATTGTGATGGAAAAATAAGCTTTACATGCGATAAAGTTGAATTTTTCTCTTCTTTTTCTTTAATCACAAAAACACTGACAGTTTTTCCCCGCATATCAAGTTCAAGTTCAAAGCTTATCACATTTGCTGATTGGCTTTCTCAAGTCAAGGAAACTCAACTTCTTCACAATTAAAAAATCTAGTCTGGGGAACTTTTATTATAGGGAATAGAAATACAAAAGCTGCGTCTGGGGAATTGGTGTAGCCTTGGAAAATGCTCTTTTGTTGCTTTTACAAGCGATATTTGGCGGCCCTGAGAATGGGAAATTTGTCACCTGAGCACGAGCCGCGGAAGTCATCGAAGGTGAGGTCAAATACACCAATTCCGCCCAAGCCTTTGGCTCTCACGTAGCCAGCCTTGTTGCCAGCCGTGTCGGGATCCTCGAAGGTGCACCACATGCCGTGCTCGTAATCACGATCGGGATCACCGACGCGGAAAGCGTACGTGCCGAAGCGTTTTGTGGGATCGCCGACTTTCCTCAGCGGCGCATCTTCACCCTTGAGGTGGGCATTTGAGGGATTGGGCAGCTTGGCGCACGCTTCGGGGTAGGTCACGAGGCCGGGAATTTTGACTTGGGGTCCCTCGGGGTGGCCCTCTTTGGGAGTGCGCAAGGGTGGAACGCCCGTGATGCCGGAATCCTCGTCTGTCTTCCAGCAATGACCAAATGTGGGAATCCCAACGACCACCTTCGTGGCTGGCGCTCTCTGGCCCAGCCACAGTTGCACTTGGTAGTTGACATTGCTCTCGGGATTGCGCTCGGGCAGCTCATAGAGTGGCGCTGCGTAGTCGGCCTCTTTGGGATTGCGTTCGGGCGTTTGGAAGTCATAAGCGGCGAGAACGACGTAGTCCAGATTGTTGATGATCGCCGGCACATCGAAGTACAGCGATGAGTTGACATTGGGCAGAACGGTGAGTGTGAGTTGGTAGTTGTCGTGACGGAAGGAGTTCTTCAGCTCACGCACGAGAGCTGTGAATTCTTCACGGTGTTCCTCCCACTTCTCGTCCACGGGTCCGTCAGATGTGAAGGGCTTCTTGATTTTGTGCAGGAATGATGAGAAGGTGCCGCGAATCTTCTTGGGCTTCAACACGGGAAATTGCCAGGAGAGATCGAGACCGTCGAAGTCATACGTCTTCACCAGTGTGTAGGCGGAGTTGATGAAGGAAATCCGAGCTCCACTCGACTCCAGGGCAGTGAGATATTGTCCACTGTCACCGTCGGCTCCGCCGCCAAGGCCCAGGAGAATCTTCAATCCCGGATACTTTCGCTTGAGTGCCGTGACAGCACGATAATGACCCTTGCCCTGATCCAAATCCAGATTCTCATTTAGGGAAACTGCCTTGTTTGTGGCGCCATTGAGTCCGGCATAGCCATAAACCAGATGCGTGCAGAAGGGAAGAGCTGGTTCGATGTCATTCAGGTTGGTTTTGCCCAGTCCTGGAAGAGAAATCCCAACAAAAATCTCTTAAGTTAAGAGGCCCATGAGCACTTAATCAACAACAACAATTTTCGAAGGTCTTTAGCACATTTTATCGGAAGTATAATTGCGGTTTTCTCCTTGACATTGATCTTCCCATTTGTAGATTAAATCTTGACTCACTATTCTCACTCTTTCATTGTCTTTTGTGTGCAGTGAAAAATTGCACGAATGTGCAAAATATGATTTTTCACTGTTGCGCAATCAATAAAATATTCAGCAAGCATTTGATGGCGCACTTTTAGTGTGTGACCAATTGGACGGAGGTCAAACTCACCTTCACGCACAAAGCCGCGGCTGTCGTAGTAGCAGAAGACCTTAGCCGTGCTCTGGGCGGCTGAGAGAGCGGCCAGAGAGGCCAGAGCCACAAGGTAGATCACACGGGACATCCTCACTCCACGAGGCTTCACAAGATACTGACGAGAAGACTGAATCTCAGCGCTCAAGTCACTGGATTTGCCTAAGTTTCAATGCAAAGTCCGAAATGGACTAAAAGTGGGAGGTGATGAGAGTGGCTGAATGCTCGCCATTGGGGAGGAAGGAAGGAAGCTTTTTATGGAAATTCCACTCACAATGATAAGCTTTTTTAGATTATTCTCAGGAAAATCCTTTGATTAACTGCTGAATGTTGAATGAATTATCATATAATTGTTGCAATGAATCAATTCTCAGTCAAAGACTTAAATGTCTGACTCAGGATAACAAAGGCGTGTGTGTTAAATCAATATAACACAAATTTAACACTTCTTGTGTGACTTGAAAATGCTCCATGATTTCCAATACTGCTTCTCATTCTCTTTAAACCTAAAATCACTGGCACGAGTTCCCATGCTGATGGTTGTGGATGAAGAGTGAAAGAGAGATTTTGCAAAAGGCTTTTAAGAGAGTCTCAAAAGAGGAGAGAGAGAAAAAAATCGAACGACAATTGCTGGAATTTAACGATGACATAATCCGACCTCTGCGTTGTGACCTTTTGCTATGATAAAAACACTGTTGAAAACTTGATTTTCTGGAAATGGAGCATGGCTGATGATGATAAAGCGCACTCTCTCAGCCTCTGCAAAATACAGCCCGGCTTTTCTTGACCTTTACTGCCTTGCAGTTCATCACTATAGATGAATTCGGGCCATTAAGCTGATAAAAGGGATTCACAAACACACACAAACAGCGGAGATTTGATGCAAAATATGTGAGTCAGAGAGGGTGTAAAATGGATTCTTGTCTGTTTGCGATGTGGTTGGAGATTTTCAGGCCAATATAATGAGTTAAGTAACTTCATGGTGAGGCGTCATTGCTCTAATGAACATTGAAGGCCAAATTGCTTTGGGCTCTCCTGCGATTCGGTGTGATTTCTCATTGCGGGGCATTTTGCATGAAAACTTTGTGCCTTCTCTGAAATTCCCCCGAAATTTGCTAAAGATCATCGAACAAATTTGTGTGTGAGTTTCTGGTCGTGATGTTCACGTTCTGTGACCTGGATTTCACTCAATTCTAATTCTGATTCTCATCTTATTTTATGGTTCACGAACTAAAGTCTTTGGAAAGACGCTTCGGGGCTTTTTTCGACTTTTACTCTCCACAACCACAAATTGCTTGTGTCTTGTTCATCTCATTCCAACACTCTTTTTCACTCACATTACCTTTTTTTTCGTTTCACTTCTTATTCCTCACCGGCAGAGATTTTTGCCACAAAGTGCTGAGATCAATTTGAATGCATGCATTGAGAATCTGTTTTTCTGTCTTATATTCTGCTCAGCTCATCGTCAATTTCATCCTCTATTTGATGGCCCTTGAACTTTCTGATTGTTTGTGTTCAAAATGCGAGGATAGTTCGGGATGGCGAAACTTTTAAGCGCACCATGAAACGTGCTTGGAATATTGGGGCTTAAAGTTTTTCGCATGTAATATGTTTCGAAGGGGATTTGATATGAAGTACATATATATGATGCGCAATAGTTGTTGCTCTGCTATTTGTGAGTCAAATTTGGAATTAACGCTTCGTTGCAACTTTACTGATTTCATAGCTTATATTGGCGACCGCCCGGTGGCGCTAGTGTAAAGTACAAATGAAATACAAACGAGAAGGCGCGTTGCAAGGCAATGGATTGAATTTATTTAATACGAATTTCAGCTGTCAGAGAGTCATTTCAGTGCGAGATTTCCTCTTTGAGTTGACTGGAAATTTGACTGGATATAAAATAGAATTCATGTTGAAGTCTATTCACCGCAATTTATTAATTAATTCCACATTTTAACAGCTGTCTAAATGCATATATTTTCACAATTTATTGTTTTTTTTTATACGAGAGTGTTTATTGATCGTCCTCTTTGCACAGAAAATTTCTTTGTGAAAAAAGCTTCAGCTCTCTTTATTTACATTTCAGCCTCAATGCTTTTATGTGGGGGTTTTCTTTTCTCTCTTTGACATTCGCTAATTCGACCTTCTGGTCCAGGGATTGTTTTTTCACGCATAAACACCCCAAAAACCACACATACACTACTAAAAGCATCAGATGGACTCATTGAGCTTTCTCCCACACTCGATATGATGATGATTGTGATGATGTTAAAGAGGAAGGGATATAAGTTTTTCCATCGGGAGGCAATTATTATTCACTTAATATCACTTTTTTCCCATGGTTTGGGGAGAGAAAATGCTTTCAATCTTATCCCAATTATGAGACACTCGTGAAATTACTCTCAAAATCCTAGAGCTTTGTGTAGAAAGTGTGATAAATGGCAGGAATATTTTACTATATATGTATGGGGAAAATGTGTAATTCAAATGTTTATTTAATTGTTAGGAAAAATGGGAAAATCTCTGAAGAATTGCCAGTGTTTTTTTTTCCTAAATTAAATCCTTGCATATCAAGCTAATTTTCCCGCGGAAAGACATCAACAATGTGCCAAAGAAACATGAGTTTTTGATACAAATAAAATGTACATTAATTTGATTTTTTTTTCTCCCTGATAAAATCAACAATTTCTTTACCTCTCAATATCGTTAAATTACCCATTCTGAGATGTTATATGCAGGAAATCAAGATATCCTCCACCAGAATACATACATTCCTGAGTGGGTGAAAAGCACAGACAAAAAAGAAACAGCAAGAAGGAAGAAGTAATCGAAATATGTATCACTCGATACATATGTACACAGAGGCAAGGCAATAGCGCCCTTTTTATCTGTGTCACTCTCTCACCTTTTCATTTATTCGCAACTTCACCCCAACCCTCAATATACTATATATACGCATATTTATGTATAGAGAATGATACAGAGAGCCGTGAGAATTCGAAAGCACACACATTGGCACGCGTGTTTGATGAAAAAGATCCATGAGTCATGAGCAAACAAATAGACGGATAAATTTTGCGAGTCTTCCCAATCGCTTTTCCCATGGCGGGGAAAAGTGGAAGCCTGAGTTTTCCCTCAGCGGAAGGTTCTGGGTGAATGGGGTAGCAGGTGTGGCGGGCAGAAGAAATGTTCACGGCTCATTTCATCACTCTTTTCTCTCGTCAAAGAGATAAAAATTCATTCGTTTGGCGAGAAGAGTAGAAAGAAAAGAAGACCGGAAAAGATGGGAGATTAACATTATGATGGAAGTGGAGATGAAATACATATAAATCGACGATAAAGTTTCCCTTAATGGTTCATGGTGGATATGCGCTGCGGCAACAAAGACACACAATAAAATATAGCTCAACAATTCACATCGTCGCCTTTTTTTTCTTACTTTCTTTCTTTCACTTTCATTCGCAAAGACTTTGCCATCATTTTCCCTCACACAATACGCGAAGCTCCTTTTTGCACACGACTTGGCCGAAGAAGACGGAAAATTAATAGAGATTCCCATTTATCTGGTGATATATTCTGAGTGGGGAATATCAGAAGGATGAGGAAGAAGCGCAAGAATGGAAGAAGAGCATCTCCTTTTATTTTCTCCCATTCAATTTATTTCTCATTAAATTACGACCACTCGAGACGCGCAATTCATTCTTTCATAATTGCGCGCTTTGGCGCAGATTTCACTGCACAAATATTGCAATTTGTGCAATCATCATGAGCTTATTTGCAGCCAAATTAGCACGTCTTGTTGACTTCGACACGAGCATCTAAGATGAGTCATTTTAAAAGCATTTTTAATTCAAGGAATTGCTAATTTATAAGACGTATTTTTGAACTGAAGAACTTGCAATCATCAATAAATAGACTACATTGCTTAAATACTTGATCTTTAATCGAATATTTCGGGTTTTACGCTGAAAACGTGTGTAGAACTGGAAAAACTTCCTAATTTTTACATTTCCAAACTTGGAAAATGTCAAAATTTGTCTTTCAGTCAAATCAATCCGTTTGCCACCAAAATCGTGTGATTTGTATTTTGGGCCTTGCAAATCAAGCTCAAATCTGAATTTTAATGGCATGAATATATCATTCTACTTGGAGGACTCAAAGGAACCCTTCTCGATTGACGACACATTGAATTACAAATTTTCACATGGAAAACAGAGGGTAAAAGTTTATCTTTCCACACCTTCAACATTTCAACAAAACAAGAGTGTGAGAGAGAGAGAGAGAAAGAGAGCAGTATTGACAGGATAAGGGAAGAAGATGCTGGAGAAGCTTGAGGAAATGGAGGAAAGATCGTGTCTTTCTCAATGTTGGAATTGTTTGTGAATTTTCTTGTTTTTTAGCGAAAAATCATTTCAATGTGGTAAAAGTTCCACCCTTCGCACGAGATGGAAGATGATAATTGGATTTCAATGGAAATTGAGAGAAAATTGAGATGTGACGGCGCGTCTCAATGGATAAGAAATTGGGTGGAAAAGTGTGGAGGGGAGTTTTTTTTGGGGTGGTGAGTGATCAAGTGAATTTCTCCCAGTGTGCGCGCGACTGGAGGAGATTTCCGAAGAATGGACTTGTGGAGGGTTGGAAAATTATACCCAGACAGAAGTTGATAATTCTTTTCCTTTTCCCAACCGCCGCACATCATCTTGTCTGAATTGCAATTGAGTTTTGAGGCGTTTAAGAGGAAAGTTTGTCCACCCACAATTCACGCCCGCCAAGCTCTTTTCCAACGAATGGCGCGATGGTGGTGGTTTGGGGAATATTTTCGCCTCTCACGGGAGATTTTTCTGGTGTTGCGGAGGGATAAAAATATGCTGAGAAGTGGAGATAACATTAGCATTAGCGACCACAATTTACATAGTCATCTTCTTCATAATTTTACGATTGAAATGACGCTGCGCCTCAGCGTCTTGAGACGACACTTCTTCCCCACTTTTGCCGGTGGTTTGAGGTGCGATCGTAAAGAATAAATAAGTTGACACCGCATCAAGTTTATTTCCTATATATATACATATATCATGGCCATGATAATGTATAAACTTGGTTTATCGCAATTTCGCCCACCTCGTGGGACATTAAATTGAATTACATTAGAACGCACTTCGAGCCCCACTCTTGCCAATCTGCCCTCAAACCCACAGTTTTCCCCTCATGAAAGAGGCCATAAAATCAGTGGAGATTCGGTTGTGATGTCAAATAACACTGAACTTGTGTCACTGTGACGATGAGAGAAGGTCACAATGCAATTCTGGGGATTCATTATTCATTATGCGTTGTCCTACTTTTGGTTCAGCAAAATGCATTTGTGTGAATGCTGGTGTAGAATACTTAATTCAGTGTGTTTTTCCAATGTAATCAGCTTGATAGAGATACGAAATTGGTAAACTTTTATCATTATATCATTTGTATTCTTCAGAGAGAGAGAGAGAGAGATAAATTTCTAGGTTGAATTGCAATTTTAGAAATGTAATTTTGCAGGAAATCCGAGGAACAAAACTGCACTTAAGCCGGGTCATTCGCTCATGGATTGGATTCGACTGGGGAGTTCTGGCTGTGATTTGGCAGGCACGAAGGGTGTCGTGGCGCCCGTGAGTCACGCCGAATTGGCAAAGCACTGCAAGAGGAGTGACGCGTGGATTGCAATACGTGGAAAAGTGTACAATGTGACGCAGTATCTTGATTTTCATCCTGGTGGTGAGTTTGAAGCTCCGCCCACTCATTTGCCCCGCCCATTTATGTCGATTTGTTGATCTCTTTCTATTCTCTTTCGAAATCGAAACACATTTCTACAGTGGTCAAGATAAATTGTCATTTCTCACGCTGTTTAAGCATCTTTTCAATCAGTATCTTAGGACAGTTATGATTTATGAAACATATAAGAACTCCTTACTTTTTTGGCTATACGATTATTATCTTGAATTTTTAAAGATGCGTGCCTTCATCTAGAGTATATAGACTCCTTTGCGGCCCAGAAACTTCACACCTTTTTCTGCCTCTTTCCTTCAGGTGTCGATGAGTTGATGCGAGGCGTGGGAAAAGATGCCACAAAGTTGTTCGAAGAAGTGCACGCTTGGGTTAATTATGAACAATTGCTGGCCAAGTGCTATATTGGTCCATTGAGGAATGTTGCGACGGTGAATCTGGAATCACTGGATATCACATCGTCCGCCCAGAGCAAGACACAATCGCCAACATCGGCAAATGGTGGCTTTCGTCTGCCATTCAGCATATCCTTGACGCCTTCGCCAACTCCAACGGCGCCGCCATCGCCGGACAGAGTGGAGATCATTCCGCGCTTCGACTGGATTCAGAAGACGTCGGATCTCACGATTATCTTCTACACCAAGTCACTGTGCAATCCAGGCGTCACCGTGGAGTACATGAGTGATCAGGAAATTGAAATTCGCGTGCTGATTGAGCGCACGACGCATTTGTTCCAGCTGAAGTTTGCGCACGAGGTCCGATGGCCGTGCGCTGCGCGCATCGCGCTGGAGTCTGGCAAGGTGGAGTTGGTGTTTGGCAAGGCGCAGCCGGCTCTGTGGACGTCCTTTGGCACGATGGACAGGAAGAGGGTGACAGATGTGGAAGTGGGCGTGCGTGAGTTTGACGCCATCACGTGCCATCAATTCAATCACGACTCCTACGCGGTGGTGTTGCGACCCAAGCGGCGACTTCTGCAATTCCATCCCATTGGCTATCACGTCAGCATCACGGCCAGAGTGAATGGTGAGTGATTGGCAGACTAAATTCATTGCAACTTCCATCGCCGATAGTGTGAAATTAGACAGCTAAAGCAATTAAAATTGATCACTGTTGTAACGGTTCAGGGAGTGTTTTCTTGTCCATTTTCATTATTATCTCTCTAATTCAGAATGGAAAATTAGGTCAGTTCCGGCAGAGTTTCTTTGCCACCAAATGCAGTTTCTGACACAATGTTGCATTCTCTGACATGCTATCGTAATATAACTTGTGATTATGTGCATGTATTTTTATGCTTTTCCTTCCCTCACCTTTGTCGTGGTTGGGAAAACTGAATCGATATGCAAAGTGTGTGCAACAAAGGGGCAAATCACAGGGCAATTTTGGAGGAAACTCAATGTTCTCTCATCAAATAATTAATTATTTGAGTAAAATAACCAAAAAATGATTATTTTCCCAAGGAAAATCAATAAAATAATCAAAATTTGAATTGGAATCACAAATTATCGAGAAAAAAATGATTGAATAATCACAAAGTCGATGGTCTCACCTTGTCAGTGACTGTCCCCTTGGTGTGCTGAGGAAAGTGGCGCTGAAGATGCTCTCAATTTGTAGGTGGAGGAGAAGCGACGAGGAGTTACACACCAGTGCCAGAATCCCACCTGCCTGTGCCATGTCCCGTGAGCTGCATTGCGCTGCTGGTGAAAAGCTACGCCAGTGGGATGCTCTCGAGGCACGTCACGCAGCAGAAGTCACTCGTCAGTGGACTGAAAGTATCACAGCCGCGCGGTGGATTCATCCTGAATGGCCTGAGGGGACACAGCAGAGTCGCCCTGCTGGCGGCCGGAAGTGGCATCACGCCAATTCTCGGCATTGTTGACTACTTGCTGGAGAGGAGCAACAACAGAATGTGAGTTGGACTTGAAATGCAAATGCTTCAAGAAGCGTGTTCCACTTTCAAACTCAATTTGCTCTGTATTTTTATTTTCTTGTCCGCACACCAGAGAACTTCTCAAGTTACTGTACTTCAACAAGCGCGAAGAGGACATTTGGTGTCGTGAAAAATTGACAACAATTGCTGAGAAGGACAAGAGGTAAATCCAATTTATGTAACACTCCTTTCAAATTCCCCTCTAAAATTCGATGAAATCCGCGCAGTGTGAATGCAATTTTAATGGGTTTTCTCTGGACTGTGAAATCACAGGTGAATTGCGTGCTGAGCGGCGGAGATTTGAATAAATTTAGGAAGGGTTTCGCACAGTGAAAATCACTGTTTTATGATCTGGTGGTTGAAGGGAAATTAAGCGTGTGGCTCGGTGAAAAGAGTCCGTGTCATTTTCTGATGAATAAAAGATAAAACTTCCGCCTGCCCGAGGAGAGATGATTAAGAGTTTTTGGAATATTTCTCTCGAAAGTGTGCACTTAGAATGGAAATTCAACCCCTTTTCTTCCCTCTCTCTAAAATTGCCCACTGAATAATTTCCGCACGGAAATATTGTTTAGTTGTATTCAAAGTTTTTGCATTGAGCAAATTTCCCAGCGAGCCAATTGTACTGCTAAAAAAAAGCTGTTAATTTAGCTGAAAAGTACTAAAGTGACTGAGCTAAAATCCGATGTTTTCATCAAATGCAATCGATCAGCGATCGCAGCGGACAATTGAGGAAATTCGTTTCTAACAAGGAAACAATTCTCTTAGCAATTATCCCAATTTTTCAGATGTTTTCGCTAAATTTATGATTTTGTCTGCTCAAATATAGAGAGAAAACAGAAAGTCTAACTTCTATGAACTTTCCCTTCATCCGGTTTTCCTTAAACGCATAAGAGGATGTCATTCTATCAATTTTTACAGTCATTTGTATGTTCTTTATTTATTCAATTCACTTGAGTGTTGTTATCACGAAGTATATTATTGAAATGTCATGGTTTTACATAATGCGCCATCTGTGCATTCAAGTGCGCATCAGTTCTTTGACTGGTCGCCGCTACGTTCGCTAGTGCATCAACCGAATTACTGACGTCTTAGCGAAAGAAAGCCAAACAATTAGCTTTGTAAATATTAACATTAAGTTCTCAGCATTTTATACTCGCTGGGGTGAAAAAAGTTTTAAGTTGAAAAGTTAAGAGAGCTTTTGTTATAGTAGATATGTTCTATCATTAAAATCAAAACTTCTTAATGATGAAATCGATGAAACGCTCTGCCGAAGCGTTCTTAATTAATACAACTGTTATTTTAAAGTGGTGATTTCGTCAACACCTTAAACATACTGCTAAGACATGGACATGAAGACATCATGTGTTCATGCTTGCAGCAATTGAAACACACCAAACTTACTTTATGTCAATTCTTTGTCTTTTTGCTTGTCTCTTCTTTTGTGTTCTAAAATGAAATTGTCTTCTCAATGGCGTGCACACACACATGTGTGTCAGCTGAAGGGCGTGAGAGAGAGAGAGAGACACGAGCGCCCCATAAATAAGGGTGTAGGTGGACTATAAAGAGGCACTGTGGGAGATGACTACATTTCTGGGGCGCGCAATATCAATGAAATGCTAATAGAAAAATTCCAAACGGCCCCTTTTTTATGTTTTGCGGAGCAAATGGTCAGATGGAGGGGATATTTCAGGTGGAATTCGGATCATTTGACTTTTATTTTATCACTGCCAGACTGTCCGTGCGGCACGTCTTGTCGGACGCCGACGCGTCGTGGAGTGGCGATCGCGGCAGGATTTCTGAGGACATTGCCATGGATTTGGTGTCGCGCACATCGCCAAATTCCATCACATTTTGCTGTGTGTGCGGCCCACCGGGCTTCAATGACGCCGCCGCGGCGCTGCTGGCCAACGCCGGCTTCCCAGCGGCCGATCTGCACGTGTTCCAGGGCTGATCCCTCTGGAGGCCCAGAGAAAGTTCACTAAATACACACTCAATCACACATTTTAGGGAAGTCTTATGAGATTGTGTAATTGTATTGTAGAAGTAATTGAGACAAAAAGGGTATTTTCAGGCCAATTTGTAATAAATGCACCGATTTCTGTTTGTTTTCATGCCAATCAAATCGATGTAACTTGCAATTCTTTCGGCATAAGAATAAACTATATATATATATACATAGTGTAGTTTCGCAAAGAACACACACGGCCATCCTTGTAAATTAGGATTTTTCCCTCCGAGGCGCAGAGAAGAAGAAGAAGACGTTTGATGTTGAATGTAATTCAATAACTGTTGCGAAGATTGCGAGAGAGAAATATATTTACAAGTCAGAACACAGAGGCTCTTTTTTTTTACTAACTCTGGAGCGAATCCTGAAGCTTCCGTTGACCCTTCAAGTGCTCTCTAATGGATTTAGCTCATTAGAATGCAGGTAAAGTTCCTAACTTTCATGTATATTTGATGTATCCGCAATTTTCTCCCGTCAGTGCTTTCTGATATTCCGGAGATTTGGAGAGGTTTTCACCATTTCTCTGCCTTGAAACAATTCGCATTATCATTTCAGGAGTATGTAATAAAAATGATGAATAACATGATTACATCATTAGTGCTTTCTACTTAATGTATTTTAAAAAATTTGGAAATATTTTTAATCTGATTTTAAATTGAAAACATCGCAAAATTCGTGAATTTCCACGTGAAAATGATCAAAATTCAGTGACATGTATTTTCCTACGTTCAACTGTCGTGTTATTTGAAATTCAATTCACACGCAGAGCTTTTTCGAATTCCCATCCATGCGCCCCCTTGCGGAATGCGGGCGCAACGTGGTCTACATTTCGAAGAGTTTCGGGTGCCGAGCACTCGGTCGGCTCGTGGCAGCATCACTTCGCTCAGAATCGCCGACGGGGCAACATATCGACATCCGCGAGGCGATTTTTTCACTCTGTTGTGTGGTGCAAAGTTTAATCTTCCATTACTCAAGAAATCACTTCGTCTGCTCGCTAAAATCTCTCCTCAAAGATCAACCCTCGAAATCGACGCTGCGACGGTAACAAAAACTTACAATTTACCATTTGAACGTTTACCAGAGCTTTTTGGTTTTTTTTTTTACTTTTGTCACTCCGTAATAATTTTGAGAGCAAGAGAAATATGAGATAAAAAAAAACTATCTATCATGCAAAGAACGCTGGGAGTGCCTGTGCCTTGTTTCATATTGACGCCATTTTCATCGCACGACGAGAAAAATGCCATCGCGAGAGCATTAAAAGAGTGTGTATGTGTGTGAAGAAGAGATTTTCTATTGCGGAAAGCATTATTCTACGCGTCGAATTTTATTCCGTTCCTCCCTTTTCTTTTTGTTCCTCTGTCACGCAAAATGGACGCGTGCAGTGTGAAGTGACAAATAGCGAATTGCCAAAAGAAAATGTTTCCCAACTTCATGGATTTCGTTGCGTCGTGACGCCGTGCGACTTGTGAAATCAATCGAATAAATATACATGCATTCTTGGGGCCCAGAAATGCGCTTCTATATCAAATCTGCAAAGTGTGTGAAATTTCTGGGCTTGCTGCGATTCATATTGCGAACATCGTGAATTCAAATTTTTGCCGGTGGCCTTCAAAAGGCCCCAAAAATAGAATTCGGCGTGTGACGAAATTTTGTGATTGTATGACATATCATAAATTGTATTTCTGCCCATCTAAAATCTTCGCGCGTCTCGATTTTTATCAGTCAATAAAAAAAAGAAGCAAAATGAAAGAAAAAAGACAACTCTTCACAGCAAAGCAAAGAAAAAATATGAGAAAAATATCATCGCCTTTATTTAACAAGTCACAATCACGACAATGCACTAAAAAAAAAGCCTCTTTGATAGAATTAATTTTGTTGAAAAAAAAATGTAATGCTCAACTTTGTTTCTTTAATTCAACCCCCCTCCCCGCCACCCCCAATAAAAAAAAATAGGAAGTGAGAGAGAGAGAAAAAGAACCCTTTTTCAACTGCCTCTGCATGTTTTTTATTCTCTTGAGACTATTTTTTATCACTGTATTTGTGGCATTTTTAGCAGTAATTTCTGTTTAACCAAATTCAGTCACACAATGTTTGTGCAGAAAACCTGCCGTATTTTTTTTCTTTCTCAATCACTCTTAGAAGTTCATCAAACTCCAGCCCTGACATAATTCTTTCTCTCTCTCTCTCTGTTTTTGCCCGAAAAACAAAATTCGCCACAGAGAAAATGCGCAACTGAATGAAGATGAATTCTTTTTGATATACTGAAATTTCTCTGATATTTTTAGGCTAATTCTCGGCACAAAAGTAGTTAACACGCAAGATAAGGATTTGCTGAAGCGCAAAGTGTTTGTTTTTTTTTTGCAGAGGGGAAGAAAGAGAGACATTAATTGTTGGGCCTTAACAAGAAAATCTCACAGTGAAGAAGACATAAAATGCGGAGTGTAATTTCAGTAATTCAGAGCGCAAAGAACCTCAGCAAAAGCAACTTCTTATCTACTTTTGCGCCTTTTTTTGCTTCCTCTCTTGATAAACTGTGCATTTTATAAGGGGGAGCAAATAGAAATTCCTATAAGATTGTGAAAATTCGTCGTATTTCTATTAGTCACTCAATGGTTAAATTTACATTCAGCATCACATTTTGCCTCTTGAGATCAAGACTTTATGATTAATCAAGGGGAGAAAGTCATTAGTTGATTACTGGGGAATCTTAATGGTCTCAATTAAATATTTAAATAGTGATTTTTACTTTAGAATAGTGAAAAATTTCAAAAACAATAGTCAAAAGTGATTATTTTTCCAAGTAAAATTGCAAAATAATAAAAGATTGAATATTTTTCACAAAATATTTAATAAAAATTTAAATTGAAATAGCAAAAATGTCACAAAGTTTGCCACAATCTGGATTCGAACACCTAAAATTAGGAAGAAATCCAGGAAATTCAGTGATTTTAAAGTTTAAATTGCTGCCCTCTGGTGGCAATATGTGGAGAAAAAAAATCAAATATCTTAATTTTGATTAAATTAAAGAAAAAACATTCACAAAGGATTCTTTATTGTGGCTTTGAACAATATAATGTTATGAACTTCTTCACCAGTTGCGCAAATTCTCATTTCTCTCACTGTAATTTGAGAGCTCCTGAACTTTCTCACGTCATTTGGGGGGAAAAAAGCATGAGCTTTTTCTTCCCTTTTTTTCTTTCATCGTCATACAACTTTTGAGGGAATTTCTCTCCTTAGAAAAAGAACATTTTCACTAGTGTTTTCCCCCCCCCCCGCTTCGCGGTGTGATTGAAATATAAGTTTAAGACTGTGTGAACAAATGCTGTGTCGTTTGATTTTCCCTCCTTCACTTCTTGTGATTTCCCTTGATTTCGCTGCTAAGGCAAAAAGATAAATCAAATGTTTTAAAAACGTCTGAACAAAACAAACTCCTGACGAAGAAAACACGCACACAGACCTTTAAAAAACCATGTCCAGAAATTGTGACTGAGCCAATAAAAAAAAACAAACAACAAATAGCAACAAGATGAGCACAAAGAAAACCAAACCTATGTCAAATTTCACAGTCGACGCACTCTGAACTTACGCACTGCGTTCAAACGACGAAACCCGCTACGCGACGCTAAGAAAACAGGCATTTTGAGGGGCACCCACTTCGACAGGCCCTTCAAAGCGCTCCCAGTCCAGCTGCACGGCGTCCTCGTTGCAGTGCGCCGCCTCATCGCATCGACGTCAAGTCTTATAGGTAGATTTCAAAGCGAGAGAGAGAGAGAGAGAGAGAGCCTAGCTATGGGCGATATTCGCGGCACACGAGTCTACGTGGGAAATCTCACGGACAAGGTGAAGAAGGAGGATCTCGAGGGGGAGTTCATCAAGTTTGGCAAGCTGAACTCCGTCTGGGTGGCCTTCAATCCGCCCGGCTTTGCGTTCGTGGAGTTCCAGAATCAGGACGAGGCCGAGAAGGCCTGCGACATCCTCAATGGCACGGAAGTGCTGGGCTCCAAGTTGCGCGTTGAGATCTCCAAGGGCCGGCCGAGGAGCTCGCGCGGCGGCCCCGGCGGCGGCAAGTTCGGCGGCCCGGGCGGTCGTGGGATGAGCCGCGGCGGCGGAGGGTTCAGGAACGGCGGCGGGCCGCGCCAGAGCAGCGGCGGCGGCGGTGGCGGCGGATTCCGCAGCAGTGGCGGACCGGGTGGGTTCAGCAGCCGCAGCGGCGGCGGCGGCGGTGGTGGGGGAGGCGGAGGCGGTGGTGGGTTCCGGCCACGCGGCCGGGGCGGCCGCGGCGGGTACGATTCTGGCAATGGTGGCGGCGGATTCGGCAGTCGATCGGGTGGATTTGGGCGCGATCGCGATGGCGGCGGGTACAATTCGTTCGGCGGCGGCGGACGGAGCAACAGTGGCGGCGGCGGCGGAGGCCGCTTCAGGTCACGGAGTCCGGCCGGCGGCGGAGGCCCACGAGGGCGATTCTAAGCACAGATCCTCCTTCAGAACCGCGCCTCACAAATGGTTAAAAATGGTCTCATTCTATATATATTTATAGATATTGCATTATTTTCTAGCTTTCGATAGGCTGACATTTCATAGTTTTTGTTTTTCATCTTTCGGATTTTCAAAATTCACCGCTAACGGAGGAAAAATCATAGTTTTTGTATGATTTTCACAACAAATATCAAATAGACTGCCTATCAAATAGTTGATATTGCAAATCTCTGACTTTCGGCTCCCGGGATTATTTTCTTTTCCCGCTTGTTTGTCATCGCAAGAAAAAAATGCGCAAAGAAAATCGATGTAAGAAGAAGAACCCCTTTGAAAATCTCTCTCTCGCTCAAAAAGAAAAAAAAAATGCAACCATATTTTGTGTGGGACAATTAGGATGTTGAGAATAAACAAACAAAAAGAAGAAGAAAAACATGATTGTAAAATGGAGAAAAAAAAACCGTGAGAAATAAAAACGACGAAAATCAGTGTCTTTTCCACGTTTTTTCTGTGTGTGGAAAGAGACACGCTGCAAGAGGGATTGATTGAAGAGGGAGATACTAAAAGAAAAAGAAAAACAGGAAGAAGAAAATAGGAAGAAACCACCAACAAATGAAATGTGAAAAATTTGTGTGATTTGCGAAACAAAAGGAGCCCTTTTCATCTGTGTTTTTTTTTTAGCGTAAAACAAAAGATAATATCTTCAGTCTTTCAATAAAATGTGTGTTGGAAAGAAGCAAATTAAGAAGAAGAAGAGGAAGAAAAAAAAAACAGAAAAAGATGAGTAACAAGAGTATTGCAGAAAAAAAATGTAAAGAGAAAATTTTAGTGTGTCTCGAGAGAAAAATTTGAATAAAGAAAGAGAGAGAGGAACTATTTAGATGAGAAAAAGTCTTTTTTTGTTTTACTCTCAATCACACTTTGCTTTTCTTGTCTCTCGCGCCGCGGCGGCGGAGGAAAAGGCGATGGAAACTTAACAATGGCGTCTCTCAGTTGATGTAGCAGGACTCGTAGGTCGGCACCATGTACTTGATGTTGATGAAGGCGTCCTCGCCGCCGTGGCGCTCCAGCACTTGCAGAGTCTCGTCGATCAGGTCGCCCAGATTCATGTTGTTCTTCTGGGCGTAATCGATGCTGTCGCCGCAATTCACTGGCCGCGCAAAGAGAGAGACAAGGAAGAATGTCAGATGATTGTCAGCATCTTGAGAGGCGTGCAACACTCACGGTTCTTCACTTTGTAGGCGTTGAACATGGGCAGCAGCTGGCGATAGAAGGGCACCAGCGCCGGGCCCACGAGATCGGACGACATCACGAGCTGCTGGATGATCTTCAGAGTCACGCACATCGTCTCGTTGTTGCGCGTATTCAGAGCGTCTGCAAGGACGATCAAGATAAATCACAGGATTCGTGCTAATGACAGCTGAATTGGGTCAATTGCAAGCCATTGTTCTCTTGCCAAACTTATGCAATATTCAGCCGAAAAGTGTCACTGAACTTTCGCAATTGAGAGTGGAATTTTAGCAAAAAAAAAGCAGAACTTTTTATCTGCACTTAGACTGCCAATCGATGACTTTAATCGATCGGCAATAAAACACGCTCTTCTTCTTCATTAGAAATGTTTCTCAGATAACAAACTTGTTCGTGTGCTTCACAGAAGCTAAAGCACAAATTCACCTTTTAATTAGAATATATACTTATTCCATATATGTTGAAAAGTGTCGATAAGTTACTGAATTTACCGACACGAAGGGTTAACTCATTACGAAGAATATGACATTTACCTGGAAAACCTGAAGAGCTTCAAACTGTACACTAAGGAGATTCCAAAAGGAATTCACTGAATCCCTTCTGTGCGACTTCTGCGAAGTGTCTTCCTACCTGAACACGAGACTTAATTGCCATCTGGAAAGTGCCAAAAGCAGGCGACAGAAGATGGGACAAAATCACTCACTCTTGATGGGGATGATGAGCTGCGGAATGACGGGGTAGATCTTGTCGCCGCCGTGCGCCAAGAGGTCCTGGACGCCCTGGCGGGCGTACGTCTTGTAGGGATGCTGCGTCTCGCTGAGTCCGTCGAAGAAGAGCGGCAGGTAGAGGCCGTAGTCCAGCTTGTCGATGTCCACCGTCCACGCGATCTTGAAGCCGCCGATCAGGTAGTCCATCTTGATGGGCAGATCGCCGCGGTCGTAGTACATCCGGAAGGACGTGGCGCGCGGCTGCAGGAAGTAGCGTCCTGTTGGCGACACGGAGGGAGACTGTGTGTGTGAGAGTGGCCAGGGAGACAGAGGGCGCGTCGGGAAACTCACTCTGGGGCGTCTTGGGTGGGCCCAGGACGCGCGTGTTGCGCTGCAGGGACTCCGTGGAGAACGGGGGCACGGGCCGCTTCTGGCGAGAGCCGGACATTGTGTGTCCACTGCACACACACAGTGGCTATAATTCCTGCACTATCGAATATCACCACTGCTCGTCGCCATGGACACGTCGCGGCGTCAACACACGCCGTCTTATCAGGCGCCGGAAGTGCGCCACTTCTTTATCGACGCACCGCACGAATTGGGCCAGAAAAGCGAGCGCATTTGCTGCTCCTTTTTTTTCCCCACGAAGGAATCCAGGCCAATCGATGCGCGAGACTTTGAACTCAAATGCAGAGGCTTTGATTGATGTGCAGAAGGAAGTTCAATGGCAAGAAAGGACAGACAGAAAACACAGCTTTCTTCAATTCTCCATTTATCAATCAATCATATATATATTTATATATTTTCAGCCAGAGAAAATATATACCTAAATTATTACGCCTAAGTGTAACTTCAAGTAGTTTTTTGTGTTATTTCTAAAATGACAAATACTTCATAAAATCAATCACTTCATCATTGAAATATAATAAAAATGGGCGCAAAATCTCATCATCGGCATCGCAATTCATCCTTTTTCACTTTGCCATATTCTTCCTATAATAGAGTAATTCATTGTGAAATTAGCCGAAATTCATCTCATTTCTTTTACTTTTCTTCCTCTTCACTTTTTCCTGTCTTCAATTCCACTCTTTTTGTTCATTGAATTCATTTTACATTTATATTTAGTATCTTCTAGAGGTAAAATCACAAACTTATCAGGATAAGTCAGCTATAAGTCCATTGTAAATTCAGAGGAAAGAACTATAAATTTGGGGAAATTATATACTCCAAACGTCTCTCTCTTTCATCAAATTGCCGGACAAGCGCGCGCGGCCTAATTGTCATCCGTCAGCAGCCCCATTCGACTGGAGGCCGTTGGGAAGGTGGAATACAGAGCATTGAGCGCGGCAGGATTGTGATAGTTGAAGCCCAGGCTGGACTGCAGCGCCTGCTGCGAGGCGATGATGCTGCTGCCCAGCATCGTCATCGATCCAGACTGCTGCTGCTGCTGCTGCTGTTGCTCCTGGAACTCCCCCAGCGACTGATAAGTCTGGTAATTGAGATCGAAAGTCTGCTGCATGGCGGCAACTTGCTGTCCACCGGCCACATTCGCCTGCTGTGGCTGCACGCGATTGTTCATCAAGCCACTGACCATGAGATTTGGCGTATATCCATCCTCCTGAGCAAACTGATAGTCCAGATTCTTGATGATCTGCCTCGGCTTCTGCTGCGTCTTTCGCCTGCGATTCGAACTGGCCGCCGCCGCCGCCGCTGCCATCGGCACTTTGTTGCTGTTCAGCTGTTGCCTCATCATCGTCACACTATCCGGCACTTCCATCTTAATCTGCAGCACAGCTTCCGGTGGTGTCTCGTCCTTCTCCACCTTCACCGCCTTCTGTGGCGCCGACGGCGTCTTACTAATGCCCGTGGTGTAAACCTTACTCGGTGTGGTTGTTGAGGAACCGTGCGAAGACTTCCTCGACTCCAGGAACTCACTGAACGCCCCCAAATATGACATATTGGTGTTCATACTCTTCATCGGCGGCGCCTTTGCTTCTGTCTTCATCTCTTGCTTCACTTGTGGCGGCGGCGACGGCTTCACCTCCTTCTTCACCACAGGCGGAGGCTTCGGCACCACTGGCGGCGGTGGCTTTGGACAAAACACAGGCTTCACAGTCAAATTCTGCACACTCGGCGGCGGCCTGACGACCGGCAACTGCATCGGAGGCTTCGGCGGTGGATTCACGCCCGCCTTCACCATCGGATTCACCGGCAAATTCGTCACAGGCGACGACTTCATCATCGCCGTCGAACTGCCATTGATCATCGAATTGACCATTGAATTCATCATGGAGTTCATCATGGGCGTCATAATGGGATTCATTGACATGCTGTTCATCACCGGATTCATCGGGATGCTGGAGTTCGGCATGTAATCGTATTTTTCCACTTTTGGCGCAGGCGTCAGAGGACTTTGTACTGCACAAACAATGGGAAGAAAGAAAGAAAGGAAAAAACGGTGTAAATAAAAGGTGTAAAATTAAATACATCTCAAGATTCAACAAAGAAACATTCACACTAAAAACAATTTGGAGAGAGAAATTGAATATTTTGCGAATGAATTAAGGCTAATAAATCATTTATACTTCAAAACCAGCAAATTTGAGGTCATATTGCAACATGAAACTTAAGAAATTGAGTGAAAAAGGATTTATGAACTATGAAAAATTCTTAAAGCTTCCGTAAATCAAAAACCAATAATTTAACATCACGAAATAGAGAGTTCAATCATGTGAAATAACATAGAAATGTGACGGAAATTGCAGTATAAATTCCACAGAATCCATCAATCAAATCACACACATAAAGAGAAATCAAGCGAAAAATTTCCGCACACAGCATTGCAAAATTCACCCATTTTTTGACATGATTTCTCACAAGCACAAAAATGATAAAACACTGATAATCCACAGGAATTTGACTGCAATTTGCCACTGGAACTCACCTGGCACTGGCGGTTTGGCATACGAGCCAAATGGTGTCTCTGTCAGACTCCTGATGCCGGGCGAATTGTCCAGAATCTTGTTATTGACTTTCCCCATCGAGAGTGTCGGCTTCTCTATCCTCTTGGCATTCACTTTTGGGGTCATCGACATGGCTGGCGATGGCTTTCGTGCCTTCGGCTGCTTCGCGACCACCTCAGCAGCCGCAGCAGCAGTGGCGGCGGCGGCGGCGGCGACAGCATCATTGCGCACGCACGACGGAGTCTCAACACTCGTCAGAGTCTTGCTCTCATACAACTTTGGCTTCATCTCCAATTCCGGTGGCTTTGGTGTTTTTGCTATCTTCGCCTGTGCTTTCTTTGGCTCCAGCAACTGCGACAGAATCCGCTCAGACTCCAGATTGGCTACCATATTGGCCGTTGGCTTCCTCTCGCGCTTCCCTGTAATTTCCGGTCGGTTGATATTCAGCAATTCCAATTCTACCACACATGCGAAATTATCCATAACAAAGAAGCCATCAAAAATACATAGAAATTCGATCCCAGAAAATAAAAAAAAGATAGAAAGAAACACAAATAAAGTCTCAATTAAATATCCTTTTCAACTATAATATTGTAAATACCTGTGAGTTTCAATTTCTTAGGCTTCTCCTTCTTCTGTCCATCCTGACCAACTTCCTCCTCTTCAGCCTCCTTCTTGGGCTTTCGCTTTCGCGGTCGCCCAACTGGTCTCTTTCCACGTCTGCTGCGCATCTTCCGCAACTCCTCCATTTCACCCCAATCATAGTCATCATCACTCAAATCGTCATCAGAATTCTTTCGCTTCTTCTTGTTCTTCCTCACCTTGAACTCCTCATCTGTGCAAACAGAGAAATTGACATTAGAGTAGAAGATAAAGAAAATCCTCAATTGTCAATGTCACTCTCACCTGAGTCATAGAGCAAATCCGAGAGTTTCTTCTCCATAGTCATATCATCCACGTGTTCAGCATCATCTTCAGGCTCATACATCTCATCCTCAGCATTGTCCAGTGTCAGCGCTCCACTCAGCACTGCGCGCACCTCATCGGGAATATGTGGATTCCTCTCGATGTCATCCATATCCAGATCTGGATAGCGCTCCTTGAAGGACTTGCTGGAATTGCTCAACGTCGGATTACACTGTCGATTCATCTTGCTCAGCATCTCCTGCGCCAGCGGATTCTCCTTGTTGCTCACCAGCCTCACCAGATCTTGCTCTGTGGGTGGATTTGCCGGTGTCTGAATATGATATGGACCCTCAGGATGTGGTCCAATATCCTGACCCTTCAACCAATTCTCATAGCGCTCCGGCTGAAGGCGCTTCACAAATGTCTCCATGGAGATCTTCACCATGTCACTGCTGCACTGACACTGTGTCGCCCTCTTGCCATACTCCACCCACCGTGGCATCGCGAAATTCGTCGATTCGGCACAATTGAAGCCATGATTGAAGCCCGAATGATACCCAAAAGGAAAGGTTATCATGATCTCACCCGCTTCTTGGGTAATCTACAGAAATAAGAAACACAAACACACACAGAAAAGATATTTTTCATCAATCTATTCAGAGATCATATCCAAAAACTCCCACAATTTCTCACCTTATTGTACGGAATGTTGTGCTTCTTCAGAATCTGCGGACTTATCAGTGTTGTCTTGTGTCTCAAGTAAGCCTTGCAATTATTGTGACTTGCCTCAAAGTACGTGTTTGCCATCTTCTCCATTCGCCTCCCCAATTCCGGCGGCACAGCATACCACGTCTTTGGCGCCCCAAAATGCAAATAATTTATCGAATACAAATCCATATCTTCAGTGTGCCACGCAAATGTCGTCTTCCACATGCCAAAATACAAATACGCCGTATTCACGCCGTCAATCTGTATCCCATAGTCATCATTCACATAATCCAAAATCGTGCCCAACGTGTTCACATTCCACTCCTTCACGTCCGGATCCGTGAGTGTTCCACTCACATCAGCACCATAAATTGGCGCCACATACTTTATATTCTTCCAATACTTCCTCTCCAAGTCCTCAAAGTCAAAATGATTGGGCGTGGCATAGCGATCAGTTTGTGCCAATTCGCTGAATTGCTTCAACGTTATTGGTCGCTTCTGGATGTTGATCTGCTGATAGAGTCCCTGCTTGCCCGCCACAATCTGACAAATGGGCGCCGGAATTGTGATGTCCAACTTATCAAGGTCATATCCAGATTTACGTGGCACCCACTCAACCGGAGGCACAACCTGCAGAACAAATGTTGCAATAATAAAGTGGGCGTGGCTTTCCAGGAGGCGGAGCCTCATCGCTTTATCAAATAGTCAGAATTTTACACTCCAATTCGCTAAAAATCGAAAGGAATCTATTTGATATTGCAACTTAACGATTAAGAGTTTATTTAATACGAATTTCATCCGCGACTATCTTTGAGAAGGCTTTGTTCCTCAATAGGACGTAATGCCGAATAATTAAGTAATTTATAGAAAAATTGGTTGAATTTTAAACTGATTCTCAAAAAATCAATCTTCGTCAATTAACATTTCCCCTTTTCTTCCCCCTCCAATAAAAGAAAGGGATTTTCTAGATCTGATTAAGCCTGGTTCTAAGTGAAATTACGCTCAATCATTCCACACTCATCGCTCAATAAGTCGAAGTGCCTCAGCGATGGCATATAGCTCTGCCGGGCCGCGCTGAAACATCATTCTGTGCTATGTGATATCACATAGCAAGTGAAACCCCTCTTATATACCCATCACAGTCAGGCAGTCCGAAAATCGACTCGCCCATGTACAGCTGCAAAAGCCGAAAGAATGTGAGTCAGTGAGTGGAAAGAGAGAAAACTCTCTGTGTGAACTCGCCTATGAGCACAACTGCACAAAACCTCTCCCATTTTATCTTTTCAGCCTCTATTTTTTCCTTGTGCCTCCTTCTCGCGACGCCAGAGGAGCGCATATACACCGTAAATCGTACACAACATTGCCATGTTAGCCACAACACTTCTCGTCTCTTCTTAAACACAGGAGAGTACAAATGGTTTCTCAAAATTTGATTTGCTCAGCATAAAAATCCTTTATCGACAAAATAAACATCAAATTATTTTTAAAAAGTTGAATTGAAATAAAAAAAAACATCAAAGCCATAAGTCTCTCATTTCTATACCACTTCTTTTCACACACATAGAAATGCGCAGTGGTAGAAAAATCGATTTTTCTCCTCGCTTTGCGCTCATTTCTTGCGTTGAAAGTAAAACTTACGCCGGACGGCAATGGGTTAACAAAATCACGGATTCTTTGAAAATGAAAAAAAATCATGTTTGAGGCTAACTAATGGAAAAATAGTGATTTTAATAAGTTTATCAGCATAAAAAATTTGCTGGAATAACATTAATTTGACCTCTGACAATGTCGATCGAGGCACGCGAGGTCATGCTAAAAATATATATCCCGTCAAAAGTCATTATAAAATGAGTGTTAGCATTGGAAATACATCAGCGTAATATGACTAGGCCGTGTCTCCGCTATGGCGACATAGATGGCGCTGACCATTCGATCGGAGTTTTAAAAAAAAATATAGCAACACTTCTGCCGATCCTTCGACCATCACGACACACGCACTCTGTTCACGCCAATTAGCGTGAACAGTCTGTGTCGTGACCCGAAGTGTCGAGCAGAAGTGTTGCTATATTGAACTGTGCTTAAGGATATTTCCGGAGTAGTTTCGTCACTTACCTTCGCCAGACCCGCCTTGTGCGCCCCCTGGGACTCCATGTACTGAATGTACTTGCCGAAATCCTTGAACTCCTCCCAAGTCGGTCGGAAGACCATCAGACGCGGAATTTGGTAATCGTCGCCCATTTTCTCGTCTCTCCGTATCTTGTCGAGCCTCCAACGTTGTTATCTGTTCGGGAAGGAAGACGCATTCTGTGCTTAGAAAAATACACACCTACACTGTAAAACTCCTCTCCACACTCTAAAACATATTGGATTCTGAGAGCCTCACACTTTAGCAGTGTGACTTTAATGCATCTCCCACAAAACTCAGTTCGTCTCTTCTGCGGAAGGGAAACGTGAAAGAGTGTGAAAAAGGTGTATTTCTCATTATATGAGAAGCATAAGTGACAAAAACACTTTGAACAGCGCAAATCTGAGGAGTGTAAAAACAACGCGACTCTTTTCCCAGGTATTTTTCAGTGTACTTTTGACCCAAGTTTCGTTCATCTCAATTTTTTCATTTCTTCATCAGACACTTTTGTATTTTCTCTCCTCCATAATCACTAAAATCACTTTAGAACACAAAGTGTACTAAAAACTTTATTTTTTAGAACATGTTCCAAAAATATCCAGGAAGTGAAATTTCGTTCAGCGCACAAAACATTTCAGCAAAGCTGAATTTTCTCACATTCATCAGGACATTTCAGCAGCATCGTCAGTAAGCAGTAGCGCTATATATGCAGGAAATCTGGTTGACAATGCAAAAGAGGGAAAAACGAATGGCCAAGCACTTGTTCCTCTTTGCACACGGCACAGCAAACTCAGCTGTGTTGGTTGAGAGTAGACAAGTCGCATGGGAATTGATTCACCGTGCATTTTGCAAATAGATCCAAAAGACTCCAACTGACGATGATGGACAATTGATTACTTATTAAAAAAAAAAACAGGACACATCATAACCTCAACGACCCTCACTAAATTTCTCTGGAAAACTATCATTCCAACCATCGAAAACTAATCACAATCACTTATGGGTTAACTTGACCCTCTGACGCGTACTAAGAAATAAAATACTTTGACCTCAAAACTCAATTAAAACCCAAAATCAAATTGAAAAAAAGCATAAAACAACATCGAGAAGATGAATGAACATGAGATTCCGACGCTCTCTGGTGTCAGCTTGCATAACTGAGACAAATGATAAAGCCGAGACACCTTTGAGTAGCTGAATTCCCTGGTTCCCCTTCTACTCGCTTACGAAATGGTTTACTTTGGAAAATTATTTCCATCCTTCTAAACAATGTCATATAGTGAAAATTTATTTTAACCAATTTTAGCATTCACAGGGTGACTCAAAAGTCACAAATACACTTTTTCTCCAACATACAAACATTTTAAGAAATTCCCTCAAAAAAAAAAAATAAAGGAAGAAAACCAACAACCAGAAGCTTCCGTGAGAAGATCTTGATTTATAAAGGAAAAAAAAAACCACAAAGGATGTGGAAATTATCGTGAATAAGTGCAAAAACTCAGCGTTCAGAGCTCAGCGAGTGTCGCTGCTCTTTGCATTAAAGCCCCGAACATCAGTGCCTTGAATGGCGCGCAACACATACTCAACAATTCAGCCGTGCTGTGTTTATACTTTCTCTCCTTCTAATTCAAAACATTCCACATTATTATTCATTCTCTTCAAAGCAAAATTATGTTTTTGAATACAATCTATGTTTTTCATTCTCTTCAAGAGGGGACCTTTCCTCAACGAATCCCTTTAGTACATATCCGAAAGACACACAAAGTTCATGGCTTTCGTTGGATAATTCCTAAATGCTCTCTAATTCCATATAGTGAATTTCATCGTGAGAATATCTTCTGGTGAAATTTCTCAATGTCCGTTCCAGTGCTTCTATTCAGTGAAATTATCACTCTATATTGCGCATACATATTTCATACTCTCTCATTCCATCTTGTATTCATGTGAATACAACAATTGTCGCTTACCGAAAACCCTACAACCCAACTCATTATCTACTCTTTGATCACTTCGGAGAACCCTTCTGTCTCCCGAGGTTAAACCCTATTAAAACATCAGAAACACCATGCCAAAATCCTTAGGAATTAGGGATGAAAGTGATTTTGAGATACAGAAATTCTCATTGAATTTTAATCAATATTTTCCAAAGAAGAATGATTTTCGTCATAATTCTGTCCCTTAATTGATTAGACGGAATATCTTTTCAGAAGTCATTCGCAGTTCCACTTGTATTGCTTCCATTCTGTGCACTCATCGCTGAATTAATTACAAAATCCACCAATTGTAAAGTAGAACAACCAAAATTATCCTTTCTTCAGTCAACTTTAACATTCAGAAGCTTTGCAAAACCATTTCCCTTTCCCTCAACCTCAAATCAGTTGATATGACGCATGATGTATTGCATAGTCATTTGGCAGAGAATAAAAAAAACAAGATTTATTTACTATAGGAAATCCCATTGCGACAATCCAGAGATTATCAGTAATTGTCAGTAAACAAACCCAAAGGTAAGCAACATAACCTCACATAAACAATTCAACATATGAAAGACAAACTGTTAATCACCTCCAAACAACTGCAGCTGACCTCATTTCCCCAACACACCGATAATAATAATAAATTCACTACTGAAATTACGGAAATTACGGAAAATAAAACATAAGCGATAACATAACCACACAAAAAGCCCGAAGCAAATCGACACAGAGCGACCCGAAAGAGAGGAGTGCCCACGAGACACCCTGTCGGCGAAGAGTGGGAGAAGAAAAGGCACGACGGGGAACACGTGCTCCGTCGGCCAACTTGTGGCCTGTTTGGATTCTCGCGGAGCCGAAAGCAGAGCGGCCCGCGCGTCAGCCGGTGCACATTTGACAGGCAATCCGTGAAGAAGTGTCAGTGTGTGTCTGTGTGTGTGTTTGTCGATGTGTGTGTTTGTTTATGTTTTCCTTTTTTTCTTTCAAAAGAAAAACAAAGATCTCAGATTTCGGAAACCAGACTAGAACGTTGTTCACAGGAATCAGACAACAAGATCACAGAGAGGATTTGAATGGTAATTAAGACACACCAGAAACAGAGTTAAATGATGCTTCGAAGTGAATCCTTCGGAGAATGGCGAACGACTGAATGGTTGGAAGTATTGTGAAATACAAGATCATGGAAGAAAAAGGATGAAAATGCGCAAGGACCGGAATTTTCACAGGATTTCATCACATCGTGCAATTCAATCCTCAACACGAGTGATGAAATTCTGGAACATCTCTCGAAAAAAGGGCCTAAAGACTTGAGAAATCAGTTCAGGTTGTTCAGGTAGAAAATCCCAAAACGATTTTGCCTTCAGTCAAAGTCAATTCAGTCTGGAATGTTAAACAGGCCAAAGGTCCTTCAGGACCATAAAATTCTAATCGACTGACTCTAGACTGATTTGTAACTGTGTTCGCATTACAGATTTCTTGTAATGTTTTACATACTCTTTTTCATGAGTGTTTCAGTATGGCTTCAGGCAGTCGCCATCAACATTGCCCAGATATTGTTTTTGATACGGAAATCGCGGAAAGATTTCCCTCAATGATGAGTTGAATTAGAAATGTTCTTTATATCAAATCCACTTTAATAACCTAGAAATTGTATGTTTTTCTTATCACGCTTTGATTTTTCTGACCAATTCTTAATTTTTGTCCTGATCAGCACAATCGCATTTTTTTCTGGCTCTTGCATTTTTTGCCCCAATTTTCATCAGATATATTTCACCAAAAGTTTTTATCTCTTTCATAGAAGATTCCATCTGTTTGCCACCCTACGTTGGCTTCCGCAAGAATCCCACATTGCGTAAACCTCAACAATCTCATGCTTGATTTTCAGTGAATTTCATCATTAATAAATGCACAAAAGTCCGGAGTAAAGCGTTTTTCTATGCAAATCAGGTAATTTCGCCACGATCCCTCCAGATATTCTGCAAAGTATCATCGCCAGGGGAGACTTTGAAGGCTCTGAAGGACTCTCTTTCACTCCTGCCGGCCGAGCTTCGCCATGAAAAGCACTATGGCAAGGCCTACGTGACCAACTCTATATGCGCTCGCCTATGTACAAGTTCGTGCGCCTCCTCGGGGACGATTTCTCCCCCAGCGAGATTGACATTCAGCTCAGTAAATCAATCACGGGGAACTACTCAGCGAACGGACAACCACAAATGCATCGCCGGACAGTGTGAATTCCCGGAAAGAGTGACTTTTTCCCACCCGTAGAAAATCATTGAAACAAAATGGTGGTACTCACAAATCTGCCTTGTTCACCTCTTCGTCGATTTTATGCACTAATCTTCACGTGTTGCCCACTCTCTGCTGCACACAAGTCTTCTGGCCACTCTTATCGATGTCCTGGCACACAAATTGGGAAGTTGCGAGACATTTTTCTCTGGAAAATCGCAGGAAGAACAACTCCACCATACAAATTCACACACCTCACTCTCAATGGCTGAAATGAAGACTGAAGGCAAAGACCGATAAAACAAACGCCACGGAATGTTCGGCGGATGTTCGTAAGAACTGGTCGATACTTATCGATTCGCGACAATTTTGAATTTATTTTGCTAACCAGAAATCTCTTGATCTTCATTTTCTTCAATGTTATCAAAAATCTCATCTATGCAATCGACGGTGTTGTTCAATCTCGTCCGGAAGTGTTGATAAGCAACCTTCTCAGCCTCATTTAGTTGCACGTAATTCTGCAGAGATAAGAAAATGCTTTGAAATTCTCATCTGAAATGTAATTTTCGACCATTTTTCCCACTTACGTGAGGGATGTAAACATGCTCAGCACTCTCCACCTCGTACTTCAGCTCCTCCAGCTCCTTCCGGATGCGCAGGAGCTCCGCCGGTGAGCAAGTGAAGTGCACTAATCTCTCCTTCTCATCCAGAACATCCACTTCTTCCGCCCCCACGAGGATGGCGTGATCTGTGGCATCCTCCAGGAGCCTCTCGGCAGGAGTGTCCTGTGCAACAGCCACAATAATGCCCGTTTCCGTGAAGAGATGCTTCAATTCCGCATAGGAAGAGCCAGTCTTTTTCATCACCGTCTGCAGATTCGCCTTCGCCAAAGCCACATTGTCCGTGTAGAGGACAAGCATCACGTACACCTTGCTGGCCACCGCCTTCACCTCCAGAACGTACCTCTTGTACGTCGCCCCCTGACTGGAGGCTTTCTTGATGCTCGTCTGGATTGTTGCCATTGGAACTTGCTTCTTCACTGCCGCATCAATTGTGTGCTTCAGGAGGGAATTCACCGCCGGATTGGCAGATTTACCCTCTGGAATGCAGAGAAGTGATTAGGTGATTGCTGGTCAACTTCCCAATGTTCTTTACCTTGGATAGCGAGACGGATTTGTCGGGCGAATCTCGCGAACAGCAGAGATTTCTGTCCATCTTTTGCCGCTTTTGTATGCCGAATATTGGCCCATTTGGAGTGACCGGCGAAGTAGCAACTTCCTGTGTGTATTCCACAGATTGACAGGATGTTTTGCTGGGTACTTCTCACCAAAAGCCTCTGGAAGATCATCTTGTGGGAATTTTCCTGGACAGGGTGAAAGTGTGTGGTTATGTCACCATAATCGCTCGATATATCGATCATCGGAATCATCAATTCTCATCAATTTCAATTTCAAGGAAAAACCGGTGAGATAATGAGGAAATTTCTTTTATTATTCTTCTATTTGCTACATCGGCAGTGTTACATAAGTAGTGTATTATCCATGAAGGGTGTAATTGTAAGTCTTAATCTACATATGACAACGTGACAACGAGTGTTCTCCAAATGGTCTACTAAGCGCCTTCCTTCCTCTCCTTCAGTTGTCCGGAGCGCCACTGGGGCCACCCGCCTCCGCCGCCCAGTGCCAATCCTTCCCCTTCGGCCTGAATTTGGACTTGTGCTGCTTGGACGAGCTCGCGTCCTCACCCTGCACCGCGGCATCGCCCTCAATCCCGAATTCCCACTTGCGCTCGCGGAACTTCTTCTTGTAGTGCTTCTCCGTGCGCGACTGCCGCTGATACTTGAGCGGGATGTTCAGCTGCTGCTGCAGTCCACTGTGCGGCGGCGGCGTGAGACTGGGACTGGGCGTGTGCGGCAGCATCTCTTCCGTGAAGTTCGGCGAGATGTCGCACGTGGCCACGGATTCTGTCGTCGTCACGGACAGCGAAGATGTCGAGGACGCCTGAACGGGCGCCATTTGTGGCGCATGGTGACTCTTAGCGTCTCCATAGTGCGGCGAAGCGTCCTTGCTGCTGGGCAGAGAAGCCTCCTCAATGGATCGGCGCGTCTTGTCCAGCTCTATCGAGGCGAAAGCCACCAATTTATCAAATCCACACCGAACACGATCTTGCCAATGACTCTCATCGTCGAGATACTCTGCAAAGACACCACAAAATCAGCACTCACAGTGGGCAAAATTGAAGGGCAGATTGTCACTACTTACCCTCATCCTGCCTGCGCCTGTTCTGCTTCTCATCCATCGGCCCATAATTCGTGTCCGGACTGATTGTGGAGTCCAGCGAAGCCGATTGTCGGTCGCAATTGATGTACGGCGGCGCCTGATCGCCAATGCTCCTTCCCTGTCCCTGGAAGAACGCCATCGAGTCCTGCTTCACGTCCTCCTGCTTGATCTGAATGGGCTGCAGATCCATCGGATGCACATCGTGCAGATCTCTCACTGGCGCCGGATGTTGCACATGATCACTCTCCTGCTTGATCTGCAGCGACGCAATCACGCGCGCCTGGAGTGACGCCGCCAGACCCTCAAGCGGCGGATGGACGACAGCCGCATGATCACCAGCCTGGCCACCACTCGACACCTCGGCAGTGCTGTAGGTCAGCTTCCTCTGGCCAAAGTCCTTCTTCGTCGCCACCTGACGCTCCTTCAGGTGCGCCTCCTGCTCCGTCGTAATCCCACTCATATTCACAGCAGCATTGATGATGCACTGATTGGAGATCTCCAGCGTCCTCTCGATCTCCCCATTCACCAGGTCCCCAATCGTCTTCGTCGCCCGATGGAGATTCACCGGCGACTGCTGCGCCGAGCGCTCCTGATTCAGATGCCGGCGCAGGGCGATCTTCGCCGGCGACACTTGCGTGTAGTCCGGCTGCATGGCAGGATAGACAGCGCCGCGATGGTGCTGAGGCATTCTCATGCCCGGCGAGAAGCTGGCGCGCATCTTTGACGGATCCAACTGAGCCATCTGCTCAGGCGTCATTCGCTCATCGAAGCGCCTGGAAAGAAAAGGGGAAGATTCACAAAGGACTCCAATTGTGAGAGTGAATGTCTTGACATTTGACTCAACTCACCCAGATTCCATCGCGGACTCGTGCTGGTGCTGGTGTTGCTGGTGATGCTGCTGCTGCTGCTGCTGCTGACTCAGATACACCTGATAGGCCGTTGAGAAGGACTCCGCGGCCGTCTTCCTCATCTGCTGCCCCTGAAAGGCCGTGAATTTGCCCGACTCCTGAATCAAGTCCGCCACTGGGATGACATCGTGCGAGGAGGAGGACGCCTGCGGCATCTCCGGCTCCTGCGCCGTGAGGATGACACTACTGGACGTGGCGGGCATCTTGGGCTGCGCAGCCACCTGCTGCGCCATCTGCTGCGATCGCCTCAGCTCCTGATCCTCATTCAGCACCGACGTGATGATGCTCTTCAGGCGATCCTCGAAGTTCACCACCTTCGGCGACTCGTGGATCTTCAGCGTGGGAATGGCAGTGGCGGCGGCTGGCTTCTGTGGTGACGGCGTCGGTTTGGCATACACTGGCGCCGGCATCAATTCACTGTCGCCCAATTTTCCCTTCTGCTGCTTGTCCTTCGGCGGCTTCTGCCCTTTGGCGCCGGTGCTCAACTTGCCCGCCTCAATCTTCCTACCCGTGGCGAGAATCTTCTGTGCCAGAAGCTCAGGATTCTTCTCGTCAATCTTCCCCACATCCGGCACATCTGGCCACTCGTGCATGCGCATGCGATTGGCGCGCGCGCGTGCCTGCGCCTTGGCCGGCTGCTGGCCAGCCGCCTCGGGATTTGGCACATACAACATGGTGGGATTCTGACACATCAACTCCTTATTCTGCCTCATGCTCTTCTCCAGTCGCCTGATCTCCGCCTCCATCGTCGACACCTGACTGTAGATCCGCTTGCGCTGCGCGAACGTGTTGTCGATCTCCTTCAGCACGAGATCATAGCTCACCGTGCGCGTCAAGTCACTCTCCTTGATCTCCGTCTTGTAGTGACTCTCCGCCAGCTTTCGCACGCGCCCCATCACCAGCATCTTCTGCTCCATCTCAATGCTGCTCACCTGATTCTGCAGACGCGTCGCCGTGGCCTGCAGCTCCTTGTGCCGCCCCACAATCTCCTTCGCCTTGGACAGCAGATCATTCTGGCTGGACGAGCTGATGCCCAACTCCTTCATTCGCGCCTTCAGCAGCGCCACACTGTCGTCAATCAGCACCCGAATCTGCTTCTCCAGCTGGTTCGCCCTGTTCAGCAGCTTCTTGTTCCGCTCGCGCTCCCGCTCGATCTGCTGCGTGATGTTCTCCTTGTAGCTGGGCGTCCTCATCTGCTCCAGCGTTTGCATGAACTGATTCCTGAGCAAAACCCAAATAAAGAGACACATTTAGTCACCCTTTCGAGACAGCTGATTAGATTCACAAATACCTGAACATGTCCAGTAAGATCTGCAGCGCATATGGCGTCTCTCCGGGCGCCGTTGGGATCTCCAGCTCGCTGTGCTCCATGTTCCCAGTCAGCGACGTCAGCTGCTGATCAACACACCCCGGCGCCGGCGGCAGCTTCTTCCCCAACACCTCGACAGACGTGCTGAGCAGTGTCTTGCTGTGCAGCAAATCCAAGCCCACAATCTTCAGATTCTTGCGCTGCTTCCCCTTCCGGATGCGCCCACGCTTCTTCGCTTGCGTATCCAAACTGCTGCTGCTGGCCACATTCTTCTTCCGCACAATCTTCTTGCTCTTCTTCGGCTGCTGCGACTGTGGCTTCTTCTGTGGCGCTCCGCGTGAGCTGGAATTGTAGCTATCCTCCTCCGATTGACTACTCTTGTCCTTCGAACTGCACCAGTCACTCCACGCACGTCGTGTCGTCGGGCCCGTGACTTCGGCGTCTGTGTCTGACGACGAGTCATACAGCATCTTCGACGTGTTCCTCTTGCCCTTGTCACGCGCGCTGGTGCGCGTTCCGCCCACGGCCGGAAAGCCGTAGTCCGTGTCTGTCGTCTTCTGATTCTTCAGTCGCTGGAAGTACTTCTCCAGCTTCGTGCGATCAATCACGTGCAGATAGTACGACACGGGCTTTCCCGTCCACGAGACACTGCCTCGCAGCGGCGACATCTCAGTCACGTGCATAATCGTGCCGATGTCCGACAGATTCCTGTCCGTGATGCGGAAGTTGATGGGACAGAAGCTCTTCGAGGAAACAATCCGTGCGCCGTCCTTCAAGTCGGCAAATCGCTCCTTCAGCTGATGATCCACGTGAGGCCCGAACGCGAAGTTGTTGACAAACACCACAGTCGCCGAGTTGATCATCTCGCGATGCTCGTCGGCCAGGAAGTCACCCTTGATCAGCCGATACTCGCCATAGCGCTTGCCGAACCATCGCATCCACAGCTTGAAGTTGTAATCCATGCTCTCGGCGTAGCGCGTCGGGAACTCCGCCCGCTCGATGCCCAGGCAGATCTTCGTGTGCGTGGCCGCGGCCATCTGCAGCACCACCTGGCCCACGCCCGAGCCCAGGTCGATGAACACGTCCTCCGGCGAGATGTCGATCTGGTCGATCATCTGGCACACGAGATCGTACGACGTCTCGCCGTACACTTCCGGCGAGAAGGGCTCGTACTGATTCAGCTTGTCCGGATCCTCCACCGAGCCATTGTACACCTGCTGCAGGATGTGCTTCAGCAGCCCCTTCGTTGGTGTCTTGTTCAGTCTCTGCTCGAACGTCCCGGCCAGCTTCTCCTCACTGATTATCCGCCCGATCATCTGATTGTACGTCTCGCACAGTTTCGTCATGGAGTCATAGCACGTCGTCTTCACCTCGGCGAAGTTGATCCTCTCGTGGGCCGCCTTGGACTGCGTGATGTCCTCGAAGACCCACCGGATCGTCTCGATGATGTCAATCCCACAATCGTGCTTGTCCGATCCTGAGCCAATTTGCAGAGGCCACGTGTACACCAGCGGCTCCCCGCCACTCGGACTCTGCAGCAGGAGACTCTTCTCGCCACCCGACAGCATCCGCCTCAACTCCTGTCCACCTATTGCACCTGGAAGAGGCGACGAAAGAGGTCAAAATCCCCGCCAACACAATGTCTGCACGGCCCAAACAAACATCAAAACACTCCGCGCGACTCACCTTTCAGCTTTACGTCCTGCATTCCGCCCCTGATGTGTGTCTGAGTGATTGATGAACAGATAAATACACTTAATTTCACTACTTCACAACATTTTTGAACTATTTAAGCCTATTTTCCATCTTAGGCAAAATGCTACAGAGGAGAAAACATTTTGACAGCCATTTATTTTCTCGCTCGGATCCAGCGCGACTCCACACGGCCGCCAATGGAAGCACACTCGATCTGAGACACACACCTTTTTCGCCATACTCAGAATTTCTGATGTTTTCTCGTGAATTCTCTTCAAAATATGCTCTGCATTTGAAAAGACAAGCCTTTTATTGCTCCTTCATCAGCAATTTCTTGTAAAATGGCATGGAAAGTGTTGAAAATGCTCTTCGCCCGCAGAGTTCAACGGCTTCTGAGAGATGTGCTAATGTTGCCACGCCTGTTGGCTTCCGGAACGTCACGGCCAGTCGGTGACTTTTTGTGCAATTTATTTGTCGCTCTTGCGTGCTGTTCGTTCTGCATTAAATTCCGTTTTTGTCTCCTTTGCCGTGCTAATTCATCGCCCATCCACCCACCAATTTGCCGGAGAGCGTGTCCGCCATCCGTTTGCCCAGCATTTGACGCTCAGGTGAGTGCGCGCGGGGCGCTTCCACAGACGCCCTTGTGTGATTCACTCTCTCTCTTCTGTCTCACACACACAGGATGTCCACCGAGGAGGAGCCCAGACGCGAGGCGGAGGGCGAGGAGACGCCCGACGTGGATGCCAACTATCAGCCGCCGCCGCAGAAGACCATCGAGGAGATCATGGCCACGGATCAGGAGGACGAGAGCCTGCGGAAGTACAAGGAGGCACTCCTGGGCGCCGCGCAGGCCGAGAAGATTGTCGTGGGTGAGTCTGAGCAGTTGCATCTCTTGCCGTGGTTCGTGTAAATATTTACGCGTGAGCCGGCAGGAGGCCAACGGGCTGTTCCTGGGCTTTGCGGGAGAGAAGAGCGCGCGTCTGGCCAGAGATCTGTGGCGCATTCCTTCTCTGTGACGGACAAGTGCCCAAGAGACGAGGCTGCCTTGGATTTCTCCACCCTTTCAAAGCTTTTCCTTTGTGGCATTTGTTATTTTTGCCACCACAAATTTCGACATCCAAGTGCACAATCATGTGCAGAATGCTCGACTCGATGTCACGAGCGTGGAAGAGAGAAAAAGAGTGAAAATCTCAAATGCTCCTGAGATATTTTCCACGTAAGAGTATAAATAGTCTTCCATTTTCACCTCATTTTCACTCACGCCCCCGAAGGCGAATCATTGTGCGGCGAGAAAATCGCCCCGAGAAAACCTCTTGAGAAATGTCGCGCTCACCGATAAGGGTGAAGCACACTAATTGTGCTGGGATTAGAATTTCCTATCAATTCGCCTGATAAGTCTTTATCTCTCATTCGCGCTCTCTTCGCTTCGTCTAACGATGAGGCAAAATATCGTTGGAATTTGAGGCCTTCGACTGGAACTCTAAGCATGTTTTCAATGGGGAACAATATTGCTAAGAGATGCGAAGAATTCTCGTGTGGAATTGCAAGAAATCTTTGTGTAACTCTAAAGAATTCATGAGTAAAAATGATCAATTAAAGGGGCAAAATGCAACTAACTTCATTTATTTCAATTCTGCAGTGGCAACACTATGAATTTTAGCCTATATTCTAGCAAACTAGGATTCTATTCTCGCGAAAATAATTGAATTTAAGCTATCTTTAGGCATTGAATTGGCTGTAAATACTCTAAATAGGAAACCAATAGTTTTACAATCTCTATTAAGTAAAAATTTGACGCCATTTTTTATAACAAGAATCTGGCAACCCTTTGGAAAAGTTTCGGCTCTAAATATCAGTCTAAATCACTAAAGAAATATTCATTTAATAATGATGAAAGATCATAATTTTAGTCTAAAAATTAGAAATTCAATTGAATTTTTGTTCTTCACTTTATCTCGCGACGTTGAAGGGTTAAAATTGTCAATGATAATTGTTAATTAATTCCTGTGCTCTTTGCAAAGAGTGACATTAAAAGCTTCCATTAGAGAATCCTGAGCAATTTAATTACCGAAATTGGCGTTGTGAATAATTAAAATGACGATGAAATTGATTGAAAAAGAATTGCTTTTTATGGTAAAAGAACGAGTTTTAAATACAATAATATTATTCAATAAATCCATGAATGATTTCTCCATAATTATTGCTCGTAAATCTACAAAACACTCAATTTGTCAAGTGTTTGTTTGGCGCTAAAGAGCCCCAAAATCAACGTCTTAATTGTTTCTCTCGCGAATATGAGTGAAAATTGACTTATAAATGTGCTCATGTTTTTGAGGGTGCGAGAGTGAAAAGATAAATTGGAGCAGTTTTCCTGTGTTCTAAACTACAAATTTTATAAATAGACAACATCTCTCAGCTCCTTTTTTCTCCAATCGATCAACAGCCATTCAAACAATGTGATGCAAAACTGGCGTGAGTCATTTATGCTGTCTAATAAGTGTTGGTTTCATTCATTGAGAATTTTATGTAGAGGAAAAAATGAAGTGGAAAATCTCAATGGATTTTTATGTTATCACAGTTCAATTGCACCCTTCTGTGTCCTTTCTTTTCATTCATTTGTGAAATTCATTGAAGCGCGGAAGCATTGAGAAATCATATTTTAGAGGAAATGTCCAACTTTTCTCGGCTATTCAATACTCTTATTCAACATTGGGAAAAGCCGATAATAATTTTCCTATAAAGAGTTGATTTATGGGAGCAATTTGTGCTTGAGAGCGACTGAGAATTGTCCCATTTTTATGCGATTGTCTCATGCGAGACGTTCATTCATTGATTTATGGACGCTCGTTTTTCCTGCAATTTACCTGGAATTATTGATTTTCGCTCTCTGGCTCAGCATCTCTCTATTCACTCTCTCTCTCTCTCTTTCTCTTTCTTTGTCCGCGGGCGCTCTCTCTGTCGCATGCAGACGCCACGGACCCGCGGAAGGTGATCGTGAAGAAGCTGGCGCTGTGCGTGACCGGACGTCCGGACATGGAGCTGGATCTCACGGGTGACATTTCGAAGCTGAAGAAGCAGTCGTTCACCATCAAGGAGGGCGTGCAGTATCGCATCAGGATCGACTTTGTCGTCCAGCGAGAGATCGTGCATGGCCTGAAGTATGTCCAGAAGACGCTGCGAATGGGCGTTCCAGGTGAGTGTCTCTCAATGTCTTCTTCTTAATATCTTTTTTGCCACAGTAAATTCTCACGCCATTTCTCTTAACCAAAAAAAAAATGAAAAATGCTTTCTGGAATCAATAAAATTGTGCTTTGTTGCCCCATCAAAAAGCACCTGGTAATTAATATTTCTATTCATTATAACTAAAATTCATTTCACTGTGAAATCGCCACGCATTTAGCTGTTGAATCACAGCTGTTTTTTTTATGTTTTATCCACTGAATATGAGAGGCTTTCAAAATGCAATAAATAATTTACCATCAGAGATATTTTAATGGGGATTCGCGATAAAGAGTTGTTGCTCATTGACTAAAAATAGAAGGTAAAACCAAGAGAGAGAGAGAGAGAGAGAGAGAGAGAGGAGTTGAGGAGTCTCCACAACATTAGCTTCAAATCCATTCAATGCTCATGACAAGGGGAAAATATATTTTTGTAAGTAAAATTCACTCAAAAGCGACAGAAAGTTTATTAGTTAGTTTAATTTATTTTCTCATTGAAAATTCTTTCATTACAAAAAAACGATAAAATGGTAATATTGAATAAATATATAGAATATCTTCTGGATTTGAACTCATGAAAAGCAGGATAAAAGCTTCGAAGTGCAATTTTTCAGCCGTATTAAGATGTTTATTGAATCAATAGAAAATCAAGCTTAGAAAAGCACAAAAAATCCTTAGTCTATTTTAGTATTCAGCTTTTTTTATTAATTTTTCCCTGATTCTAATTGATTTTACCGATGATCGCAAGTTCAAATCTGGTAAATAAATTGATTCTTAAATTTTTTTTTCTCACCATAAACACTTTTTTACACTGTTTAATTTCATTTATAAGACTTTGAGTGTAATTTGGAAGAAAAATTTCACGATTTCACACAGTTTAGGGTGGTTCAATGTTGAGTTTGTTTGAAAAATTCTCTTCTAACGACTGATTTTCTTACGACAGTGGACAAAATGACGCACATGGTGGGCTCTTATCCGCCCAAGGCGGATTTGCAGAGCTACACGACGCCGCCTGAGGAGGCGCCGTCGGGCCTGATGGCGCGCGGCTCGTACACGGTGACGTCGCTGTTCACGGATGACGACAAGAATGAACATCTCAAGTGGGACTGGAGCTTCGAGATCAAGAAAGACTGGAATTGAGCCCATCGCTTTGCTTCTTCCGCGCCTTTTCAGTCACCTTTTTTCCCTTTTGTCTTACGTTCTGTTATTCGCAGTAGCAATATGCGCTAGCGCTCGGAGGGATGCTCAAATTGTAGAAGCGGATGACAGGAAGAGAATAAGAAAAAAAACCGAAGAAACCTCCCAAGATGAAGAATTTGTTAGGAGTTTGATAAAAACAAGAAAAAAAACCACCCGAAAATAGTATGAAAAAAGGGGAAATTTGTGCCATTTTTCATCAAAAAGAATCATAATAAGAAGAAAAAAAACATTTAGAAGGGTGAGAAAAGTTGTGGAAAAGGAGAAAATATATATGTTAAATGTATTCTTTTTATATAGAATTAATGTCTGTTTATGATTGAGGATTTAAGCCAGAGGAGAAAATCTCCCCTTAAGTGGTGAAAGAAAAAAAAAGAAAGAAAGAAATTCATATCTTTTCATATTATTCTCTTAGGCATTTATGATGAAAAATAAACTATACTTTATATATTTTTTTGCTGCTGCATAAGAAGTTATTTTTTATATTAAAACATATTTTTCAATTTTTGTAATTCTCTCAAAATCAATAATTGCGCATGGATTTTATCAACACCATCCAGAATTGCATCTTTTTCTGCGCAAACTGCAAGTGTGAAAAGTGAATTTAAAAATAAAAATGTTTCCAACATTTCGAAAGTATTCTCAGAGTTTATTTTTTGCTCTGACTTAAAAATTTGTATTTGCCAAAAAATGCACATTTTTTGCCCCATCTGTAATAGTGATGCCTTAAAATTTTGTAAATGTAGTAAAAGAAGAAAAAGTAGATCCTAATCAAAAAATATCACTAAAAAAATTCCATTAGTTCTACTATGAAGAAAAGAAAAGCTCAAGATAATTGAATGTTTTCTCCTTTAATTTGTATTTTTTTTTTTCTTTCTCTTCACCTTGAATTGAAAAATCCCCTTAATTTTTCTCTTGTCTCTCAAAATTTCCCACTTCAGAGAGAAGTGCATCAAAAAAAATGAGGAAAGAAAGGAATTACATTTTACAATCCGGTATTTAATTGTAATATTAAAAAAGAATTCATGTATTTTATTGAGAAGAAAAATACACAGAGAAGTGAAAAAGGAAATTTGTGCTTCACAATATTTCATCTCCATCGTAATTTCGTCAAATAAGTTTCTCTGCTCTTAAGAATTCCCGGTGTTTCTTCTCTTCTCTCGTCTTTCAGTATCGCGTAACACCTTGAGGATCGACAAGTAATTCCAATTCCACCCAAGATTGCCGGACGTTCTTGAAGAGCTGCGCAGACGATGAAATAGAAAAAGAAGTGAATTTGTGGATGTGCAAAAGAAGCAAAGACAAACTCTCACCTCTTCCAGCCACGCGTCATTGGCCAGGAGCTCATTGAGTATCGCCGTGCTGGTCTTGGTGGGATCCTGGACATTGAGCTGCTGCACTTTCTGCGTGCACGACATGAAGAGTCTGTACTTCTGATGACTCATGCGATGGTGAATCCTCAAGTTCTCACTGCACTGCGGACACAGCGTGAAGTCACGCTCCAGATTGTCCTGCATCTCCCTGGCCGTCATCGTGACCACATTGTACAGCTGTCCGCTGAAGCGCACGTGCAGCGACGCCACGGCGCGCAGACAGCTCGTGCACGCGATCTGGGGCGGATAATTGGCGCCCAGCTGAAGCACCTCGTATTGCGGCCACATCTCCACGGCTGCATGGAAGTTTCGCGAGATTGGACGCGCCGTGAGCAGACGCGTCTTCAGTCCATCCACCAGACTATCAATGGCACGCACACTGGCCAGGAAGTACTCATCATTCTCCTGCAGAATCTCCGTGAGGAAGTTGGGATCGAGCGCCTGTGAGATCAGCGTCTGGATGTAGATCTCAAAGTGCTCCTGATACACCGCCTTCTCCTGCATCAGGCGATCGAAGGGCGTGATCAGAACCTCCGAGCCCAAGTCCACTAGTGGCGGCGGCGGCGGCGCCACCTCGCGAATCACACTCTGCTGCTGATGACTCGTCGGCTGCACAAACTGCTCCTGCTTCACCACAGACGCCACACAATCCACGCCATCCCGCAGCCACTCAATCACGCTGTTCTGCCGCCCACGGAAGTCCGTCGGGATGTGCAGAGGATTCACCTTCACCACGCGATAGCTGCCATAAGCGTCCTGCAGCAGAGCGGCGAACTGGGAAACGCAAGACGTCATTAGTGTGTTTGGTATGATTCTTGAGAAGCGAGACATGATTTCTCACCACAGATTCATTGCGATAGACAATTTTTCCCGCCTTCAGAATCGGTTCGTACTTCTCTATCAGATTCTTCCCGTCAACACGCCACAGTTTTGGCCATTCGTGGGTCATTTCGTCCTGTAAATTCACTATAAACTGCCCGACCTTCGAGGGAGGGAAAGACAAGATTGCATTAAGAAAACAGCCAAGAGAAATATTTGTAAGACTAGATATTTTTCATGTGCTTTTTTATGTTATTTTGCACCCTTAAATTCAAAATTCATTCGTAGAAAAGAAAATCTAATTGAAAAGTTGATTTTTAGAAGTTTTTTTTTGGAGAAAATGTACTCAAAATCTATCAACTTTGTCATTATTTCAGTGAAAAAAATGTAATAAATTCCAATTAAATCCACTGAAAAATTAAGAAAACCATTTTTTACAGAGCAATTTGAGCAGTTTAACGAACGATTAGAAGATATTTTGTGAATTTTGTGCTAAATTTTCAATTCACTCAACTGAAATCACTGAGATTTAAGTGACTTCAAATATCCTTTTTCTGTTAATTCACCTTGAATCCCTCGTGATTATCATTCGTCATGTCTGGAAGATGAACTTTCTGTCCATTTGGCTTCAATTGCATGTGAATCACTGATCCCTTGTTGTGCATCTCATCATCCAGATGATCGAGACTCACCACTTCCTCCTGCACGTTGTCCTTCATCGGCAGAAAGTCCCTCAATTCAGCCTCTTCTGCGAAAAGACACGCGCGCCATAAGCCAATTGCTTCAATCTCATCTCTTTGCTCCTTCTTCTTTTTCTTTACCTCGATCTGGCGTCACCCTTCTCGACCTATTCCTATTCTCCCTGGATTTCCTTGTGCGCTTCCTGCCCTGCTCCCACTCTTCGTCCTCCTCGTCCACACCCGGTGTCCACACGGGATCCGTGTCGGAATCCTGAAACTCCGCCGGCTCATCATCTGACACAGCGCCAGCGAAATCCTCACTGTCCAGCGACATGTTGAGCAGCTGCAGGACACTTCGTCCCTTCGCCTTTCGGTGGGACATTTCACGACGCTGTGGCACTTCTATTGTGTGTGTGTGTGTGTGTTTTGGGGGGAGAAAAGATGTTGCCAAAGGGAGAGAAATGACATGAGAGAGTGAGAGAGAGATGGGGAAATGATGGAGGATGAAATGGTTGAATTAAGTGAGATCCTTCAATTTCTTTCTCTTATTCGGGTGGGAAAAAAGACATCTTCAGTCAAAAGAGGCGCGCTTTCCTTTTTTTCTTTCAAATTGGGGAGAAAAGGGAACAGGAAAACACCCTCCATTTTCCAAAGTCTTCTTCCCGCCATCGGCAAAGATGGTGAAGATTTTCTTTTTCGTCTCTCATCTACTATCTTTTGTGTATCTTATCTTTTCTCATCACACCAAAATGAAACTAAGTAAATAAATAAGACTCTTTTCACACCTTTCTTCGTTCACTCAAACATCCTTCCTAAATCAAAGAAAACAAACACAAAAAAAACAAACATGTTCAACCCGTTGCGCGGACTATCTAGAGTTGGTTTTAAGGGTGCTACCGAGAAAGAAAGAGGATCATCACTTATTATCATTTTTCTTAACAATGTGTGTGTGTTAAAAACTCTCTCATATCATTCTTTTCATCTTTTCTTCGTTTGCTGTTGTCACAATTTCTTGAACGCATAGAAAGAAAACTTAGAAACAACGCCGTTTTCATTCAATTGAAAAGGTTTCATGTTTTTTTCCAGTTATATTTGATTTTTATTGTTTTTTTTTTAATATAATTTTCCTGATTTTTCTTTCTCTCTTTTTCTCCTTAATATCATTTTATAAGACGCTATATTATAATTATATTACTGCATTTTTTTCTCACTGTTCTCACATGTGTTCCTATTTTTCTTTTTTTTGCATCTTCTGTTTTGCAAGGTTTGTTGTTTTTTTTTCAAAACTTTCTCACACCCCATTTTTTGTGTTTTTCTTCTTCTTCAAAATGGGGTTAATTTTTTCCTATACTTCCTTTTTGTATGGATTTATTTTTCTACTTCATTTTCTGTGCATTATTTTCACGCATTTTTTCTGAGTTTGTTTCTGAGCTTCTTTTCTTCGTCTTTCAATTTTCATGTTTTTTTCTTCTTCTTCTTTCTTTTTCTATACAAAATATTTACATTGTTGTGAAGTTTTTGTTGCCATTGCAACACAAGAACAATTTCTCCTTAATATCTCCACTCTTTCTTCATCTTCCTTCATCTTTAAATCCTCCTCAATTAGGAAGAATACTAAAATCAAAGTAATGTACAATCATACTAAGAGATTTCTTCTTCTCTTGCATCATTTTTTTTTATTCTTACATTTTTTTCTTTTCTCTTCTAAAACTACTGAGAAATTCTTGTTTTTTCCAATGTTTTTTCTTCTTCATCATCTTCTTTTACTGCCATTTAAAAAAGGGACTATTTACAATTTTTTCACTGTTTTCTTGTTTTTTTTTCATCTTCCTTCACATTCCTTTTTTTCATCTTCTCTCAAGAGGATTTTTTTTTAATAGTGTGTGTGTTTTCCTTTCATCATAAGTGAAAATTAATATCAGATTTTTCCTCTTCTTCTTCTTCTTTATCATCATTCAAAAAATCACCTTTTCTTTTTTATCAGCACATTTTTTGCACTTTTCTTGTATCTCACATCTAGAAGTTTTCTCTCAATATTAAGAAATCTGATTTAATAAAAAAAAAAAAATACTTTCAACGTGAAATGACGGGTTTTTTTTTGTTTAAATAAGAAACAGCAAAAAGAACTTATAAACATCACTTCATTTTCTTCTTCTTTTTTTCAAGACTGCTTAAATCTCAGTTAAAGGAATTAAATAATGTAAAAAAAAATTCTAAATATTACTCTTCACTCTTAATTAAGTTTAATTGTTTTCGTCCATTTTATGATCATTTTCTTCTTCGTCTTCTCCTTCTGTACAACAAGAAAAAAAATTAAATACTGCAACTAAATGAGTTTCTTTTTTCACCTTCACTTTCCTTTCTTCTTCTACTTTTTTCTCTTCCTGTAATCATTACATTAAATGTAAATAATAAAAAAAATATTGATTCACTTTTCTCCTTTCCTTCCTTCCTTTTCCTTCCTCTCTTCTTCTTCTTCTGCTTTTGTGTCAATCATAAGAGGGGATTTATCAAAAATTATACATTGAATAAGGAAAGAAAGAAAAACCATTCAATCAATCCCACAGACTTTGCCCGGTAGCACCCGCGCCCGCGAGTTCTCAAACTTGTCCATAATCAAAAATTCAACTTAATAAGGAGTTAAAAAATACCTTCAGGCATTTTGTGCATTGTACAGTGTTGCTCACAATTTTCTTATCTTTTTTTTTTTCTTGAAGAAATATTAAATATTGATCGTCAACATTGTTACTTCTGGCGGTCAAAGTGTCTTGATAATAACTAGTATGACATCTCACGCTCGTGTGTGTTTTGTGTGTGATATTTTACCTAAAACAATCTTGTTTTCTTTTCCTATATCTCTCTATACAATTAATGGCACTCAATGGCATTAAGTTACTTAATAAATTAATAGGTATTATATCCTTTCTTTTTTACTCTATTTCCCATCCTCTTCCACTTGCAATCTTAGTTTATTTGTCTGTAATAAAATGTGTGAGTGTGTGTGTTTTAGAGAAGGAAAGAGAAGCTAAGCTCAAGTGAAGAAATTACTTAGGCTCCGCCCACTCTGAAGCTCCGCCCATTTGACACTGTTGCTTATTTTTTCTTCACTTTAACCCAACAAAATAAAGTAGATCATTGAACTTTTGGGTGTTTTTCTTTTTATCTTTTCATCAGACACAAAATATAGTCTATAAATTGTGAATGTCATACTAGTTAGGCCATTACAAAAACTACAAAATAAAATCAACACTGTGATTTTCCCTATTTTTTTTTCCTTCGTCAAACTTCACTTTCTTCACGAGTCAGCATTGATCGCTTAAAGCGTTCATCCAAAATCAAATTTGTTTGTGTGTGTGCATTTGTTGTGGATGATAAGTGATAAAATGGGGATCAAATTATATTTTAAAAAGAAAAAGAGAGGGTGTCAATAAATAATAAATATATAAGTGGTGTCTTGAGATACTGGGAGTGGTGTGTAAAAATATATAGGAATCGAATTAAAAAAACAACCAATAAAGAGAAAAAAGTCTTGAGGATGAGGAGATAGAGAGAGACAGAGAGAGAGAGAGAGAGAATCTTTCAAGCGGCGTGTGATCTTCACCATCTTTGCCGTCTTAAATGTAAGTCAAAGAAGTTAAACGCACCTTCATCTGGCTGTTGATAGTATGACTGTTGCATCATCTGCGGCGGCGGCTGCGGATGATGATGGTGTGGATGGGGATGGAGGGGAAGGTGTGGCGGAGCCGCTGTGGGCTGGACAACACTCGGCGCCGGCTGGAGTGTCTGCAGTTGCGGCTGAGGCTGCGCCCGTGGCTTCTTTGCCTCCTTGGCCACATCATTTTTCTCCGCCGCCTTCGCCTTGCCGCGCCTCTCCTCCTCCTCATCGTACTTGCGCTTGGAATTATTGCGTGCCGCCTGATGATAATACCTATCATCCATCTCCGCCTGCTGCTGCTGGTGCTGCCCCGACTGGATGATCTGCTGCGAGTGTATATTCACACCATTGCTTATCTGCTGCTGCTGCTGTTGCTGGTAGTTGGCGGCGGCGGCGGCGGCGGCGCCGCTGCCACTCTTCATAGTCGACGCCGTGGCTGTGGTCTGACTGGCGCCCGCTGTCGATGCGGCCGCCGTTCTCGACCACGTCGCCTTTCGCCCACCCCGACTCGCCGGTGGTGGTGACGTATCGCGCTCACCTTGCAAAAACTTCAAGTACGACCCCATGAAGCCCGACCCCACGCCCTTTGGCAGATTGTACTTCTTCTCCGCTATCGACTTGGCTATGTTTTGCTCCTCCTGCTGCTGACCAGACGACGCCATCGTGGCCGGCTGCATGGCACTGCCAACAACATGTTGCTGCTGCTGATGCAGACCACCGCCACTTGCCGTCGTCGTTGCACCACCACCGCGCTCTGCAAGAAATCCAAGTTCTTCCTCTATATTCGGTACAACAACTTTTGGTGGCTCATCTTCGCGCTGGCCACCACCTAAATTACTAGCAACATCATTAGAATTACTACTACTATGGGGATCGGCCACCGTCTGCTGGTACACATCAACATTCGACGCGTACGCCTCACTCGACGCCACACTGAACTCCGCCGCCGCACTCGTGGCAGCCGTGGCCAGATGGAAGGCGGGGAAGTAGGGAAGGGGAGCGTGCGGATGGGGCACCATCAGCGACTGTGGCGTCTGCCCAAAGCCCGCCTGACCACTGAACGCACTGCTCGCCATCTTGGGCGGCGGCGGTGGCAAATTCCATCTCTCAAAGTCTATATAGCTGCCGCCATTCTGCTGATGCGGCTGCTGTTGCTGTTGCTGCTGTTGCTGGCCATTCTGCCCTCCCGCGCGCTGTCCCTCCGCACTGTGCGCCGGTGGTGGTATCCTGCCCTGGTAGTACTCCTCCTCCTTATCACTATCACCACTTTTATCACTTGCCACCTTCCTCTGTCGCCTCTTCGGCACCGCCGACGTCTTCTCCGTCTCCTGACTCGCCGGCTGCTGCTGTTGCTCCGCCTGCTGCAGCGCCCGCACAATACTCATGGGATCCCCACGGCAATTGCTCAGATCCTGCAATATCGTGATACCCGTGCTGGCTGACGTGTTCTGCTGCTCCGCATATCCACTCCTCGTCGTGTCCCAGCAATTCTGCTGCGCCACTCTGCCATCCTGACCATATCGCGTGGCATCCGCCACAGCTCGCGTGATCACCGACGAGTACGCCACCGGATTCTGCACATTCGCCCGCGAAATTGTCACATCCAGCGGACTCCGCGGCGGATAGTGCTGCTCCGGCTGCTGTGGCGACGACATGGAGTTCATTGGACTGTTGTACATTGGATACGCCGCCGCCATCTGTGGTGACGCCTGTGACGGCGTCTTCGCCTCACTGGCAGCAGAATCTGAGCCAGAACTCGATTTGCCCACCCTCGTGAATGACACCTCAACATCCGGCGCCACTTTGGGCGTCTGAAAGTGCCTGTAGGGCGGCGTGACCTGCTGAAATGACTGCTGCTGCTGCTGCTGCACAGCCGGCGAATGCCTACTATTCGCCACCGGCGATGACTTACTCACACCCGTCGTCGCACCATATCGACTGGCATCCGGAACAGTGTAGCTGATCGGTGATGATTGCGGCGGTGTCTCAATTCTCTCCCCATTCGTCTCCGGATACACTTTACTCTGCGCCTTTGTCATCTGCACCGCCTTCAGCATCTGCGGCTGCATATACTGCCTGGCGCTCTTCTTCACCGCCGCCGGCGATGTTGTGTGAATAATAGGATGGGTTGGAGTTGGTGATGATGTGGATGAGGAGTGACCAGATGATGAGTTATTGACAATTGTGGAAATTGTGGGTATTGACGCAAGGATACGATAGTCTTTGGATGGTGACTGAGGACTCGCACTTACAATTACACACGATTGACCACCCCCCACATTATTGCTATTCAGCGAAGACGAACTATTTGCACTTGAACTTGACTTACTTCCACCTGCGCTGCCGCCGCTACTGCTGTACTCCGTCGAATTGCTCGCCGATTGCTGCTGCTGCTGCTTCTGACTTATCACCGTCGTTGGATACGATGTTGACAATTCAGCCGCAGCCGCAACTGCCGCCGCCGCCGCCGCCACTCCGTAGCCCGTCGGCACGCCCTGGTAGAAGTTCGACGGTGTGGCAATCTTGTTGCTCGCTATCGTCGCCGCCGCCGTCACTTGTGGTGATCCCGAGCGCACAGCAGCCGCGGCTGCTGCCGCCTTGTTGGCCGCCGCCGCGGCCACTGCATTCGCCGCCAGATGGCTATTGATGTGATACAGCGACTGGGCGGCAATGTGGGCATTGAAGTTGTCATACACAGACGCCGCGGCTGCCGTGGCGGGATTGCTGCTCGCCGCGCCACTCTTTGTCGCCCCGCCGGCGCCTCCGCCCGGACTCGACGGCACATTCTCGTGCGGCAGGATACCAAAGGGGCTGGGCAGCTGATTTCCACCGCCCTGCCACGTGCTGCCGCCGCCCGAGGCCGCGGATCCGGCACTGCTGCCGCTGGACGCCTGCTCGAAGAATGCCGACGATTGCGGCTGATGATGCGCCGCCGCCGGAGACGCATCCTGAGCCAGCGCCTGCCGATGCTGGGCATTGATCGTGGAGCTGTAGTGCGCCGGCTTGGGATTTGGGTGGTGCAGGAACGGCGTGAACACCGCATCGTAGCCCACGGTGGGCGGCGACAGGAAGCCGCCGGCGTACGCGGACGTGGCCGATGTGCCCAGACTTGTCGTGTGCGCTGCCTGAGCGAGCAGCTGTGACGTCGTGGCCGGCGCTCCGACGCTGGCCGCATTATTGGCCGCCGCCGTGGCCAAGTGATGGTGGAAATCCCCACTTGTCGCCCCGGCGGCCGCTCCAGCCGCCAGGCGATTGTACGTGTAGGACCAGGGCCCCACCGGATCCATTCTTGGAAGCGCCCGCTCAGCAAGAGAGTTCGAGCACTCCTGGAAAATCGCCCTCAGAACTCTTCACGCTCTCACGCGCCTCTTCTTCTGTCTTTCCTTGTTTTTCTTTTAACTCTATCTTTGCGCCAAACCGAAGATGAGATGAAAATATGCCGACCGGCAGATGAATGCTTCTTTCTCTCGATCAGCCTCACAATCTCTCAGCCAATTGACCACATGGTGGCACTGCAATGGAGAGAGACATTGACTTAAGGCGAACGCCAAATTCGCACGCATGCACGCAAGATCTTCACACACAATTCTAGGCTAAAGAACCCCCAAGAAATTCCACCGAAAAATGGAATTCTCTTTTGTTGTGATGAAATCTATCTCTAGACACCATGAATTAATGTTAATATGCAAAATTATACTGACTTCTTGAGCATTTTCTGTGCTCTTTTGGACAAATATGTTTTCAAATCGCACAATTGATGAATGAGTGAATTTCAATAGATTTATTTTCCATCTCTTCTATTGTGATGATTGAAAGAATTCCCTCTTTTCCTTCAGCAACTACAGAAAAGTCACACTAAATCTGACAATTGAACACTCGAATAAGACGAAAAGTGGATTTTCGAGTTGAACTTCTTCTTGCATCACAAAATATTTTTAATAAAGAGAAACTAAGAATTGTTTAAGGGTTGATTAATCATTTCCAGAGTCAAGAAGAAGCTTCCAAATCGCCCCAATTCGCATATCTTTGGGGAAATCCTCTAACAACCCAGTTTATGAACTTATATCGCAGAATTTCTTAAGTCAAAGATGTTTTTTTTCTTAAATCTACGGTCTCACCGGAGGAATCCTTCTCCTGTTTCCCTTCCTCATCTCAAACGGGAAAACATTGAGAATTTCTCCTCCTTCCCGGACGACCTCTAATGAACATAACCTCGAAATCCCCTTTGGATTAGCTTTAGCGACTCACCTCGCTTTGATCCGCTTCTGTGGTGGCCTTTTGGGCCCCTCGCGGGCCCTCCTTCGCTCCCGTGTGAGCTGCAAGAGAGAGAAAGCGCCCCTTTAGTGTGCATTGCATTGGCGTGGAGCCTCGCGCGGGGGCATTGCGGCGACAAACAACTGCGATTTACGCAATAAAACACCGTCATTTCAGACCCCGGGCGTCCACCTTGCGCGCACCCCACGGCCATCCCCAGCAAACCACCCCCCTGCGCCCCCGTGCACCCCGGCCCAGGAGCCTCGCAGCGCTGCGCGAGCCCCACAGGCGAGGTTGTTTTTTTTTTGTTAGGTCGCGCCAGGCCTCCTTACCTTTGTGGACAGTCCAATGGAGGATTTCAGGGGAGCTCTCCCGCTGCAGTCTCACCCACTTTTCACGCTCTCACCGCTGCGGCGCCGTCCGGAATTCACGCAAAAACAATACAATGGCTCTTCACGATGTCTTTTCACGCACTTTTGACTCAGTATCTGGTCATTTTCTGGGGTTTTGGGCCCAACAAAAAACCAATAAACACTCGATTCACTCCAAGTTTACGGACGCCATCTTGTTTGCGGGGTGCACTCACACACTCATCGAGCGCCTATTGTGGACTTTTCGCCTATTGTTTCGATGTTTTCTCGCGCCGTCTCGCTCGCACACCCGGCAGTGTGACAGAGATGGCACTATGTGTGGCGGCGCGGCGAACTCGGGGAAAAGTACCGCGCGAAGAATGGCGCTGCAATCGCGCACAAACTCATCGAATGCCACCCAATCGATGCGGCGTTCAAACACCAATTGACCGTTGAGCACAGTTCTGCGGCAGAATTCGAGGAACAGCAAGAGAAAATTAAAAGCAAGACAAAAATGGAAATTTTGAAGGTTTATTTAATGGAAAATGAGTATTCCTCTTTGGACAGTTTGGTAAGAGATGGAGTTTGACTTGAAAATGATCTGTTTCTCTTTTGTTTTTCATTTCTTTTTGGTGTGTTTCTCCACCGCCCGGAAAGGCGTCATGAAGATTTTCTACACGAATATCAACAATTTTTTGTCTTTCTCATCTAACTCTGCAATGACATCTTTTATCACACAATTAACCACTGAGTATTTTTTTTGCCATACATATATATATATAGACTTATACAATCACTAAAATATCTGCTGGTTTTTTCTATCCTTTCTTTCTAATTCTCTTTTTTCTTCTTCCGCTCTCTTTGGACAGTTAAAAACGACACATTGAATGGTAAAATCACCCTACAATGAACTTGGAATATTTCTCAAATATCATTTTTACACAGAAAAAGGAAATAAAGAAATAAACAGGTGAAGATCTTCTTTGGCACAGGACTTCATCCTGTTTTTTTTTCCCCTTTCGCTCTTGTCCATCGAAAAAACACAAACAAAAAATATATCAATAACAACAAAAAATAGCTGCTTTCTCGCAAGAATGAGAACATTACAAAGAAAAAAAAGACACAAATTATTATCAGGACTTTCAGACCCAAGAAAAAACAATTGATCTAAGAAAAGCAGCCAAAAGTAGGAGCAAAAAGTGCAATCTTTGGCATCAGTTGGCAAGATTTTGGGGGCGCGCATTCAGCAATGCGACGGAATGCCTTGCGTGATGGAGTTCTCCAGTATGATGTGAAACTCATCCAGTGGCTCGAGAATCTGCCTGAGGAATGTCAAGAGGCCCTTCTTGCGCATGAAACTCTGCTCCTCATACATCTCCTGAGTCACACGTGTGGCAGCAATTGGCACCAACATTCGATGCAGCAAATGTTCCCTGAAAACAACAAGAGACAAATATTGGCATTAGACAAGAGATTCTATACAAGGAAGCACAAAAGCTTATCTTTCTCACCTGAGACTGAGACAGATGAAGAGCTGAAATTTGCCATCTTTGCCCAAACTCTGTGTCACATTGTTGATTTCATCCATCAAGTGACAATAGCATCGCCAAATGGTGGCAAACTCCTGTCTGGACGCTGGCGTTGATGGTGTGCCGAAGGAACTCTCTGGACTGCTGCCTGAACTATTTGTGGGCGGTGAATTTTGCACACTTCCACCACCACGCACCATCTCCACTGATTCCTCCACGAGATTCACCTCAAATTGCTCCTTCACGCGCACAAAATAGTCCCAAATGTACAAATTTCGCCCAAACAATCGCGTGGAGCGAAAACCAAAGAGAAACGCCTGCTCGAGACACTTCACCAAACCCTCCTCGCCACACAGGAGATTCGTCAGGGATCCAGCATCACGCTCCCGACTCGGTCTGTAGTGCCACTTCACGATGGCATTCACGGCATCGCCCAGCAAGTGTTGAATCTCCGACGGCTTCACTTCCGGCCTGTGCAGACTCGGACTGCGCGCTCTTGGCGGCGTCCGGCACGCCTCAATCAACTCCTCATTGTCCACCGTCCTGGGCACCAGCTGTCCCACCAGCAGTCGCTCCATCGAGCCATCGTCCACGCCCTTGCCCAGCCATCGGCCGCACGGGAACTTGTACGTGTGCCCCGTGACCTCATTGCGCACCACCACATGCTCCACCATCCACTTGGGCGACAGCCCGGAGTTGTCGTGCCCAATCCGCAGTGTCGTGAGCACGCCCATGTTCTTGTGCTGCAGAGAGAGAGAGAGAAAGAAGAGATTCATTCAAGTATCGACGAGGAAACATCACAATTGCCGCTTCAACTTACGTGAAAGACAAACTCAAGTGTTCCTCTGGGCACCGGAACTTGCTGAGTCTCTCCATTATTGCCCGAAATTGCCACCCAGACATTGGCAGACGTGTTGGCTGATCCAGTTCTCTTCGACGGGAAAATCACCACGCGATACGGAAGCTCTAGAGCGACAGAGAAAAAGAACAATTCATAAATCTCCAAGCAAAAAGTATTCAACTTCAAAATTCCCCTCACTTGTTGTGGGATAAGTGTTGGTGAAGCAGAAATAATCTACGGCATTCAGTGTGAGGAGATGATAGAGGAACTGTTCCTTCTCATCTTCACACCTCAGGAAGGCTGATCTCTTGTACAGCGACCTGAGAAGGGCGGAATCGGCCAACAGAGCTCTCAAGTGTCTCGACAGGAGTTTCTTCTCCAGCGCCAGACGCACAAAAGCCCTGGCATAGCCAATGTGAGTCTTCACATCAGTCATGGCGAGGATATTCTTAATGTCCACCTCCAGTGATTCCGGCAGTGGTCTCAATTGCTCCGGTCCGAGACTCTTGCGATCCCTTGACTTGGATCTGCCTCGCGTTGGACTCGGCGGTGCTTCGGGCTCTATGGCCATCGTGGAGAGATCTTTCCAAGAGGAGAAAAAGAGCAAAGCGTTAGCTTGAGAAAAATCCACAGGAAATTCAAAGATTTTCACACAGCAAAAATAAAAAAAAATATCTAAGAAAATGTGCAAAAATCCATGCAAGGAAGTAAAGAATAAAATATATATTTTACCACGTTTCTAGTGGAATATGAGGATTTCCCACAAACACGTGCATTAGTAGATGAAGAGGAAATCAACAGCAAGTAGAAGAAGAAAGACATTTCGTGATTGCATTGAACAATTTTTGTTTAACGGTGCAGAAAGAAAATCAACAAATATAAAACTCACCATTGATAAAATGTCTATAAAATTGTACACCAAAAATGGATGTGACAGTGGATGGAATTATGAAAAAACGAAGAGGTGAAATTTCCTCCTCTTTGTGCCTTTTCACAACAACTGACGTGCGATCTACACACAACAAAATCATTAGCGTGTAAACAACAACAAAAAAATCAACATCAACAACATTATCATATTATCAATTGAAGAAGAGGAAAGAATGAAGAAAAAAACACAAGAAAGAAAGAGAGAAAAAAGGGAAATTCTACAGCAAAACACAAGAAGCTCAAGAAGAGCAGCAAATTGACACCTACAATCCATTCTCTTCCTGAGAACGCACCACGCCAGAGCTGATTCCCAAACAATTCAACCCCCGGAATTCATTTGGTTAGCACAATGAATGGCAAAGAAGAGAGAGAGATACAAGAGTCAGTGAGAGAGTGGCAAAGCCGAGGGAGAGACAACTCACCTGGTGTGAGGTAGTTGTTGTCGATGGGCTTCGACGTGTTGGTGCACTCTTGAACCTCCAGATAAGACTGCAGATGATTCCACAGAGCACTCTTGCCCTGCTTATTCTGCATCCCATGCGACCAGATCTTCTCCAGCAGATCACACAGTGACGCTATCAGTGTGTTCTCCTCCACGCCATTCACCGAAATCTCACCGCTCAGTCCCAATTCCACAGCTTCGCTGCCCATCTTCTCCAGCAGCATTCGCTTAGTCTTGCTCTTGCAGTCCTGAAGGGAAGAAATTTAAAGAAAAAATCATTGATATTCGCCTGTCTTTGGGCCTTAAACCCATTTCTTCACGCCAATTTGTCAATCTTTGACCCTAAAACGTTCCCAAAACGACCTTCTTGAGGCCAAACGATAGCGTAACAGCGGCGGAATGAAAGGAACTGCGAATGGAGCGTCCTTGCTTACTTCTTCTCCACTTCTTTGGTTCTCCAATGAGAATTCAAACGTATCTTATTCCGGTTGACACTCAAAAAACCCCATAAAAACAAACCCTCTTGACTTACTTTCAATAATTTCTCCACAAAAGTCCAATTTGCTTGCGCCAGAAGTGTTGGATTCATCTCACTTGCCGTCAAACTTGCTGACGGTCGATTGGAATTGGGTGTTTCAGGTGGTTTTCCCTCCAATGAAATCTCCTTCACTCTCCATTTTCCCCCATTTTTCACTCGCCTCAGGCTATTTCCCCTGGAAGTACAGAAAGAAAGAGAAAAGCACGAGCATTTATTAGAAAAAACCCTCTTTTTTCACATCAATGCCTCAACATAGAATATCTTTAGAGATAGAGAAAAGAAGTTCTTTCATAATTGCAAAAAAGATGATGAAGATGATGAAGAAGAAGTATGTTTATGTGAGAGAGAAAAGAAAATACAGTGAGAAACAGAATAGATAAAGAGAATAAATATTCTTGTGATGCAAAAAAAAACCAAAAGAAAACTCTCAACACAATTCTTGTTTCCATTGTATTACATCAAATATATTTCACTGAAATAAAATAATAATCCATGATAATATTATATTTTACAACGGTGAAAATAATACTGAACTACTAAAATAGTCAATTGTATAAAAGAAAAAAATTATTGCTTCTTACATAAACATATTTCTGTACATTGTTTATGGCATTTTCTCTCTCTCGTTCTCATCAAAAACTATACAAATATAGCAAAAGAAATATATAATTTGTGATGATAAAAATGACTCAAATGTACAAATAATTACAGTATTATAAAGTGTATATCATGCATCATGCACTCCACATCAAACTTCAATCATATATATATATATATATAAAGTCTGTCTAAATATTGCTGTATAACACACAAAATAAAAGACAACGTGACAAATGTCTCGAGAAACGAGCAAAATTGCACAGAAAGAATTGCGGAAACTACCTCGAGGCGGACTCCTGATTGAGCACAGACTTATCAAGTGTGGGAAAACTGCGAAAATACGCCGGCCGATTGGGGAGTATTTCACTGGGCGGCGCCACTTCCATGTCGACACTGTTGAGTCTCTTCTCCAGAATCTTCAGCGTCTCACGCGCCGTGATGCACGGCTCATAGTTTGACGTGCGAATGATGCTTTCGCCACCAAAGCGTTTCCTTCAAAAATTCAACCAAAGAAACACACAAAAGTAATTTCAATCATAAATCTCCCATTATTATTATCTGTTAACTCTCACCTGAGTAACTTGATGCGATCATCGAAGAGCTTCAAATTGCTGTCCACCTCTTCACCCTCATCCGCCCACGCGGACATGATCTTGTTGTCAATCAGTGTGGCAAACATCTGACTCTCGAGGAAGCGCGACAGGAAGGGTCGATGATGCTGTGGCTGATCAGAGAGGAAGGACGCCTTGTCGAAGTTCTGCAGTGATTCACGATTGCTCAGCCACTCTTCGCGCCCCTGATTTGGCTGAATGACAAAGTGCTCATAGGCCGAGAACATCTGCACGAAGCGATTGAGAAATATCTCACGGATGGCATTATTGAGTCTCAGATCATCGCAGTACTGCTCATGTGGCGTCAATGGAGTCTTCCTGACGCTGGGCGGCGGCATGATGTCAGCCCGAAAGTCCACTTCGTCCAAACTCACGCCACTCCGTCGCACAATGTCCACAATCTTCTGCAGCGCCTCCGATCGCGGCCCATTGGACGGTGAGCCGGGCTGCTGAGGCTCCGGCGAGGCCGCTCTGTCCCAGTCCAGGATGTCATGGAGGGAGTGCTTGCGGCGGGCGTGCATGCCCGACGGCAGAGTGCAACTGGCAGTCATGGGATCCTGATCGGGACGCCTCGGTGGCGCTATTATCGTCGACTGATCGGCCGTCTTGTCGCGCGGCACGTGAAATTTATCCAACACAGCCGCCAATTCCATCACAAAATCCCCCCGATGGGGAAACGTCGGCAACTCCTCCGGCAATTGGATGATCTTCCGATCAATATCCACATAGCACAGTGTCGCCTCTGTGCCAATCTTCATGCTCGTCTCCGCGTCCGCGTGCAGACCCATCACGAACGGCACGGGAGCGTCCAGGAAGTGATACAGCGATGCCGGCAAGATTGGCGCATAGACATGTGGCCATGTGAAGGGAAAGAGGAGATTCGTAATGCACTCCGCCACAATCATGAGCTTATTGTAGTCCGCCGATCGCAGAAGCACCTGATTCTCCAGCAGCACGCACGTGAACAGCTGAATCACGCACTCAATGCCCAAATGTCTGAACATCTGGCGCGCCGGAAAGTCCAGCAGTGGCAGCTCATTGTGCACACTGGGACGCTGCAGGAGCGTGGGAATGGGCGGCTGGTGAGATTCCTCGGGCGGCAGGTAGATCCGGATGGAGCGTCCGGGATCGGGAATTGACACTTCGTGGAGAATATTGTAGACATAGCTCTCAAGACTGAGACCAGGGCCCGGTTGTCGTGGAAGACATCTGCAAAAAGGCGTGCAAAGTCGCATGATTAATGTGTTTTCACAGGGAAAAGGGAAGTGTAGGAGCAGCACAGGGGGTGACGATTGAAGTGAATTGCCAACAAAAGTCTTTGGTCAAACACTTTTCATTTAACATCAATTTCCACATCGGATTCTTCATCATAATCACCAAAGTTTCCCGCATATTTGATAAGAAATCACATCTTAAGTAAATTTCCCGAGCAGCAACGCAACGAGAGAGAGAGAGAGAGAGAGAGTGAAAAAGTCTTCTTGATACATCAACTGAGTGGCTGTGAATAATTTACCACCCCATAATTTGGAATGATTTTCCACATTCATGGCAAGTTTCTCAATTTTCCACTGCTATTCATACAATATCGATTCATCTCAATGGAGAAAGGAAAAGAAACCACAAGATTGATGATTCCCACTCCACACACCCTCAAGGCAAATTGTCAAGACACTTTGGCTACTCACTTGTAGAGATTCTTGAGGAAAACCTCCGCCACATTGACGTACGGCAGCTGACACACCAGCGAGATGCTCTTGGCCACAAACAGCTTGTCCTTCGTGATGTCATAGTAGCTGAGGGCGGAATTTGGCGCATGGGCGGCGAGCTTAAAGTGCCTGGGCAGTGATCTGCTGGCCGGACTCTCCTTCACCCTGCGCAATCCCGGCGCATTCTGGCGACTCGACAGTTCCGTGATGAACATGGACTGGAGCGTGTGCATGGCGCTGCAGATGTTCCTGTTGCGCACCTCCTCGTAGAACACCAAACTGAAGCCATAGCATCGCTTCCCATCCTCACGCGTCGTCGCGAATGCGTGAAAGCGCGGCTCAATGTTGTGCTTCTGCGTGCGAAACTTCAAACCCTGCGGCAGCGACAGCATGCAAATCCCGTGACTGTCAAAGGGATTCCACGGCACATTGTCCGGATAGTGTGCCAGTGGTTTACTCTTGTACGCCCTGTCCAGCGGTGAGCAGTGCAAACTGTCGCCTGAAAGCACAAAATTGGATTCGATTATATTATTATGGAGAAGCATCAGTGAATCTGCAGCAAATTTTTTTTCTTCACCACGAAGAAGAAGAGGCCAAAGAAGAGAAAAAAAAACGGAGGAAAATTGCCCATGCAGAGGAGAGAAAATGGGTCGAGCGTGTGCGTTTCATTTTGTTCTTTGATCAACAGGTGAATGCACTTATGATTTTCTAACTTAAACTACTTCACAATAATAAAATCTCAATTTGCCAGAGAATTCTCAAGCCAACAATTGCAAGAAAATTCACTTCCGTCCACTCAATTCCCTGCCATTTAACTCACTAAATTACCAATGAATGACGCTCGACAGTTTAATAAATGCTCCACAAAATGCCAAATTGATTTCAATTACGGCTCTTTAATTACACATTCTCGGATGGAGATTTAACATTGAGGTGTATATTTTTTCCCTCCTGTTCAAAAAACTCTCTTGAGCGAAGTTTCTCTTCCACACAATTTGCTTTTTCACAGCGAAGGACAAAAATTGTACACTTCTTCACACATGTGGTATTTCCTTATTAGAACCCAAACCCGAATAACACCCACGCAATCAAGAGTTTTGGAGGCAAAACTCTGTATGGAATTTTTAATTAGACAAAAATCCAACTCAATCTTGATCAAATTTCACAATTAAGCTTGAAAAATTTCTCTCTGACCTTCCAAAATTTAATTTACTGTTTCTTTATTAATAATTTTTATTGGATTAAACTCAACCTCACAAGAACACATCAAACTGAAATGATTACAAAAAATAAAACAGTAGAAGAGAATTCCGTAAAGTAATCAAACACACAAAGATACCGCACAACATACTTTCTCATGTGAAAACAGCTTTTTGAGCCACATTTTTTTCCGTCAACTCAATTAATAATGCTAATTGAAAAACAGTGACGAATAAATCTTCCACACATTTCCTGAACCTCTTTTTCCATATGCTAAAGAACAACAACAACATCGTGTCGAAGCCAAACAATAGAAGTGGGAAAGTGTGAATTTCCCTTGTCATTGTATTGCTGAAGTGCATGAATTTCTGCGTGAAAAGGCAACATTTTCAGTATATATTGAGTAATTTTGATGGTGATAAAATACGTGCCATTAGAGACGCGATTTAACGAGAAAATTGCCCAAAATATTGCCAAAGAGAATATTATTTCGTGAACTTGAGTGTTTAGAGTTGAAATTATATAAAGATGTGAGATTAAAATGAACAAATAATTGGGGAAAGTCAAATTAGTTCAAGCATAAATTTTTGACTCGTTGTAACTTTACTTTTTCATAGCTTATATTGGCGGCCATTCCGCGGCACTAGTGTAAAATATGAACGAGAAGAAAACGTTGCAAGGCAAAGCGATTTTAATCTCATCTAGAATATTTTAAATCTACTAAATTGAGAAAACAAACCAATCTGTTCAAATAACACCACTTTTTCTTCACATTTTCATTTAAAGCAAGAATCATTTGCATTTCTGCCCATCAAACCAATCACAAATCATGTGATTTTATTGATTTCTGCCAATCAAACATTCATACTTTGCTTCCTCATAAAGAATCTAACAATTCTCTTGATTGCATTTCATCCCATTCGTTGTGGTTTTGCGAAGTGAATGGAAAAATTCATGCCAAAGTCGCAATGAAAAATAGTGAGAAAAAAGTGAAATTATTCACAATTTTACTCCCATTATTTGAGTGTTTTTTTGATAAAGAAGACGAAGAAAAACACAGCCATGGCAGTGAAATTAGAAAGGGCAAAAGCGTCAATTAAATTCGTTACAATTGCGTGATAGAAACACATTTCGGGGAGAGGAGAAAAGGCTGTTTTTATAGAAGAAGAAAAAATCCCCTCAAAAGTGCTTCTTTTTTTTATGGCTTCGCCAAGCAAACTTTTCATCCAATAAAGATTTTTCCTCAACATTTTCCTGTGTGACTTCGAATCACTCAAAGGTATTTAAACACACACACACTTCGTTCGACGTCATAAATTTGTGATTTGTGAATTTATGAAACATTCTTAGGCACAACAATGCTCAAGAAAAATTATCGCTAAATGTTTTGTGAAGTCAAACATAAACAAGCAACTCGTATTTTACGTTAATTGACTGTATTTGTGGCGAACTCTCGAGGGGAGAAAGAGAGAGATTTGTTTATGGACGAGCCGTCAGACAGCCAAGGAGGCAATCAAAGTGGAATTTGAACCCGTCAGAGAACAATCCTGCGATCTTTCAGTCTCTCTCTCTTGATTGATTGCCGCTCATCTGCGAAGACACAGACAGACAGACAAGCTTTGCATCTTCTGCCACAGAATGACAATTGTTTCTCTCCTCTGAAAGCAATGGAAAATGCATGGATTTTCACTCTCATTCGACAGCAAGCGGGGCGACATTAATTCATTTTCGGTCAATTTGAGATGAAAGAGAGCATTTTTGCACAAAGACAAGCACTTTCTCTTTTCTTCAGACGCATTTAAACACTCTTTTTTCGCCTCTTTCTGCGTCTCTCATCATCTAATTAGAGGTCAATGGAGTGGAGGAGAGACTAAAAAAAAACGAGAGCAGCAGCTTTAAAGTACGCGCAGAGAAGTTGTAATGAAATTCAATGAATGAACATTTCAGCATCATTTTACTACGCCATTTTTATACATCCTAATAAAATGAGTAGAGAATGTAATTTCCTAACTTTCACGCTTTTCTTCATAAATCTAGGTCCTCTTTTGTAGCTTTTAAGCGTCAAATATGAGCGAACAAATCTGTTTCCATAATACAGAATTAAAGTATTTTGACGTTTGTTAGAAATTTAAAGAATTGACATTAAAATTACATTTTTAAACTGTCAAGATTGTCAATTTCTACACATTCCATTAAAATACACTTGATTTCCTACCGTAATAAAATGTACAAAATAATCACTGCCACCGAAAAATCCCTCTTTTCGCGGGAAACTCGGACAATCTCTCACCTGAGAATCTGTCCGGCTCCAGCCCAGTGTCCAGATCCAGTCCGCAGATGACGAAGTAGTCGGCGAACCGGGGCGGAACTCCGGGGCCCGCCGGAGGTCCATTTTGACTGGCTGCCATTGGCAGGAAGTGGCCAATTTAGCTCAATTGGCCCAAATGGTCAGCCTCATCAGCATTTCTGCCCTGGGAATTCCGCTTTTGTTTCCCAACGACGGGGGCGCCCCTGGCGGCCACACACTCACCAACGCTTTTCCACCACTGCTATTTTCACTTTTCCAAAAACACACCACAGCCAGTATGAAGGGGGGAATTTCCACACTATTCACGCACGAGACATCGCGAGGACACAGCACAGAATGCGTTTGGGTGGTTTTTCACGGGAAATTAGCACTTTTACTGCGTTTTTCACAGAGCTGGATTTGATGTCGATTTTTCTCCAAACTCTTCTGACAATCTCCGGACTGGAGGTGAGAGTCGATGAGCTTTCGGAGGCGGATTGGGCAGAAGAGTGGGAGTTTTTTTCACTTCCGATGGGTTTTGGGGAATTAATGTGTGATAATTAGGGAATTCTTCTATGAAATATCGTGAATTTTAGCAGAAAAGTGGTAAATCAGGTCAATTTCCGAAATGGAGATTTTCTCCATGGTTCACCGAAGCGACATCTGGTCGTGAGCATTAGAGTTGAATCAGCTGACAGACCGCAAGTGTTTCTCTTTACGCGTGGTCGAGAGTTGTGGTTTTTCTCAGTGAAAAACTGCATAAAATTACCAGCTGTTGCTATTAAAGTGTTGATAAACTTACTCTCTAGGATCTGGAGAGTCTAATTCTTCGGCACCAGTGAAAATCCAAGTGTTGTAGTTGATTTTGTGTCGTGTTTCTTACGCGCTAATAGAGGTCAAAAGGACTTTCAAATCAGGCAATTTTCCCGGAGAAAAATGTACAAACAAAGTGCCAGAAGACTCCAAAGTCTCCCCAGGGAAGAGATCCGGGCTTTTATAAACTCCTTTGACACTGTCCTTACGGATTGCGATGGTGAGAATCGTGAGAATATCACGTGTGGAAGGAAAATCGTCACGCACTGACTCTCTGTTTGCTTCCAGGAGTCATTTGGTTGTTCAATGAAGCCATCCAGGGTGCGCCGGAAGTCATCAACAAATTCATTGAGATGGGCAAGAAGGTGTTCTTCGTCACGAACAACTCAACCAAGACCAGAGATGAGTTCCTGGTGAAGGCGAAGACACTGAACTTCAACATGACACGCGATGGAATCATCTCAACGTCCTATTTGGCTGCGCAGTACCTGAAGCACCAGCAATTCTCCAAGACAGTGTTCGTGGTGGGCAGCCAAGGAGTCGTGCAGGAGCTGAACGCCGCTGGAATCAAGAATATCGGATACGGGGTGAGTTTTGGGTCAATGACACGGCAGAAAAATCTGTGTTATCGCGTGAGTTTGAGCAGGTGAAGATTAGACGCAATGCTAGACAATGTGCGATAAGAGATAAGCGAATATTGGCTAAGTCATTGTGTGTTCACACAGCCGGACGTCCTGCAGAACGGCTTGGCGAGCTTCGTGAACGATGAGATGAAGCGCGATCCGGACGTGGGCGCCGTCGTGGTGGGCTTCGATGAGCACTTTAGCTTCCCGAAGCTCGTGCGTGCGTGCAGCTATGCTGACGACCCACAGTGCCTCTTCCTGGCCACCAACACGGACGAGCGTCTGCCGCTGCCGCACTGCGTCATTCCCGGCACGGGCAGCATCGTGCGGTGCATCGAGACGGCGGCGGAGCGGAAGGCTTTCGTGGTGGGAAAGCCGAATCCGTACATCTGCGAGGCGCTCATCGCTGAGCACGGTGTGAATCCCGCCAGGACGCTCATGATTGGCGATCGGTGCAACACAGATATTCTCCTGGGCGCCAATTGTGGCTTCCAGACGCTCCTTGTGGAGACGGGAATACACAAGGAGGCCGACGTCCGGGCGTGGCTCAACTCCAGTGATCCCGAGGATCGAAAGCTCGTGCCTGACATGATCGTCACTAAGCTGGGAGATGTTCTAGAATACTTACAATAGGAGAAAAATAGTCTCTTTGACTACATATTCAACATTTATTGTCTACAGCTCTTTTTTTCAATGTATTTTATGTTCAATTTCTCTATAATTAGCAATTTTATTCCTTCCAAGCCTCTCATGGTCCCACTAACATTTAATTTTTGATCTAATCAACGCAATAGACAACACTCAATAAAGTTTTTTTTGTTCTTTAGAAGAAATATGCAACACTGTTTTCCCGCAAGTGCAGATAAGGAGACCCGCAGAGTCACTCTCTTATCTGCTTTTTAACATTCTCGCATGTAGTTTTCAACTTTAAGTGACTATGTAAGAGTTGGCCAATCTCGAGCTGCGCGTGAGATAAGAATACCAGTAAAAGAGGTTGATGATCAGGAACAGCAATGGGAAGATTATCCGCGACACGCGATCGATTTTGGAGACCGAATTGAATCTCGGCGTTGGCTTTTTCCGCCTCCGCTGACTCCTGTGCTTGCCCTCTGTCGCCGCGGCGGAGAAGGAGTGGCGCGGAAAGTGCACTGAAAGAGAAGAAGAGAAAAGAATGTGTTGAATCAGTTGCATTCTGTAAATTGTCGATCGCCAACCTGCAGTGCTCGGCGTCATGGTGTAGATGGTGTCCTTGTCGATGGTCTTCCGGCAGCAGAGGATCTCCAGGAAGGAGCGTCGCGTGGTCTTTGTGGGTGTGGGAGGAATTGAGCACACGGACAGTGGAATAACTTCGAACATATTGGCGCCATTGGACACATTGGCGGGCGATGGTTGCATCTCCTTGTCGCTTCTTGTGCCTTTTGGCCTCAGCGGAGTCGTCTCGTCCTCACTCTCGGATTCTGAGTCCGTGCTGAAGTCCTCGGCGCTGAAGTAACACTCGCCAGATCCGTACTTGGTGAAGTAGTGCACGACTGCGAACTGGGAAAAGGACGGTGAAATGAGGGAGATTCCAGCATTCTGGGTGGTTTCCCGCTCACCTGGAGGATCGTGGCGAAGATGAAGGCGAAGGAGAGGAAGACGAAGAAGTCCAGGGCGGTGGGATAGGGCACCTTGGGCAGATCTGTGCGCGCCTCCAGGCCCAGGAAGGTCATCGTGAGGACTGTGGTGATGCCCAGAGACACTCTGTCGGCCGTGGCCTCGCGATTGAGCCAGAAGGACACCCAAGAGAGCACCACGAGCAGGATGCACGGCCCGTAGACTTGGATGAGGAAGTTGCCCATGTGCCTTTGCAGATGGAAATTCACCAGCAACATGGAGTACTCGGCTGCAAAACAGATGCTAATTCACTTTGTCCTGAACAATGGGCGGCGATTTGGCATGACAAAGGAGCCAGAGGGAATCTCCGCTGGGACATTGTACAATTCGAGGATTCGAATGGTCTTCCTGCCCACCATTTATTTCCGCATCCCTCTCGACTTTGTGTTCAAATTCCATACAATTGGACTCTTGGGAAATTTTCCACGCAAAATTTGGCGCGAATGATTTACACACGCCACAAATATTAATAATAATCCGTCTTGAAGAGACGCACACAATTTAAAATGCCAGCGAATCTCTTCTGCAGGTGCTCGCGATATTTCACAGAATATCAATGAAGAGGATTTCAAAGTTTCTGTGCAATTGCATCACTGAAAACTCCACAAATCCCTTCTAGTGCGCCGTGGACTCAAAACATGCCAAGAAATTGCACTTTAATCCGCTCTCTCTATCGAGGACAGATTTTCTCTATGCAAGAAAAATATGAGATTATGGACAAGATTCGTCATCGTCAAACACATTAAATTTATCGTGAAAGAGAAAGAGAGAGAGGAGAAAAAAAATTCACTTACAACTTGAGGCTGGGAAAATTGACAAACTTTTATTTAATTCTTGGCACGGCGCAAAGGATTAATTTCGCCAAATTCCCTCGAGCTTTATGCACTTCCGTGGCGAGGAATTTCATCCAACTTGACCGCATTTCGCGACTGAAAGTCAAGCTTCGAGAGCAAATATGGCAAAGTTATTTAGAAATGCCGTTTTTTAGCTCTTAAAAATCCGGTTAAGACCATTCAAAGATATCATGAAGAGAATTTTGTAGCTAAAAGACACGACAAAATGCTTAATTGTGGATGTAACTTTAAATTAGTTAATATATTATAAGAAAAAGTGCCAATCTTGAATTATAGAATTGTCAATAAAAATTATGAATTTGACATTTTTATTGTTGTTAAATGTCAAATCTCTTACGATATTACTGAATTGTTACAGAACATTAGCTAAATTTGACATGTCATGACAGCATTATGACAGTAAATTGAATAAGAAAGAAAACCCTTTCGTCAACTCACCAAGATAAGCCTTCTGCTGTGTGGATTGATTGGCGGAATCGCTGTGAAGAACAGTATCAGTGACGTTCTCCGCTGGGCAATCCACCAAATCGAATTGCGACAGCTTCATATCCTCAGCAATTGCCACCTGACGCTTCTGATTCCACCGGTAGACGACGTCCGTGGTGGTGTAGCCGACTGCAAGAGGATTTGCATGAGACGCCCGTGGAAATTGTGACTTTTCCATTCGGCATATGTGCGGGGATATGAATTAAAAGTAGCGATTCACCCACTCCTGGGCGGAGATGAATTTTGATAAAGCCTGTTTGGCATCACGTGTGGGGATTTTTTGGCTCTCTCAGGCGGGTCGATTGGAGGCATCTACCTTGTAAGACAATTTAATCCCCCCCAGGAAATTAATTCACGAGCAGAAGTTTCGATTTAAGGGGATTTCCAGCAGTCTCAGATGCTCTCTCACATTTGCATGCGACTCCTTTCTCATCACAGTCAAAATCCTGAGGAGTTGCCGTCGAATGTCGTCAAGCATTGGAATTGCATTACTTAAGAACTACACAAAAGGGTGGCAGAATTCTTGGCACTTCGTGTTGTGTTTGATTAATGTTTTATCAATCTGAACAACATCAAAAGGTCGTGCTATTGCACGCAATTTCGAGACTTTTATATAAGATTGTCAAGAGGTCTAGAAGTTTCAGTATCTGTTTGTGAAACTCCCTAAGATGGCTGCGAAAACTACCTCTTCAGCTTGCTACAATTTGTTCCTTGAGTTGAGTAATAGTGTGCGCTTCATTGGCTGCAATGTCTTAGACAAACCCGATGCCGGAGGACCGCCAAACTTCCGCACGCTCACCACCATATTAGTATTTATCCTATTCCTCACGATGTCCATAACATCCTTCTTTCGGCTGGTGGACAGTCTGGAGTCCTTGGTTTTAGCCATACTCACGTTAGGCTTGTGCATTCAGGGCGGCGCCAAAGCCTACATTTTCCTCACGGACATCAAATTAGCACGGTGGTTGGCGAACGCAGCCTTTGACTTCGTCGCCAATTTTGACGACAATCCCAGGGTTTGCCGAACTTTTCGGATTTACGTTGATTTTTGCAACTGGCTTCGACCTTTCATGCTGCGAATGTATCTTTTCATCGGCAGCGGACTATCTGTGGTCGCGATTTTGTTGGCATTTTGGCAGCGGGAGAAGATTTTACCTTTGGGAGGTGTCATCCCACTTCTGAATTATGAAAGTGATGTTGGATATCTGATAAACTTCTCTGCGTTCATTCTAATCTTTCTCTACGGAACTTTCGGTGTATTCGCCAGTGATTGCTACTATCTTATGTCAATGGCCATGGCTTGTGGTCAAGTTGAAAGCATTGCGGATGTTTGTGAGGATCTCTCGGATTATTTGGAAGTTTATGGATCCGAAGATGAACAGAAGATTAACGAATTCATTAAGACAATCATCAGAACACAGTTGTCTCACACAAAGTAAGTGGAATAGATAGTTTTATAGGATATCTCATAGCTAAACGACATATATTTTCTAGATTTGCAGACAACGTGGAAAAATTATGTGGCGCGCAATCTTTCATGGCATTTGTCGTGAGCATGATCTGCATCGCCCTTGCCTTGTATGTCCTTATCCAGGAGTTCTGGCTAAATGGAATTCTCATGACACTTCTGTTCTTCTGGCAAATCTTCACCATTTGCACCATATCGGGAATTTACATGATGAAAGTGGAGAAGATGCAAGAAAGAATGTACGCAATCAAGTGGTATTTGCTGTCATGGCGGCAGCAAAAGATGTTTATCTGCATTATCCAGAATGCCCAAAATATCAAGGAACCCACAGCCTTATCCATTATTCCGCTTGGCTTCAGCACATTCGTGAAGGTAAGGAAATTATATGTGATCCAAGGTGTTCTCAAGATATACAAAGAAAGCTAATGAGTGTAACTTTTTCAGTGCATGAAATTGATGTATCAATTCTTGATGCTCCTTTTCAATGTATCCAATTGAATCAAAGACTCAACATCAAAGGCAAAGACACCAAAGGCGTGGCATAGGATAAACCGCACGTGTTACTAATTGCATCTGCTTAAAGTTTTATCAAGACGTTAAAGACATTCCTGTCCTGTTTCTCACTGTTTTGTCAGAAAAATACAAATTGACCTTTTGCACATGCTAAGAATTTTTAATGATTCTCCAAGTGATTCATCAATGGCGTGACACGAGTCACGCCAGCGCGTGCACTTAGGCAATTGCATTTCCATGAAAATTTAATCTGTAACTACGGGTTTTCTTAAGAAGTCCAATCAATTTGCAGTAACTTACATGATCCAAACTTGAGGGGACATCGTTGAACATCCATCGGGAAGTCTTCTAAATTCATTGGACAGCCAGCTTTAATAGTAAGTCTGTGAGAGCATGAAAGACATGAAATTATTGACAATATGTAGAGATTTGTTATGACTTCAAGTACAGGAAATGGCCATTGATTTGAGGAACACATTAAATCACCATTGAATAGTTTGCCACAGTATTTGTGGTCTCTTTAGGCTTAATTGAGTGTTGTCTCTGGCGATTGATTGCTCTTCTGGGGACACCTGAAGAGACATAGCAAAGGTGTGAAATCTTGATTGAAATTTAAGATATTATACTTAATATGAAACATTTCAAGCTCCACTCCTTCAGGAGCCACGCCCTCGTGTTCAATTTCAATCTGCCTCGTGGCAATCTTTCAATCCATGAAGGTATTGTGGAATTGTGCATCCCTAAAATCACAAATGGCCAAAGGACAGGTGTTCTAAGAGCAATTTGAAGTGTGGCTCTGCTGAATTGAACGTGATAGATTTGCCCATAGGTCCAAAATCATGGGTGATTGTAATTACATTTGGCGACTTAAACTTGACAAAATGGCAATAAAGTGAGTCTCACTAATTCAATACACAGAAAATCAATTTTACTAGGAAACACAACAAGGCAAATGCAAATTAATTGAGTGTGTGTGTGCCTAGAAGCCCTTCCCCAATCCACTTCAGGTGGTTTGTTCACTCCGACAGATGTGTTATCACTTTAATTAATTTTTCACAACACTTGCAGCTGATGTTGTCTTCTGCAGCGGCGATAAGACAACACCCACTCCTCAATCTTATTGAAAAATATCCACTACAAAATGCTCCGTCAGTGACGGAACATGAAAAATCTTAAGGATTTACGACTGATGGCTTTCCCAGCGCTGTAATGCAAACAGACGCAGTGTTCAATGTGGAGGTTGGACAGCAATGAAAGTGGAGCAATATAATGGGGCAAAAATCTCAACATAATATCGAAGGGATTTGTGGTGGAGAAATTGTGCAGAGTTGCCACATTTGTGCGGGGGTTTGTGTGGGGATTTCTTGTTCTTTTAGACTTAGAAGAGTGCGTGCGATGAAAGAAGCATGGGAATATTTGTGTTTGTTGGACTGTTGGAGAGATTAAAAAGTATTTTGAATATTTTATTCTCTCTCCTGAGAAGAGGAGGAGGAAAAAACAGCCCCTTTCTTCATGACTTTCACTCTCCATTTACGCCTTTCAATATAATGTCTTCTCAATTCCCACCCAAGCAAATCTCTTGGCGAAATCACTCACGAACACAACTCCCGTTCTTCCCTGGCAAACAATGACGATATCCTCATATCTTCTGCTCATGAAGTCTTGCATCGCCCACATTCACTCCCGTCATGCTTATCCCTCTGTTGACACGCCACGAGTGATGGGGAATAATGGTGGGAATTATTCACATGGCGGTGGAGAGAAAACGCCGGGCTGAGGGACTATTAAAAACGTGAATTGAATCTCGTGCGTGCCAGCCGAGGAACGTCTCAAGCACTCCAACAAATTGAGGGAACGTGACTCCAATTGAGAGGCTGCATTGGACAAGATGGACCAAAAGGCCATCACCATTGACGGGCGTCCCTTTGGCCAAATTGCTCTATTTGGTCGCTCAGATTTACTCAAGTCTGTCAAGTCTTCTCTCTTGCTGTTATTCCACGAACTCGCCTTGAGGTGTTTAACACAGAGTAGTATTGCAATCGATGTGCGCTCACTCTTCAATACATTTCACATAATTTATTTACACACTCTGTAGGAAATCTGCCAATCTCTTATCAATGCATATTAAATATCACCAAATTCGGAATAGTTCAACAATTCTCATATCAATTTTTGAACTTATCTCACGAAGTTTAAAGTCTTCCATCCAATTTTTGACCATCTTCGCTGGCTTTTACCCCAAACGACACAGAAATACATCAAGCGCGGGGGAAAACGGTGTTAAAATAAGGTGATAAAAGGAGGGAAAACATCTTCAATTTGTCACCTCTGCCGGAGAGTCAAAGATTGATCTCATTTTCGGTGAAAGCAAACAAGAGGAGGAAAAGGAGTTTGCTCAGTCACTCAATAGTCGTTGGCAATTCAAAGGAGTTCCCCAATCAATTTTCATCAAAGCCAATATGAGAGGTGAATTCTTTGGGTGATAAGGTGACAATTCAAGGCCTCGTTCCACTAACATTAATCCAAATTGTCCACTATCTATTCTGAGAATTGATATAAATCACTACAATGCTCTCCATTGAAGTGTTAAAAACCTTAAATTCTCTTCCATCAGTGCTCAAATCCGATTATTGATTAGCTGAACGTCACACATTTTTCGCGGTATTACAATTTTTGCGGTTTATTGCATTAAAAATTGAGTGGATTGTGGCAAAAGTCATTGCAATAATTAAAAAAATGTCAGAAAATATTGATTCCATCCGGAAATTATGTAAAAGGAAAGAGAAAGAAATTATTTCACACATTATTGTGGATGATTAGAGGGCAGTAGATTAACATGAACATTGAATTTCACTTTGAAGCTGTGATTTGAGTGAAATTTTTTGTGTTAATGGGCGGAGAAAGTGAGTGGGCGGGGCTTCTCAGACACATCATTGACAAATCATGAACTGAATTTCCCGCTGAAGGAACAATTCCTCTCAATTCTTGTCCTCCTTCCCTTTGTAATAATTGCACAGACGCACACTTTACAAAGATAAACTTTGCACAAGTTATTCAGGCAATTGCAAATGAAATCAGCAAAAACAGTGTGAAAATATTTGCACAAGCAAATTGAATGGCAATAACCGCGATTATAGTGAGTGCAAATTCTCAAATTGACGCCAAATAAAAGAATAAACATCCCACATAATTGATGAGGCAAATTCAATCGATACTCACCGGCTCGAGTACAGCACTCGACCGTCCTGATGGAGTCTCACGAACTTGTTGGGTGTCGTGATGGTGTGCAAGTAGCTCTGCTTCCCATTGTAGAAGTACGTGTCCGGCTTCCAGATCCGCGCCAGCATCGAGATGCTGAGCGCCAAGGTGTCCTGGGCGCCATGGAAGGCCAGCCGGCGATCCACCCAGGACTGCCTGAAGTAGCAGTCCATGGAGTACGTCTGTCCGCGTGGGAATGGAAGGTTAAATCCACGAATTTCCGCCCGCCCCCCAAAGTCTGTCACACTCACCATGTCCACTTCTGATATTGGTCCCATGCTCCTCACCATGATGTCAACCTCAACAACAGCCGGTCGTCCTGCAAACATGCCAAATTGCTCACCAGACACGTGTAAATTGACACAGACTCTCCACAGAGCATCCCAACAGGACGGGAAAGAGGCCAAGATCGCGCTCGAGAGCAAATCAATTTTCCTCTCGAGAGTCAGTCATTGGAAAAGTGCATTTGCCGGTGAGAGTTTGCATTTGAATTGCTTGCAAATTGATGTCAGATGAATCTGTTAAATTCATTCATTTACCCTGTCAAAGGTGGAACAGATTTGGATGCATTGGCAAATCACATCCAATTTTGGTTATTTTTTCTTTATAATTCATGACAAGCAATTTTGAATGTAATCCACTAAATGTGTCCCCCAAAATTAGCTTTATTGACAATCCATGGGAATCGAAACTAACCCAAAATTGCATCGATTTCATCTGATTCAACAATAAAGTGAAAGCAATTATGCAAATATACAATATTGAGTGATTCTCTTCCGCTGACCAACATTTCTCCGCCACTCGTGTCGCCCTGAAAGGGTTTTGCCACGTCACGTGAAACACCCCCACCAGAGAGTCGCAAGACTTTGAACTCTTGGGGTGTTTTATGGCGGGGAAAGGGGGTGTCTGGGAGTCACGTGCTAGAGGCTCACCCCCAAAGTCTGGCCGAACGCTGTTATCGTAGCCGCGCAGCAGATTGTCCAGCAGATCCGAGATGTTGGCGTGATTGTTCCTCTGCGTGAGCTGGATCTGGCCCATCGCGCAAGTGGCCAGCAGCACCAGTGGCCAGCAGGGCACCATGTCAAGGAGCGCCCGAGCGCTCGTGTCGACGCCGTCACCAGAATTGCTCCAGCGGAGGTTTTTCCCTCGCGACAACCTTCATTTAATCACACTCCTGATGATGAGGCTGCGACATAAAGAGCGGAAGAGAAGAGAAGGGGTTAAAAGGCAGCGATAATGGCATGAATCAGCGGAAAAAAATCAAAGAATATGATGATAACTTGAGAGTGTCATCCATGAATTTAGTGCCTTCTCTATCGCTACAACTTTCATTTTCGCACCCAAGAAGTAGTGCCTTTAATTTGGGTAAGAATACACATGAAAATCACCCTCGAAGACTCAATTGGAGGCATTGATTTGACTCGCCCCTTTTTTGGAATGTCCAGAGGGTGAAAAAGTTAATGGGCTAGATATTAATGATGATGCGAATTAATTCCAAGTACATTTTCCTGCTTTTCTCCCTGGCAGCAAAATTTTGCTGACCACATTCACGCCACTTCCGTGGAAAATCCCACCATGATTTAAGCTCACAAATGCGAGAAATTTGGCAGTGGTTTCACACTGGAGATGGCATTTTGTGGTATTTTCCGGTTCTTCGGAGGTATTTCACAACATGAATGCATTTAGGGAGAAGAATTCCTCAGTTTTCCATATTTTCAGCATCTTATTTGAGAACTAAACCTCAAATTTGCACTGCATTTCTTCTCCGTATACAAGAGGGCGGGGCATCCGAATGGGCGTGGCTTTGGAGCAAACGTCGGAGAAGTTGATTGGGTGATTTCAATAAGTATACAATGTTTTTTTTTAACATGCAACAACTTTATTGTATTGAGGAAAGGGATTCTACAGATCAGTACTAATCAAACTACGGGGGAAACTACGGGGAAGATTATTGTAATGTCTGCTTGTCGGTATCCGGGTGTTGCCTGAGATTTTGTTCTTCCGATCAGACACAGTTCTGAACCTGGAACTGGAAGACGGTTCCCGCTGGACAAGTCATCTCAATACCTGGCAAGCCGATTGTGTGGCACACGAAGAAGGTCTCGGGTCTGCTTCCTGGCCATTGCATGCCCATGTGGTCAGCTGTACAGACGAGGGACGGACAGGGAGGGCACGTTGTGGTCTCACATGGTGGACACGTGGTTGTGCACGGAGGGCACGGGGTTGTGCACGGAGGGCACGGGGTTGTGCAAGGAGGACACGGTGTTGGTGGACAGGGAGTACAAGGTGGTGGTGGACAGGGAGTACAAGGTGGTGGTGGACATGGAGGGCATGGGGTTGGTGGACAGGGAGGACAGGTGGTTGTTGTCGTCGTCGTCGTTGTGGTAGTAGTTGTGGTAGTAGTGGTTGTAGTTGTGGTTGTGGTAGTGGTTGTGGTAGTAGTCGTGGTAGTTGTCGTTCTGCAATAAATTGATAATTTCATGTAAATTTGAAACACAGAAATGATGAACGAAGGAGTGAAAGAGCGCATCATTCAAAGGATCAAACTTACGTGGTTGTACAGGGAGGACAAGGTGTTGGTGGACATGGAGGGCATGGGGTTGGTGGACAGGGAGGGCACGGGGTTGTACAGGGAGGGCACGGGGTTGTACAGGGAGGGCATGGGGTTGTACACGGTGGGCAGGTGGTCTCGCAGGGGCAAGGAGCCGCGAAGGCTCCCGCAACGAAGGCAATGACCAACAGGACACCTGAAAGTCAGGAAAAGTTAATTCCACTGATCTCACAATCAACAACCAGAATGCCTTACTTTTCATGGCTGTGTCTAGAGAAGAACTGTGTGACGAACTGTGCTGTGTCTCCTCGTTCACTCTGCATTTATACTGTGCAAATCCCGCGAAAATGTTTGATTAATTTTCGCGAAAAAGAGTGTTATCTTCAATTTTCATCAATTTTCCTTGTGATTGAGAAGAAAGACTTGTCACTCGACCTCCCGTCGTGAGTGCAGCGCGTAAAATCAAAATTGATCGACCGCCGTAATCGATTTCCTTACAACCGGAACTGTTGCATACGTAAATCGTAATCGCCATGCTATAAATAACTCATGGACTTGAGACACATTTGAATGCCTTTGACAACGAGCACGTGCTCGATAATTGATTTCTCAAAATGGAGTGCCAAGCGAGGCCACGATCTGTGTTCTTGATGACATTGCAGGGACTCAAGCACCTTCACAGTCTCCGCAACTTATGGATTTTCCCCTATAACATGTATATTTGTATAGTTTGCTGAGAAATTGATTGATTTCCAGCAGAATTTGTGGGAAAACTGTGGCAATTCGTAGCAATTTAATTGGCTGGGTTGTCATGAAAGAAACCTCAAGAGTTACGCAAATCCCCCATTCGTCCCCTCAAAATCCACCACCCTGTGTGTGTGTGTATCATGCAAATGACTCCCTTTGATGACACCCCAAGGGTCACGCACTCGGGGAGAGTGAAAATCTGCTAGATTTTCTTCGGGCACAGAGAAATGTAAATTTTACGATGTGCCAAATGTTCTGGAGGTGCTCTTTGGCGTTTTCTGAAGCTTGTGATTCAATTTCTGGTCACTCGAGGCTAATTTAATATTTTCTCGCATTTCCTTCAAATTCACGCCTTTTTCGCGTGAATTTTTCACCGGGAAATCACATCAATTTTCCACCGAGTGACTCCGATAAATTCCACTCTAAATGCACATAGAAATACGCCCGAATTTTTCTCTTCAATTACGGCGTTGTGTCTCTAAAAGTTACACATGTCTTTGGCCTTTCCACCTTTGACCTCGATTCTGTCTTGAAGGAATCATTTCAAGCTTTCTAGTTTAGCAATCATTCGAAAAATTCTGATCTAACTTCATGAAATCTCAGTTTTAGCCGTATTTCCCGCATTCTGGGCAAGACAGTAGCTGAAAAAATCTATCTAACCTCTTGTCTTGGCCATGTCTTGATTCTGAAGACTCTGAGTTTTAGATCCTAGCCATACAGCGCGCTTTTACCTAAATCCTAAACCTAACAATGCTCTTGTCTTATAAATCTAATCATATTTATTTTACAATGTTCAATATCTTATTATAATCTTATCTCTAAGTGTCTTTCTATCTTTCAGAGGGATGAACTCGTCTCTTTAATAGTTTTTTTTTCCAAAATTGACTGTGTAGCGGAGGGACAACGACCTTCCGTCGGTCAGTCAGACTTCCTTTGGCTAGTCTATCCGCAATTTCGTTTTCTAAGATATGACGGTGACCTGGTATCCATTGAATGTGTGTGTTTGTCTCGGGGCTATTCATTACGCCACAAGACTGAATGAGGGCTTCCAGGCCAAAGGCCGCACTTAAGTCTGGCAAATACACGTTTGAGGTGTGTGTGAGACGTGTGAATTCTATCAAGTTTCAACGCCTTGTGGCAAATTGAATCCCAAAAATCTCGCTTTTTTCTGAGTATTTGGAAAAGGCTTGAGAAGCACGTCATGCTTTCGGATATGGTTGTGAGCGTCAAAAATGCCAAAATTAAACCCAACAAAGTGGTCCAACTCCAATTCTCAACCACTCCTTAACTTCTGACATTCTTTTGGCGCGCCTCGAGACTGGGAAGAAATTGCTGGCAAACGGGAAGCAATCACACAATGGGACACATCTTTGGCATATTTGCACGAGAGAACATCACCCCGAGTGTCTTCTCCTTCTACCTGGAGGCGAAAGAATCCATTACGGCGCAACACGATCCCGCCATCGCCTTGTTCTTCCCACACCGCGCGTCTAATGTCAATCTCCACGGCCTCTCAATCAGACCCAATCTTTTCCCCATACAAACCACCCCCCAGAGCCACGCGGCTGAGGAGTGGCAAGAGGATATTTATCAGCCTCTCAATTGTGGCAATTTACACTCTTTCGATACGGCGAAATTATCCTCCTCAATCACGATGACTCTGAATCTCATCAAGGTTGCGTGGCTGAGAGCCACTCCTCGACAACTTCACACCTCTCTGTGGATTGAGGGGGTTTGGGGGTGACTTTCCGGCAATTTATTGACAATATGGGGCTCATGTGATGCTCCTGCTAAATCTCTCAACTTCATTTCACAGCACTTTTCACTCACACACACGGGGCAAAAAAGGCATCAGTGGAAGTTGTCTGCAAACAGTGGAAAAGTTTTCAAACTCTCCTTGATTTTGGAAATATATTTTGACGGATTTTTCTGAGTGCAGTCAATTTGGAGATTGAATTAAACTTTGGGGTGTTTATTCTCATGACAAATATGAATTTTCAATTCTTCACCCCAAACTTTTCGTCCGAAACCCTCAAAGGCGCGCCCCATTCGCTTGTCTCATCCCGGAAAAAGGAAAGCTCTTGAGCGGATATTAAGTGCTTGGATGTAGAAGAAAATGTGAAAGAAGCCACCATATGTCATTTACACACTTAAAATGTGATTATCAAGTCACGAGATAGAAGCCCTAAAGTTTCCCTCTCTGGGAGCTAAACAAATAACCTCACGACGAGGGCACATTGTCTGTAAATTTCGGCGGCAGGAAAAATACAGACATTTTCCAGCTTAACTGCTTCCGAAGTATTTGTGATAATTTCAATGCTTGAGGAAATTCCATGGCGTCATTCCAGAAAATCTCTGCATTTCTGACATCTTTCAGAATATTTTGCATCGAAAGAAAAATCCCAGGAAAATTCTCTATTCTCACTATGAATGTGAAGATGTCACTGAGTTTAGAGCTATTTTATAATGTATATTTATTAATATCAATTCACTCTGTTTGATGGTGAAAAAAGATTTTTTCAAGGATTTTTTTTATTCCTTGGAAAAAATCGAACAGTTCATGTGAAAATTTGCAGCAAGGATTTTGTCAAGAAATGCGTTTTTCTTTCACTCTCAAAAGCAATTTCCTAATAATCCCTGTTTTCTGTTGGAAAGCAAACTTTCCATGGCGAGATTTCTGTTTGTAGATTAAAGTTCAACAATTTGAGTTTTTCTCCATTTTCTACTCACTTATTTTTATGCTGAAGTGTTTGGAAAAAAAAAGCAGCGCTTCTTCACATATTTATGGATTAATCTCACTTGTCAATTTGGTGATGTTGTCGCGAAACATGTGACGAGGAGTTATATTGAAATAGAACAACGCCAAAGTTAACGTGGCATCGCAAGAATGCATAAATGAAGGGAGAAATCTTTTCTCCTTCGGACACACTTTCTCAGAAGCGCCGTCAATCAATTGGCTGGAAAATGAACGCAAATTTTGATTGATGGAACCTCTTTTGGAGTCCATTGGAATGTCCCTTTGAATAAATCAACCAATTTTGTCCATTTTCCTCGTCAAATCATCGAAGCTTTTCCAATATATTGAGCGACAAATTCTGACGAAAGAATGAAATAAACAGATAAATAGCTATATGGAAAATGGGCAAAGCCGCAGTGCTTGAAAAAATATTATTTCAAGTCACAAGGGAGTTTTGCTTGTTTATTCACCATTTCATGGGGAAAAATCTCGATAATTAATTTTTTTTATATCTCTATATCTTTAGCGCAATTTCCTCCTGACAAAATTAATTCCAAAGATTCTAATCTCAGCAAACTAAACTAACAGTCGTGAAAACTTGAAGTGCAGCCAAATGAAAGTCTATTTGCAAGATTTTGCATTGGAAAATTAGATAAAATGCGAATTGACTAAAAGTTGCATGTGTTGTCTGGCGATTTGTAGTTGAAATACTTATAAGGAATTGAAGAAGACAACATAAGTTTTATTTGCTTGATAATATGATTAACATTTGAGAAAATCACTTGGCAACTATATGGAAAAAAGAAATGTAACAGTGAAGAATTGAATAGAAATAATAGAAAAAAAGATTAATTAACATGTAAAATTGCACGAAAAAAAATAAAAATTTAATATTTTCGGCAAAATATTTCAATAAATTTAATTATATTTAAATATTCTCTTCATATTTCAATAAAATTTAGATTCAAATAGAATAAAAGTCACAAAATTTATCACAAGTTGAATAAAAAAAACACATAAATTTAAAGTAAGAGGCAAAAATAGCAATAAATTCAAGAAATAATTGAATAATCACAAAGTTAATCTCAAATTGAGACTGAATTTCCTCTTGGCAAAACTTTTTAATCCTGTATTAAATAAAATTATTACTTAAATTATTTCAGCCTGTATTAGTTCCTCGTGAGCCAATTTTTGTAAATATTCTTTGCTTCTGCTTCGAAGTCTTCAAACCCAACCGTATTTATTGATCCTCATTCTTCAGCGGAATTTAATTGAAATTTATGCGTAGCGGTAAAATTTATGATTTTCCAATAGCCGCCAATGTGACGGTACATCATTCTGCAATTTTTAATGGCCATGTTTGGCCTCGCGACCACTGAGGTTGATTATTTATTATCCATTGGCCGTAGTGTTAAAATTTGATTTCTCACTTCAAATTGGCCGACGCGTCGTTTAATAAAATATCAATTGTAACATTTTCATCATCGTGAAAAGTGTCATTTGGCGAATTTATTGATTAAAAGAATATCGCACGATTTTTTTGCATAATTTGTGCATTCCTGTGAACAATGAATGAAATTCAGAGGGATGATTTTTTTGCCTCTCCCGTCTTAAGAGAGATTTTGGCGAAAGCCAAGGATGTGGCGACAAAAAAACAGCGCTTTGGCGCTCAGAGTAAATAAAACGACAATAATTTTCTAAAGACACTGAAGAGGAGAGAATAAAATTTACAGCAATATTGTTGGAGAAGAGAATCCGCGCCAGGATGTGCTATAAACTTCCTGTGTTGCTGCTTTTTTCGCCGCTGCTCTATTTATATTATCATGATTATCTTGCTCATGACTACGAAATTCACTGGGTGATTTTTATTTTGAAAGTCAATATTGGTGAATTAATGATTTCAAGCAGTTTTCCATCCTCATGATCACGAAATTTCCTCACATTTTCTCATTTATACACCATTGAAAAAATGCCCATTAAATTCCTATCCAGAGAAATTATGTCTTTCACTCCACTTGCCACTGAATTCCTGATTTACACCGCGACGGGCGTCTCAAGAGTGGCTCATCGAGATGCTCCTCGATGGGCATCGGATAACCAACTGAAAGTGTTGCGTCCGCGACAGAATCCATCAGCCACTGAAGTGATCCAAGAGCACACATCAGGGAGACAAGGAGGCGACCACAGGAGCTGCCGGAATGCGTGCGCGCGCAAACATGTGCCGGATTGTTGACATTCCAGGCGCTTTCCAGTCGCTTTCGCGCCAAAAGTTGCACTAAACACACTAACCGGCCATTGATTTCCCGTCAGCTGCATAATTACTTCCCACACAGAGTCCCGTGAGTCCCTTTTGGCACACAGGATATTGCCAATCAAGTTACTCTTGGTCAATTATGACTCTCTATTTCCACATTATCGCGCTCAACTGGTCAAAGTTCATAATTTCAGCTCCCCAAGATTCATTCTGGTCTCTCAAATTGATAATCGATTATGATTAATGACACTTGTTCAGCAATTAAATGCATTAAAGATTAGGAGGAATCTCTTCGTGATGGATTAAGTTTCTCTCACTCCCTTCAGAGCGATTGTAAATTGCATATTCATCAGAGTCCATCACGGGCATGAAGAGTTGTCTAATTAAAATATTTCCAGGCCATTGTGAGGTTTGAGTGTTCACGAAAGTATGCTAAAATGGATTTGAATATCCATTTTGGATCCACTCTAAAAGCTCTTGTTTGTCAAATGTCAATTTTCACACAAAATTTTAATAAATTCCCAGTGTGAAGAAGGAGAATTCGGCGAATGTCATTAGATATACACTTTATTGCCGCTCAAGAAGCCTCAAAATACAAGACACAATTGGACTAAATAAATGGGATTTTAACATCCCGCGAACAGGTTTATCAGACGCTCGTGTGATTTTTGTGACTTTCCCTTGCATTTTAAGAAGAGTCATAAATGTCATTTCAATGGCAGACTTTTTTCTTTCATTTTCTATGGAATCTCTGTCAGGAGAATCAAGAATACAAAACGCGTCATCAGTGGCAAAGAGGAGCTCAATGGGAGCACATCTTAAGCAAGATTCACTATTGCAAAAGCTTTTGTGGGAAAAATGTGGTCAATTTTCATTGTATTTCTCGCCTTTTCTGGAAAATCCTTGTCTGGAAGTGAGTTCAGAGCGTCCAATCGGCCTCACATTATTATCCTGATGGCCGATGACATGGGCTTCAATGATGTGAGCTTTAGAAGGACATCGAGAATTCACACGCCAAATATCGATGCTTTGGCATATCAAGGATTGATCCTCAATAAACACTATGTTCCATACACTTGCACTCCTTCGAGGGCAGCTCTGCTCAGTGGATTGAATCCAGTTCACACTGGATTGCAGAACTTTGTAATTGACTCGTGTCAGCCACAAGGACTTCCCCTGGATATCATCCTTTTGCCTCAGTATCTCAAAGAAGTCGGCTACAGAACACACCTTGTAGGAAAATGGCACGTGGGACATTCAAGAAAGGCTTTCACACCAACTGAGAGAGGCTTCGACAGCTTCTTCGGATTCTACACCGGAGCTTTTGACTACTTCGACCACACAGATCGAGCTTCAGGCTCCACTATAGTCAGAGGGTATGTCTATTCGCTCCAATCATGCTTATAACATAACACACAAGATAATTCATTGCAGATATGACTTTAGGAGGAACGAAGAAGTGACTTATGAAGGCCATGGACAATACTCAACGTATCTCTTCACCAATGAGTCATTGAGGATAATAAGGGAGCACAATCCCAAAGAATCACTCTTCCTAATGGTTACTTACAATGCTCCTCATGCATCAGACGGAGATGTGCCGCTGGAAGCGCCACAGGAAGAGATTGATAAGATCACTTACATAAGTGATCCTAATCTGAGAATCCACGCTGCAATGGTGAATGTTCTGGACACAGGCATTGGCCAAGTGATAAGAGAACTCAGTCGGAAGAATATGCTAAGAAATTCTGTGATTCTCTTCTATTCGGACAATGGAGCTCCTGTTGCAGGATTGTACACAACAGGAGGATCAAATTATCCACTAAGAGGGGTAAGTTTACCCTTAAATACTTCATAAAACTCCATAATTAGACTCAGAATTGTGTTCTTGCAGCAAAAACACAGTCCTTGGGAAGGAGGAATTAGAGTTCCTGCGATCATTTGGAGTCCAGCAATGAAAATTCGCCATGGCGTGTCTAATCAATTGATTCACAACACTGATTGGTTGCCAACATTCTTAGCTTTGGCTGGAATTCGACCCAGAAGTAAACTTGATGGATTCAACATGTGGCCGACATTGGCGAAGGGTTTTTCAAGTCCAAGAGATGAAGTGATTCACAACATTGATCCCATTGACCAAATGGTCTCTGTATATTACAGAGGATGGAAGTACATTAATGGAACGATTAACAGTCAATACGACACTTGGTTGAGTTCTTCATCCAATGGCAAGGATGAATTCGGGGTGAAATACACAGAAAGTGTAATGAAAAGCGTTGCGTGGAAAGCTCTGACACCGTTTGCCACGCAATTCGTCACCAGCAAGACCATTAGAAGGATTAGAAAGTTGACAGAAATCTATTGCCAACCTAGAATACCTTATGCAACTGAATGCAAACCTCTAGAAGCGCCTTGTTTGTTCAAGATCACAGAAGATCCTTGTGAAATGAACAACTTGGCTCAAGTTTATCCATTTCAAACTTACGTTATGCAAATTATGGTCAAGAAATGGTCCAGTAGAGTCGTGTATCCAATCAACCAACCCAGTGATTTCGCTGGCTGCGATCCTAGAAATCACAATGGAACCTTCACTTGGTGGCTTGACTTTCCGCAAGAAAGTCAGAAAGTGATATAGAAATATGAGATTTTCAGCAATTGTATGGCCTTTTCTAGAGGGAAAAATTAAAAAGTTACATATTGATAAGAAAGCATGCGTATTATTCTTTATGGACTACAGACACGACGTATTAAATTACGCATAATAACTCGACGAACAGGTTTCTCGATTCTCGAGAGATTTTGGGCAAGAATTTTTGCGACTTTCGCTTGCATTTCGCCAACCGGCTTAAGAGTCAATGGCACACTTTTTCATAATTGCATTTTCGGTCTCAGACTGGGTCTCGGTGAGAATAAAGAAAAGGAAATATCAGTCGCCGGAAGAAGTTCAACCACATCACATCTTAAAACATTTTCTCATGTGAATTGCTGTAATAATGTGTGCTACTTTAATTCTTGTGGCCTTCATTGGAGGATTTGTGGTTCAATCAAGTGCTGAAAGTGAAAGCAAGGATCCAAATAGACCTCACATCATTATCCTGATGGCCGATGACATGGGCTTCAACGACGTGAGCTTTAGAAAGGCTTCATGGATCATCACGCCCAATATCGATGCTTTGGGCTATCAAGGATTGATCTTAAATAGACATTACGTTCCTTACTTGTGCACTCCTTCGAGGGCAGCTCTGCTGACCGGAATTAATCCAGTTCATACAGGAATGCAATCTGGAGTTTTAAATTCGTGTGAACCACTTGGTCTTCCACTTGACCTCACTCTTCTGCCTCAATACCTCAAAGAGGCGGGATATAAGACACATTTGGTGGGAAAGTGGCATTTGGGACACTCAAGAAAGGCTTTCACCCCAAATCAGAGAGGCTTCGACAGCTTCTTCGGATTCTATACAGGCGCCATTGATTATTTCGATCACACGGATGAAGCTTCAGGATCTAGAGAACTTAATGTGAGAGGGTAAGTTTATTCTCCTTTATATTGTTTAACCCTTTAATAAATACTCATTTTATTGGCAGATATGACTTTAGGAGAAACGAAGAAGTGACCTATGAAGGATTTGGACAATACGCAACTTATCTCTTCACCAATGAATCCTTGAGAATCATTGGTGATCATAATCCTAAGAAACCACTCTTCTTGATGGCGACTTACAATGCTCCTCATGCTGCGGATGGAAATGAGCTTTTGCAAGCGCCCCAGGACGAAATCGACAAGATTAATTACATCAGCGATCCCAATTTGAGGACTTTCGCTGCCATGATGAACGTCATGGACAGAGGAATTGGGCAGATCATCAAGGAACTCAGTCAGAAGGACATGCTAAAGAACTCTGTGATTCTCTTCTATTCAGACAACGGAGCTCCTGTTGAAGGTCTTTATGTAAATGAAGGCTCAAACTATCCTTTAAGAGGGGTGAGTGTTAATATTTAAAAGCTTTCCTACATAAAGTAATGAATTTCATTTTAACAGCAAAAGAGCAGTCCTTGGGAAGGCGCCTTTAGAACTCCTACAGTCATCTGGAGTTCTGCAATTACATTTCGTCACAGTGTTTCAAACAGATTGATTCACAATAGTGATTGGTTGCCAACATTCTTAGCTTTGGCTGGAATTCGACCCAGAAGTAATGTCGATGGATTCAACATGTGGCCTTCGATTTCAAAGAACTTGCCCAGTCCAAGAGATGAAGTGATTCACAATATTGATCCCAACGAAGGACTTGTTTCTGTATATTACAAGGGATGGAAGTACATCAGCGGAACGACTAATAGAGGACGATATGACACGTGGTATGGCAGTCCGTCGTATCGGAAAAATGAGTATGGAGTAAAATACACAGAAAGTGTAATGCGAAGCGATACGTGGAAAGCTCTGTCTCCGTTCGCAAGGAAAGGTATAACCAGCAAAACAATTGAGAACATAAGAAAGATGACAGAAATTAATTGCCAACCCAAAATACCTTTTGCGATTGCTTGTGAACCTCTGAAAGCGCCTTGTTTGTTCAAAATCATCGACGATCCTTGCGAATTGAACAATCTAGCATCGATTTATCCTTTCCAAATGTATCTTATGCAGATCCTTGTTAAGAAATGGTCCGCTAAAGTTTTGTATCCAATCAATCAACCCAGTGATTTTGCTGGTTGTGATCCCAGAAAGTACAATGGAACCTTTACTTGGTGGCTAGACGTTGAACAAGATAGACAGAATGTGATAAGCCTTTAAGTTTTGTTAGCGAATCTTTTTTCCTGGAGAATTATAAAAAAAAATAAAGTCTTGATTAATGATTTAAAGCGTTTTTTTTAATGAAACCAAGAATGATACATAATATTACAAACATTTCTTTAAATAATCCGAAATGAAATTATTAATTCGTCACGAACGGGTTTCTCGATTCTCGAGCGATATTGGGCCAGAATTTTTGCGGATTTCGCTTGCATTTTGCCAACAGGTCAAAAAGCCAATGACACTTTTTTTCATACATTTTCAATTTTTGTATCAAAGAGAAACGAAAACGAAGAAGACACGTCAGTCGCCAGAAGAAACTCAACCACATCACATCTTAAACATTACTAAGTGAATCCTGCTGAAAATGTGTTATTGTTTTATATTATTTCTCTTAATTGGAAGATTCGTAGTTCAATCAAGTGCTGAAAGGGCTGAAAGTGAAAGCAAGGATCCAAATAAACCCCACATCATAATCCTGATGGCCGATGACATGGGCTTCAACGATGTGAGCTTTAGAAAGACTTCTCAAGTTTACACACCTAATATCGACGCTTTGGGCTATCAAGGATTGATCTTAAATAGACATTACGTTCCTTACTTGTGCACTCCTTCGAGGGCAGCTCTGCTGACCGGAATTAATCCAGTTCATACAGGAATGCAATCCAGGGTTATAGAATCATGTAGTCCTCATGGTCTTCCGCTTGACCTCACTCTCCTGCCTCAGTACCTCAAAGAGGCGGGATATAAGACACATTTGGTGGGAAAGTGGCATTTGGGACACTCTAAAAAGGCTTTCACTCCAAATCAGAGAGGCTTCGACAGCTTCTTCGGATTCTACACCGGAGCCATTGATTACTTTGACCACACAGATGGAGCTTCAGGATCTGGAGCTCTTAATGTGAGAGGGTAAGCTTATTCTCCTTGATATTGTTTAAGCCTTTTATAATTACTCTTTTTATTTATAGATATGACTTTAGGAGAAACGAAGAAGTGACCTATGAAGGATTTGGACAATACGCAACTTATCTCTTCACAAATGAATCCTTGAAAATCATTGGCGATCATAATCCGAAGAAACCGCTTTTCCTGGTAGCAACTTACAATGCTCCACACGCTGCGGACGGTCCTGTGCTTTTGGAAGCGCCCCAGGACGAAATCGACAAGATTAATTACATCAGTGATCCCAATTTGAGGACTTTCGCTGCCATGATGAACGTCATGGACAGAGGAATTGGGCAGATCATCAAGAAACTCAGTCACAAGGATATGCTAAAGAACTCTGTGATTCTCTTCTATTCAGACAATGGATCACCAATTGAAGGTCTTTATGTAAATGAAGGCTCAAACTATCCTATAAGAGGTGTAAGTCTTTCGCATACTTTGTTAGCTATAAAATAAAGTGTTGTTTTTGTGTTTTTAGCAAAAATATGGTCCTTGGGAAGGAGGAATTCGAGTCCCAGCGATCATTTGGAGCCCAGCAATGAAATATCGTCACGGTGTTTCAAACAAATTGTTTCACAACACTGATTGGTTGCCAACATTCTTAGCTTTGGCTGGAATTCGACCCAGAAGTAATGTCGATGGATTCAACATGTGGCCTTCGATTTCAAAGAACTTGCCCAGTCCAAGAGATGAAATGATTCACAATATTGATCCCATTGACCATTTCGTCTCTGTATATTACAGAGGATGGAAGTACATCAATGGAACGACTTTCAGTGAATTCGACACTTGGTTGAGTTCTTCATCCAATGGCAAGGATGAATTCGGGGTGAAATACACAGAAAGTGTAATGAAAAGCGATACGTGGAAAGCTCTGTCTCCGTTCGCTAGAAAAACCATCACCGATAAAACCATAAGAAAGATCAGGAAGATGACAGAAATTAATTGTCAACCCAAAATACCTTTTGCGATTGCTTGTGAACCTCTAAAAGCGCCGTGTTTGTTCAAAATCATTGACGATCCTTGCGAATTGAACAATCTGGCATCGATTTATCCTTTCCAAATGTATCTTATGCAGATCCTTGTTAAGAAATGGTCTAGTAGAGTCGTGTATCCAATCAATCTACCCAGAGATTTTGCTGGTTGCGATCCCAGAAAGTACAATGGAACCTTTACTTGGTGGCTTGACTTAGAACAAAGACAGTAAGAAAACTTTGTAACCTATAAAAGATTTCTTCATTTGATCTTATCTGAAAATATAGAAACACAAAATTCATTAAGAAGAACAGGTTTGTTTAATTTAGAGTGATGTTGATTTGTATCGGAAATTTTTAAAACTTTCGCTTCTATTTCATGAATATACAATATATTATTCTAAAACACAGTTTTCTGACATACTTTTAGCCGAATTCTTTTGACTTTAGCAAAAGAAAGCAGAAATTGTATTAGTCTGGAGACGAAGCTCAGTGAGATCACATCTTAATCAGTTTTAGTGTGAATTTTTGGAACAAAATGTGTGCTACTTTAATTCTTGTGGCCTTCATTGGAGGATTTATACTTCAATCAAGTGCTGAAATGGCTGAAAGTGAAAGCAAGGATCCAAATAAACCCCACATCATTATCCTGATGGCTGATGACATGGGCTTCAACGATGTGAGCTTCAGGAAGACTTCTCAAGTTTACACACCTAATATCGATGCTTTGGGCTATCAAGGATTGATTTTAAATAGACATTATGTGCCTCACATGTGCACTCCTTCGAGAGCAGCCTTGCTCACGGGAATTAATCCAGTTCATACAGGAATGCAGCATTATGTCATAAGATCTTGTGAGCCATACGGACTTCCGCTTGACCTCATTCTCCTGCCTCAGTATCTCAAAAAGGCGGGATACAAAACCCACCTTGTCGGAAAGTGGCACTTGGGCAACGCAAAAAAGGCTTTCATCCCCACTGAAAGGGGCTTCGACAGCTTCTTCGGATTCTATACAGGCGCCATTGAATATTATAACCACACGGATGGAGCTTCAGGATCTGCAGTTACAGAAACTGGAGCTCTCAGTGTGAGAGGGTAAATTTAATCTCTATACCTTTGATCCCTACAATAAGTACCCATTTGATTTGCAGATATGACTTTAGGAGAAACGAAGAAGTGACCTATGAAGGATTTGGACAATACGCAACTTATCTCTTCACAAATGAATCCTTGAAAATCATTGGCGATCATAATCCGAAGAAACCGCTTTTCCTGGTAGCAACTTACAATGCTCCACACGCTGCGGACGGTCCTGTGCTTTTGGAAGCGCCCCAGGACGAAATCGATAAGATTAATTACATCAGTGATCCCAATTTGAGGACTTTCGCTGCCATGATGAACATCATGGACAGAGGAATTGGGCAGATCATCAAGAAACTCAGTCACAAGGATATGCTAAAGAACTCTGTGATTCTCTTCTATTCAGACAATGGATCACCAATTGAAGGTCTTTATGCTAATGAAGGTTCAAACTATCCTTTAAGAGGTGTAAGTAATTCTAACACTTTTGTGAGCTATAAAATAAGGTGTTGTTTTTGTGTCTGTAGCAAAAAAGCAGTCCTTGGGAAGGAGGAATTCGAGTCCCAGCAATCATTTGGAGTCCAGCAATGAAATATCGTCACGGAGTATCAAGTAAATTGATCCATAACACTGATTGGTTGCCAACATTCTTAGCCTTGGCTGGAATTCGACCGAAAAGTAATGTCGATGGATTCAACATGTGGCCGACATTGACGAAGAATTTGCCCAGTCCAAGAGATGAAATGATTCACAATATTGATCCTATTGATCAATTCGTCTCTGTATATTACAGAGGATGGAAGTACATCAATGGAACGACTGATGGCGGACAATATGATGGTTGGTTGAGTCCTTCCTCGAATTGTAAGGATCAGTTTGGAGTGAAATACACAGAAAGTGTAATGAAAAGCGATACGTGGAAAGCTCTGTCTCCGTTCGCCAGAAAAACCATCACCAGTAAGACAATAAGAAGGATCAGGAAGATGACTGAAGTTTACTGTCCAGCCAAAATACCTTATTCTGGGGTCTGTGAGCCTTTGAAAGCGCCGTGTTTGTTCAAAATCACTGATGATCCTTGTGAAATGAACAACTTGGCTCAAGTCTACCCATTCCGTACTTATCTTATGCAGATCTTAGTTAAGAAATGGTCTGCTAACGTCGTGTATCCCATCAATCAGCCCAGTGATTTTGCTGGCTGCGATCCTAGAAAGCACAATGGAACCTTCACTTGGTGGCTTGATTAATAAAAAGGCTCTCAAAAGGGATAACAAATCTACTTTTTACGCAGTGTCTTATCACGTTATGTTTGTCATTTTCACACTTTCTAATTTGAAGGGACAATGATAGGGATTTCATGTGTTCAGCGGTGTGTATCCTTGGGCGGGCGGACTCTTCTTGCAGCACTTCCTGCATTGTCTGACACAGTAGAACAGCAGAACAAGACACAAGAGGAATGCCACACCGAACAGAATGCCACTGACTGCTGAGTAAGTTATAACAAACACTTCATTCGACTGGTATTCGTGGACGTCTTGTAAGAAGAACCTTCCGAGGCTGATAAAGATTTTCTGTAATTACACAAAATGGTGATTAGTAAAAGCTTTGATTGAAAATTGACTTATTTATACCTTTCCAGTGACGTTATTCTTCGTCTCATACTGCGCAAAATTGCCCAGTTTCATGTAAGTTGTGTTCAAAGTTGCTGTGAGAAAAGTGTCTTCTCTTATCCAAACACCCACAACTCTAGCAGTAATTGTCCGTCCAGGCAGGACTGTAACGTTGAAAGTGATGCTCTGGAATGGGAGAAAGTGAGTTAATCCAGCAGCAAGTAGGAACTTCAATCCATTCTTACGTAGCTTTCCTTCTGCGTCAGGAAATCTCCTGTTCTTAGAAACGTTGTTCCGTTGGAACTTCTGTACAGCAGAGGAATGTCTGGAACGAGATACTCGTCACTTTCAAAAGCCACCTCACTGACGAAGTCCAACTCAACGGAGAACTTCTGTGCATAGCTTGAGGGGTTGTAGTAGGTGAAATCTCCAATATGTTCTTCTCGCATTTCTTTGCTGTTCTTGCGGGTGATTTTGGATTCTGTTACTTCGTAGGACAAAGGAATTCTTCTGATCAAGTGTTGATAGTAGCCAGGAAAGGAACTGATGTCCGGCACTCCATCGAGTTGGAAAGGAGTGAATATTTCACATGAATTGTATTCATGGACAATTCCGTATTTTCCCAGCTGAGAAATGATCTCACTCGTTCCTGTCTGCATAATCTTGCGTCCGAGAAACTGTCTAGTTCTAGTGTAAGATGTTGTTTCGCTACAAAGAAAAAGTCTTAAGTTCCTCCCAGTTATTGGCTTCAACTAAGAACTTACTTAACATTCGTAACCCAGAAAAGCGTTTCTGCGATGTTATCAAGATCTTCCTCGCAATTCTCAAAATAAAAAGACGAATCCGTTGAAACTTTCCATCCTTCGACTGTTAAGTAGGAAAGCGAAGTGTACGGTCTGCTACAATCATAATCATATTGATAGTAAGGATAGTAGTTGTTTCTCTCTTCCTCTGTTTTCTCCTGAACTTTCTTGCAAAGTTTCTTAAGCATCACCTAAATTTTGCAACATTTACACAATGAGAAAATCAATGAATATACTTTGCTGAATTGCCTTAAAGTCTTACCAAATCATCCGCAGATATTGAGACCACTGGCAAACTACAGTTTTCCATGCTCTGCTTCAAGATGTTGGCTCCGCAGCACAGACACAACTCTTCTCCATTTGCATGAGCAAATTGAAAGAGCAGAAGAACAAACAATCCGAGAAGAACTTTCATTTTCACTAGACTCAACATTTTTTCACTCTTCTGAGCAAGCTTCTGAGTCATCAGTTGTTAAGAGCGCAGACAGAATTGAACTAAGCGATATTTTGTCGATGGATTGGTTTTTTGGGCCGATAGGAAACGACAGAAGTGTGATAAATATGTTTTTTATTATCTGACAAAAACTGATAAGATAAGGTAACAAAGATTAGTGATTCCCCGAAGTGTTTTCAGTTTGATTTAGAGTCGCTGTGAAAGTTCAGCGGCCGATTTTGTCTGTGTGTTTTTGCCTGAGAATGCAAACCATTTGAGGAAATGAGATTTTCGGGGATCTGAAAGGTGTTTGTCTTTGTGTGAGGAGTGCCAAGAAGTGAAGGAAATGCCACAAGATTCGAAGAATTTGTCAAAGAACTCAGTGGATAAGGATGGATATAGAAATAGGGTAAAAGTGGAGAAAAATTCGATGAATTGGGTGTAATTGGATTCCAGACTGATTGAATCTGAGAATCAATTACTGTTTGATTCAAAGGATTCAACTGCTCAACTTCCTCCGATTCATTAATCTCAGTTGCTATTTCAGGATCTGTAGAATTGGAAAAACTCTCAGCTTGGATGGCTTCAATGTCCAGCCACCAAGTGAAGGTTCCATTGTACTTTGCTGGATTGCAATTTTCCAAATCTGCTGGTAAATTAACAGGATAAACTGTCCTCGCTTGGAATCTCTTCATCAAAATCTTCATCAAGTACGTTTTGTGTGGATAAACATAGGCTAGGTTGTTTAATTCGCACGGATCCTCTTTAATGCGAAACAGACAAGGACCCTTCAGTGGATTACATCCTAAGGCGTAGGGAATCTTAGGCTGGCAGAATGTTCTTGTGTTCCTCCTGATCCGTCTTATGCTGCTACTGCCAAGAGTTCTGCGGGCGAATGGCGCCAAAGCCTGCCACGTGTCACTCCTTACAACAATTTCCGCGTATCTTTTCGCATCTGGATTGCGATATCGCGCATCTGAGCCTAACCACGAGTCGTAGATGCCAAAGTCAGTTGATCCATTGATGTACTTCCATCCTCTGTAGTAGAATGCAGTCAATCCATCGATTGGATCGATGTTGTGAATGATCCTTTTCCTCGGGCTGGGCTTGTTCTTCACCAGTGTGGGCCAGATATCATAACCATCCAGTTCCCCAATTGGTCGAACGCCAGTCATGCCGACGAAGGTTGGCAACCAATCAGTGTTGTAGATCAAGTGATTTGACACGCCATGGCGAACTTCTATCAAAGGACTCCAAATGGCCGCAGGAACTCGAATTGCGCCTTCCCAAGTAGTGAGTTTTTGCTGAAACATCAATAATAGTCAATTGGCAAACCTTATGATGATGAATCGTCATTTACATACGCCTCTCAAAGGGAAGTTAGAACCCTGAGTTTCAAAAATTCCCCTGGTCGGAGCTCCGTTGTCGGAATAGAACAGAATCACCGAATTGCTTAACATTCTCTTCAAGCTCAACTCCCTAATGATCTGACCAATGCTCCTGTCCAGAATCCTTATCATAGCAGCATGAGTTCTCAAGATGGGATCTCGAATGTATGTGAGTTTGTCCTTTTCTTCCTGCGGCGCATCACTTTCGGATAATCCTGAAATACTCGCTGTGTGAGGCGCATTAAATGCATTGACAAGGAAGAGTGGAATTCTCGGATTGTGTCTCTTGATGATCTCCAAGGATTCATTGGTGAAGAGATGTGTTGCATACTGACCCAGACCTTCATATGTCACCTCTTCGTTTCTTCTGAAGTCGTAACTGTGGAAATGAATGCTCGATTACACTTAATCCAGAGACTTAGAATGTGTTTTCTCACCCATTGAAATTTCCCAGCCACGTTGTGTGATTCCAATAGTCAATGGCGCCTGTGTAGAAACCGAAGAAGCTGTCGAAGCCCCTCTCAGTGGGAATGTAGGCCTTCCTGGCAAATCCTAGATGCCACTTGCCGACGAGATGAGTTCTGTAGCCAGCTTGCTTCAGATACTCAGGCAAGAGCTTCAAGTGCAAGGGAAGACCAGTTGGGTCACAGTGCAATAGGACATAGTGCTGCATTCCGCTGTGAACGGGATTCACGCCAGTGAGAAAGGCTGCTCTTGAGGGTGTACAAGCATAGGGAACGTAGTGTCTGTTCAAAATCACTCCCTGATAACCCAAGGCGTCGATATTGGGCGTGAGAATCTGCGAAGAACCGCGAAAGCTCACATCATCGAAGCCCAAATCATCAGCCATGAAGATTATGATATGAGGACGATCAGGATACTTGACGTCTGTGTCTATTTCAGGATCAATTCCAGGCAAGATTCCAGGTGATACAGGACTTGCTGTTGATGGATTGGATGTGGAAGTTGGTATATTGTACACTTGAGCCAGAGTTGCACCAACAAAACAGAGCACAAGAATGAGAGAAATCATCATTTTCAAACTGTTCTGTCCGAAAACCTGAGGAACACTAAATCCATCAGAATCTTCTCTAGGTTGAAGAGTCACTGAACCTGGTGTTATTACTCTAGGTCGCGAGACAATTTATTGCATAATCGCAGCTGGAAGTCTTCGCTATTAATTAGCTGCTCCATAAAACATTATTATGAACCATGAATCTGTAAATCAATTGAAAGTCGATTGAAAGTGTGTGATTGAGAATTTGGTAATGTTTGAAATTTTCAGAATTCTACCAACCATCAATCACACCCATTCAAAATGTATGGGAAATTGTAAATTTTCCCAACGCCACTGGTCGCCGAATGCAAGCATATTTCCCCTCTTTTTGTCGCTCAGTTTGAAATGTGCGCTATTCTGCTCTCTTCGCACACACTCAGTCAGAGGTTTAAAGAGTGGGAACTTCTCCACATTGTCTGCATTGAGAAACACGCGACACTTCTCCGTCCTTTGCTTTCAACCTCATTTCGTGCGCTTCGCTCGACTCATTTTCGCGCCGTGATCGTCGACAGTCGCATGCGAAGCGCATTGCGAACAGACGCAGAGTCGCGCAGTGTGTGTCAGATAAGAAAATAATGTACATCCGGAGGCAGTTTACTGAAGCCCAGAAGATTGCTCTTCTGGATTTTCTGGCCAAATACCCAAAGCTGCGCAGTGGTGAGTACGATGATGAGTTTGGACGCAAGGATGCGAAGAGATTGTGGGAAAAGGCGGCGCAAACGCTGAATGACGTTCCGGGAGCGAAGAAGAGTTGGGAACAGTGGCGTAAGGTGAGTTTTATTCTCGGCAAATGTATGAACTGTTTTATATCATGATTGCGCGTGGTTTTCTCGCAGATTTGGCACGATATTCGGAGAAGACAACCTCACTATCTTGCGCGATTCGGTAACACGGGCAGTTCAAAGTCTCCCTTGAAAACAAACTCTAGCAGGTTCAAGAGTGATCCTGATGGTCGCAAGAAAACCCCGAAATTGAATAATGAACAGAAGGAGCTGCTAATTGACTTCATGCTAAGTCATCCTGAACTGCGAACTGGCATAATTGGTCCGCATTTCACATATGTTGACGCTCGGCGAGAGTGGATGATCTTAACTGAATTCATGAGGAAAGTTCCTGGACCGACGAAAACATGGAAACAGTGGCGAAAGGTGAGGAATCCCAAAGACATTCTTGGGCTTTTGCTGGGAGTTTTCAATTTTCTTCTTTGCTTTTTTAAGGTCTGGCATTCGATGCGCACACTAATTGAGTATCAATTGGCAGCGAAACAGAAGCAAAGCACAGCAGAAACATCAAATGAAAACTTAGTCATTCAACATCCAAATCTCAGCATTGTCAAGGAGGAATTGGACATTCCTGAAGAATATCCTGATAGTCAAGAAGATGTGGACATTGATGTTGAGTCAAATAACAGCAAAGAGTTTGAGAATTCGGTGATTGAACTGCCAGAACCAACTGATGATTGCAATTCCAAAGAGGCTTTCTGCATTTCCGATGTCTTCAATGACTCCACAGATGCCAAGAGTTCTTGTGATACACGCCAGGAGTTCCAGGAGCAACAACTCAACCTCTTGAGGAGACAGACTGAAGCTCTCGAGGCCATGGCTGAGGATAACAGCAGGCATCACAGGAACTTTGAGAGGCAAATGGAGAATCAAGAGAAATTAATGAAAATCATGGAAGAACTCATGAAGAAACTAACTTAATGAATTGTTTAAGAAGACGTAAGAGTGTTTTTTTTTTTTCTTTTCACCTGGAAATTCAAGAGAATCTCATTAGGACAATGGGAAGAAATCACGGAGAAAATTGAGCAATGAAGGAAGACAATTAAATTTTATCCTTAATAGTCATAATATTGTTTCTTTGAGGGTAAATTGACGCTTTTAAGCCTAATTGATGAAAATACAACCTCAGAGAACCTCAGTGGCAACGAAATCCAATTTTCCCTCGAGAGCTTTTCCACCACTTGGATGGACTTTTGCTGTATAGCCAGCGAAAAGAAAGGGGAAAGGGAATCTTAAAGCATGAGAGATGAGGATGAATGGACTAGTGAGAAAGTTTTCCATCTGGTGACGAATCAAAATTTATGAGCTTCGCAGCAATGTGAATGTGTATTAATGACACTCGCGCCTTTTTGGTCTCACATCGTAATAAGTTAATCCAATTCCATGCTGATTCCCATTGCGAGGGTGAAGTTGATAAGGAGATGATGCTGCCTTTCCATCATGCCAATTGGAAAATGTAATTTCCTCTCAATCTTATTCCACACCTTCTAACATCGTCATGAGTGTGCGACGAGAGAACATCAAATGTTACTTCCACGGAATTAAAGTAGTATATAGAGATGAGAGGAAATGAAGGACATTTTCCTGTTGCGACAATTTCCCAGGTGAGTCAAAGAGTGTTTGAATCCAATAAGGCATTTCCACATGTGCGTTGCTCAATAACTGAAAAGTCCACAGATGTTTGCTTATGAATCGCATTTATTCTTGCGCTTTGAACTCAATCACATCAGCTTCATGTAAATCCAGGCTGAAGCGCGAGTTACGCCATTTCTCAGCTTTTCCCCCAGGATTTCAGCTTGTTGTTCCGCCAAATCAGCAAAGGAATTGAGTCTCGACTGGAATTGATCTTGAAATTGAGACTCACGCGACACAAACGATTGTCTGTTCAGTTTCTTGTGACTTTTCATCACTTTCATAGCAATTATGACAAGAACAGTGAGCAGAAGGATTACAGCCAGACATATTTCAAGGATGTAAATCAATTCCCGTGAGATAAAGATAAAATCATCACGATAACCAGTGATTTTCACATTTTCCCACGTGAATTCTGTAAAACGCACTTCGTGTTTCTGAAAAGTAATTCAAATAATGGTAAATTTACAGGCTTTCTTTGTAACTGTTGAATATCAAAGTCTCACCAATAATTGCTTTTCAATATCCTTGTGAACTCTAGAGTTGTTGACATGGGCAAAATTGATCCGAATAGAGGCTTTTAATGGGATTTTCAACTGCTTTCTTAAACCCTTTACAGTTCCTGTGCCACAATGATTTGGTGGAATACGAAAGGCGCTGGTGATTTTATGCTGAAAACAGAGAAAAGGACACTTTTATCCCTATAATCCAGCTCATATAATTGATGAAAATCTCACCTGAATTACTGTCTTGAAGTGAATTGAATCAGCGTTTGGATCAATGATTAGTGAAATATTGTTGTCATTGTCGTTTCTCAAGAAAAGTTTGGTCTCTAGATTCAATTGTGCGTCAGGATAAATGTCCTTAAATTTGGTGAAAAGACGAGGATAAAATGTGAAATTTTTGAAAGTGAGTCTTGTAAAAATAGTTTCATTCACGAAAATATTAAAGTCCTTTTCACTTTCTTCATCATTGCAGAGGGAAAACTGTCCCAAATCGCTATATTTGTATGCATTCTTATCAGATGGGAATTCAGAATCTTGCATCACTTCAGTTATTTCATAAGACACTGGACTTTGAATGAAGTAAATCAATTTCGTTGTGTTCTTCTTCGGAAAGTCACAACATTCGAAGGCTTTGAAGGTGTGAATCGCCTTTCCTGTTTGTCCTTCTGAATAGCACAAGAATCCAGGAGTTTCACGCGCCAAAGCTGCATAGCAATGTCCATGTTTCTTCAGCGTCTTGAACAGCTCAGAATCACTCTCGGGAATGACGTGCAACAGACCATCTAAGCTGCTAAGAAGCTCTGAACAATCGTCTGACTTCGGGAAGCTTATGTATCCGGAGTCATTTAGTGTTGCAATTCTTCGCTTGGAGTGGAAGAAGTCAGATTCGGTCTTCGTCCGGGAGTTGAGACAGATGTTGAGTAAGGTGTTAACTTCCTCGGCTGTGGCTGGTTCACAAAGGTCACGACACAGCGAAATGGTTGCCAAAGATAGGAGAATTAGCAAGACTTTGATAAACACCATTGTTCTAACGTGCGTTCGATTGAACCCTCTATGAATGACTAAAGCATTATACACTTTGATAAAAGACTCTGTGGCGAAATTGAGATAACGAAAATATACAATGGGTTATTTATTTGATCTCTTGATAGACCCAAGTTCCTACGTTGCACAGATAGTCTCCGAGTCGGACAAGACGATCTCCTAGAATCTCAGCCTTTTCCTTGGTAAACGCAGCTGCGGTGCTGAAGTGTGTTGAAGTCCACGTTGAAGTCCTCTCCCAGTCGGTCTTAAAGTCTCTCTTGTCAATGAATCCCATCGATTTGATGACAATCAGGAGCAGAAGACAGAAGACAATCATTCCCACCACACATCCGATTAAGAAGAAAAATGTGTTGTAAGGAATAATTACGATGATGTTGTTGGTTGACGACACCTTTCTGTTTGACAGCATTTCACTGGAGAAGAATCGATGGATTATCTGCAAGAAATGGTTTGTTGATTAAAAGATTCCCTCTTTTTCTGAGTCTTTGATGACTCACTTGGCCTGAAGCCTTGATTTCTGTGACGTCTTTGAACTTTCCTAGACTGCCAAAGTTGATTTCAATCAAGAACTTGGCTTCTTTCAATTCTGTCGACCATTTGGCGAATACTTCAGCTGATGCACACTGAAAAGGTTCAACTGTCTCTTCTGAGGAAGCTGAAATCTGTAATCAAAGCTATGTTAGTTTGTCGTTTAGCTTTGCCAACTCTAGTCGTACCTTTGCTTTAGTTTTATACAATATTTCGTTGTGATACTTAGTTAGGCCAACAGTTCTCAAATCACCGTCTTTGTCAGTGTATTCAAGAACACTGAGGGCTTGTGATTGATATATGTCAAGCTGTGGTTGAAGTTGAGGATAAAATTGGTATTGAAACACATTAATTTCCATCTCCTCATCGTAATTGATGCTTAATGTGTAATTTCTGTTTGTATAATCGTCATTGCAGACTGAAAATCTTCCCAAACTCATGTACTCATTTGGATCATATCGTTGAAACGATTGAACCATCCAATCAGGCTTGAAATGCGTATTCTCATCTTCAATCTCAGTCATCTTGTAAGACACTGGCTGACGAAGAAAATAAACATATCTTGTATAGTTTCGATGTGTTGCATTTTGAGTCTTGTACGACTTTTCGTACATTTTGAATGGCGTAAAGATTGAATTTGCATAATCTTGCAGTCCATTGTATGTTCTAAAGACTCCAGGAACGGCTAAACCAATTTCGTCAACTTGCACACTGCCATAGAACGATCCTGATGACTTTATGTATCTGAACAGGTCAGAATTGCTTTCAGGAACCATGTAGAGCAGACCCTCGAGACTATTAAAAATTGCATCACAGTTACTGCCAGGAATCTTAATGTCGTTCACAGAATTCACATCAAACTGCCTAATTGTGGCTATTTTGTAGTCATCGTACTTGTAATTGTACTCATGGTAATTGTAATCATATGGATAAGAATTTAATCTCTGGAGAAACACACACTGATTTTTGAGGAAGTCTATTTCCTCCCTTGAAGCCGGTCTGGCGATGTCTGAGCAGTTCTTGAGATCCTGCTTGAGAACTTGTTCACCACAGCAGAGACAAACTTCAGCGGCCCGTGAAATTGTGGCCAGAGAAAGAAGGATGAGGAGCACTTGGAAAGACATGATTTTACTTTGAGAACAATGCAACAACTGGTCGATGTTGTGAATCACTGATAAAACCTCTTCAACGCACAAATTCTCGGAAATGATAACGAAAATGGCAGGTAAATGGGCGAAGCAGGGACTTGACGGTGTCAATTTTATCAAGTTTAGTAGAGTTTTTCATAGTTCTAACATCAGTTAAACGTGTGAGTGCCAAAAAGCCAGTATCTTTACCCATTTTCACGACTCTCAGCGAGAGCTGATAAGATTTGCGATATCTCATTGAGGAATTGAGGCACTGAAGGCAGTGAATTTCGCAAGGAATGGCGTATTAATATTCAGTTGACATTCAAAGGCAATCCGTTGACATGTTTGTGTATTTCCTGCTCATCTCTGTGCTCATCCCAGCCCTGAGTGGCGCTAGGTTGGAAGTCTGTGTCTGCTGTTCTGAAAATACTGACCAGACGATTTCGGAACAATGTGAAATTCCCGCAAAAAGTCTCACTGAAGATGAAGTGGTAAGTCGTAATTCACATTCTCTATTCTCCATCGGATAACCGCCGTGTGTTCTTCAGGTGACTCTGCATAAGCTGTGTCGCGAGCAGAAAGCTCTTCAAGATCAATTCACAGATTCTTACGGATATCGTCAATACGATGCGCCGCAATATCTCAACTACATTTCACTGCAAAAGTCTATTGTTCGCAAGCCGCGGTTGCCAATCGAAGACTGCGAGAGTGTGAAGGAAGGCAAATGGTTCTGGATACCAGGAAAGAATCAATGGACCGGCAGAAAGTACAGAGATGATTCATATTTGCTAGCTCGCAAAATTGTGATGTCAAATGACACAAGTCAGAGCATTTACCAGTTCTTGGGCTTCAATGGTTTATACAACAACGTGCCTTTCAGTTCGAATCCAATCTTGGAGATCTTCAATGGAACTTACGAGTTTCTGCTGCGAATAACGCCAGCTGAGCAAACATTGCATGACATCAAATTCACAGGGTCCCGAATTGTTGATTACACTAAAGAGTTTATGACCTTTGGGAGAATCTACCTCAATAGCGGTTGGATTCCTTACAACTACAAGAACTACATCACAACACCCAAAAGGACGTATTACAGTTTAAATAAGAAACTAACAGACAATTCCCACTTTGTGATTCACGATGAGAATGATGTCTTCAACATGGGCACCGAAGATAGCAGCAAGACATTAAGAGAAGATCTAGAAGTTAAGGTAAGATCTTTGATGATGTTGAAGACTTTGTGTACTCAAGAGTGATTATAATTTCAGGAAATTAACACATTTACGGAGGATTTCATTCACGATGGATATTCAAGGGGCAAATTTTATGGACATTTCGTCAACACTGAGAGCAAATTCACAGCCAAGCTGAGAAGTGGTTTCTTTGCGGGACGTTCTGAAGCTATTTTCACAACTGAAGAAGAGGTTGAGGGATCAAAAATGGTGTCTGAAATTGAACTGATGGAAACGGAGTTTGAGTTTGCAGAACCTACACTTGAGGTCAATGATCATGTAATTGCTGGGCTGCTCTTCACTCTGGCCGCAGTGCTGACCATTTGCCTCATCTTCTTTGTGCTGAAGAAAGCCTGTTGCTGTTGCTGCAGAGACAGAGTCACAACAGGCTATCAGAGGATGGAAGAGAGAATTGTAGGATAATTGTAGAACATTCTGGGTTTAAATATACTTTATTTGTCAATATTTCAATGCTTCTAAGCTTAAGAGTCCGCCTGGAGCGTTTGATAAGGCACAGCAGGTGGCGTTCTGAACTTCTTAATGGCCAATCTGACTGAGAAGACCACAATTCCAGCCAGAAGAACCACTCCTAAGCAGAGCAGAGCGACGTAGATCGTGGTGTAGTTGAGAACGAGGACCTCAGAAGTGTGATGCACCTGAACATCTTCCAGATAAAAGTCCTTTAGGAAGTACTCGTTTCTGTTTCCGGTCACATCGGCGGTTGAGTTGAAACCAGATGGTTCATCGCTGTAGAGATAGAATCTAGTTGCAAGAAGATCGGATTTCACAGTCGTTTGCTTTCCAACGATGCGAGCTGTGATGGCTGTGAAGGGTGGAACGGTGACGTTGTAGCCTGTTCTCTGAGAAATAAGAAGGAATCAATCTTCAGTTTGAATTATGGGGCCAATTTTTTCCTGGAAATTCGGATAAAGTTAAGCACTTTCACCATTCTTTTCACTTGTTTGTGCAAGATAACATTTTCATTAGTACTCTTTATCTTCCATGCGCACGTCCTTTGTTGACTCAGTACGTCTGATAAGGTTTAAGTGGTCGTGTAGGCTTTGGGAAATCAGGGGCTGTGAACTTACCTTTTGCAGACTATTCTCGATATTTTGCCTCGTCAATATGTTAACATCTTGATTATCCTCCGCATCGTTAACTTCAAATAAGGAATCATCCAAAGTTGCGTCCTTGAAGTTGTATGCAACTCTGTACTTGATATCGACAAACATTTCGATCACTTGTTCGAACTCTGAAGGGTTGTAGTAAGTGAAGAAGCCAACATTCTCAGAGTAATTCAGAGTCTCAACTCGAGATACTTCTTTCGTCACATTGAAGGTCTGCTTCAGTGGCACCAAGAGAGTCAAGTATTCGTAGCTGTAGGGCTCCTTAGGCTCTTCCCCATCGAAGTTATCCCGATGAATCGGATTGAAGACCACCTTTTCTGAGTCTGTGGTTTGTGCTAAACCAATGCAAGTGTTGTTCCTCTCTTTGTCATCAACATTGAACTCCCTGGCGAGGAGTGTGTGTCCAACAAAGTCAGAACCAACGTTGGGTTGCCAGAAGAAGGTTTCCCTGCGCGCCTTGATGTTTTCCTCGCAATCGCCAAAGTGGAAATTGTACATATACTCGAAATTGTAGTTGCGCATCTCAAGATAGGGAATTTGCTTGCGATTCCGAGACTTTGGAAGAGCCATAGAGTCTCGGGGTTGGAAGGGAAAGACACCCTTTGCCAGTTTGCAGAGAATAATCAAGCTGTCCACTTCACTGTCTGAGATCTTTCTCGCTGGAAATGCACACTTTCCATCCTTGGATTCTCCGATGCACAAATCCTCTGTCAACACTCCTCCGATGAGCAGAAAAACGCCCAAACTCAGTAATTTCATCATCCTTTTTTGGCCTTTATCACTTGTTAACTGCACTAGAGTTGCTCAAACACTGACTAACTCACTCATATCTGTCCCACAAAGTGACTTTATCACATTTATCGTGGCCGTAGATAAGATAAGGACACCATGAAGTTGAGGTGAAAATGCGCGTTTGCGAAATCGATTTCCAGCTGTGGTGCAAGAAAATTTGTGTCTGATTGTATTGAAATCATGCGTGGAAAATCAATGGCAAATATGAGAGATAATTTGCCTTCATTCTTGCAAATAACAAGATTTTACACAGCATTTGAGAACAAATACAGAATTGATAAGCAAATAGGGCTGTTTTTCTGCGTTGCTAACACTAGATTTACCGGAAAGTGAAGAAGTAATATCATTTTATACTGAAATTTGCTTGTCGAAAATGTTGTTTCTCAAAGAAATCTCATGTGATTTGATTGATAATTTCTTCGTGTGCCCCAAATTCAATTCATTCTATAAATACACCTCGAAATAAGTTGGCGAGAGTTAAGAAGGAAGCAAAAGAAAATGGTTAAAATGTGCATCAGAAGAAGCGTGCAAAATCCATAAAACGTTGAAATTTCAGACACTTGAGCTTCAAGATATGATTGATGGCATTTCACAGCATATTTATATTTATAATGCCCTCTTTCAGATGAATAATTCCATTCGAGTCACTGAAACTCGCGGAAACGAGTCACACACTGTGGGAAATTTGGCCAACACATTGTCCAAGAGCGTCAAGATCAAGAAAATGGCATTGATTTGAATTGAAAGGCACTCAAATGGTCTCTCGTTGTGGTTGCACGAAATGTTATCCGAAAATATATTTTTTTTAAAGATAATGGCTCTCTCTGGTGCGATGTCTTGCAAATTGAACAAGCAATTAAGGTAAAGTAAGACACTTTGAGAATTCTTTTAAGCGCAAAATGCTGATTCCTTCACCATTCGCCATACAGTTTCCAGTGGAGGTGTCTTAATTGCCGAAAAAACTTCTCGTGGAGATTTTATAAATACACTCAAGTGTATAAAATTGATTCTTTTGAGAATGCCAAGTCAGTTTTGCGTGAACTCTGACGATGGACGGAAGGCAAAATACAGCCAAGAAAATGTCTAGGTTTTCTGTGATATTGTGGGCAAGTCTTTTAGTCATCAACTCTGTCGCTGTTGAATGTGCAAAAGTGCAGAAGAAACCTAATATTATCTTGATAGTGGCTGATGATCTTGTGAGTGATTTTGCTTATTTATTCGTGGGTTCTATATGAATTTTTGAATTGTGTCGTTTTTCAAGGGTTCTCATGATGTGAGTTTGAGAGGAAGTAATCAGATTCTGACGCCCAACATCGACGCTTTGGGCTATCAAGGCGTCATCTTCAACAGACATTACACCGCTCCAATGTGCACACCAACGAGATCATCTCTCTTGACTGGAAAGTACTCAATTCACACTGGAATGCAAAGTAACGTTCTGCGCTCTGGTGAACCTCGTGGCTTACCATTAGAGGAGAAACTCCTTCCGCAGTACTTGAAAGAAGCTGGCTATAAAACTCATATGGCTGGAAAATGGCACTTGGGAATGGCTAAGAAAGCTTTCACACCAACTCACAGAGGTTTTGACAGTTTTATTGGATTTCTAGGACCTTATATTGACTACTTAGACTACACTAACTACACACCTGGCCGACAATTCTCAAGAGGATTTGACTTCAGGTACAATGAAAGTGTTTATCGCGATAGAGTTGGTGAATATGCAACGGACGTTTTGGCAGATGAAGCTTCGAAGATCATTTACAATCATGATCCTTCCCAAGGACCGCTTTTTCTCTATTATGCCCAAATAGCTCCTCACGCGGGAAATCCAGATGATCCTCATCAAACTCTTCCTGAACATCTGCTTAAGACCGGACATATTAGTGATGAGACAAGGAAATTGTATGCTTCCATGGTAATTGCCTTGGATAACGCAATTGGTCGAGTTATAACAGCTCTGAAGGAGAAAGAAATGCTGGAGAACAGCATAATCGTGTTCTTTTCAGACAATGGAGGCCCCACGGAAGGATTGCATGAATTACACGCCTCAAATTATCCTCTCAGAGGTGTAAGTCACTATTTTCCAGGTGTTTAAGCAAGTCAATTAACGTAGATTTTCCATTGCAGCAAAAGGACAGTCCTTGGGAAGGAAGTGTGCGAGGAATGGCACTGGCTTGGAGTCCTCTTCTGCAGCAACGACACTATGTATCAAATCATGTAGTTCATGTCACTGATTGGTTGCCAACATTCACTCAGGCTGCAGGATCGATAGCCTATAAATTCAGGAAACTCGATGGGAATAACATCTGGACAACCTTGTCCAACAACAATCCTCCTCTTCGACGGGAAATTGTCCACAATATCGATCCTCTGACTGGATACATTTCCTACTATCGTGACGGATGGAAGTTCATAAACGGGACGACGTCTAGCGGAATATATGACAGTTGGCTGGGCGATATGTCCTTCGAGGACGATCCTGAAGCCTTTCGCTATCCTCAGATTGTGATGGAAAGTGATGTTTGGCGAGCTCTCAATCCATTTGCCAGGAAACGATTACAAGCCAGAGATTTGGAGGGTTTAAGGAAGCAAACCAGGATTGTTTGCCAGAAGAAAATCCCACCAGCGAAGGATTGCAATCCTCTTAAAGCTCCCTGTCTCTTCTACATCCACGATGATCCTTGCGAAGTCAGTAATTTGGCCCACTTTCGACCGACCAGAATGCACGTGATGAAGGAGAGAATCCGATTATTCCAGAAGACTTCCTTGCCGCCAAGCAATATGCCTTCGGATCCAAATGCAGATCCTGCTCTCAATGACGGCCTCTGGACGTGGTGGTTGGAAGAGGAATAGACTTCACTTTGCTTTCTTCCTCATAAAGCCTTTATCTTCTCAACAATAAAGATAATGCGACATTCAACAATATTCTTACAATTTGTTTCGTGAATTTTATGGTGTTAAGTGACATTTTTTTATACAATTACTATGAAGAGCCTACAAAACAGTATAAAATGCTCAGTTTTGCACGAGCTGCGAAAGTCAATGAAAGAAAGAAATTTTTTTCTTAATTGTGTAAAGCTCTGCGTGTGTATTCGAAATAATTATTTGGAGATTTTATACACAAGTTGGGTTCTTAAAGAACCTAATACCGAAAGATAACAATGATAAAGAAAATGTCTGGTAAGTTATATCTCTATATAATTATTTAATTGTTTGTTTAATATGGAAAGTGATCCCAGTGAAATCAGCAATTTAGTGAAATTGAGAAGAAGAAGAAATTCAGGAAATTCCGAAGAGACATCAAGATTCCCAAAAGAACTCAATTCGTGCGGAAAGAAACCCTGAAGCTATCCTGTTGCCGACGTCTTTGGAGACAGTGGATGATGGAATTTGAGGAATATTATTAAAGCATTAGCACATTATTGGCACAAAGATTAGATCGAAAGCGTTCACAGTCGTTTTATCTTAAGTTGAATGTAATCACCGAAATCCACAATTAAACGCTAATAAAAGTTTCATTGTCACGGTGCTTTTTGCTTATTTTCTCTGTATAAAATTGCATGTTGGTCGAAGATTCAAACAGTCGGAATGGAGCACCGAAGCAAAGTGTTTAAATTTGCTGTTATATTCTTATTACTGGTCCCACTTCTTATTGGGATTGTCATTTGGGCAAGTCTCTCCAATTATGTCGGAGAAAATGTGCAGAAGAAGCCTAATATTATCCTGATAATGGCTGATGATCTTGTGAGTTTTCCAGCTTCTGTAGTTCAGTGCATTGTGTCTTAAGGAATTGTGTGTCTTTAAGGGTTCACACGATGTGAGTTTGAGAGGAAGCAATCAAATTCTGACGCCCAACATCGACGCTTTGGGCTATCAAGGCGTCATCTTCAACAGACATTACACCGCTCCAATGTGCACACCAACGAGATCATCTCTCTTGACTGGAAAGTACTCAATTCACACTGGAATGCAGCATTATATAATTGCTGCAGACCAACCTTGGTGTCTTCCTTTGGAGGAAAAGCTTCTTCCGCAGTACTTGAAAGAAGCTGGCTACAAAACTCACATTGCTGGCAAATGGCACTTGGGAATGGCTAAGAAAGCTTTCACACCAACTCACAGAGGTTTTGACAGTCATGTTGGGTCTCTAGGACCCTACATTGATTACTTTAACTTCACTCACTGGATGTCCATTAAACCATATACTCCTGGTTTTGACTTCAGGTACAATGAGAGTGTTTATCGCGATAGAGTTGGTGAATATGCAACGGACGTTTTGGCAGATGAAGCTTCGAAGATCATTTACAATCATGATCCTTCGGGAGATCCCCTCTTTCTCTACTTTTCGCAATTGGCACCGCATGCGGCGAATGATGTAGATCCTGTGCAAGCAATTCCGGAAGATTTAGAGAAAGTTGGTCATATTAAGGATCCCAAGAGAAGAACTTACGCCGCAATGGTGAAAGCTCTCGACAGATCAGTGGGAACGGTTGTCAAAGCTCTGAAGGAGAAAGGAATGCTGGAGAACAGCATCATCGTGTTCTTTTCGGACAATGGAGGTCCTACAAAAGGATTTGTCTCTGTGGAAGCTTCAAATTATCCACTGAAAGGGGTATGAGAAGGTCACACTTTGTGGTGGACCAAAAAATTAATGGTTTGCTTTGGTTTTAGCAAAAGAATAGTCCTTGGGAAGGTGCTTTACGAGGAATGGCTCTGGTTTGGAGTCCCCTTCTGCAGCAGAGACACCGAGTATCCGAACATTTGACTCACATCACGGATTGGCTGCCAACATTTGCTCAGATTGCTGGTTCAACTTCGATCAAATCCGCTGAACTTGATGGCTTCGATATTTGGGAGACTCTTTCCTTCAACAAACCTCCAGTTCGCCGTGAAATGGTCCACTGTATCGATCCAATCATTGGTTACAGTTCAGTTTACCTCAATGGTTGGAAGTACATAAACGGCACGACATTCAATGGAAGATTTGACGATTGGCTAGGCGAAATGCCCTTCGAGGAAGATCCTGAATCCCTTCGCTATCCTCATCTTGTGATGGAAAGTGAGGTTTGGCGAGCCTTGAATCCCTTCGCGAGAAGACACATGAAATCTTGGGATCTGGAAAGAATTAGAAAGAAGACAAAAATAGTCTGCGAAGGACAGAATCCTATCTCCACGCCGTGTGAACCACTGAAAAGTCCTTGCTTGTTCCACGTTGCTTCTGATCCTTGTGAAGTGAGTAATTTAGCCCACGTGAGATCATCAGAGGTGGAGACTATTGAGAACAAGTTGAGATTGTTGCTGGAGAATTCAGTGCCACCAGGCAATTTGCCAAACGATCCACGTGCCGATCCTGCGCTCAATCAGGGTCTCTGGACGTGGTGGTTAGATTCAAATCAAGTCACTGAACCAGCAATCTTCTGATAACATTCAAGTTTATGAGTAACAATTAAGAGATATCTCAATAAAACAATTATGCCTAAACTCTAAACAGACGCATTACAGTCTTAATATGAGTGCAAATGTGTGTATAAAAGAAGGATCGCCGTGGAAAATAGTGAGAAAACGGTGGAAACATTCAGTAGAAGCAAGAATGGTGAAGTTCCTGGTGATATGTGGAGTGTTTTCGTGGATGCTGAGCTTTTGCCAAGTCTGTATTTATGGTGAAAATGTGCCAAAGAAGCCTAATATTGTTGTGATTTTAGCTGATGATGTTGTAAGTTTCTTTTAAATTAGTTCTTTATAAATAGCTGTTGAGTGTAAATGATTTTTAGGGATCACACGATATAAGTTTGAGAGGAAACAATCAGATCCTCACGCCTAATATCGATGCTTTAGGCTATCAAGGAGTCATCATGAACAGACATTACACCGTGAATTTGTGCTCTCCCTCGAGAGCAGCCTTGCTATCTGGAAAGTACTCAATTCGCACAGGGATGCAATATCTTGTCGTTCTCCCCGATGAGGCATGGGGTTTGCCACTAACTGAGAAACTCCTGCCGCAATACCTTAAGGAAGTCGGCTATCAGACTTACATGGTTGGGAAATGGCACTTGGGATCTTGCCTAAAAGCCTACATACCAACTCATCGAGGTTTCGACACTCATGTTGGACTCTTGGGAGGTGCAATTGATTACTACAACTACAGCTTTGCCACGGGTGGAATGCCCTACACTCCAGGATTCGACTTCAGATACAACGAAGAAGTCTATCGCGATAGAGTTGGAGAATATGCAACGGATGTTCTCGGAGATGAAGCTGCCAAGATCATTAGCAATCACAATAAGTCCGAAGGACCGCTTTTCCTTTATCTAGCTCAGGTTGCCACGCATGCCGCCAATGATTATGATCCTATGCAATTCGTTCCTGAGGATCTGGAGAAAGTGGGACACATCAAAGATCAGCAGAGAAGAGTTTATGCCGCTATGATTGAAGCTCTGGATCGATCAGTTGGAACAGTTGTTAAAGCTCTGAAGGCAAAGGACTTGCTAGACAATACTATAATCCTGTACTTTTCGGACAACGGAGGTCCTACAAACGGATTGTTCTCCCTTAAAGCCTCCAATTATCCACTAAGAGGGGTGAGATTCAAGTAACTTATCTTCTGTCTCTGACTCAGAATATATCATATCCAATTTCAGCAAAAACAGAGTCCTTGGGAAGGAGCACATCGAGGAGTGGCTCTAGTTTGGAGTCCTCTTCTGCAGCAGAGACATCGCGTATCCGAACATTTGACTCACATCACGGATTGGCTGCCAACATTTGCTCAGATTGCTGGTTCAACTTCGATCAAATCCGCTGAACTTGATGGCTTCGATATTTGGGAGACTCTTTCCTTCAACAAACCTCCAATTCGCCGTGAAATGGTCCACATCATTGATCCTATTAGCGGCTACACTTCTTATTACCGCGATGGTTGGAAGTACATAAACGGCACGACATATGATGGCCAACATGACGGTTGGCTAGGCGAAATGCCCTTTGATGAACATCCTGAAGCCTATCGCTATCCTCAGGTTGTGATGGAAAGTGAGGTTTGGGGAGCCTTGAATCCTTACGCACAGAGATCTTTGGATGCCGTGGACATCATGGGAATCAGGAGAAACACCAAGATCACTTGCAAACATCAAATACCATCAGCTACACCCTGTTATCCTCTGCGTGCTCCTTGTCTGTTTAATGTGGAAAGTGATCCTTGTGAGTTTAACAATTTGGCGGACTTGAGGAAAGGACAAATGCAAGAATTCGAGCAGAGACTCGAATATTTGCAGAAGATCTCAGTACCGCCGGGAAAGAAGCCCAGCGACCCCCGAGGCTATCCGGACGTCAACGATGGCCTGTGGACGTGGTGGCTGGAGGGATTGGAGGAAAGTCATTAGACATTGTTGGTGATAAAAATGACTCAGTATCAAATATTGCAGGCTTTAAAGAGATTCTTTTTATCTGAAATTGAGTGTAATTGCAGAAAAAACCACAATAAAAGACTAATAAAACATTCATTGTCACGGTGCTTTCTGTATATTTCCTATGTATAAAACTGCTTGCTGGTCACGCAGTCACGCAGTCAGAATGGAACAGTCAAGGAAGATGTTTAAATTAACTAATGTTCTTGGAGTTTTTCTGTGGTTGCTTCTGCTCAGTGTACTGGGAATTGTGTTGGGGAAGAATGCGCAGAATAAGCCTAATATTATCTTAATGATGGCTGATGATCTTGTGAGTTTTCCAGCTTCTGTAGTTCAGTGCATTGTGTCTCAAGGAATTGTGTGTCTTTAAGGGTTCACACGATGTGAGTTTGAGAGGAAGCAATCAGATTCTGACGCCCAACATCGACGCTTTGGGCTATCAAGGCGTCATCTTCAACAGACATTACACAGCAGCACTTTGCTCACCCTCAAGATCAGCACTGATGACAGGAAAGTACTCAATTCACACTGGAATGCAGTATTATGTAATTGCTGCAGACGAAGCCCGAAGCGTGCCTTTGAGTGAAAAGCTTCTTCCGCAGTACTTGAAAGAAGCTGGCTATAAAACTCATATGGCTGGCAAATGGCACTTGGGAATGGCTAAGAAAGCTTTCACACCAACTCACAGAGGTTTTGACAGTCATGTTGGATACTTAGTGTCTCAAGTTGATTACTTCGACTTCACCTTCTGGTTGAGCTTTACGGGATACGAAAGAGGATTTGACTTCAGATACAATGAAAGTGTTTATCGCGATAGAGTTGGTGAATATTTACCAGATGTTTTGGCAGATGAAGCTTCAAAGATCATTTACAATCATGATCCTTCCCAAGGACCGCTTTTCCTCTATTATGCCCAAATAGCTCCTCACGCGGGAAATGATGATGATCCTTTGCAAGCAATTCCGGAAGATTTAATGAAAGTTGGCCATATTAAGGATCCCAAGAGAAGAACTTACGCCGCAATGGTGAAAGCTCTCGATAGATCAGTGGGAACGGTTGTCAAAGCTCTGAAGGAGAAAGGAATGCTGGAGAACAGCATCATCGTGTTCTTTTCGGACAATGGAGGCCCTACGGAAGGATTTCTTTCTCTCCAAGCCTCAAACTATCCTTTAAGAGGGGTGAGTTTATCTGCTTTCTCTTCTTTGTGCCTTTCGTTTGAAGCTTTTATTGCATGAGTGGTTTTTTCAGCAAAAGGACGGTCCTTGGGAAGGAAGTCTCCGAGGAATGGCTTTAGCATGGAGTCCTCTTCTGCGGCAGAGACACCGAGTATCTGACCATTTAACTCACATTACGGATTGGTTGCCCACATTTGCCCAGATTGCTGGTGTAAAGTTTTATAGGAATTCAAGCCTAGATGGTGACAATATTTGGGACACTTTGTCATACAACAAACCTCCAAATCGTCGAGAAATGGTGCATAATATTGACCCAATTACCGGTTACAGTTCAATTTACTTCAATGGATGGAAGTATATAAACGGGACGACAAATAATGGTGAATTTGACAGTTGGCTAGGCGATATGCCCTTCGAGGACGATCCTGAAGCCTTTCGCTATCCTCAGATTGTGATGGAAAGTGATGTTTGGCGCGCTCTCAATCCATTTGCCAGGAAACGATTACAAGCCAGAGATTTGGAGGGTTTAAGGAAGCAAACTAGGATTGTTTGCCAGAAGAAAATCTCACAAGCAAAGGACTGCAATCCTCTTAAAGCTCCTTGTCTCTTCTACATCCAGAATGATCCTTGTGAGGTCAATAATTTGGCTGATCTTCAGCGTTCCCGAGTGAAAGTAATGGAGGAGCGACTTCGGTACTTCCAGAAGACTTCTGTGCCCGCAATCAATCTTCCTCACGATCCGGCTGCGAATCCCGCCCTCAATGGTGGCCTCATGACGTGGTGGCTGGAGAAAGAGTGCTCCAAATAAAAGCAGTACAAAAAACCCCATTGAACTTGACAGAGAGTCTTATCATTTTGGGAAGTTCCAGAGCCTGAAGCGACGTGAAACCAGCTTCGCGCCTTATTAAGGTGAAAATTATGCAACACACGTGCTTCATTACGCTGTGGGTAATTGTCTTTGATCACCTGTTGTGGTATTTTCTGCACAATTCAATCAACATCGCTCACATAACCAATGGTTAATTTACGAGGTAGAGACACTTTCATCTTCTCCCGGAAGATTTGCCGTGCAAAATTGGGTGGGGATTGACTTTCGGAGGAATTTCTCCCGCAATGAAAGTGTGGCAAAGAATGCAAAGTAAATTCTAATGAATTCCAAGTAAATAAACATCGATTCTGCTTCACAACCAAGGCGTGAGAATTCATGTGGTCATGATCTTGAGTTTGAGTGTCAGAACGAGGTTGAGATAAATTTGTTGAGTGCATTTTTTGGAGTTGATTTCTCATCAATGCGGGTTAATGTATCTCTCTGTCAATGACTCTGGTCGCGATAACAGACAAAAAGCGGCACATTTGCCTCACACTTGTTGTTTTTTATTTTTCTTATATCAAATATTTGGCTATCTCGCAGAAGAATCGATTTCGCAAGATCAAGAACGACTGAGTGTGACGAGCGCGATCAGTTTGCACGTTGCCGCGAAACAGGTAAGTTGCTAATAAAACTACTGCGAATTTACAAGGTGTCGCGCTGTGGACAAAGAGTGAGACAATCGCGCGATGGAAGTGAAGTTATTTTGTGGAATTGTGACTCTTCTGCTGCTGTTTGATGGCGGACTGTCGAAAGGTGGTCCAAAGAGTCCACCGAATATCATTGTGATCATGGCTGATGACTTGGGATCGAATGACATGAGTTTCCGGGGCTCCAATCAGATTCCGACGCCCAATATCGACGCCCTGGGCTATCAAGGAGTCATCCTCAATCGACACTACGTGCCAGCGCTGTGCTCACCTTCCAGGGCGGCGCTGCTCACCGGCAAGTATCCCATTCACACGGGCCTGCAGCACTCCGTGATTGTGTCCGATGAGCCCTGGAGTCTGTCCACGAGAGAGAAGCTCCTGCCGCAGTACCTGAAGGAGTGCGCCGCCTACAGGACTCACATGGTCGGCAAGTGGCATTTGGGTATGTTTCCCCGTTCTCATAGTCATGCAAAGGGAGGAATATTCGGTCAAAGTGGTGTACCTTTGATGAACACATCAAATTTGATTTCTATCACAAAGAATTGTTGGAAATGATAATTCTATAAATTAATCTGTTCCACTTCAATTAAGATACAAATGTTTATATAATCTCTTCTTTATGTCTCACAAGAAACACTTTGCAGGACACTGACAGAGTTAAGGTGAAAATAAGCACTCTTATCTTTAATTCACTTGTATTGTAGTTGAATTCGGATATACAGTAGCGAAAATTAGCTTAAGACACCTATAAAATTTTCTGTCAATTTTTTTGGTGTTAAAATTTTGATATTTCTTTCAATTTTCGAGACATTTACCTTAAGACAAAAAATTATAGGGATTTTATGATCTTTCAAGTGGCGTTGAGATCATGGCGATATCTCAATTTGGGGCCAAGATATTGCAATAGATAATACAAAATCAAGAATTAACAATTAAGACTTGTTTAAAGACTCAAGCTCATATCGAATATTCGATAAACTTTCTTGATTTCTTGTCTATCGTTGCTAGAGAAAACACGTGTATCTTTCTATCTGACAAATGTGTTCCAGCTGTCAGAAGGTCAAGAAAGGAAAAAATTTTGGAAATATAGGATAAATTGCACAAGTGTTATTTTACCACTTTGTCGGAAGAGTTCAAGTAAAGAAAAAAATGTATTTTTCTAACATCAATTTGAGAAACAAAGCACCGAACATTTGGTATTTGTGTTAATTTGATGAAAATATTGTATGAAATGTGTGTACATTTCGTGTGGCAAATATTTGCCTCTTGAAGCACATTTGCACACTTATCAAGCATCTTTTAAATTTGTTCCTAAGGCTTTGCCCGGAAGCGCTTCACGCCTCTGCAGCGCGGCTTTGACTCCCACTTTGGCGTCTGGGGTCCAGGCCTCAGCTACTTCTCCCACCGCTTCGTCTTGCCATGGGCGCCGTGGTATGATGGCCACGACATGCGGCGCAATGAGAACGTCACGTATGAGTCCGCTGGCCAGTACTTGACCGACGTGATCACGGACGAGGCCGTTGAGGTGATTCGGCGACACGATGACAAGCAGCCGCTCTTCCTCGCCGTCACGCACGTGGCGCCGCACGCGGCCGAGGAGACGGATCCGCTGCAGGCGCCGGAAGAGGAGATCCGCCAGTTTGGCTACATTGAGGATCCCAAGCGCCGGATCTACGCCGCAATGGTTGCGTCGCTGGACAAGAGCGTGGGCAGAATCGTGATGGCGCTGCAGGAGACGGAACTGCTGAGGAACTCCCTGGTGCTCTTCTACTCCGACAACGGGGCTCCCAGTCAGGGTCTCTACGCCACCACAGGATCGAACTATCCCTTGAGAGGCGTGAGTATCTCAGACTAAAGACACTTCTCAACGTCTTCAAAGTTCAAAGGCTTTTTCCATCGCTTTTCATACTCCTTCAATAGTTTTTCACAATCTAACCTAAGCTGTGCCTTCAAAAAATGCTTTAAAAAATTCAGACCAAATTGTGAGGTTATGAATTCGGCTTATAAAATCTCTCTTGGACGAATTTAGATCTTTGCAAACCTGGAAATGAGTAAATATAGTGAATAACTAGACAGAAAGACATTCTTTTAGACTGAAATGATAATTTTGAGGTTATAATAGACTTTTAAACTTGTTCTCAATCAATATCAAGATTTTTCTGTCAAAAATGCTCAAAATTGCCGGGAAAAAGAGAAATTTGTGCAGTTTTAGCACAAATTTAATGATTTTGAGGGTTTTCTAATCAATCACATAACCCAAAAGAGCAAAAATGAAAATGATTCTTTAAGCAAAATAATAAAGAAATGCTTCAATTTGTTGAAATAGAAGCTTTTGCAATGCAAAATTTGGAATATTTTATCACTTCCAATTTTAAACAATTCCACAAAAGCTGTACACCACTTTCGACCATAATATCTGCCCCTTGAAGACGCTGCTCAGCGAGCATCTTAACATGTGTAACAAGTAATATTTTGGCCTTAAAATTGACACATTCCTTCAAGACATGACAAAGGTTTCAACCAGTATTTTTATTCCCAATGAAAACATAATTAAACAGTGTACAATCGTTGGCTGCATTACCTGTTATTGTGTTGAATCGCTAAGACACACTTATCATGATGATGAATCAACAAAACAATTATGATAATTGGTCAAATGGTGAAGCTCGAGTGTCGCACTTTGCCAAGTTAGTCTGGAAATTATAAATTACTTCATATCAAAGCAAGAAATCTCTGTCTTATTTGTGTTCTGCTAATACAAAACAAATCTATTTCGACACAGCGTGACTGTGAATTCGCGCACTGATTTCCTGGCAAGGAGAAGGGTTGACGACTGATCATGATATGAGTGAATGTTACCTAATAAGTGGGTCACACAGTCATTCCATCAGAATATTGACTCGCACAGAATCATTGCGAGAAAGAATTACTGGGCGTTTCCTTTGTTCCATTCCTGAGACTTTTTTTTCTCTCACTAGAATAGGAATAAATTGTGCAGCAAAGTTCATGAATTTCTTCAGCTATAAAATCATTTTCTCGCAGAAAGTTCTGATATGTCATTAAACATCGCATTAATGACATGTTTATGAAATGGAGAGAAACTATTAAACCATTAACAGCAATTAGCAATTAAGAAAAAACAAGTGTTTATGTGATATTTAACAGGAAATCTTGACAAATTAATTATGCGATTTAAAACCAGTTTCAATCTATTAATAATTTGCGTCTGTTTTCTGTTTTTATTTTGTGAAGAAGAACCTAAAATCTTCATTCCAAAACATGTATTATTGCTGATACGGGGAAAATATGCAGATAATTCAGATGAATACGATATTGGGTGATGAATCCGACGATATGTTGAAAATCTTCAATCTTTTGAGAGCAATTTGAAGTTTGAGATTTGAAATCGCTTCGAAACTAAACTAATTTTTCAATGTCAATCAATATAAATCACTTAAAGTGCCTGTTTTTCCACAGCAAAAGGCGAGTCCTTGGGAAGGCGGCATTCGGCAGCCGGCTGTGATCTGGAGTCCTTTGATTGAGAAGCGCCACCGCGTGTCCGATGAGCTGATCTACTCAACTGACTGGCTGCCGACCCTCGTGGGCCTGTGTCGTGGCGACGTGAACAGCAATCTGGACGGCTTCGATCTCTGGAGGACGATTTCGCGGGACAAAGCCTCGCCCAGGCGAGAGATTCTGCACAACATCGATCCATTGGGCGGCTACAGTTCCTACTATCGCGACGGATGGAAGTACGTAAATGGATCGATGGCGCCGCAGTTTGATGGGTGGCTGGGAAGGGTGGCCGGTGTGGACAAGGCTCCGGCCGCCACTGCTTACGCGGAGATGGTCATGAAGAGTCCAACGTGGCGAGCTCTGGCGCCGCTGGCGGCGAAGAGACTCAAGGTGGCCGACATCAAGCGTCTGCGCGATCGCACGCAGATCAGGTGCTCCAGATGGTTCAGATCGAATCCCTGTGATCCACAGAATGCGCCTTGCTTGTTCCACGTGGACACAGATCCGTGCGAGGAGAACAACTTGGCCAGACGGTTTGGGTGGAAGCTGAAGCAGATGGAGGAGCGCGTGAAGGAGTTCCAGCAGAGTGCTGTACCGCCCAGAAACCGCCCCAGCGATCCCATGTCCAATCCTGTGCACTGGAATGACGTCTGGACTTCCTGGCTGGACGAGATGTCAGTGTAAAAGCCAATTGGCAGTGGTGAATAAACAAAATGAAAGAAATACTTTATGTTTATTGATAGGAACTTTAGAGTAAGCGTTTATTTTGATAATTTCTCGTTACATTACTTGTTTTTTCTTCCTTCTTCTTCCTCTGAATGAATGCATTCACATATAAAATAAATTTACTGTATTCACTCACAATACACAAATATCTTCTCCGCACTGTCCTAACTTCCATATTTCAGCCGCACAGTGTTTTTCATCATCATCATCTCTGAATACTAATAAATTCATAAAAATTGTCATCTGTGTCCTTAGTTTCCATACAAAAATCTATCAAATTTCTTATACATCTTCTCCTTCTTCGCATTGAGTGCAAATGACTCGTACACGCGACTCAGGAGATAGAAGGGTGTCTGGCCCTTGGCATTGCTCGTCTTCAGGGCAGACTTCATGGGTTCCGTGATGGCTGAGTTGAGATACTTATGAAATATTAGGAACAAGTTGTCATCTCTCACCATATAGTGCATGATATTCTCCCCATTGTCGTCCTGCATCTTGAACAGATCGCACAGCGCCTCCTCCGACACGAAGTCAATGAATGCACAGAAGAAGAGCATGTCGGAGTGGAAGGGCGTCTTGCCGCGACTGTCCTGGTGCATCAGCAACTTGGTCAGTGTGCCATTATTGCCATTATTTCGCTCCAGCAGGAATATGTGAATCACATCGTATACAGAATACTTCACAGATGGGAGAATGAAGTTTGCGATGCAGTGAAAGAAGTTCTTCCCATTGCAATTCTGTTGCTTCGCAATTTCGATGAACTTCTTGCGCGTGATGAGCTTCAGTAGACTCTGGAGGAATTGCAAATTGCCCCACAAGCCGGCCATTAGCAGTGGATTGTTGCCACTGTCGTCAATCTCCGCCAGTTCGGCGTGCAGATAATTGTCGTGCTTGTCATCATTGCACGGCTCGTGTGTGTTAAGGTAAGTGAAGATGAGATCGAACGTCACCTCGAGTTTGTACTTGGAGATGAAGCGTGCGATCTCGAATAGGAACTTTATCCGTGTCTTTGTGGTCTCCTGCCAGGTCATCTTGTCCCGACAGAAGGCATAAACAAGGCTCTGCAGCGTCTTTCTGCCCACATCGCCCACCTCCAGTGACAATTCCCGCAGGAAGATCAAATCATTGGAGATGGACTTCTGCACATTGAGGCTGCCCTTGCATGGTGTGAGGAACTTATGGAGCTCACACTCGCCCAGTGTGTCACACACGTACTTTGTGTATGCCGCGAATTCGTAGAACTTGTTGTCGTCGGAGTGAAAGTAGTCAATCAAGGATTTACCACCGAAGCACGGACATGTGGTCAATTCTTCAATTTTGTCACGTGGAAGACACTTGATAAATTCACTGAAGAGATATGTTTGCTGATTTCTCCAAAATTGAAACAATATCGAATTGCCATCCGTGTCGCAGAGCTTCCAGTCCCTCTTCAACGCCACATTCACCGCAATCCTCACGAATGTGTCCCGCGTGAACTCCACATCGTCATAGTTGGACAGGAACTGGTAGAAGTTCTCCTCACCCACGAGACCAAAGAACTCATGGATGAACTGCTCGGAGTTCTTCTCGCGCTTCTCAAATTCACTCAAATACGCAATGAAGTGCATATCGTAGTTCTCCAGCTTCCAATTGTCCTCATACTTCATCTTCAGCACATTGGCAATGTTGATGGTTTGCGTGATGTTGCGCTTCCTGAAGTACCAAAACATGAGATCCTGACGCAATATTCGATCCTCAGCGCACTCCTTCATGCACGCCTTGAAGTGCACGAAGAACTCCTCCTCGCTCAGCGTGGATCTCTTCACCATTTGACTATGAAGCTCATTCAGGAAGGGAATGTCATTCTCTTCAGTCTTGCGGCTGACGAAGTATCTGTGTGGAATTGATAAGGACTTGATAAGCAAGTGGCACAACAATATTATTGACTTTTGCGTCTCTAAACTTCTATTATTCTAAATAGTTGTAGAGTTTTCCAAGACCTTTCCAATGACCTCAAAATTATTAAGATCAAATTTAATTCAATATGGCGGCGTTCGGTGTGACGTCACAGACGGATCGTGACTGTGATCTAGTAAAGTACGTCGAGACACATTCTTTGGCGAAGAGATGATCGAAATCGGTTGATAAATAGCGGTGATATAGATCAGTTAAAGTGTGAACTTTGACCTTCCACATCTCCGCTCCTAAAGCATCAAAACCCTCAAGTGGGGTGTTGTTGGAAAGGTCTTGATCTCAGCTATAACACATAAAAATTTGAGCCCGATCAATACCATAATGGCTGAGCAAATAAGGAAAAGATGTTTTAAGAATGTTCAAAATGGCGGAAAAAGATCATCTTACTCACCTAAAGATCTGCACGAGGATGTAGTTGACCATCTCGGGTTCATTGAACTTGTCGAAGGTCTCAACGAGGAACATGAGTTGAGCCAGTGTGAGAGTTTGGAAGCCAGTGACGTAGCATTCCCAATACTGTTCAATGTTGAACGTCTGGATTTCCTGCTTCGTGAAGTGTTCCTCAATGAACGTGTAGATCTGCGATATGTCAACAATGTAGTACATCCACGTGAACTTGAGGAATTCCTTGAACAACTCCATGAAGTAGTCAAAGGTGTCGGAGAGTTGATCTTTGTTGGGCAAGTTGTATGCTCGCGCCTCAATTCGTCCTATCATGCAGTGATAGATGAATTTGGCCTTTGCGTGATCGAAATTGAACTCCGACAAATACTTCACGACACTCTTATTCACGCATTCAGTCTCATCGATCAGGGCATTGGCCACGAAGAATTCGGCAAAGGTGCGATGGGCAAAGATGAACTTCCCATCGTCGGTGCGCGTGACGAAGCCTCTGCCAAGGAGGTTGGGATCCCTGTTGACATCCTCCGTGATTGGCAGGAGACTGTCGTATTCCAGCTCTCTCACGGCAATTGTCGTGTAGATCTTCGTGATATCCCTCAATTCGTCCTCCTTCACACTCATTTTGAGCATCTCCGTGAACACATGCCACATGTTGATGTTGGGAAACTGCTTTGTCATCCCTCCTGACTGCCGACTCTGGCAGTACTTCTCACAGTCTTGGGCAAAGATGTCCGCTATGTACTTGAGATACAGCGGTGTCTCCAGAATTGTCACACCCGGTAGGAACTTTTCGTAAAATCTCGTGGGAAAGTGCGTGATGAAGTCCTCCATGTCCTCATCAGCCAGACCCAGTGTCATTCGCCAGTACAGCTGCAGGAAGAGCTTCCGCTGTGCATAGTCATATGGCACCAATTCAGCCTCAATGAAGCTCTTCAGCGGACTGAGGATCTCCTTGCAGTTCTTGCGACACGCCACAAAGATTCTCACCCGCATTTCGCTCAGCTTCTCAATCAGATTCACCACCAACTTCTCATACATGGAGGGAATCTCATTGAGACTGTCTATGAAGAGGAATATCACGGGTTTGTCCTCATACGTGAGATACAACTCCAGGAGATCACGATCAATCTCCGGACACGGTCCCAGTGAGATCAGGTGCTGCAGCAGAAACATCTTGGCTTCATTGTGGGAGAATTCTTGTGACGAGATCGACTTGAGCTTCTCTGAGAAGATGCCCAGATAGCACTTGAGATCAATGTACTCCACCCAGAAGTGTGGATTGAGATTCTTGATGTTCTTCGCAATGTTCAGCATCACTGACGTCTTCCCCATGCCCGGATCACCCTTGATGATGCAATTGGGGAAGTTCTGATAGATGTCCGTCTCACTGAAGTTGCCCATGATGTCTGTGTCGAACTTCACGAACTTGAACATATCGTAGATGAGCGTGAAGTGACGCTGAATGTAGGGTTTTGGTATTTTACTCCGTGGCAATCTTCGTCCAAATTCAATCATCTCATTCTTGTTGATCTTCTCGAAGATGTCATTGAGCAGGTGAAGATAAATTCTGTTCTCTGTATTCTGAATTGCTGACAATCGAATGAGGTGTTCTTGTAATTTCATATCTCTCTTTGAGAATTCCTCCTTTGTGGCCTCTGTGAATTCCTCAAAGGAACACTTTGGCACCTGAAGAATGCAATTCTCCACAATCACCTCAACATTTGTATTCTTTCCCACCACAAAGATGATATTTGAGTAGTTATTCAGCAAATGCTCGAAATTTTCATCATCATCTATGAACAGAATCACTTTCTTCTCATAATGCTCAAGAGCATTTCGATGTGATGTCTTCAATTTGGATGAGGGAATGAGCAAAATCTCGGGCATTTTGATCTTCAGTGCTTCGTAGATCTTCAGGAAGGAGAGCTTCTTGTGCTCCTCATACACCAACACTCGCTTGTCCTCCAGCTTCTCTGCCAGATCTTGCAAGATGTTGGTGTGAAATTTCACCCAATTGGAGAGTTCTTTCGTGAAATTGCCACAGATTGACGACAGATCAGCTCGCAGGAGACTCTCTGAGAGTATCCGGATGAAGGTCTCCTTGAACAGAGTCCGTCGTTCGCAGCGTGAGTCGCTGCTCTTCACCGCAACAGCCCTGGTCAATTCCTCCCTCAGAATCCGCATGAAGCTGCGCGACTTGTACGACACCACCAAACTCTTCAGGATCTCATAGTTGATAATTGACAAATCCACGAGACTCGGCGCCTGCGACACAATTGCAAAGTTGTTCCGGAAGTATCCCGGATCGAACCTCACCACCTGCTCAGGTGAGAACTTGGACGTGATGGGCGAGATGTTGAAGGGATTGTCCAGCAGCTCAACTCTCGCGCCCTCGTCGCTCATCTCGCCAAACAAATTGTCATGCTTCCCCACCTCACACTCCACCGTCTTCACATCCTCCTCCAGCCTCAGGTTCGTCAGCAGCACAAAGTGTCTGCTGACGCTGTGATTCCGGAAGTCTTGTCGCAATTCTGAGAACTTCTCACCCCACACAGCGCTAAAGTACTGATCCAGATGGAATCTCGACCACAACTCCCGATCTGCCACCTCCTCGTGCTTCTCCACATTGCTGTTCAGGTGCTCCCGCGCCACCCGGCCATCCCTGGCCGAGTGCTCCACATGCAGAAAGAACACAGATCGCCGTCGCTCCACCTCGCACTCAATCACGATGTCGTGGAACTGCGGGAAGTCAGTGGCCTGCAAGCCCACGGCGAAGTTGTCACACTTGAGATGCAACATGCGCAGGCAGAAGTGCAGCAGCAACTCACGGTGGAACGTGTTGCTGGACTCCTCATCGTTGACCGCCACCGAGTCATATTCACAACCAAGTAAGGAACTTATACCACGATACTTCTCATCAGTCATTTTGTACCTGAAACACAAGAAGAGGCTCAATTAGCTTCATGGCATTTTCTAAGCAGTGAAATTACGCAGAAAAACCATCAATTATAACTATAATTGATGACTAAAGAAGCAGGGAATTGAAGGTATTACTGTGAGTTGAGATTGTTAGTTTTATTCAATCTTCTTGTGAAGATTATTTTCAGAAATGTTCTTCCTTCTAAGCCATTTGATTGTTTAGTTTATCCAGTCTTTGTGGGGTTTTTTTTTTAATATTCAAACAGTCAGAAAAACCCAAAAAAGTCTTCTACAAGTAATCAATGAACAACTTTAGTTAGTGTTTGTTTATTTCAAGAATCATCCGTAGAATTATGAATTTCAAATGACACTTTTTGCTGAATAAATTCATAAATTAAGTGTCACTTATGCGATCAACCTTAATTAACTGGTGAGAAGTGAATTAATTAATTCGCTGAATTCTTTAAGTTCAAGCCTTTCCTCACCATTTCCCGCCAAAAGCAAGGCCACGCGCCAGAGATCACTGGCGTCCCACGGAAGATCGCCGCATTCGCACCAAAAACAAAACCACTCAAGGCCGAAAATATGCGACGCTTTGCGCAACCAAGTGATCCCATTGCAAACTGATAATCCCATTAACCTCCTTCGCAGCGAGGCTCACACCCTTGCAAATTGAGTCAAAACACGCTAAGTGGCGCCAGCCTTCGGGGACTCCTCTTTGGCACTTCTCTCGCGACTTCGCGGCGTGTTTATCACTCACGTGATCTTGCGCTGTTGGCCTTTTCGCGGCGGAATCACAACCATTGCGTCACTCCCGGAGGCGCCAGAGCGTCTCTCCGCCTGGCATTGCCTTAGGTCATCAGCATGCGCGCGCGATCGCGATCTTGGGGGGTGATTATTTGCACAGTTCACAGCCTTTCTCAATCACACGCGTGCACCTCACGAGTCGGTCAGCAAATAGTCTCTCTCTAAAGAGCGCTTTATCGCCTCTCCCAACGATAAGCGTCGCGGATTAAATTTATTAGCCAGACTGCCGTGACAAAATTCTCGGAGTGCCAGAGCTGCCGATCAGTCGCAGACAATCTCTCCATAAACGCGGTTCGCTTTAATTGGTCTTTGTGGATTCTTTTTCGTGCTAAAACATCAGTCGTGATGCTACTCGTGGTGTGTCTTGTGATCCTCGCGGGCAAGTTTGCTGCCGCTCAGAGCGGCCAAAGGCCCAATATTGTGGTGATTTTGGCAGATGATCTGGTCAGTATGTCTTCTTGAGGGAAATGGAAAACCGGCTAATGTGATTTGGACTTTCTAAATTGAATAACAAAATGTGTGGAATAATTATTTTACTTGCACTTATTCGGCTTTAGGGAAAGTTAGAAAACAACTTGTTATCAAACAATTTTATATCTCAGTGTTGTCTGCTTCTTATTGCCTTCGAGTGTGTTTTTATCACGTTAATTATTGATAATGGGAAAATTTCTGGCGCTTTAAAGATCGCAGATAACTAAAATATTCTTCAAGGAGCAATTTAATTGTGATATAAGAGCTTCTGTACGAAATTCAATGTCGTCATCAGGGTGGAAAAATTGAATGCACTGAATAGAATCAGTGTCTCAAATTAGTGTTGATTAGAATCAACACTAAATCACCTTTAACAAAGCCAACGATAATAAGTTTTTCCTTAAACTTTTCCTTAGAGAAAAAAGAAGCTTTATGACACTTGAAAAAGTAATTACACCATCTAATAGTGGCCCAAATTTATCCAAATATCGAACCACGAGCACTCAATTAGCACACTCTGTGACTGCAATTGCACTTATCCTCCCGCGTGCACGCAATTCCTTGCGCAACAGCGCGCTGAAGCGCAGAAAACTTACACAACGTCGCGTCTGTGATGTGTCGCTGCGCGAAGGCACTAAATAATGGCGGTTAAGAAAATTAGAAACCGTTTCCCGAATTTGGCCACATGATTATAATGATGAAAGCTTTCGGGGGGGAAGTGTTAATTCCGCCCGAAATGAGAGCATTGGAAATCATCTTTCGGGCCACGAATTAGTGATTTTGTGATAATTGCCAAATGAAATATGGGATTAGATGTGCTTCAAGTCAACTGCGCACAATTCAGCAACAAATTTATTAGCGAGGGGAGAATGTTGAGGGGGGAAAAAGGAGAAGGTGTGTAGATAAAGAGCAGAAGAGCACCTCATGATTAATTTGCATTCTTTTACGCCTTGTACGTCTTGAGACGACCCACAATCCTCTCGCGATCCGGATTGCTGACCGTCACTGTCCCCGTGGCGTCCATCTTCAGGCTCAGTTTGTAAGGCTTGCCATCAAGTATATCCAGGACATACTCGTCATTCCGACCGCCTTTGGCAATAACCTCTTCAGCCTTGTTGGTTTCGAACAGCTTCACAATTGGCGTTCTGCCTTTTTGGGGGGGAGAAGAAAATAATTACACACCCTTAGGATGGCTTTTAAAAGGTCACACGCGGTCAGAATCTCACCATTTTCACGAAAATCATACGATTTGAACACATATGTGGCCGGTGCGTCTTTGTAACTCTGAAGATTTCGCTGAACTGGCCGATTTTGCTTACGATCTTGACTATTCTGCCTGACTCTGGCTGTAGATTCATCAATCACGAGTTCTCTATTCTTTGTCCTGTCTCTCACACCCTTCCTGCCTGACTTTCTGTCACACGGAGAAGCCTTTGGGGGATCGGCCCTCTTATCAGACACATTAGTCTTTCCGGGACTCTTGTCAGGAGCAGGAGGACGACTCTGTGACGCTGATCCACCCTTGGATCCCTGTCCGTTATCCTTGCGCACGCCTATCTTTTCATCGTCGATGTCAGGATAGAATCGATCGTCAAAGTAGTCATCAGTGACTTTCTCGTCGGCAGTTGGAACAGGGACTAATCAAGAAAATAAAAGAACCCAAAAAATAAATCATAACAAAATCATAGAAATCAAGAAAAAATAAGCAGAAAACTCACAATCTTTTCCCTGCTTATTAATTGGAATGGCTGGTCTAGCGCCTGGAAAAGAGATAAATGAAGGAAACTTAAAACTGAAAATAATAAAAAGAACAGAAAATAAATAAAAATAGTCACTAACATTGCACCACGACCACCACAAGAGCCACAAATAAGATTATTTTAAACATTATCCTAGCTCTAAAGGCGAACTGCTGCAATTGCAGCGCTAAAAGTGCCATTTTATAGCCAGAGGCGAGAATGAATCAAAGCCATTTGAGTCAACAAAGTGGTTTTGAGCAATTACAGCATTGAACGGAGATTAATATTTGATCAGGTGATCTTAGAATATTTGCATATTGAATTTTCGCAACGAAAGACGGCACAATTGCAGACCTGCAGAAGTGCTTGACCAAGATCAAGTTCATCGTCCAACTGATAAGACTTTCAGGAACTCTTGTACACGTTCATCAAGAGGTTATTTACATCGCATTGTCTAAGAAGCTTTATCGTATGCGATGCAAAGATAACAGAACATTGCTTTGCGAAGATTGCATAATAAAGTAAATTGACCCAGAATTCTTGTGGATTTTCTTATTATTTGTTGTCTATTTTAAGAATAAGATTTTTCTTTTCACTTCCATTATGAGAAATGTAAAGCAATAGAATCCAGACTTATTGACAAGGAAGCTTATGAAATATGAAATGTTTAACACGTATTGAACATATTGATTATTTTGTATGAAATTTTATAGTTTTAAGGGAGTTAATTTGTATTTCTCATCAACCATTTTAGGGACAAAATAGTTAAAATCAATAATCAAGGGACTAATTAGGCAACATTTGTCCTATTTTCCTCTAAAATTAAGTTCAATAACTTACCGACACTTATTTATACGTATTTCGTGCAATTTTCTATTTTTCTTTTAATACAATTTTAGGGGAAAAAAGGGTTTGATACAGAATAATTAGTCCTTAGATTCCCGATTTTTTTTTCTATTTTTTCCCTAAAATGAATGAAAACTTAGCGAGTAAAGACCATAGAAATTGAGACATTTTTGCTCTTCATTACAATATCTGTCTGTTTTGCATATTGCTTCAGGGCTCCAATGACGTGAGCTTCAAGGGATCCGACGAGATTCCCACCCCCAACATTGATGCCTTGGGCTACCAGGGACTGATTCTAAATAGGCACTACGCACCCGCCCTGTGCACGCCCTCCAGAGCCTCCCTGCTGACCGGCAAGCATCCCATCCATCTGGGCATGCAGCACTACGTCATCCCGTCGGACGAGCCCTGGGGCCTGCCGGCCAGCTTCAAGATCCTCCCACAGTACCTGAAGCGGGCGGGCTATCGCAGCCACTTGGTGGGCAAGTGGCACCTCGGCATGGCGCGCCGCCACTTCATCCCCACCGAGCGGGGCTTCGACTCGCACGTGGGCTTCCTGGGGCCCTACATTGACTACTTCGACTACACGCTGAAGATGGTGAACAAGCCCTACGGCAGTGGCTTCGACTTCCGCCGCAATGCGACAGTGTATCGCGGCCGTGTGGGCGAATACGCGACGGATGCACTGACTGAGGAGGCCGCTCAGGTTATTCGCGACCATGAACCCGCCCAGGGTCCACTGTTTCTCTTCTTCGCCCAAATCGCCCCGCACGCCGCCAACGAGTACGATCCCCTGCAGGCCCTGCATCGCGATCACCGGCAAATGTCGCACATCGCGGGGGAGCGGCGGAGGACTTATGCCGCAATGGTCGCGGCCCTCGATCGCTCCGTCGCGGGCATTGTCGATGCTCTGCACACCGCCAAGATGCTCAACAACACCATCATTCTCTTCTACTCGGACAATGGGGGACCGACTCAAGGCCTCCACGCCACCACAGCCTCCAATTGGCCACTGCGAGGGGTGAGTATTGGGGCGTTGGCATTCAAACATCGCGAAAGCCCGGGAAAATCCGGGCTTTTACCCATGGAAATTACAACGCGCGCAGCACAAAATCATTCGTACGGTTCTTGCGATGTCTCTCAGAACCGCAATCAATTGCGCTTCAAGAACTAATTGGACGCTAATGCCAACTAATTGGTTGGGTAAAGAGTACAAGCGCTTGAAGAAGCATTTCCAGCAAGTTGGAAGAATTTCCTATTCACGTCATTTCTGTGTAATTGACTAAACACAAGTCGATGACATTCAGTAAGGGCAATTATGAAAATTAGAAAGACTGATTTTTTTTTTAACCATTTAAGAACGCCCTGGGATTTTGGAGAAATCCTAATTCCTCTAAAACAAGGTGATAATGCGTACGTGTAATGAGTGAAAATGATTGTTTCGTTCATCTCACAGCACTGAATGCTAGACAATGATATTTCTGACTGATTTGAGCGCTTCTATTACGTGATTGACGTGAAAAACATGCAGAAAAAATCACGTGAACACAAGATATTATAAATTCAGTGCGCTCTGTTTGCATTTTACATTTCATGGCCCTTCGCAAGGTCTGGAAATGCCACAAACTGCACACGGTAATAAATGTTAGAAAGGCATCAATTTACAACTCACGCCGGTTACATCGATATCTATTTTGATGTTTGTAGAACAAAATGCTTTAATTGGCCGGCCACGTTGTCGAAGAACACACCGCAGACACACTCAAAGCAAACATCGGGCGATAAGAACGCCAAACAAATCAATAAGGCATAGGAAATGAGGGAGTGCACAAAACTCATGGAAAGAAGTCTATCACAATTGATGAGACACGCTCGCGAGGCCCCATCTTCGGCGGCGGACAATAAAATACTGAAAAAAGGGAGACGCGCGCGAAGTCGCTTCGAGAGATGTGTGAAACATTTTAAAATCACCGCCTTTTTAGCGCAACCCACGGCCCTCCTTCGTCGTCCGCCTCTCTTTACACTTCTTCCTCCTCTCCCAACCCCTCATTTATGGATTTCGCCTATTGATTTTTCATTAAAGCGCGTCGTCGGCCAAGCAACCCTCGAAAAAAAAACGAACTCTGTTTGAGATGAGCGAGAAAAAATGCGCAAACGGGAAAACAAAACGATAAAAAATCATCCATAACTGATTCATTTTCCTCCCGAAATAGGAGAAAATGTATTATGAGTGGCACACAGTGTTGGGGAGGAATTCGGCAAATAGTCGGGTCTCATTCGCCGTACTGTAAATGTGTTTCCCTCAATTGATTGATTCACGACACGTAGAAAAAGGGAGGGCATTTTGCATGTTCATTTGCCAAAAAATCGCTGGTAATCTATCGTTTTCACGTAAAGAAAATTCAGGTTTCTCAAGTGTTTCTCTCATATCGAGATTAATTAGATTTAAATTTGACTAAAAAAACATTTTTGAACTTCAATTTCAAACTTTATTGTTGCTGAGGATTAATTTATGATTTGTCACAAGAATATCGACTGAAAACTCAAGGAATTCCATAGGAAAAGTCATACGTCATTATTAAACGCTTAAAGCAGTGACAGTAAAACAAAAAGATGTTTTTTTTGCAATTTATTGTCAAATTTGGATTTCAAGATAATTTTTACCCATAAAAGAAAAGAGATTAAAAAAATTTATGCTAATTTACACAAAATTCCTCCATATTTTAATTATTACTGTGAGTTTCGTGATATTTTAAGTACGTCAGCAAATTTTTGTGGAAACTCACAAGAAAACCAGTTCAGAAATGCAGAATGACGCAGAAAAATTAATATTCATACTAATTATCAAATTAATTAGCATCAATTTGTATGATATTCGGCAAAACACGTTTCATTCTACGCTTCACAAATAAAAGCATCTTTTCTACACAGAAACAAAATGTGCGGTTGTCATAAATTTAGTGGTGTAGAATAATCCTTTAATTACACCACTTTACGACGTCATGCAAATCTCCGGTGAAACACACGCGACATCTTTTCTCGCTTCCCCTTTTTCGCCAATTTTGTCGCGAGAGCAAAATTACATTTTGCTGAGAAAAATGTTCGATTTCCTCTGACTGAGGAAAAATCTCAGGGAGAAGAAAAGATGGAAAAACCGTGAAAATACTTACATTTATGCAGATATTACACTGATTTCACGATGATTTTGCGATAATTAGTAAAAAAAATTATTCAACACCTTTGACAACACCTTTTTTCTCTGTTTCTCTAATTTTTTGGTGTTTTAATTAATCTTCCGGTGAGATAATAATTAATGAGACGCACCAGTGAATTAACAATGCACGACAAACTATTTGGATGGCGACGTGTGAGTTGGTGTATTGAAAAATTGCAATTAAAATAATTTCACGCGCAAAAGCCGCCTTCCATGTTTGATTGAGAGTCACACGCGAAAATGCTGCGTGAAGGAGTGAAATTTTTACATGAAGGATCCCGTGCAATTTCAAGGGCCCAACATATTCATATTCAATCAATACTCCTCTCCCGGAGTATTTTCCATATATCAGAATACACAAGGCGAATCGATAAAAAGACACGTTATTAAGAAGGGTCTCCTTCTCTTTTTAGTGCAGAAAAGAAGGGAAGGAAAAAAACGTCGGATGATTGTTATTCTTCACTCTTTTTTTCCCGTCTTCTCTCGTCTCTCCTGCGCCGTCGTCTCATCCTCCTCCCCCTCTCTCTTCTGCCCCCGCCAGTCGGCGAGCGCAGCACATACAAAAAAAAATGAAGAATAAAATAGGTGTCACACTTATAAAATCGCTACTCCTTTATGGCATTCCGTATTGGTTGGTGAGACCAACAAGATACATTTTCGCGATGAGTTGCATGGGAGTTAAACAAAAACCAGGCCGTCCCGCTCACGCACGCCATCACTGGCATCATGCCGTCTCACCACCTTCTGATTACACTTTCTGATTACGCTGTCGTGAGAGCAATCTATAGCGCTCTCCGCCCGAAGAACAATGATCTCTCGGCCTGGTGTGTATCGTCATTCTCGAAGCGCTGCTGTGGCTCACAATTCTTCTGCTGAAAGCCCCCAACAGGCCCTGTTCTCTCGCCTTTGTTTCGCGGCTTTCGCGGGACAATTAAGAGAGCAAAACAACCCCGCGAAATCGCGGCGATTCGTGATTTTCTACACAGCGCGCCTCTCATTTACATGCCCTTCTCCATATGTAATTAGATATATTTTACCGCCATATTTTTACATGCGCTTAACGGACCTTTTTTCCATCCATTCGCCGTCTCGCTTTGCGACGGAGACTCTTTCTTCTTATATGGGTGAAACCATGGAGCATTTCAATTTCTCTTCCCTCGCCATTTGTCTCCCAGGTACGAATCTTCTTTTTTTCCACACACACACCAAAAAAATACATATAACTAATGAAATACGTTTGGAAATTTTGCCGTACTCTTCACACACTCATTAAGGGACCAAAGTATCCTTTTCTCAATTTCTCCTACCTGGAATTTCCATTGTCCTCACCCAAGAGAAAAACCACCCTTGGTTCCCTCTTGCACGCGGTATTAGCAACACTTCCCCCGACCCAAAAGCGACTCAAACAGCTCAGAGATAATGAATAGAGAACAATGACATGACGAGCCATTGACTCAGTAGACTTTTGTGAAACAGGAATCAAAGGGAATCCCATCCTTGCAGCCTTCATTTGAGCCCTCGGATAATTAAAATCAGACAGAGAGAGCAAAGGGAAGGAGGAAATCTAGGCAAATTTTGCAGTTGAGCAGACTTTTCACGAGACCAGAATAGGGGAGAAAATAAAACATAATCAGACTGTCTTCGGAAAAACTTTCTTATCAGCCATAAAATGCTGAAGTTTCAACCTTATCCGCGCCTTAATGACTGAGAAATAGGATAAAAGAACATTTTTTAATGATTTTCCCACTCGTAGAATTTGATTATTTCCCATTATTGCCTTTAATTCATCCCATTTCTCCTCCTCTGTCGATGGCAAGAGCTGGGAATTAGAGAAAAACCATCTGCTATTTCTTTACTAATGAATCAAAGAAGTGTCTGTCACTGTGATTTGGGCATTTCGACTCTGACTCTCTGCCTCGGGCCGAGCTAGAAGCTGTGATTTTAATTGGTTGATTAACGCCATTGAGGTCCAATTAGTGTTGGAAATAAAATAATTTCTTCCTCTATTATTCAATAGAGTATAATTATTTCGACATTACTTCACACACACACACATTCTGAATTACATGGGAAAATATTTTAAATACGCTCCGTGTAGAAAAATGGCTTGTGATGATGCCTTTGAATTTTCAAACTTTGCGGAAAATCCGTTGGAAAGTGAGTGAATTTGGCGTAGAAAATTGATTGTTTATCCACATTGCACGGCCACTGACCGTTGGTCAGGCGGAAAAACCACATTCAACAGTGGGTGGTGTAGAAAATGGGTGTAGAAAAAGACACAGCCTCCCCACCACTGTCTTAATTAACCAAACATATTCGGCGTCACTTTTTTTCGCGGTGCTCCCACTCTGACTTTTTTTACGGGTCGACGGCTAATGGATTCCGAGTGGCTGGGCACAAATCTCGCGAAATCTCCACACAGAAGCGCACTTCCCACAACCCATGCACATGATGTCCCGAACTCACCGTTCTGTTGCCGCCGATCAGCCACACTTCACTGTTGAGCCACGGTTTTAAACAGGTTTTTTACGATGAAAATTTGTTTTCGGCACGACAGACGCTGCATACTCCTTCGACTTCTTATCAGTGAATGTCAGGGTGAATGTCAAAAAACTAATGTGTCAGTGGCAGAAATTGTCACTGCCATCCGTTGGCGTGCCATTAATTGTTTAAATTCAAATTTTTAGTATTGGAGCGCGCGCGATGTGGCTAATTAGTTATGCTAAAACCACACCTTGGATAAAAGTATTGATCTGCGTGAAAATTAACGACTTTTTTCCGCGAAATACCATCAAAATCTACCATTGTCTCCACTAATTACGTAATTAATTAGACCGCGTAATTAATTAATTAGCAACGCAGTAATTAAAAGGCATTGTTCGCAAAAGCGCGCCATTCTGACTGCTTAAATGGCGTAAAATCTGCTTTTAAGCGCTTTTATTGTCGAAACATGGAAATATCATTCCTATTGCACGCATAAAACACTTTTATATGCGTAAATAACATGAATTCTCCGTAATTTATGAGTTTTGTTGACATTCAAATAAATTTTACACATAAATTGGAATTTAAGTGGTCTAAAAATAGATATTCTCACGAAAAAGTGTATTTTAATTACTTATTGTCTTTTTGGCATTAATATTTAAAACTTTCGGACAGTATTTTAGAGGTTTTGATGTATTTTCTAGGACAGTGGGATAAATTTTATTATCCCGGGAAAATCTGGGTACGATTCTTGATAACAGAAATCTTATACAGGGAGAAGTTGAGGAGGGAAAATCTATTTCTTTTGCCCCTGTTGCTTATTTTCATCACTGTATGAACTGAACAGACAATTTTTCTTGATTCTACTCTTTAAATTAAAACAATTCCTTTAGTAAATAAAATGAATAAGACTCAAAATACAATTTCTCTGTTATATTTTCCGTATTTACAGCAAAAAGACAGTCCTTTCGAAGGTGGTGTTCACGTTCCTGCCGTCATTTGGAGCCCTTTGTTGAAAACCCGACATGGAGTAAGCAACACTTTAATTCACACAACCGATTGGCTGCCGACTTTCGCCAATCTGGCCGGAATTCCACTTGAATCTCTAGACAATCCGGATGGATTCGATATTTGGGAGGCTCTAAGTAGCAACACTACCAGTCCAAGACGGGAAGTGCTTCACAATATCGATCCCATCAGTGGATACAGTTCCTACATGCGAAATGGATGGAAGTATGTGAACGGAACGAGATTGAATGGAAGATGGAGCGGATGGTATGGAGAAAAGGTCGAACCAAGGCAATCTAGCGACTATGTAAGCACAGTTATGGATAGCCCAGTATGGAGCATTCTCAGCTCTTTTAGAAAAACTGAGTTGGGCTCAAGTGATGTTTTGGACATCAGAAAGCTGGCCGCAATAAATTGCGACAGAGAGAATCTGCAGGAAATTGACTGTGAACCATTGAAGGCGCCTTGTCTCTTCAATATAGACGTTGATCCTTGTGAGATATCCAACGTCGCTGTTTATCATCAGGATCGTGTGGCGAGTCTCAGAGACAGGATTGATGAATTGTCAGAGACAATGCTGCAGCCGATAAATACCAAAGCTGATCCAAAATGCGATCCCGCGCAATTTGGCAACATCTGGACTTGGTGGCTGGACGAATTGGAAGTCAAACAGGAGGAAATTAAACCGGAAAATAATCTTTTCTGGATTTTAGTCGGCCTGGGGACTTTACTCGCGCTTATAGCAATTGGAGTGATTCTAATTGCATGCAATAAGCACAAAATATGCTCAAAACAAGTCAAAATGTAACAGTATTGCGAATTTAAGGGGCGTTTTTTGTACTTCAGAGAATTTAGACTTAAGAATTGAAGAAATAAATTTTTTGTAATACGACACAATAAATTTTCTCTACGAGGTGTTATCTTAACACCTGTTAACTCTTTATCCAAGTGTTCATGAAATTCATCAGAATTTCACCCTTATCGGATTGTGTTCGCCACCAGCGGCGCCACTGGTTTAGTACTTACTCGTGACGTCAGGAATCGTCTGTGAAAATGTTGAGGTTAATCATCGCTGTGGGGATTTTCTTCCTTTTCTGCGACGCCCAGGATGCGTTCTTCGATGGCAGGACCACCATTGAGCTCCACCACTTCCTGCACGAGTCAGGGCCCACGTTCAGGGGCAACATCAGCCTGAGCAGCGACGGTCACGCGCGCATCAGCCAAGAACAGCTGTCCGAGGAAGACAGGCTAAAGCTGGTGGATCTGGCCAGGAGAGATGGCTTCTACAGGCTCAGAGCGACAGTGGAAGGCATTTCCGGAAAGCCTGTTGAGCTGTTCACCTCCACAAAAGCGGTAAATCTGTGTGGCGAATTGGAATTTTGTCACGAGAATTACACGATGATTTTTGCAGTGTCTTCTGCTGAAGAACTTCCTTCTGGACAACTTGTGGGTGTCTCTGGATCATCTGGGGAGTGTGATTGGCATACATCAGGTTGTGGCTGGCAGCCAAGCGTGCGCTGAAGGTGAGCAATTAACCGCTGAATTTGCTGGAGAGTTCACGACTGGAGTGTTCGTGAAGCAGAGCGAACTGGCGCCCATTCCGGACACAGCCAGCTTCATCCAGAAACTAGAACGAGAACGTGAGGCTCGTGAGCGTGGAGAAGTGAAGGACAACCGTGGATTCTTTGCCAAATACGTGAGTTTTCATACCTTCCGGGAAAGTAATGAAAATGTATAATCTTATCGCCTGTTCTTCCAGTGGATGTACATCGTTCCTGTCGTCATCCTGCTTCTGCTCTCCGGAGCCACCAATCCAGACGCCGCAGCCGGCGGCGGTGGAAGATAGAGCCCAAGATTCTCTGAATAGACTAATTTATTTCCCCGAAAACTATTTCGCTTCTTCCTTGGTTTCCTCGGGTTTCTTCTCAGGATTCTTATCCTCTGCACCCTTGGCGAGTAACTTAGCAATTATCTTCTCCTCTCTGGCCTTCTTCCTCGCCTCCTTCTGTTGCTTCTTGTCCTCCTTCTCCTTCTGCGCCAGCAATTCCTTGAATCTCTCATCTCTGACATCGAGCTTGAAGCCAAAGTGACGTCGGACTTCCTCTACCAATCTCTCCCGACGCTCCTTAACCCTCCTGGCCTCCGCTTCGGCCTTCTCCACGCGATTCCTGAAGTCTGCCGTCCACTTCTCCAGCTTGGACAGCTTCTCGGCCACTTGTTCCTCTCTCAGGCGGATTCTCTCCGCCTTGGCGCACTTCTCTTCCTCAATCCTGGTGCGCATCTGCTCCAAGGTGTAAGGATAGGCCACGCGATCGTACTCCTCCTTCTCAGCGCGCTCCTCGGCCGTGGGGAAGCAAATCCGGGGATCCACGCCACTGGCCAGCCCGTAGCGTCCAAACATGGCCCTCTTGTACTTCAGCGTGTTGTGCACCCATGATTCGCTGCGCTGATAGGGCTGCTGCTCGTGCACGATGTTCCGGTGCTGCTTCAGGAGGCGAGATTTGTTCCTCTGGGACTCGATGAACTGCCTTCTCTGCTCCTGCTCGTCATCCTCCTCCACAAACTCCGCCACAGCCGATGTCTCCTCACTCGGGATCACCGCAGCCTCCGAGGCTGTCTTGCAGCTCCTCCTGAAGCTCGTGAACAGGGAAAAGTCCCGGAAAATGGGGAATCCACTCCTCAGTCTGTTCATCTTTTGAGAGGTTATGTTGCACACCGTGACAGATGTCGCTGCGGTCGCTTGGCCATCTTGGAATTGCATTGTTTTGGTTTTTTGCAGCGACAGAAAATCGCGAAAATCCCACGGAATCATGGCTCAAAGTCGCGAGGCGGTGTTGAGGACGCTCAAACAGGTGCGCCCCATTCTGTCGGTGGACAAATCAGAGGCCAGGAGGCGCGTCTTCAATCTCTATCGCGCCTGGTATCGCCAGATTCCATACATTGGTGAGCGCCCTGTTATGTCACCATCCGGAAAGGCTTTTCTGACCACATTTCCCATGCTTATTGCAGTGATGGACTACGACATCCCCAAGAATATTGAGCAGTGCCGTGAGAAGCTGCGAGAAGAGTTCCTGAAGAACAAGGACGTCACGGACATCCGGGTGATCGATATGCTAGTCATCAAGGTGAGTTTCCTGGATTCTCTGGTGTTTTCCGGCTTAATATCTGTGCATCCGTTGCAGGGTCAAATGGAACTGAAGGAGAGCGTAGAGATCTGGAAGCAAAAGGGCCACATTATGCGCTACTTCAAGGAAACTTATGAGCCCAAACCCACAGACTTCCTCTCGAAGTTCTTCTCAGGACACAATTGAGAGGCTCCCAGAGATAACATGTTGATTATCTAGTTAAAATGTAAATAAAAGCGAGGATGGCGAAAAAAATCCACAAATTATATGTTCCAGAAAGTGTGAGGTTATGTTCACAGGAAAATTCAACGGATTTATCCACATTTTGAGTAATTTTCCATATAAAGCACAGACATTTTCTCATCTTGAGAATCTCAGAGAGTCTCTGAAAGCCATAAATTTTGGGAATAATGCAAAAATTGCTTTTCCCACAATTTTATAGTTTTTTCTACTGCCTATATTTTACAGTGTAAATTATTGTAGAGAAATGTCAAATTGCTTCACTTGAGCGCGTCTTTGAGCCTGATTTTACTAAGAAAGCGCCCCAAATGGAGAAGTCCTACACTCGAGGCCGGCCTGTGCATCCGGAGTACCACAAGTTGGGCTTCAGGAGGATCAAAGTGGACGGAAAGAGTTCCGTCGTTTGCGAGCATTGCAAGTGCGTCCTTCAGAACACAGCCACGAAGCGCCTCCGCGGACATCGGTAAGCGCCCCACTAGCGGCACGAAATGGCCTGACCAGGGTCTGAGCGATCTGCTGTGCTTCTCTTTGCAGGAATGTGTGCCAAATGACGCCGCAGAGAGACATTGTGAAGCAGGAGGAAGTCGTTGAGAGAGGTGAAGTCGATGTTCAGGCCTTCCGGACATCTTTCTCACGTGATTCCTCTGTTTCTCTTGCAGACGACTCTCTGCACGAGGTGGTGTCGCCCAAGGAGGAAGACCCGCTGAACTCTTATGCACGCACCAGCAGCTCTTACATCGAATTGCAGCCTCCGAGTCCGGGAATTGAGTATGCACAGTACTCGGATGACTCTGAGGACGTCACCAAGACCCTGCCGCGCTCCGCCAAGCCCACCAGCCGCGGTCAAACGCTGCCCCGCAAGCGCCTTCGCTACACAGCGGAGCCCGACAACCTCACGGACGTGGTGAAGCAGATGCTGGATACCTTCACGGCGATTGTGCAGCAGAAGAGCCAGACGCCGACGGCCGAGTTTGGCGACGAAGCCTTCTGCAACTGGCTCCTGACGCAATTCGCCTCCATGGCGCCCCAGCGGAAGCTCCGCGTGCAGCACGAGATATCCAACATGGTCTTCCGGGCGCACGCCGAGGACACCAACGCGGACATGTAGTGCATTCCGGAGTCTTCTAGCCTAAGCGTTCCCAGATGTCCTTATGAGAGAAGTTCATGGAAATAAAGAGAAGGGAGGAAGAATCCGAATCACTCATCATTTGAGGATGCGGAGAATTGGTCTGGAAGAGACCTTCGAAGGGTTAAGTCGGTTATTTTCAAACTCTGAACTCGTCGATTCGTCTAATTGTGTTTATCGCGCCCATCGCCGCGGGGCGCTGTTAGTTGTTTTGTGTCATTCTTGCTTGCCTCTTTTTCCCCGCACAATTTTCTCGATTTTCACTCTGTTTTCCTTAGTTTTTCGTGTTGAATTGCACTGGTCATCAGTCCGTGAGGTGCAGTGATGTGTTTGACAGTGGCAAAGTGATGCTGCGACGGCAAATCTGATCGCTGTGAGTGTTTATCTGAGAGGGCGATCATGGCACTCCTGGCGGTGTCCCGGAGAAACTCGACGCAGGAAGTGATTTTCGGGCATTTTCCCATCTTTCCAGGATCGCTGGCGCGGGAGATGAGGGTGCTGGTGCTTGCGTGCCTCCTGGGGGCCGTCCTGGCCACGGAGACGGGCTCGATAAACCTCCTGTTCACCACGTATCAGGACATTCGGTGGGCGAACGTCACTGGCCAAGAGATTCACATTGAGGTGCTTGCCAAAGATTTGGTGGAAGGCGCGGCCATTGACTTCCTGGCCGCGCGGCGGCTGGTGTGCTGGGCTGATCAGGGCAGCGAGCGCGTGGAGTGCATGAAGATGAGCGGCTGGAAGTCGTCCAAGCGGGACATTGTGGTGGCGGCCAAGGCGAAGGTGGACGGCTTGGCGATTGACTGGCTGACGGAGAAGATCTACTGGACGGTGAGCGAGACGAACAAGATCGAGGTGGTGTCGCTGGATGGGCGGCTCAGGAAGGTGCTCTTCTGGCTGGACGTGGATCAGCCGCGCGGCATCGCTGTAGTGCCGGCGCGGCGGCTGCTCGTGTGGACGGACTGGGGCGAGAGTCCGAAGATCGAGTCCTCCAGCATGGACGGCGATCCGGGCAGCCGGAGGGTGCTGGTGAAGGACAAGGGCATCTTCTGGCCCAACGGACTTGCCGTGGATCTCGAGCGTGAGCTGATCTACTGGGTGGATGGGAAGCTGCACACGCTGCAGGCGATGCGCCTGGACGGCGCCGATCGTCAGACGCTGGCCAGCAACTTGATCTATCCCTACAGCCTCACCATGCTGCAGGAGCACATCTTCTGGACAGACTGGCAACTCTATGCCATCAACACGCTCGTGTCTGGCGACGTGCATGAGCTGTTCAATGTGTCCGTGTCGCCGATTTCGGTGCGCATTTGGGATCAGCGCGTTCAGCCGCCCGGCGAATCGCCCTGCCAGACGGCCAACGGCAATTGCTCGCACTTGTGTCTGCTGGCGCAGAATGCGCAGGGCTTCTCCTGCGCCTGTCCGACGGGAATCCGCCTCGTGAGCGACACAACGTGTGCTGAACATCCCACGGACATGCTGTTCCTGGTGCAGCGCACACAGATCAGTCGCATCTCCCTGGACACGCCGGACTTCACCAGTTTCCCGCTGATTCTGAACCGCGTGAAGTACGCCATCGCGATTGACTACGATCCCGTGGACGACACGGTGTACTGGTCAGATGGCGACGTGCACACCATCCGGCGCGTGCGACAGGACGGCCAGGGAGCGGTGGAGACCATCGTGTCGGCCATCGCGCACGCCGACGGCCTGGCGCTGGACTGGCTGGCGAGGAATCTCTACTGGACGGACACGGGCATGGACAGGATTGAGGTGAGTCGCATGGACGGCTCGTCGCGCTATGTGGTGATCAATGAGAATCTGAAGGAGCCGCGCGCCATCGCCGTGGCGCCCAGCTTGGGTTGGATGTTCTGGAGTGACTGGAATGAGGAGATGCCGAAGATTGAGCGCGCCGCACTGGATGGATCTGAGCGTGTTGTCTTGGTGTCGAACGATCTGGGCTGGCCGAATGGCATTGCGCTGGACTTCAGTGAGAACACAGTGTTCTGGTGTGACGCCAAGACGGACAAGATCGAAGTGGTGGGCATGAATGGGTCCAATCGCCGGGTGATTCTCTACGAGCAGCTGCCGCACGTATTCGGCCTGAGTCTGCTGGGTGACTACATCTACTGGTCGGACTGGCAGAGGCGATCGATTGAGAGAGCGCACAAGAGGAAGGGCACGGACAGACTGGTGATTGTGGATCAGCATCCGGACCTGATGGGGCTGAAGGTGGCGCGATTGCGGGAGGTGAATGGCACGAGTCCGTGTGCTGTGAATAATGGCGGATGCTCGCACTTGTGCTTCAACAGGCCGCACGATTTTGTGTGCAGATGCCCGATAAACTTCGAGCTGGCGCGTGATCAGCGGACGTGCTTCATTCCCACGGCGTATCTGTTCTTCTCGCGGATGCGCGGCCTGGGCAGGATGTCGGTGGAGCACAATGAGGGCAATTACAATGATCAGGTGACGCCGTACAAGATCATTCGCGATGTGCACGCTCTGGATGTGGACGATGTGGCGGGAGTGCTGTTCTGGACGGACAAGAGGGGCAAATCCATCCACCGGGCGCTGATCAATGGCACGGATGTGCAGAAGATTGTGGATTCGGGTCTCGGGCGGCCGGAGGCCATCGCGGTGGATTGGCTGGGGGGGAATGTGTTCTGGACGGATGTGGATCTGAGGCGGATCGAGGTGGCGCGCTGGGATGGCTCGAGTCGGAAGGTGTTGGTGTGGAAGAGTGTCGAGGAGCCGAAGCACATTGTGGTGGAGCCGCGGCGGGGCGTGATGTACTGGACGGAGCAGCAGCTGGAGGTGATCCAGAAGGCGGGCATGGATGGATCGGAAGTGACGACAGTGGTGCGGAAGGTGGGGAATGTGAATGGATTGGCGCTGGATGACAGCACGCGCCGGCTGTATTGGACGAGTCAGAGCACGCCGGCGAGGATTGAGTGGGCGGATTGCGATGGACGTGGCAAGGGAGCCACACTGACTGATCTGCACAGCAGTGATCCCTTCGCCATCACCGTCCACGGTGACTTCGTGTACTGGAGCGACTGGAAGACGGGAGATGTGGAGCGCGTGCACAAGATAACCGGTGACAATCGCACGCTGATCCATGAGAATCTGGAATTTGTGCGATCTCTCGTGGTTTATCACACTTCACCGCCAACACTGACGTCGGGCATCAACAAATGCCACATTGCGAACGGTGGATGTTCACATTTGTGTCTGGCCAACAGGAATGGCTCCATTTGTGCCTGTCCCACGCACTATTTCCTCAACACTGACTCAGTGTCGTGCAGTCCGCCGAGGGATTACCTGATCTTCAGCCAGAAATCCACCTTCGGCAGACTCTTTCCCAACTCCACAGACGTCCTGGACGCGTCATTTCCCATCACAGGGAAGCACATCAGGGTGATTGAGTTCGATCCGGTGATGAAGTTTCTCTACTGGGTGAGTTTCCTATTCATTTTCCACCTCAAGATATTCACTAAAGTCACTTGTTTGCTTGGCAGATTGATGGAAAAGTGGTGCGCAAGAGTGCAGAGAATGGCACGAGGATGTCCACGGTGGTCAGCGCGGGATCGCAGCCATTTGACATGGCGCTTGACTTTATCGGCAGATTGCTGTATTGGACGTGCAGCTACACGAATTCCATCAACATCTCCAGCTTGAGTGGCAATTCTGTGGGCACAATTGACACGGGAGATTCACAAGTTCCCAGGAATCTGGCAATTGATTCACTGGAGAGATTCCTCTTCTGGACGGATTACAAGCAACAGGCGATCTTCAGGGCGAGAATTGATGGTGTGGCGAGAGTGATGCTGGTAAATAAGTTGTCCGGTGTGAATGCGCTGACAATTGATCAGCAGGCGAAGATTGTCTTCTTCGCCGATGGCGAGAGCATCGAGAGGATTGACTACAGCGGTGGCAACAGGTGAGTTTTCGAGGGGAGGGAAAATTACCCTTAATCTGGGATCTATAACCACAAATTGTGGTGTTTTCCTTTCAGGGAGAAGATCACTTTGCTGAACTACAATCAGGTGACTTCCTTGGCTGCTCTTCGGGGTGTTTTGTATTGGCTGGACGACAAGATGTTGCTGGAGAGTTTGACGTACAATGGCGAGAGGGCGACTGGTGATGGTGCTTCGCTGCAGCAACTCACGGACATTGTGGCAGTTTCCACGCCACCGGAGGGACTTGTGGCCAATCACACGTGCTCTCATCTGGCCATTGAGTGTTCTCATCTGTGCGTGGCCACGGGAAGGCATCCGCCGAGGAGTCTGGAGGACGTGTGCTCGTGTCCAATTGGTCTGATGCTGATGGAGGACAAGATGAGCTGCGGAACGCTGCCACCTTGTGGTCCTGGTCACTTCACGTGTGCCTCTTTGATGCCCGGTGGGCTTCTGGATGGCGTGAATAAGGACTGCATCCCGATGTCGTGGCGCTGTGACGGTCAGAATGACTGCATGGACAAGTCGGATGAGCAGGGATGTCCGTCGTGCAGTGGAGATCAGTTCAGGTGCCAGAGTGGCGAGTGCATTGACAGGAAGTTCGTGTGCGACGGCACGACGCACTGCGCCGATGGCCACGATGAGGCGGATTGCTGCAAACAGCCGCAGGACTTCCAGTGTCCGGGCAATAAGGTGTGCATCCCGCCGGCGTCGCTGTGTGACGGCTGGGATCACTGTGCCGACGGGGCGGATGAGAGTCTGGAAGTGTGCGGTCCGGCGAACAAGCGCTTCGTTCAGACGTCGGACAAGAAGACGTTCATCATTGTCATCGTGATTCTGATGCTGGTGACATTCTTCGCCGCGTACGTGCTGCAGATTTGCCGCAGTCGCATTATGGCGCACGGTGGGCAGTTGCAGAATGATCCGGCCGCGGCGCCGCTGTCACCGGTGCAGGCGGGAAAGATTGCCAGGGGCTCGCGGCTGTCGTCCGTGGCGGACGCCGTGTGGATGTCGACGCTGAATGGCCGGGCGGGCAGTGCGAATAGCTATGACAGGAACAACATCACGGGCGCCTCGAGTAGCACAACGAAGGGCAGCAGCAGTCTCATGGCGTATCCGCTGAATCCACCGCCCAGTCCGGCCACCACGAATGCCTCCACGAGGCACAGCTATCGGCCGTACAGGCACTACAAGTCCATCAATCAGCCGCCGCCGCCCACGCCCTGCTCCACGGACGTGTGCGACGAGAGTGACAGCAATTGCACCAGCAAGACCACGTCCGGACGCGTGGCGCTGCCCAGGCGGAGTCACAGGTATGCGGACGCAGGAGAGCCCTATCCGCCGCCGCCCACGCCGCGCTCCCACAGCGACATTGGCGGCTACGTGATGACGGAGAGTTGTCCGCCGTCGCCGGGATCGCGATCATCGGCCTACTTCTCGCCGCTGCCGCCGCCGCCGTCGCCCGTGCAGAGTCCGCGGCGTGACTACTCGTAGCCGCGGTCGAGCCGGAGAGAGAGAGAGAGAGTGAGTGAGTAGCAGTCCTTTGTCCCTGATCCCCTTACTCTTTAGGACATTATTTATTGACACTAGCTGTACTCTGGGATTGTGTTGAAATTCAGCGACGAGGGTGAAATTGCGTGACAATCAAGACTCCAATTTTTGTCTTTTGACTTTTGCATCTGACAGATACTTTCCAAGGATCACTTGATTAGTCTGTGTCACGTATAAAAACTCTCCAAGGCGGTTTTGAAAAGAATGCATTCAATATTTTGTGCATTGATATTTTAGAGAGACTTTGATTTTATTAATGTCTTCAAGCAAAAAGAAAAAGTAGAAGAGGCACAATTTGAAGGAAAAAGAAGTAGCTCAATGAATTCTAAATTGATATAAGCATTATATTATTGTGTAATTAACAAAATTGTATGCTTTTTGTGCCTTTTAATCAATGGATAGATGGATAAAAACTATCATTTAATTGTGATGTGAATTTTAGTGCTAAATTCTGAAATAGTCTTAATTCCCTTTCCCTTCTTCCTTTGTTGCGCTACTCACTCGATTTTTCTCGTCGTACACTTTATTAAGAGTCTGATTAAGAACAATTTTATTGATGAATTTGTTGATTTTCTAACAAGAGAGAGAGAGAAAAAAATAACCCCCTTTTTAATAGACTGTAAGATTGTATCAAAGTGCCAAACAGCGCGCAGTGCTTTTCTTTTCTCAGGAAGAAGAAAGAAAAAAAACTGTGTGACGATAAAAAGGACGAAGATGTGAACTGATATAATGATGTGAGACGAATTTAGGCCGCTTCGTCGCCAAATCACATGAATTTTATTGCAATAAAACACACCTTTTTATTATTATTATCTTGTAATGCCATTTTAGAAGAGTTAAGAAGAAAACAGAGAGCATTTCTTGAGGTTTTCCCTGAGCTGATCAAATGAGTTTTCCTCTGATATTTTACTCTATTTGATGGTAGAAAATGTTTATTGTAATAAGGAGAAGAAAATATATTGTGAGGCGTTTATAATATTGCATTTCGTGTACAAAAGAATATATTTAGTACAATAAAAAGTATTTTAAGAAAAAGAAATTGGTGTTTTTTCTTTTTTAATTAGAATTAGAAGAAGAGAAGAAGAGAAGAATTAGAAGATAAATTCTCCACATTAATAAATGTTATGAATTGTAATCTTGCAGCACCTTTTTACGAATTAATATTTTTGACAGCTTATTGAAGATATGTTATGAAAGTAAAGTTCCAACGACGCATAATTTATCTAACTTCATCACCATTGCAAGGAAGAAAAGTAAAAGAATATATATTTTTTTTAAATAATATTGTTTTTATTCATAAGTATATCATATTATATTGTATTTACATATTTCAAGTTGTCATTCATCTCTCATTTAATCCACGGCAATGAAAATTGTCCTCTATAGAATTCACTTGAATAATCTTCCTCTGCCAGTATTACTGATTTCCTCGTCACACTCCTTAAACTCTCCTCGCATTATTATCTGCTCAATTACACACTATATATGTCCTCTCACATTTTGGGGGGAAGGATTTTTATGCTATGTGTCCACAGAAGATTCATATTGGTTGTCTCTTTCTCGTGTCAAAAAGATACATTTCACATTTCTTTTTTCATTTCTTGCTTCTAATATTTATTTATTTTTTCTGCTCATGAAACATATAGCCTTGACAGTCCACTATCTTATATAAATTACAGATAATATACCTCTTTTTTTTCCATGCTTATCGCTTTATTCATCCGTCTTCTTGCTTATGACAAAAAACACTTTCAATATATCTACAGTTTTGGTTAAATTACAGTGTAAGGTTTCTCCCCTTTCTTATGCTGTCTGGCTAAAACATTACTCAATGTAACACGTCATGCTCATCAGGATAAGTTTTCCTTCCTATACATATATAGGATGTCTATATAGAATGTTATAGAAATATGTACACAATAGTGAGTCCTTTGTGTTGTTTCTCTTGCCGATGCTGGACTAATTTGAGAAAACTTCACCACTAAGTTATCAAATATCTTTTTACAGAGATTCTTTTCCACCTTTCTTCCTCTCTCTTCTTCTTCTTTTATTTTAATCCATTTCAATTAAGAGACGGCTGGAAGATTGCAATTGTAGTTCATTTTTTGAGTTTTTATTTCTTTAATCGCCTTAAATTATTCAGTCATCATAATTTCTTTTTATTCCTTTCCACGCTTGCGTCTCAGAGTAAATTTCTCTATGCTTTCCAGCCTATTTCTTAACGCTTTGTTCATTTCACAATTCTTGTTTTTTTTTTCTTCTTTCTTTCAATAATAAATAAAAGAGTAAAAGGAGTTTAAATGTATATCAATAAAAAGTATTGCTCATTCAATATCTTTTCCCTTTATATCAGGTGTTTTTTTTCATCTTCTTCAATTTATATTCTTATATCAACATTTTACAACATTACGAATTTTGAGAAAGTCACTTCTCGGTTTCATCAATTGATTGAGTGACAAGAGAGAGAGAAAATTAGGCGATTTTGCCATTTTTCTTTCCTCTTCTTGTCTTCTCAATATCAAGAAAAAGGGCTTTTTTTTATCATCCTTAGAATGCAAAAATATCACTTAATTATGCACAAATGACACCTTTTTAAATCCTTCTTTTATCTAAATAGGAGAAGTTACAGTATAATTTACCTAATTTACACTCACTTTACGCCATCATCAAAGTATTATGCATTTGCTTTGCACGTCACAACTCGTCAGGTTCAGCGGAGGGGAAACAGAGGGCGCCACCGGTTGTTTTGATTTACACACACACGCACAATTTATCAGATTTCCTTTCTTCTTGAATATGTTTCATGTCGGAAGTGTCCGTTAACTCCTCTCTCTCTCTCTCTTTCTCTTCTCTAATGTAGTGATTAAAATACTATTTATTACACTCTAGTGACTCTTTTTTACTATGTTTTTTTCTTGCATATTGATTTCATTTTTTTATTCTTCAATTTTTCCATCATCATTCTATGTGTTTTAGAGGTTAGAATTTACGTTAATTTTTATTACCCTGTAGAAGCCAAGGAGTTTTTCTTATTTCTTCTCTTGTGTTTTTTAAGTGGTTTCAAAGGTCTTCCGGTCAAAGTTGCTCTATTTTTTTCTTCTTATTTATTTATATGGTTTCTCAGTGATGATTTTGTGTCTTATTTACAAAAGGGGATTTTCTTTTGTGCGAGAAAAGAAGTATTTGGAAGAAAAGAAAGTAAATGCAGAAAATACAGAGGCAGAAAGTGAAGTTTATGGGTAGAATTTGTGATTACAATAAATGATTTTTTTTCAGCAAACTTGTGTTTCTATTTTGTCTATAAATTTACTATTTTTTTTTTATTTTCACCTCCATTCGCGACTAGTTCAATGGCACTGCGCAACATCGTCTTATAGATGATGAGCCAACAATCTCTCAGTGTCTGTTTAAGTCTCTAACTTATGCGGTATTACTTTTTAGAGAGGATCATTTGACAGTGTTTTCTCAGGGTGGATTTTCTTTTCAATGACATTTTACATCACTAACAGCTTCTTCTATACAAAAAATGCTGGGATATGGCAAAATACCTGTGGAATATCTACGCTTTATTCTTCTGGTTCGGTTTATATGTATATATATATATGTGTATATATAGAAAAAGACGTTGGAAAAGGGAGGGGGATCCACTGAAAACGACGGGAATGTAGAAACCACATTTCTGGGATTATAGAACACTTTCTTCTCTCTCTTTCTCTTTCTTCCTTTAGAAATAGACCTTTATCGAGTTGACTTTTTTTTTACTCTCTTTTTAAAAAAATATATAGTTAGAAGGTATTTTTCACGCATTCGCCTTTTTGTTTCCTTGTGCAAAATGTCACTATTTTCTTTTGATATCTTTCTTATCATCTCTCCGAGGGATGTTCAAAAATTGGGGGGAAAGAAATGGGGAAGAGATAGAGATTGACTCTCTAGAGATAGTTTGTCTTCATCATGAGAGGATACTACATTTATACACACACACACACGCTAGTCCTTTACATACATTTTGGGTGTCCTAGAGTTCAATTAATTTGATTTTAATGCTGAATTAGGAAATGATCTTTCACAAAATCTGGGTGTTTTCTGCTTTTATGGGGGTGCTTCTCTTTGACTTTTCTCTCTCGCGCGCGCGAAGACGTTCTTCTGCCTCAACTTCGGATATCACAATTGCCCAGGAAAACAGGCTTATTCGGCGCTCTTTCAGGATTTACTCTCACGTGTTGTGGCGCCGCTGTCTCGATGGCGCCGCGTGGTGATTTCCACTCTTTCGGCGCTTGCGCTTCGAGTCACGCTGGAAGGACACATTTCCAGGATCGTCAGCCAGTTGTGGGAACTTGTGAATGCTGTGGATGTCCGTGCCGATGTATCCGTCCACATCCCCGTGAGAGATCAGCTCCTCCTTCTCCTCCTCCGTCCAGTCGCCGCGCCCCTGAAAGCCGGCCGCCACCAGTTGCTTCTCCAGCTCCCACGCGCGCTCCACAGCGCGCTTGTGCGCATGCTTCAGAATCCTGTGGCGCTCCTGCTCCGGATCCACACCATACTTGATGATCACCACGGCGTCCGGCCCGTGCAGACGCAACTCCTTGGCCGCCGTGCCGCTGCCGTGATCGTTGATCTCGTGCGTTGTCGTGTTGAACATTCCGCCCAGTCGCTTCAGCTCCTCCATGTCGTCGCGCAGCTTCAGCACGTTGTCCTTGACGAAGTAGAACACATCCTGATCGTGGATGCTGAAGTGGAGATCGAGGAAGAAGCTGTTGTTGAACACGGACGACACGACGTCCTGCACAACACTGTTGGAACCATCGACAACACTGACCAGCGCACGACCGCCGATGCTGGAGATCAGAACGCCCTCGCCAAACACTCCCCGGCGATAGGCGACGCGTGGCAGCAAGTTCCTGGTCTTCAGCTCCATCTTCAGCAGTGGCTTGGGCACGAAGCCAAAGTCCGAGAACTTCTCGTCGATCTGCAAAAGACAAATCGTCAATCACTCGCCTTGGACCCTCGCTGTTGGCAAACACTTACCTTCTCCACGATGCACTGCAGACCGGACATCACACCGAAATCGGGCGCCAGGAGGGGAGATTTGATGGTGGCCTGTGGGATGTGGACAATGTCCTTGGTGTACTTGGATCCCTGGATTGTCTTCAGGTCGTAGCCGAAGAGCTTGAGCCAGGACTTGATGTCTGTCATGTATCTCATGGGCTCCTTGGGATTGATCGGATCATTGTTGTGGAATCTGTAGATGAACACGTCCGTGGGCAGACTCATCTCTGTGGCCAGAGGCTCCCAAAGTGGCGTCATCCACTGTCCAACTGTGGGATCATACAGTCTGTTCTCCACATACACCAGCCTCGTGTTGGGATCCAGAATGCCGCCGTGGAAGTCAATCGGGATGAAGAGATTGGGATTCGAGTCCTTCACGATTCTGCCGAAGGGTGTTCTCCTGATCTCCTCAATGATGTTGCCATTTGTGTCGAAGTACGCCAAGGGCGAACCATTCTGATCCGTCGCCACGTAGTGTCGCTCATCGCCATTCTCCACGGCGATCAGCAGATTGCGATCGTCATAGAGGAAGCGATAAGTCTTGCCGGTCTTCGGGTAGTGCACGTGAGTCACGAGCATGGCGTGCGTGGGATGTGCGTAGAAGTACTGCGTCACATTGCCCTTCTCATCGTGACTCGCCACCAGTCTGGCTCGATCGTCGTAGAAGTACCAAGTCTGGAACTTGTCCCTCTCGAAGGCGTGGATCAGCTGTCCACGATTGTTGTATCTGTACTTCTGCTCTCCGCGGCGCACCACATATCCTCTGGCATCGTAGCTGTTGAACTCCACATCGCCCACCTGAACCACCCTGTCGCCTGTGTCATAGCCGAGATTTGTCTTGTCTCCCTGCTCCAGCACGCCCACCGTGTTGCCATTCTCATCGTACAAGTACTTCCAGTTGTTCGTGCCAATCACTTCCATCACATGTCCATCGGCATTGTAGCTGACCTTGTCTGACGACGTCACTCTGCCAATTGTCGTCTTGTGCGTCTTGATCCTGTTGCGCTTGTCATAGTCCAACTCCAGGCGATACACATCGGCAGTCTTCACATTGATCAGGACACTCTTCACGCGTCCGTGATCGTCAAAGTCCGTGATCATGATGTATTGCTTCGCAGAGTCCTGAATCACAGTCCTATTGAAGGCATTTCTGGTGATCTTCAGATCACTCACGGACTCCAAACTGCCCAAATTCTGACTGTACTTGAATTTCGTCATTGGCAAATCCTTCTCATCAATGTCCATCTCGATGCCATTCAAGCGCGCATTGCCATCGTACTGATACTTGAAGTGTGCCGCAGCCAAGCCACTCTTCGAGCCGAACTTAATCTTCTCCTCCTTCACAATTCCCGCGTGATACTTGAAGTCCCTCTTGAGCTCAAATCCTGGATCAATGACATCCACACTCTTCACGAGACTCGACGCCTCTTGGTATGTGTAGTGCGTGGATGAGAGTCCTGCAAGGACAGTCTCCAATCTGCCCGCCGTGTCGTACACGAACGCCACCTTGCCGGACTGATGGGGATGAATCTTGGCCAAGATCTGACCCTCGTCGTTGTAGAGAATCTCAAATGGATGTCGATTGATGGGCGAGAAGTACTGATACTTGAAGAAGCCAAGCGACGTCTGCAGCGAGAATGAGTGAATGTGACCACGCGGAGTCGTCAAGGACTGCAGAGCGCCAGCATCATCGTACTGCAGGAGATAGTCTGAGCGTCGAGGTGTTGTGACCTTCAGCGGAAGACTGCTGAACATGTCCTTGAAGCTGTACACAATGGAAGACTGATCGCCATACTTGATCTCATTGAGTCTGCCAGAGCGATCAAAAGTGTACGATTCCTGCAAATCTCCCCACTTCCACGAAGTCAGCCTGCCGAAGCGATCATACTCCAGATCAACGTCAGCATACTCCCCGGATTGTGGCTTGAAGGACGTGGCTCTGGCACTGCGATCGTACGTGACATTGAGCAGTTCTGTCTTCTCATCAACCATCGCCACAACTGACTGTGTGTCTCTGTCGTACTCCAGCGTCAGCACATTCTCTCCATTCACCCGCAATTTCCTGCCAATCTGAGCCACTGGCCGCTGATTCTTGCCCTTGCCCTGAACGCGGCGGATGAAGTAGCGCCACTCGAAGCGATTGACCAGATCACCACCGATCTCAGTCCTCTGCTTCGCCGGCACGGGATAACTCTCGCCCAGCAGTGGATCAATCTCCGCCAGAATGCTGTACGGCACAGATTCCATGCTCACAGAGTGTCCCCACTGGGTTGAACTGGTTGTTCCGCCGTCAACCTGAACCGTCGTCTTGGTTTCTGCCTCTCCAATCCTCGTCACAACGCTAGAGCCCTGGATCAGCATTGACACCTCGCGCTGGCTATTCTCCGTCACCCTGATTGTCGCTCCCTTGACGCTCAGATCGAAGGTCAGGTCGATCACTTTCCCCGTCGGCGTCACAGCCGACGTCAGTCTTCCGAACTCATCGTAGTTGTAGACGTAGGATCGTCCGGTGGAGTCTAGCTTGGTCTTCAGCAGTCCTGTCGTGCCGTGATATTCAAAGGTCACATTGTAGTTATCCGGTGTGCTCAATTCATGCAGCATCTTCATCCTGGTCATCCTGAGGCGACACTTTTGACCCTTGGTGTTCTCAATGGAGTTCACCTGACTTGTGTAGTCTCGCAGCAGGAACACCTTATTCCCTGCCGCATCAGTGACCGTGCTCAGCTTCCCATTGGACGTGTTGACGTTGTAGGTGAAGGTGTAGCTCGTCTCACCTGTCAAGATGTTCTTGGTTGCAATGTGCTGACCGAATCTATTGAAGATGTAAATCTCCTGCGTCTCCGGTGAGTAGATCTCATACTCCCGGGAAGCACTGGTCTCCGGAATGCTGGATATCACCGATCTGATGCGATAATTGGCCTGATCCGCGATGTGAACGTGTCCATCAGGTGTGCAGGCAAGTGCTGAGATGGTGTTAAACTTAGCACTTGTGGCCAAATAGTGATCAGCTTCGTAGCAATCGCATCCTCTCTCCAAGCAATTGCATTTCGATTCAGCACCAGCGAACGGAGCGATCTTCCCATCAGTGCCAATCACACGGATCCTGTTGATCCGTTGAGAATCACTCTCAGCCACAAAGAGATCACCCGTTGGGCCGAAGGCCAGACTCTGAGGCATCACCAGAGTCGCATGGGAAGCCAGATCACTGTCATAGGTGGCAATGGTTGTGGCACAGTGCAATGGTCGGCCCGCAATGACTCTCATCCTTCCGTCTGGAGCCATTCGCAGGATCATGTGATCGTCGATGATGTGCAGTGTGTCGTCCAGGGGATTCACAGCCAACTCTGTGGGCCATCTCAAGTGCATTTCCTCAAGCTTAAGCGTCCCTTCGCACGGCACAGGCTTCCAGTGGGACTTGTGCATGTGATTCCCTATCAGTGTGGTGACAATTCCATCGCGATCCACCATCCTGATGTTGGTTCCGTCAGCAAAGTATAGAATGTTATTCGAGGAGATTGCAATTCCCTTCGGATACGCCAACTTTGCATCCTTGGCCAGCGCTCCATCGCCACAATGGGCTTCATCTCCGGGCAGACATCTTTCCCCAGAGCCCACAATGGGTTCCCAGTTGTGTTCTGGACTGGAGAAGTCATCGACATTCTTCACTTTGATGATCTGATGAGATTCCGGATCTGAGATGTAAAGTGATCCATCCAGAGGACTCAGAGCCATGTGATAGCGATAGGAGACTCTAGTGGCATTCAGCTTCACCACAGTTTTCACTGTGCCGTCCGTCCGGACGCGTCGGATGTAGTTGAAGTCGCCCACGAACAGGCTTCCGTCAGCGGCAGCGGCGAGAGCGACTGGCGCCAAGAGACGCTGATGGAAAGCACCGCCATCGCAGTCTGTGCAGTCCAGAGGACGCTGATGACCATCCCCCATTGTCGTCAGGATCACCCTCGGCTTGTGCTTGAGGTAGATGTTGCTGCCGTCGCCCTTCTGCAGGATCCCTTCGTGGAAGTTGTATCTGCAAGGAAGGGAGCATGAATACGGGGATTCTAGAGGCGTGGAAGCAAGATTCCGTCTTACCTGTGATGGATATCCAGATTCCATCCTCCAACTTCGCTGATTGTCATGTCATGTCCACTCAGTTTGGTGGTTTGCACTTCCCACAGAATATCCTTGCAGTCTGAGTATTGATATCCCACTTTTACAATAGCCGTTGTCACTCCGTAAACTCTCTGTCGGTAGATGTTGAGTCTGTTCCAGGGATAGGTGAATTTGATGCCAGGATCAGCTTCAAACACCCTCTCAAACAAGATCCCCTCAATTGTGATCTTCAGATGAATTAAACTCAGCGTGGCGGGAATTGTGTCTGGTGTCAGTTGAAGCTTGATCGTTGATTGATAGCCTGAGGCTCTTGAGCTGTGGTACACCAAATTGAGGCCGGTTCCTGGGATTTGCAGTGACTCCTGGACAACCTGAGATTCCGCCAGGATGGCACTGCGATCCGGACAGGCGCCCTGGAAGCCATGCTTCCACGTTGCCAACACCACGGGCTTCATGTTGTCGTAATCATGCGAGAAGCAAGTGTGCGTGACGCTGGTCGCGGTTTTGTCCTCCTGCATCGACATGATCACCGTGTCGATGATCACGACCTCATTCCAGGGAACCTGAACGATCCTCGTCTGAGGCCTGAAGGGTGATCGACCGAATTGCAGGGTCACAGCGCCGCCTCCGTTCACCATCAGGTCAAACCATCCGTCATCCCTGGTCAACGTGAAGCCCTCGAGAGGTGTGGATGTGCTGACGCGAACACCGACTAGGCCCATATTGAGGGAGGTCACAACTCGTCCCCGGATAACAGCAGACCGACTGAAAGCACAAACAAGACGCTGTGTGACGACATAATCTCAGGTTTCTCAGGCGGGGAAAACACAAAAAAAAGAGTAAAAGTCAATATAATGAGGCTCGAAAGATCCCTAATATAAGGTTCTTCCGTTGGAAGTTTTTGTAGAGTGTGTATATAGAATGGCATATAAAGGATAATGAGAAACTGAGGATAAAGGAGGTCACACTTGTGTCACTCAACAGCAAACGCATCGTGTTAATGATAGTCTTCATTTGGGTTAAAGATTAGACAACATATAACATAAAAACGTAACACGTCAGACAATTTGGGGGACTAGTATTGATAGGTTTTCATGCACAACAGATCAAATCAACAAATAAATCTGTGATTTCTACATATACATATTATAGGATATTCAAGGTTTCCTTTCGTGAAATCTATATTTCTCTCTTTTTTTCTCTACTACTCTGTGAAAGGCTTCAGATAAACTAGATGATAGGATCTTATAGCAGAATGACATCTTGTTCTCTCACACACAGTTGTCACCATGCTTAAGAACACTCAATTCAAACAGTGATAAAAACACGCTTGTTGTCTGCAAATTTACTATCACATCGCGCGTGTGCAAAAGTGTTTTGACATGTAGGAGAAATTCTAGAGATTTTGTGGAAGTAAATTCACAGATAAACTCGTGTTTTGGATTCCTTGTATTTTGTTTTCTATCTTCTTTTCTTTTCTTTTTTGTCTTTCTCAGAACACCTTTTTGCTTACCTTGCATTGAAATAATTCCAAAAGAAGCTGCTCGACCAGAAAAAAGCAAAGGATTCGTGTTAGAACATTAATATGACGTTTTGGTGGTTGAGTTAAATTTTGAAAGAGGGTAGATGTGAAAATCTAGGGCGAAAGATACCAGCTAAACCCCATGCTTGCCAATTGGATCAAAATCAAGTTAGTTCACCGCTTTGTTAGTGTGTTTTCTAGTCATTGCAACTGCTTCATCACCTCTATTTGTTATTTTAAACATCTATTTGTGCATTTTTATTGTTACACATATTTTTTTTTTCATGTGACTGCTGATAAATTGATTCTCACTGGCAATTTATCAATAGTTTTTTAACCACTCTTCAGTATACGTGTAAAACAATATTTTCCACCGAATGCATTTTTAAAGAAATAATAATAATAATAGTGGAAATGTTTGGGAAATGACAATGGCAAAAAGTGAGCAAAACATGAAAAACGAAAACTTATCAATAAAACCGTGAGCATTTCATAAATTGGACCACAAAATGGCTTTTTTAATATGGTTATTATAAATATATTCAGCTCAAAAGAGAGAGAGTTTGGTGATGCAGAGAGAACACTGAACAGATGGCAGATTAGCACAGGAACAATACACGGGGTCACAACAGATTCTTTCAAAAAATTTTCAATATATGTCATGTGTGTGAAAAAAAGGCTATTCATTGGAAACAATATATATATATATAGTATAAAAAATTGTTGCATATGAAAATGATATTAGACAATGGAGCGGAAAAACGTATCGTAAAACATAAAGAGTGGGAGGAAAAGGCAATAAAAACTCATACAACATGTAGAGAGAGTCTGGAAAGAATGACATTGATATATGCTCTGCAAAGGATATCGCAATATTGACTGGCGATCCTGCAAACACCACCACTTACTCACCTTTCGTTGAACGTCTCGAGGCGAGCATAGTTCTGCAGACTTCCTTCGTCAATGATGAACTTCATGCGCTCGAAGAAGCTCGCCGTGATGGCGGGCGGCTGCTTCCTCAGCAGAATATCAATTGGTTTCGGTGCTGAGACGCAGAGTTGACTACTTCGACAATCGTGGTTCATGCAACACTCTGGGTCTTCGCAATCCACGAGACCGTCTGCAAAGGAGTTGAAAGAAAGAGAGAGAGATAGGAGTTTAGAGAAGCTCCACGTGCGCTGTGAAGTCACTTGAGCTGCTACCTTTGTCATTGTCCTTGTTGTCATTGCAAATCTGCTCGAGCGGCACGGCACAGTCGGGTCCGTCCCAACCCTCAAAGCACCGGCACTCCCACTGGTTCTCAGTGCCGACACGGCATTGGCCGTGAGTGGAACATCTGCAAGAATCGCGGGTTATAGCAAAGATTGCAACTCTTCCGACTGACCGTGAAGTTCTCACCCATTGGGACATCCCTCGATGGTGCAGTGCCTGCCGTTCCAACCGCTCACGCAGAGGCACGTGCCGTTCTTGCACTGCCCGTGCTCATTGCACCGCGGGTCGCACAGCTTCGTGTTGCAGTACTCGCCGCCCCAGCCATCGTGGCAGGCGCACGTCTCGCCCACGCAGCGTCCGTGCAGGCCGCAATCCAGGTCGCAGAGCTCTGGAAAAAACGACACTCTCATCAGCTAAAGCTCGGGATTGAAGGATCTTCAGGGCGTGCTCACCTTTGGAACAGTCATCTCCGCTCCACTTGGCGTCGCAATTGCAGACTTGGGTGTCCAGGTTGAAGGTTCCGTGGGCTGAGCAGTCTGGGAGGCACTGCAGAGCGTCCTTGTCCATTGTGCCGCAATCCAGGCCCTTCCAGCCCTTCTTGCAGATGCACGTGCCGTCGGCGCAGAATCCATGACCAGAGCAAGTGGGATGCGGACAATCCACTGGAGCAAAGAGAGAGGTCAAGGATCGGTGACATCTTAAGGAAAAAGCGTGATTTTCACTCACCCTCCTCGCAGAATTTGCCCTTGTAGCCGCGCACGCACTGGCATTTGCCACTCACGCAGTGTCCGTGTCCATTGCAGTCCGGCACCTCGCACTCGTCGTGCCGCAAGGAGCACTCCTTGCCCTTCCAGCCGGGATTACACTGGCACTCGCCATTGATGTACTCGCCGCGCTGCGAGCACAGCACTGGACAGACACCTGCGAGATAAGATTGAGCGTCAGCGGCATTCGTCACGCCGAGGGCAATTAGCGTCCCAGGGAGTGAGAGATTGGAATGCCACGATTAAGGGTCTTTTGATACACTTTTCGACAGGTGATGGATGAGGAGCGCACACTGGGGCCACTTCCTGACCTCATCTTCACCGCCATTATCATTTCGGGATGGCTATTAAAGCCTTTGAGAGAGCATTTAAATGCATTCAAGATCAAAACTCTGAGAGTTTATGGTGATTTTCTGTTCAATTTCTTCTAAATTACATTTCTCACAAAAGAATGTTCACCACAAAACCACGTATTTGGAGCAAACTTTTCTCCCATCATTTGTGCAAAATGTAAGTCATCTTTCAGGAATTTAATAATAATGTCCAATGCAAAAGTTGTTTTTCTCTTCAAAAGTTTACTCGGTAAATATTGTTGGAAAGTGAAGTGACTTAAACATTCTTTTGCTTGTTCTTTTGTGAAGATTGTCATTGTTTGTTGGATAGTTGGAGGGAAAACACAGCATTTTACTCCCTATTAGCGTCTCAAAAAGGGAAACTTCAAGAAATACTCACTGTCACTGCAGTCATCGCCGCCGAAGCCGGGATTGCATTGGCAGTGGCCGAGGAGACACTGGCCATTGCCTGAGCATCCATTCGGACAGTTCTGGGTCATGTCCTCAGCCACAGCGGCGTAGAAGGTTATCTCCTGCTCATCGCCGTCGTCATTGTACAGCGAGACGAACCAATGTCCGGGCTCCATATATCGCGTCACTTCCCGACTCACCGAAGGCTATTTGGGGAAGGAAATTTAACTAAGTCCTGGCGCTATTTAGACGTGCATGCATCAAACTCACGTGTGTTGCTCGTGTCGTCCTGGCGTTGAATCCACTCAGGACCTCCTTGAAGTGATACTGCGTGTGCGTGGGCAACGCATTTCGCCGTGCGTAGACGCCAATTGAGGCGCCGCGCGGGATGTTGTAGTCAAACTTGACGTAGGCCGGCTCCGATTGGTAAAATTGCATATTCCAATAGCCATAGGGATCGATGGTCTTGGACAACTTCTGTCCCAGTGAGATTTGGGAGAATGTTGTGCCGTCTGGCGGGAAACTTCTCGCTGGAAAAGTGCGAGCGCCTGCAGGAAAAAAAGGCGGTTGATTAGAAACATTCCGCCACACAAAGTTAGAATAGTTTCACAGGTTTCACATGCTTTTAGCCAAAAAATTTCACCAGCGCATCAAACGTAAAGCTCGCACATGCAGACAGAGTAATCAATGAAGTCCCTTTGAAATGGACAGGACAGAAAAAAAAACCGTCCGCTAGCATAGAAATATAACAGCATGAAAAGCGGGAGGAAATTAAAACCTTTTTTGGTGGGAGATTCTTCCCCATCACAATTTCCTTGGCAATATTTTCCCGAGATGTATATTCAAAAGAGAAGAAGCACAAAGACTCTCACACAAATGCGATGCTTTATGGCGGAAGAATCCTGGGTGAATTTGTCACTGTGACTTTATTAATAATAAAAATGCCTCCGCTGAGGACGCATTAATGGTGTTTTAGTGCAAAAATCAACAGAATAATTGTGTGTTAATGCCTTCATATGGCCATAAAATGTGCACAATGAGAAAGCATCTTTTATTACTTGTCATTCCATGCATCATGAAAATTAATTGCGCTACGTTAGTTGCACTTTGTCGATGATTCATGGATGTTTTGGCGGCTTTTTTCTCGCGCTATAACAGCATTTTAATTTGTTACCTTCCAGGATGAGAATAGGCACGCTATCTTGACATTTTATTGGATTTTCTGGTGCTTTTGAGATACTTTCAACAGCATTTTGATCCGTTGTTGTTACTTCCTCTTGCGAAATGTGATTTTCCACTTCCTCAATCTCTTCAATTTCTTCAAAAATATCAGCACTTCGAAGTGGTTTGAGTTCTTCTGTCTGCTCACTCGCTGACTCAGAACATTGACAAGGACAAGGAGGCGCAGGAGGAAACTTAGGTGGACACGCTTCGTCTTCATTGTCTTCGCACTCTTCGTCCTTCTCGGGCGGATGATCGGAAGGGGAATCGTTGGAGAAATCCGTGCCGGCAGGAACTGACACATGAAGCATGTAAATTGCATGATTTTGCGTTCCACTCCCTGAATCTGTTCCAATTGACACATTCACGAGAATCCTTTGAGATCCGTGAAGGAGTTTCGACGTGTTCTGAGTCGTGGAATCAATAGTTTCATAGACTGGAGTTGAATCAGACGCCAGCTTTCCATCCGTCGTGAGAGTATGAATGACGACATCCTCTTCCTCGTGGTAAATCATCCTTCCACTTTCCTCCTCAGATTCCGCCTTGTCGCCAATCAGACTGATGTGAACCTCAGGCTGAGGATCATAGCGCAAAGGATCATCGTTCTGCACCACTTCTTCAGTTGTTGTGCCCTCTTCGTCGCGATAATCCCACCCCGTTGTTGCTTCAGTGCTTTCGCCAGTGCTTTCGTCATGCATAGACACTACTTCTACCCCATCACCAACAGAAACACCAAAAGGCGCAACAGAAGAGACATGCAAATCGCGACGGATGCGCTTTGAGCGTCTCAGGACATTACCTCCATTCGATCCCGCCGCCGTGATCGCCGTGGATGCCGAACTGGCGGCGTCATTGCTGGGCGTCATGACGGGATTTGGCTTGGTGCGCGTCGCACTCGATCGATTCGTGTCCGAAACGATGCTCTTGGCGGCGCTGATCTCAGGATTCTCATCCACAACCACCGTGCACTGTTGACAACTCTGATATGACCAACTGAACACGTTTGAGGCTGCTGAAAGATTAACAAATAATGGTTAGAATAACCTTTTTCCAGTAAATAAGTGAACTGATCATAATTTACTACTAGCATTCTAATTCATAGTGCCAAATCCTCAGACAGACAGACTCCTAAACCGCCCCAATTAAAGCAGCACAGCTCTGTGCTGGAGCAGAATCGCACGTTTGGGATCCCTTGAGGACCTCCCTTGAGGGCGTCACGTGCGGCAGAACAGAATGACATTAATTTTCTTCAATATAATTCACTTCTCATTGTCGCCTGACATAATTTTGGCACTGACTTCACCTGGAGATTTTCAATTATTCGCAAATATTTCCACACGAGCATTTTCCCCTCAGCAAATGCAATATGAGTAAATTTGTCGATATGTGCCAATATTTGTGCTGAAAATTCCTCAGTAAAATTGACAATAATCTGAAATTCCCTGCAACGCCATGCGGGAGAAAATCATTGAGATATTGACAGAGAAATGACTGCAAAACTATGCTATTTGCCTTGCACTCTGGCGATGAGGTTTTTTTTACCCAGTCTTGTCAGGCATTTTTCGACACGTCACACACAGGGTGGATTTTTTTATTTGATGGAGGAAAAGTGTGAATTTTGTATTTTAGGCAACTTTTCACTATGGCTGCACACCTGCATTTGCATTCGTCCCTGAGCATTTGAAGTTGGCCCAACTGGCGGCATATTTGAGAAGCTCACTCTGTGTGCAATATGGAAATTTATCAGAATCACTCCGTCGGGGATTTCCATGGGTTTTCTGGGAGATTGGGGGCTTTTCTCCCCTCACACCCAGTCAGAAGTTCACCCCTCTGGATTCCCTGCAGATAAATTTTCGGCGTTCGGGAGTGAAAGAGTGAAATTTACAGCGGAAGTTAGTGCAACTTGTTCTTTTTATGTCCGGTGCAAATTTTAAAAATTTAATTGGCGGGGAATTTCCTTGCCACGCAGACGGGCAAAAAGCTTTTCCGCAATATCGATCTGCTGGATTTTTGCTCGAAGCGATATTACACAGTGTAGATATTTATTGTATGAGGTTGAAACGGGGTTTTTTCTTTCTTAAGATTTATTCACCCTTTCAGTGTAGCTTGCACAAGTTTCCGTGTAAAGTTTCAGAGGTGAATGTGCAGAGCCTTTCGAAGCTCAAGACTTGACATTAATATCGATTTAGGAAATTGCATAAGATGTTAAATGCCCAAAGTTTCACTGGAATCGGTTGAGAAGAAGTTCTCATTTAGGGCACTTTTCTGGACTAAAGGTGTAAGATTAGCTTGTGTTACACACCTGTGAGAACGATGAGGGTGGATAGCAGGCCGACGCAGACGACGGCCAGGATGATCGTGGTGCATTTCCACGAGCACTTGCTGGCGAACCCCTTGCGGAAGCTCATTGGGGCCGCATAGTGATGCGATGGGGGCCCGCACATGGCGCTCCTGGGCGGCAAAACAGGCCCCATGCAGTTTCTGTCGTAGCTCTTCAGTGTGTCCTTCGTGGGCGTCGAACAGCCCGAACCACTCTTGTAGTCTATCGGTGAACCTTTGTTAATATCTGCAAAAGGGTGAGAAAGAGAAGATGCTTGAAAAATGGTGGAAAGTGGCGCACACTGCCCCAAACCATTCCATCCCCTGCACTGCAGAGGCGAGTTCACACGTGCCCTGAATCGCTAATCTCACGTCTGGAGTGTCGGCAACTCTGCCACGTGACTAATATGGCATTTTCACTGGCTGTCGCAGAGGCTGGAATTGGGTCAATTTTCACATTTCGCCCGTCATCTAGCCATTGACCAGTTCATTGTCCCCTCCAGCTGAGTGGAAATTTGTGGAAAACCCAGCGTAAATTTGTCCACAATGGCAAAACTGTTGGACAACAATTAATATTGCCATTTCAGTCGAATTCCAACTCACTGAGGGCTTTTCATCTCAATCCTATCTGAGGTTGTCCTTTGAGCGATGCCAAAGCGCCCCAAAAGTCCAGGTGAGGCAATTCAAGAGGAATTTATAACTCACGTGTCCCCACAGCGCGATCCCAGAACCAAGAAAAGGGATTTTATTGATTATGATAATTAAAGGCATTTTCAATGGGGGTTTTTGGACGGATTTTGTGTGTTTGGGTCACTGCTCAACTCCAATTGTACCACAAAATTCACTGTAATTGAATGTTTAATTAGGTTTTCTGCCTTGTTTGTCTTTCGGACAAGCCGAACAATTAATTTGGCTTAAGGCATTTGCATGGTTTGCAGGAAAAATGGGTTAATATGTTGAGTGGATTTGGAGCGTGAAACCATGTGAATAAATACTGAAATCATGCATAAAATTAAGAGATTTATCACATTATAGAATTTGCGAGGAAATCTCTTCATAATTGCAAATTGTTATTTTAGATTCTTCAAGTTGATTTTATTTTTTTGGGATGTTTTTCTTTCGCCTGCTTGAACATTCTATGATTTTGCCATGTCTTAGCAACTCTGATGCTCTCATGCGACTCTAAAGCCAATACAAAGAGTGCCTCAGAATGGATTTGCTCCCAATTACGAATGGCATAATGAATAGTGGTTGATAAAAATGGCACAAATCACTGTGTTGGCATTGCTTGATGGATGCCGCGCGATGAAGTGACCAATTGACGGGCTTCAGCAGAGAATTTCATCATCATTCTCAGAGTGGACTTTTTTCTCTTCGACTTTGTCCCAAGGAAAAAGTACAGAGTCATTTAATTGATTTTCCGACACGGAAAGGGAGAAAAGTCTGTGTAAGTTGAAAAGGCATTTAAGCAGTTTCTCTCTGGCTGGCTATCAAGCCATAAATTAATTAATTTAAGCGTAATTAGACATTTATATGACTTCATCTTCATGGCTCAATTCCATACATTTCGCCGCATTGTTGGAAAACTCTCAAACATCGTGCCAAACGGCGAAACAGCATGCGGAAAAGTTGACGAGAGAGAGAGGGTGGAAATCACAGAAAAGTTCATCAGACATTCTGCCAAGCTTGAGTTGGATTACACAGTAGAGAATACATACAAACACCCTCTGAATTTTATGTAGTGAGTTTGGAGCATTGCATGTTCACTGAAATATAGCAAAATGCATTCTCTACCCTTTTGGCGAATGCAGAAAAAGCACCATGTAATCTAAGGGAAAATGTAGAGAATCCACCCCATCATTTCTGCCCAGGAAAACTCTGCAGCACGAAGTGAGGGAAGTTTCCCAAGCCATGGTGGGTTTTTTTTGGGAGGGGGGATGAGGGAAAGTGGGTGGAAAATTATGTACTTGGGAATTGGGTTGCATCGAAAATATCAACTCAACAATCACACAGTTCATATACAATCTGCGGTGAAAGTCTGCGCATTCGCGCTTTTCTTCTGCACGAAAACACACTACAAAATCTCGACGGTTTTCCTCTCTGAGCTGTGCCAGAAAAGTTACCAGCAAAATAGGGTGGAATAGGGTGAGGGTGAATGTCTGTCGTGCTCACACACAGTGACGCCCTCTGGCCACAAATAGCGGATGGGAAGCAATGAGATGGCGAAGAGAAATGATAAATTCAATTATCTCACCAGCAGGTTTTCGGTAGAAAATACACTGTCTATCACTGACATCCTTTTTTTTGCCAGGAGGCCACATTCCTGAGGACTGCGAAACATTGACCCCGATTTGGGTGATAAAATATTGCGCATGCGACATTTCATTCACTTTTTCCCACTTTCAGACGTTTCCTTTTGGCCAACAATTCACAATGAATACAAAGTTAAATGAGAAAGAATCAACTTGGGTATTGTTTTGAGGAATGACGAACAATTTTCGGCAATTTCCCAACTGGACAATGTCTAAAACAAACACCTAAAACTATAATCGGATACTCAATGAAGTTCTATTCTGCAAATCACCACAAAACAAGATGCCTAATCAGTGTTTATCTCCAATTTATTATTGATTTTGGGCAATTATCAATTATTAATAGTAATACTGTAGTATTGTATGGGAATTTCAAATTTTCCCAGCACAAATTAACTCCTTAAGTCATCACTCCAAAGTTTAATTTGAATAGTTTTCTCTGGAGCTTTCCAAAAATGTGTGTATATTAATTAAATTAAATTGTATGATCGTCCTAATTGCTCAAAATCTCAAATACTTCCCCGACAAACTTCCATGGCAAACTCACTGGAGAGTTTCTGAAGAATTCCTCCTTCGCATTCTTGGGCAAAAATGTGCATCATGCAGAGAAGATGTAGGGCGAAGAACTTTTAGTTCATCCCCCAATCCCTAATTGTGGCAATTTTCGCGTACAAATTTTCCCACTTTCCACGAGTTTTGCGGGCAAAAAGGCCGGCAAGTGCGTGTGTGTGTGTGTGGGGGGTTGATAGTGACGGAGACGCAACATCCCTATTAGTCGAGAAGACATGCTTTATGCATTAGTCGTGTCATTTTGGGTGACAGCGGGTGGGTGGGGGAGGTGGTGGCCCAATCCGGTGGCTCAAGGGTGGAAAAATACAATTTTCCATCGGTTTTCCCACCCCCGCAGGGCTCAATGAACTTTTCAGGCAGTCCAATTGACAGGCGAAGAAGTTGAGAAATTTATCAAATTGGCTCCACAGCCATTGATGAGGCCACCCTTCCCGCCCCACCCCCCTCCCCGAAACAGTTTACAAGAGGGGTGAAAACTTTTAAATGAATTTTGTATTTGTCTTTGACCAAGAAATGATGAAAGCGAGAAAGAATAATTTTGGCCAAAAACTGATAAACATCCGTCCGTCCGGCGAGACCCCCAAAATAAATGAGGGGAGATTTTTCAAGTCTCCACCGCCCCCAGAAAGTGGCAAATGCGAACAGATACTCAGAGTCTGGTACGCATGGGTCAATTTGAGTAACTCAATCCGGTGATTTATGTCCAACGGCGGAAGGAGAAGAGGATGGACGGAAAAAATTGCTGGGTGACAAGAGGGAAAATGGGAAGGAATTAATGTCCTCCCGGAAGGATTCACTGTCTGCGGAGCCTCAGAAAATGTTGCTCGAGTTGATTTCGCAGACCCAGAAGAAAGATGTACAGATGGAAATGGAATAATTAGATTCAGCACAGCTTCAGATATTGCATCGCAACTGAATACACTGAGAGAAATTATAGGGGAAAAACACACACATTCCAATCATATTTTCCGTAAATGAACTTGTAGTGTTCAGAAAATATATTAAACTTGTGCGAAATTGTTTTATCTGAGGCTAAAGAGAAGAAAAATTGATCAAATATGCTTTTTTTAACATATTCAGTAACTAAGAATTGAAATTATGCTCTGTACGTTCGATGATTTAATTTTTTTTCTATACTTTAGCTTCGTGATTTTTCTGTAGAGATTTCCCTGCACCAACAGAGAAGAGAGCCAGTGCTTTGTTCCGGCTCTAATTGCACACATTATTTCCACATTTAATGATATAATGAATAAACTATACACTTCAGTGGGCGGAGCGTTCGCGTGGGCGTGGTTTCTCTCTCCTTTATTGAGATGTATATACTATATATTGTCTGCAATTTTCCAGCAGTGCAACACTGAGTTGCAGATTTTTATATTTTTTAACCGTGAAAAATTGCAGCTGAAAATTAATTTCGCAGGCAAAACACTCCCAAGATTTCCATTAGCAATTCCATGCTAAGAGTGAGAAGGAATTAGCATGAGATGCTATCGCATATTTTGCATAGAGCAGCGTCGGGAGAAGAACGTGCGAAATATCGTGTTAAATTGAATTCCGCACACCGTTCGGACTCCTCGGCTTGCATTCTTTGTGGCGTGAAAGAATGAAACTGCGACCGGGAATGGGTTGAATGGCGAGAAAATTGGCGGATTATCTCACAAATAGTGACACGAGAGATGATTAATACATAAAATCCGTATGAAATTACCATGAATTTGCCACTGAGATTCCAGTGGGAGGCATATAAAGAGGGGCAAACAGTAAAAGACTCGTAAAAATATTAAATATGAGTCAAAGTGGAATTGCTGTGGGGATTTTATTGGCACATTTTGGTGGTATTAGGCATAGTCGCGAATGCCGGCGGTCCAATCTAATTATGCTTGAGAGACCGCATGAGCATCATCGGATCATAATCTCCGATAATGGACTAATATGAGGGACCCCTTTATCGCTTCCCATTCATGCCCTACAATGGCTGCGCAATATTTTATTGACTATCCCCTCGAAATGCTATTTCATGTTCATTCTGTGCATGTGTGTGAGAGAATACAAAATTTCCCCACCCAGAATCATTACAGTGGCACTGAAAGGGAAACAAGATCCCCTCCTGTTGCTCCTCATCGTCCCGCTTCTGCATGGCGAATTGTATATGGTTCTAATAAAAATGTTGAGAACATATTTCATTGCATGTTTAGTATAAAAATTGTATTACAATTTTTTTTATGCCGACATAAGAAAATGCTGGCTCATAAAATAAAAGTCTCATGGAGGAATGGAAAAGACTCAAAATGAGGCACTCTTGTCAAAGAGAGACGAATCGCTCTAAGTCTAGTTTGTGCTCTATTTGGGGGTGAAGATAAGAAATAATCGACAGTTGATGCGTCTCTATCGTTGAATAATTCATTGAGATCTGCTTTTTCACCATTACAAAAAGAAATTCAGAAGTTTTCCTAAACATACGCTCAAATCTTCTTGTCTAATTGCTGATTTGTAATATCAAGGAGGAGATAATATGGCTAAAATTTGTACACCACTTCCTGACACAGCTTTTCCCAGGACTTAAGATTGCATGGATTGTTTAGAAAAGTACTAATATCAACAGTATTTTTCTTGATCATAATTTAAAATTTCCATTTTTAAATGCTATATTTAGTCCTAAATCATTCATATAACCTAGAAAAATATGTCAAAATTAGGATTTGTATAAAAATTTATTTCTAAGAGTAAAATAATCAAATTTCTACCGATTTGTCATACCACTTTTGACCATATTATCTCCTCCTTGGATATTCTCTACTAGAATTAAAGCATTATTGCTTTCTTTAAATTCACACAAAACAGCTTCCATAATTGATTGCTCACTTGCTTCCTCGAAATGCCACATAATATCTCATGAATTAAAATGAACATATTGATGAGCGAATTGTGACATGAAAAGAAGTGCAAATGAATGGTCAGTTGGTTAATATTGCACTCATGAATGAATGAAATATCGCCCATCTGTCCGGCTCGCGTGCGACTGTGCGATACTACATATATAATCAATTGATTGCAACTTACAAGAGGCGCACTCACTTATGTTTCCACTCGGAATGTACACATTGCCCGATGGCGTCCTCACCAGGCAGGATGGCTCGAACTCAACTCCCAGCTCGGAGGGGTTGCCAGTCACTCGACCATTCATCCGGTTCATTGTGGGGTTTCGCGGCGGAACATCAGGTGGCGCCGAAGGCGGAACTCCGTCCAGGAGACAGCCTGCAATTAAGAGACGGTTATTTGCAATGTCATCCCGAAGGGAAGATACGAAGCCAAAGGATCTTAGGGCCTAATCGATTGCGCTGCATTGTGTGCGTGTTTGTTTGGGATTTAAAGCGTGAGATCCTCCCCGAAATTTCCCATTCTGTCGCCCATAAAGAATTTTTAATGGATCCCCCCTTTCGAGAGTCATATAATGATCCGTGGCTGCGCCCGAGAATACCAAATGACAAAGACTCTCGTGGCGGTGGGAAAATAATTGTCATCCTCTCAATTCAATTGCTGATTAACACTCGGCGACGTCAATTAAGGATGGGGATGGGCGTCAAATTATGTCCCGAGAAAATTTAAATTCAGCCGATTCTGCCTCGTTATCGAAGTCTCAGGCATTTTATGATTGTTCACAATATGCCTATTGAGGCGCTATTGAATTCCCTTTCGCGGCCACAATGTGACATTATTCATGAGGAGCTAGAGTTGGAAGATTTTTCTCATCACAGACAGAGAGAGAGAGAGAGAGAGTCATCCTGTGATGACAATGGCCTGTCCATTCCAGAGCAACTTCCCCGGCCTCGAGTATGCGAGATTTATGACCACCATGTATGATGCAATTGCCTGCGATACCCGACTGTCCATAAATCATTAATTACGTTGCAATCGAAATTCAATATTGCAGACACTGGCGATTCCCCAAGACCCGGACGACCCACGCACCTCCTAGCCGGGGCTCCCATCTTTCCCCTATCCTGCCGTCGCCTTTGTTCCGTCCAGCAAGCGCTGTTCGACAACACAGCACGAATTCTCCCCATTCGTGCCAATCAGAGTTGAAGTGCTGCAGTTCAGGGAGGAATGATGAATCCTTGGATTCATCTCGTGTTTCTCTCCAAGTCTAACTTCTTTTGAAGTCTTAAGAATAAGAAAGAATCACTTCACTTCCACTTCCAGCAATCTGAATGAATTCTGCAAGATGAATGGCCGCAGAATAAACCTGAAATTCACGCTTGAGTGTCTGAATTGATGGGCCGCCCATTAGCTCTAATCCTCATCGATCTTATCTACACTGTCGCGCCACCAGGAGTCGCATCAACTCTGATGCGTGCGCGCGAAGAGGAGCATCTCGAGCCGCCACTTCTGAGTCTTATAAATGTTTTATTATATTATATCGACAAAAGAATGGACAATAAAATTATATAAATAAATAAAGGGGCACGGAATGGGGGGGACGCAGAGAACATGGGGAGAAAATGAAGTATCGACTCTGGAGCGCGCACTGCTCATCGGAATTACAACATCTCCACACAGCTTTGACTCTCTTTGCGCCTTCGTCTTCGCCTATCATTAGAGACACCGGAGGAATACGAAATCATGTAAAGCGCACGGACAAATCTATGGGCAGGGAAAGGAGAGGAGGAGGCTCTCCGTTTGGCATATTCGCAATTAAATTGCGACGACAGTCCCTGATTTCTGACCTCGCGAGCACGCAATTCAGAAACACGCGCGCAAAAACCACAGATATTCCCTCGGGCATGGCCAGATTGACTCTCCCGTGGACGTATACAATTGGATTTTCGGGGACCACACAAAATTGCACCACGACCGACATTCGACTATCGATTTTTGCCCGCCCCAAAATGCCAACGCAACTAAACCCAATTACACAGAATTCCATTTAAGGCTACGCGTTCTGGCATTTTTCCACGGCTTTTCCGGGCTCTTGTGCACCTTTTTTTCACGCGTGTCACATTCATCAGAATGACAATCAATCAATTTATTGTTTTTAGAGGGCAGAATGTGTCATTAGATTATGAAAATGTTTTTAGCAAATTCAATGGACCGAATATTGTTGCACTTCTTCAAGTGTTATGATTTTTGACAGTCACCATGTTAATTTCTCTGATAAATCGACTGTCTGAAAAGGCCATTAGGCTCTGTGTTTTCTCTCTCCACATTTTTCACATGCTCCCCTTCCGAAAATTGGGTGATAATGAAAAATTCCACACGGAAATCCCATCGACAATTCCCACTTTGGAATCCATCTGCATCTCCATGTGACACATATGTTTTCAGCATTTTATGCTGGAAGAATTAATGAAGGCTCTTGCACACCCAACGTCATCTTTTGGGCTCTGCGAACAGATTCTATTAGGCATGTGTCATGTTTAATTGCCCTCCACACATCCCTTCCCGCCCGTGTCTTGGGCTCACTGTGACTTTCTCAGCTCTCCGCGTGTTTCAACATCGAGAGAGAATGGCATTTGTCGTTGCGAAAGTCCCACCAACGCATTTCCACAGTCTCTGTGTGACTCACAGCCCAAGTGCAGTTGCATTATTGCATAATTGCCATCTCGACAATCTGCCAAATGGCCACACATCGCCCGGGGAACTTGCCAATCGCGACATCTCCGAACTATAATCCCCCGGGCCGGCAATCAAGGGGAAAATAGTATAGTAGAAAATCGAGAGAAATCCAAAGAATCGGGATGGATTAGTCAGTAAAAGAAGCACGCAGGAAAGGATTTTTGTAGGTTTTTGAACACTTCCACTTCCTAAGTACTCCTACTGAATTCTACACCACTTTTGACTGTATTATCTCCCCCTTGGTGGCAATTGTGCGGCTCTTGGGGACGGATAATCCGCTGAAATTGTAGGTGAAACCTCACTTCATAACATTTCCATTTCCATCGCGCCCTTTCGTTCCCTCCATGTTTTTGGGGTTTTGATTGAGCCTCGTGTGTGTGCGCCTTTGTGGTCGTTCACCTCCTTTTTGTCCTCAGTCGGAAGTCACCACAATTCCACAGTGGGTGGGAAAAATCCAATCTGCTCCCCGGACCGAATTGGCCGGATTTGGCGAAGAGGTGCCATTTGGGAGATTTACAGGACAGCAAAATGGCTCAGAATTTTGCCATTCGCATATGTTTGGCATACATTTGAGGTTTAATTTGAGGAATGAGGAAAGCTTTTCGAATAAATACACTTGATGCTCTTTCGTCGTCTTTAAATGCACGAAAGATGATAGCGACTGAGGAGTTTTGTGAAGACACAATCTGGAGTTATCAATGAAAGCTTTCCAACATATTTCCATACGATAATTCTATTTCTCAAAGGCTATTAATTTTAACGTTTTCTCAGTCGTTAAACTCATCCACCACTTCTTCTGCGGAGTAATTCTGTACAGAGTGTAGATGTGAAGCTGTCTGCCCCCGGAATTGACCCTCTTCGCTATAGAGAGAATTCTCAGCATTTGGAGCAACAGTTTGGCCCAGATTGTTCTCGATCGCTGTCCAGTCATTCTTGGGCATGGTGAAAGAGGCACAAAATGGGCTTTTGGGCTTAATCAGCTAATCGCAATCACTCCAATTGTACTCGAGCTGCCTTGGCCATCGATCACAATTAAAAAGTGGGATGAATGGGAAGTGAAGGTGGAGCTGAGAAATATTGCCGCGCTAATTGACGAGCAGAAACGAGCACAAAGTGTCACGGCGCAGAGTCGTGGCTCTTTTTCGTCAATTAGACACTGGTGTGGAGGTCAGGAAAATGGGAATTTCTCCATCCTGGATCCATAAATCTCTCTCTCTCTCTCCCTGTCCTGAGCAGATCACTGGGAATTGGTGGGCTTTCCAGAGCGTCGCCCCAAGATGAATGTGTGATCACATATTGCGCCTCATTAACACACATTTTCCCGGGCTTTTCCCTCTCGGCATCCCCGATTTAATGGACGTGAAATTCTATCCTCAACTGCCACACTCTCAACGACCATCATCATTGTCATGGAGGGAATGTTGGGCATTAATTAATAGTTTTGTGGGGTGTCTTTCGCATGACGTCAGATGAGGAGGCAGAAATTAAACTTGTTGAAGAAGAAGTGCGCCATCCTGGGGATAAATGTTTGTAAAACGAAAATGGACCACGTGAAGTTGAAGAGCGAAGAAATGTTAATGTGCGCGAGTTTCTAATGGAATCTCCGTCGATTGCTGATTGCTATCATTGAGTGTGTTCAGTTTAATTAAGCCTCGGCTTTCATTGCAGTAGCGCTTCACATAGCCATTAAAATATTACCCACAACATGATTCACACTCACAATTTGTGCCTTTTTACGGCAATTTTTCGAATACTTCGCCCCAAAATCACTCTTCAGTCAATTGAAATGGACGCAAAGAGTCAGGAAATCGCACTCAATCTACGACTATAAATTCAAATAAATCGCTTTGAAAGTGTGCAGGTAAACACAAAATACCTTTCTAGAGATGGAAATTACTCTAAACGAGGGGCAATTTATCGAGGAATTCAGGTGTAATCTTTCAGTGTTTCAAATTCAGAAACAGTACTTGAGAGTTTCTTTTTTCAGGCGTCTTGAAATGGAAGACACTGAAGGCTTGGAATGCTGTGCCTCTGGCTGAGAATTTTCAAGTGTCCTACTTGGTGGCAAATCAAAACTCGCCGCCCCTCTTTTGATATCTTCGAGGGCTCATTGAAAATTTTATGACTGCATGAACTCACATTCGAACAATTTTTCTTAATGTTTATTGGCCAATTAAAGTTTTTTTTTCTCTTCTTACTTGACCCGCGCACAGGGCAAAAACTATGATCAAGAGTAATTTCACTTCCTCAAGACATCGACAGAGACTTGAGAAAATTCTTATATTTGGCCGATAGTTTTGGATATTTCTGTGCATAAATGCCCATAAATCACCAGCGAATCAAACTATGGCTGGAAAATTGCGCGTGGAAGTTCACAGTTCTTGCCTTTTTTCTCCACTCACTTTAATGGAAATTGTGAAGTTTAATCGCGTCGGAGAATCTCCTCACGAACAGAAGCATAATTGTTATCCCATCACGATTATTTATTGCTGTCCATTAAGTCGAGTGAGGGATTCTCAGGGCGATCTCTCAAGCCTATTGATTTGAGTGCCTGTCCAGCGCGGAATAACCAAAAAGTCTGTCACGAATTATCAGATTTGTCTTGAGGAGGCTCCCAATGCGGACAACCGAGTTATGACGGT